GGAAGAAGGACCACATACGAAACTTCTTCAGGCAACTGATGACTCGATTGAGCGCCACATAGAGTCCGGTGCGTGGTTCACCAGAGAACCCCTTTTCTATCAAACTTGACGCCTCGTCGAACACGATGACCAAGAGTGAGTTAGTGTCACTTACGTTCCGGCACTGCTGAATATTGTTGATCAGGTTTTCGGCAGCATTGAGGAGGCCGTTCAAGGGATCGAGGGGTTCTGTCCACGCCATTTCGAATTGACGACGAATGCTTGAGGAGCGGTCATCGTCGAACTTCTCGACCCAGGCCGGACTGAAAATCAAATCGTTGGCGATAGCCCGAGCTCTCTTAGCTACCGATTCGCAGAACTCGATGCGTATCTTGGAGCGTTGGTTCTGAGTGTCGTTAGCATCGGTAGCTGGTGCAAGCGGTGCCATCTCTGCGTGCCTGTCACCTGCAAGCTTTTCTAGAGTCATCTCGCTAAAGGGCTTGCTCTCCACCCAGATATTCACTGACAGAATCGAATTAGCGAGAGTTTGGTGAAAAAGCCATTAGCAATTTACATATCTCGAAACTGGCTTGGAGCAACGCTGCAGCGAGAGTGTGATTCCACGCTACGATCGCTCTCCTCTCCAGAAAATCACCAGATGTCCCGTGCCGGCTGGTGGGCTCGGGGATGTTGTCTGGCCGCTTCTCGCGCAGGAATGACAGTATCTCTTTATCAGGAGGTGGAAAGCCGGAAGTTCCAGGCTCACGGAGAATGAAGTTGATCATGGGACAGAGTTGGCCGAAAGCATCCGCCAATCTTGATTTGCCCGTACCGCTGCTCTGAACGAATACCAAGGTCTTTGCGTAATACTTGCTCGCATCGAGTAGCTGGTACCGCCGAATGAGGTCCCGCAGCGCAATTAGGGAGTGCGGAAAATAGACGTTGTTCCAATCTTTTTGTAAGGCATGGAAGATAGCTCTTTTCTGAGGGGAGGTCAGTACGTGGAAGGCGGGACTGTTAGTGTTTGTCTCCTCCTTCTTAGCCAGATTCGGGAATAGCTGTTTGTACTGTTCTGGATGGTTTTTCTTCAGCCAGCCCTGTAGCTCTTCCTTAGTCGTATCCTTTAGCCCCTCTTCAAACTCTTTCGGGTAGTTTTCCCGAAGCCAGAGGAGCAGCTCCCACTGGCCTAAATCTTTTCGCTCCTCTTTCGTTATAACGGGCTCTGCTTGGGCGGCTTGAAAGTCTGACCCGGTGTGCCCTGGGTTCGGTTCTGAAGGGGTGCTCATCGTGATGCTATTTAGAATAGCTGGACGTGACGAGAAGAGAGGCGAGGAGGAGAGGCCTCGAGGAGAAGTAGCGAGGAGGTAGTGAGTAGGAGCGGCAGGCAACAGCGGCGGTAGAGCTGATGAACCAGGGATGAGAATATGCCTTGATCAATTCTATTGAAGAGAGGAGAAGATGAAGACGGTGGAAGGGTGTTCAGTCCGTTGAATGATTGATTTGGCTGGTTCTGTTCGAATGAGTAAAAAGGTTGAGGGATCGAATTGCCCCAAGGAGTGACACGACGAACGCGACACGCCAAGCGGGGAAACACCGCAGAAGTGACGCAACGCACGTGACACGCCAAGCCAAGATCGGCAACGTCATCAGGGAAATTCCGACCAGACATAAGAGCTTACATTGCAGCAAGTTTTCTACGGTCTTTGAATATTCTGATGGCTAACGCAACTAGGGGCCGCGGATAGGATATTCACGGGGGTAAAAGCGTAGCTTCTGGATTTTACGGAAGTTTGTCTTTTATGGGGGCCAGCCCCCAAACCCCCAGCCTCACTGCGTTCGAAGGACCAGTAGCTGCAACAGTGCCAAGCCATTGACGCACGTGATTGGCCCATCACGTGTGTCTTGGCAATTCTTGGCGCGCACACACATGCGCGCGTCAAAAAAATAATAACTGTATCGTTCTAAAAGTATAAGTCTAAGTCGTTCTTGAGATCCAGCTGTATGTACACTCGCAAAGCACTCAAAATCAAACGGCGCCTCAAACAACACCCCATCTAATGTCTTCACGCGGGATTCCGGCTGGAAATCTCTCGCCAGATGAGATCCACCTTGGTCGCGGTGACATTGAGATTGGGGACCATCGATTGAGAAGTCGGCGGGGGCAGCTCGGCGGGAATCGATTGTTCGGGTTCCTCTTCACCCGCCTCATCGATTAGAGCCAGAAACGATGAGGATATGTCGCCATCGATCGGTAGAGCGTCGATCCGATCCGGGGAAATGGTGATATACCGGTAATCCGGGTGGTGCGCCTGGAAAAGCCGCAGCCAGGTCATGACATGTCCCTTTCGAACCCGAAAATCCGACCGAAACTGGCGTCGATAGCGGAGATCATGCTCGACGACGCGATCCGAGGGCCGTAACACCACCACGTCTAGTTCCGCGGGCAGATTAGGCAGTATACCGACCGTCTTCATCATGTTTTGTATAAAACTGACACAGTGTCCCGAGTAGTGGTACTGGTGGCCCCGGTAGCGATAGACCATCATTTGCACGTGCGACCGGGCGACAATCATCTCCTCGATTTGGGTCAGCGCGGGTAGATGGGCCGGCCGCTCTCCCGGGTCCATTCCATTCTCGGCGGACATGAGAAAGGGAGTCTTGCCGCCCTGATCCCGCAAGAAACAGGCAGGGCAGATTCCATTCTTCAAGTCCATCGAGAACCACCGTGCGTGACAGCGGCTGCAGGTCTCCACCTTGACCTGATCCATGGTGGCATGAAAACTTTGGATGGACGCTCATTGTTCGGCGGGGAGAAAGCCCGAGGCTGACGGTTCGGGTCGAGGTAGGACGGGCGTCGGTGGAGGAGGAGGGGGGAGAGAGCGCGTTGGGCAAGAGGAGGGAGGATGGAAGGGGGAGGAGGCAGCCCTAGACGTGTAGGAGCTTCTGTGGGCGGTGTGGCACGCCTCTTGAACGGAATCGTCGATGGATGAGATTGGAGGAGAGGAGGCCGCCCTGGACGTGTCGGAGCTATTGTGGGCGATGTCGCAGGCCTCTTGGACGGGATGGTCGGGCATGACGGCTGTTCAGCCCTCCTCTTTTTGGACTTGTCACGACAAGATATACAGGTGGAAAAGATCTTGCTTCCTGGAGCGGCGGTGGCATCTTTGAGAAAAAAGGAGAGGAGGCGCTTTTGAAGACAGGCCGAGCAGTATTTAGAATCGATATCGGACATGACAAAAGGGAAGAGGGTGACAACGTGTCGAAGATATTTGAAGGCGCGTACATATCGCGCACGGAGCGCGAGATCATGTGATTTAGCATTTTTTCGACCAATCAGAAGCGATTTCGCTGGCCAATCAGCGACGACTTCAGTCACGTGAACAAAATTGATGCCCTCGATAATTCTCACACACGCGGGCAGGGGGTTTCGGAGGCTAGAAAAAGCTCCGCTAAACGCTACGCTTTAATAATCAGGATCTCCAATTGTATTTTGGCGGGCAGGTATGTCTACTCGATCGCCAACGTGCACCTCATCAACTTGGGGACCAAGAGCAACGATTCTGCGCGCAAACTCATGCGACCCGATCCGAGGAAGATCATGCCATCGAGATCCGGTAGCCAGCGCTGCGTCAGTGTGTCATATGAGTCGGCGAGAACTTGAATCAAAAAATCCAGCCCCTAGGAGGTGGAAGCTTCGAGAGATCACGAGGTTGGGACGGCTGATTGAAAGCCTTCAGGACTTGGGCCCCCGTTGCTCTTGCCAAAACTTGTCTATGCATATCTTAGAGATCGTGGGGATTCGTCCTGTCATTTTGATCTTTCGGCGGCCATGTCGGTTTGGATAGAGCTCAAGGAGAAAGGGGAGAATGAGCATCTCGGGAAAATACTATAATGATGGAAAATTCTTTGCTTTGCACAGAATTTTTGTTCTTTTCCCTCCCAACTCACCTGCAACCTACGGTTTTATACTGTTGACCTTCCGACCTTGCTTAATCGTGAAGAAAATTAAACAGTCGGAGTTGTCAATACCCCCAGTCAGGGCCTAAGCTGACCCCATGGGGAATTTGAAGTCCAGAGAGTCAATTGCATGCAGCCGGTGGTTTTGATCACCGACTTCAATTTCCGTTCGTATTTTCGATTTCGGTTGATCCGTCCGAGGGGGATGCAAGGCTGAGTGGGGGTCAGAAGCACGGAACGGCCGCGCATACTGGGGGACTGGACGTGGATGATTAATTTGGCCAACATTTTCAACCAAAGGCTTCACGCCACCAAATGAAATCGATCTGTTGAAACTTATCTTCCGCAGCCCCCCGTGGCTTACACTCCACAAGTTACGTGGTATCGTCGATTGTACATTCCAAATTGTTCCGACCAAACAAATTAGGATGCTGTCTCCAAATCTGGCTCCCAAGGACATCTTAGCCAAATCTCCTCCGATTTAGATTGCCATGGCAGGTGAAGACCTGTTTGGGGGGCGAGGCAGAAGAGTATTGAGAGCTTCTGAAGAGCGTAAAGGTGGACGCTGAGGTCAGATGCTATGAAGATGTCAAACTTGGCGAGCGCAAGTGAGATGTATTGAATGCTCTGCCTCTTTGGCAACTGGTCCTCCCAGATTACCAGTATAAATACATGCTTTGTCGACCCCGTTTCTACTCCTATTCTTCCCCTATAAAAGGGTGATAACCCTTTTCCTAGAAAAGAAGTACTGCTCATTGTTCGACAGAAGGGCTGGGCCACAGCATTTCGGCATTATCTGGTAAACAGATCGCCCACCCGTTCGACGTCAATGTTACTTGATGCGGACACAATTGCTTTCGCGCGAGATTGATTTTCCCTGCACAGCCAGAATTATTTCCCATTTGCTGAAGACTGATCACCAATTTCAGTTACCCTCATCCAGGGGAAGGCAATCGATGCTAGACGCCTCCAACGCCCTCCGCGAACGCTTTGCAAAAAGATCGATCAATCAACAACTTACCTTGAGCGTAAACAATCCATAACAACATCGCCGAACTGAATTTACTTTTTGACAGCTCCGAGAAGCCAGCCTCATTAGGCCGCCAAAGATGTTCACAGAGTTATGAAAGTGCACACGGCTAGCGGAACTAGCTAGCAATTTACAACGGCACCTTCAGCTACGCCGGAATTTCCCCCCCACAAGGCTGAGGCGTGGGCCACGGATTTGTGTCTTGGCTTACACACATGGCTTCACCCGCAAATTTGTCGGGGAGTCTCTCAGAGGTGATTGGGTTAAACTAAAGGCCTCGATCAGGTCATATTGACGTGGAGTTGATGCGACAGGTTGAGATTTCTGGTCGGCCTCTACCAATACCAACGGAATAAAATTTTAATGGCGTCATGGGCGTACAGATGCATCAACTTCCTCTGCTACAGCTGATTAGCCCACAGTCAAAAGAGTACAGATTTCGTGCGGACAACGTTCTCCGAGATGTCATCCACAGATCTCATTCGAGGATTCTATTGGGCATCCTCGAGCTCCTTTAGCTTCTTCCTCCTCTCTAGACCATCCCGGGGCCAGACCTTCTCGTCATCATATTCCATGTCTCTAAAAGCGGGAATTTGGTCTGAGAGGACAATCCAAGGCTGCTTTTCGGCGGTCCAGATGTGGACATCGGGGGGCAGAGCATCTGGATTATCCAAAGTCCCCACACGGACAATGCGAAGACGCTGCTGTACAAAGGCTGTGTTGTGGAGATAAACACTCCATACAGCAATGCGGCACTGGGGACAACGAGCAATAGTTTGACCGGCGCCGCTTTCACTAGGCACAATGATCCATTCTGGCTCCTTCTTTAGGATTTTCAACCTATCTGTTTCGATCATGGCATTGAGTGCGAATGAAGCTCCGGTCTCTTTTTGACACCATCGGCAACTGTGCTGTTTCAGCAGAGACTGTTGTCTGCGTGATGTGGTTTTCACTCACTGACAGCAATGAACGACCATTGGTTTCGTCTCCATGGCGTACCGGATTTCTCCACAATCGCATCCCCCTTCCAGGGGAAGGGCAATCCCTTGTGGCGCCATGGTGCGAACTTGAGGCTTCGAAGGGGTTGTGTTAGAGGGGATCGTTGTTATGGTTGGCTCAGAATGAGTTTGGTCACACCTTTCAGCCAGAAAGCACTGCACGACGAACAAAATTTGGTCAAAAATCCTTGCTTATCTCTCGTCTTCGAGTTGGAGAAATAGTCAGGTGATCGGTAAAACTTGTCATTCAATTGGAACGATACATGTAAGTCGACCAAAACCCAGCCGGGGGGTGGTTGAAGGGAGTGTGGATCGGAGATTTTGAGCCAACAGAGGCACTTGAAAGATGGTGTGGAACCGCGGGTGGGATTCGGTAGACTTCAATGTAGCGTGTCCTATCAAACACCCCTGGTGTCACGATCAGCCACAAGAGAGATTTTTTGGTTGTTTTGAAGACCTGATTGGTCGAAAGGGTGAAAAAAAGGTGCATGGAAGATGGAGAAAAAGCAAAATTGATCTGGAAGGTCGGGGCTTTTCGAAGCCATGCGCCTGCAGAGGTGACTAGAGCACGATTGGGGTGACCGGCATGTGCATGCCAGAGCATTGTGATAGAAAAAGGGTGGTGGACGAGTTGGCGAGCAGATTCCCAAACAGTGGATCGAGGACAGGAGTTCCTTTGACAGCATCCGTCGCCGGGTGTCATACCATCTAGTCGGGTCCGGTCCGTGGTGAGCTGAGTGACACGTTGAGAATTCCTCTCCTGTAGATCAAGTCCGATGGTCGATCTTGTCTGCCGTGTCGGGGCGTATGGCGTTGAGTTTGTTGGGAAGTCGACTAGTACAGGCGTCCTCGTAGTACGTATAGGGAGTCTTGGTTCTCCGTCCGTACTCGTAAGGAGATTCATTCGAAGAAAGTTGTATGGCTCTGCCTTGATGGCCCATGTTATTCCAGGTACAAGACTTGCCCTCTAGATAGGTCCAGTGCTGCGTACTTGTACCTATTTAGTGTAAGAAAATTGCCCCAGGTGGCGGAGACAAAATGGCTCGGGCCTTCTCCAAGTCGCCGGAGCCCTTTCTGTTTAACTGAAGGGCCCGTAACAGCTAACTAAGCCTCTCAGCCCAGGTGGTCGCCACATCCACTGGACGCCCTTTCTGCCCTTCCTGTCCGGGTTGACCCAATGCTCGTGAGCTCCAAAACTCCACTTCACGGCCGCCCCAAAATCCCAAAGTCTCTTTCGACCTCAGTGACTGGCTCTCACCTCTTCTCATCCTCGTTCATCATTCTACGTCTTGTACGAATCGCGAGACTAGCCCTAGTCATCCTCAGCCCCCCTTGCATCCGTGACGGTTTCTCTCCATTGCGATCAATACGAATGCACCAGTCACTACCGCAGTCTCTCATCGTGTCAGCTAAGACGGTGCAGATCAATCACCCGCAGCAGGATTCCCTTATCCATACCCACTGTTACACAACCGATTTTACAGTACATACTCCGCTATGGTTCTGCCTGTGATGTGGCTCTCCTCCCATGCACCACCGAGATTGGCCTGGACACCTTTTGCACATGACCGATCGGGGACCGTCAGACAAGCACGTTTTTTACGCATAGCATCGAGCGAGTCAAGCTGACAAGATGCCTCCCCAGCCCGTCTATCCTCTCCCGCTGGATCGTAGTCTGGAGTCATTGACAGGAAGAGGCCCCCACGAGGCCAAACAAAACGGCCACCGACCCCGCCCAGTCAGCTGCAACCCTAGGCTTGACTTCTCCAAAGCTGGGAGCGGGAGCAGACCGAAGGAGTCGTCCAGACGGAGACTTAAACGGAAAGGACAGACGGAGTCTCAAATGAAGAGGCCATGGACTAAGGACCAAAAATTTGAGCTCAGGGCTGGAGGATACGAGTTATGCGCCCGCTCGTTAGCGCCCCGCCGTTGAAGCTACTGTGTGGAAGCCCCCGTGAACAGTCAATTCGAGGCATCGAAGTCATGAAGCAAAGCCATGGGGGTCGAGCTAACGAAAGACCACCCTTTTGTCTTAGCCTTTCCCCGTTACAAGATGCCTGCAAGATCCGCTTTCTTCCATGCCACCATTTTTCATCCAGCGGCTTTTATCCCAGAAATACTTTGCCGCAATCCTGTTTTCCATTTTCTTTTCTCCTCTATGTCCACCGCGTCCTATCGATCTAGCGATTGCTAACAAAGGGACTTTGCCTGCAGGCGTGCTCACGTGCTGGTCCGTGGCTACTAATTTTCGCCTCGGGATCGCCGACTCAGTGTGGCGCATGGGAAACTGTCGATCAGTCCACGCCTTGCCAGGTGCTCAAAACTTCTCGACACTGATTGACGTACCTAACACTCTTGTCTCGGGTGTGAACGACTTGTACAACATATGACTGAGTCCACTCGAGAAAACCCCAAATAATCATCTTGCAAAAACTCGACGCTGTTATTTTCGGAGTGTAGGTCAGCATCAATATTCCACTTCCAACTTCCCCGCATAAACTAAATCGACGACCGAGGAACCTCGATGCCAGGTCTGGGGTGCTAGGAGAACGGCATGAGGTCGAAGTCTTCTTTGCAATTGCTTGAATTTAGGAGGACCGGCAAGGAGGATTTTCGCCGACTTAGGATATGTCGCACAGAACACCGGGGCATGACACCCAACAGGGTGTTTCCAGAACAAGAGATGCTACCGTGGCACAGACCGCCAGATTGCAAACGGTTATGCAGGATGCCCCTCAACTGGAATCAACTGGCCCCAGCGCAAGCAGAGGGCCGACTTCACAGTTACCACATCTCTTAACTGACCGGTCGGGACATCCAAGTGGAAAGCCTCGTCCCAAACCGACAGCCATCCCTCGATCAACTGCCAAAACCCCCAGTGTACGGTCAACGACTCCTCTGAGAAATGTGTCGAGTTCAGCAGGAACTAAGTCGGCCGGAAACTCCAGTTCTATGCCGCAGGACGCACCATTGGCCATGGATTCTAGTCATGCACCGAGAACGAAGGATCCTTCCTTTACCACGAGAAGAATTGCTCGCTCATCAGATGCTTCGAGCGATGAGCGTTCGTCTTCAGATGCAGACCATGATGCCATCTTCAGCATAGTCATGCCCGAAGTCAGTACGGCAAGCCGGCCGACCGATCTGCCTCCTCGACTCATACCCGAATTACAAGCACTAGCCTCGTCCTCGCCAAAGCGATCCGAAGTCCTCAACAAGTCAATGAGCTCAATCAGCAGCCCATCGACCCGACTTTCTAATACACCAAGTCCCTGGAGTGCGTCCACCGCCACAACGACGCCAACATCATGGTCGTCAGCGTCGCCAGGCATTGTGCAACAAGTACCTATGAAACAATCCGGGAAACGGTCACAAACTGTGCCTATTCCAGCACCAAAGCGTGAAAAAGTCCCAAAAATGCCGGCCCTTCCGGAATCGTTCGTCCCTTTGGGGGAGAGCGATTCACCCGCCGGTTCTAATGGGTCAAGGAAGACTCCTAGTAAGAAGAGGACGCCATTGAACACACCTGCGCCGACGCCCCCTCCAAGGACTTCCTCAGCTAGGCAGACGCTGAGCAGGAGCAGCAGTAGAAGTGATGGACAGCGACCAAAACCTGACCTTCAACCTACCCCTTCTCCGGATCTAGAGCGCAGTCCACTCGCCAGGCGCGCGCGAACAGAACCTGAGAATGTTGGAGACTCGGTCCGACAAGGTTCCCTTGCGCGAGCTCACGACGAACTCCAGCAGTCACTGGGCGAAGCACCACCTAGGCCGAGTCGACAAGGCACAAGAACCCTCGGTGACACCAGACCAGTTGTCCTCAATACCCACCGCTCGGGCTTCGCCAGCCGACATCGCGAAATTCTGGATGCTCGCGACGATGGGCTACGCGAACCTGTTGATATTGGAAAAGAGGAGGAGATCTATCCCTCATCGGAGCACCGGCCGACAACTCCTAAAGAGACCGGTGCATCGGTTCCCAGTTCCCCAAGTCGCCTGGGCAAGTTTTCCCGGTTGGGGATCTTTGGTCGTAGAGGCAAATCACCAGCCGCCGATACCGAAAAGAGTCCACGAAACAAGTTGCAACGAAGAGGACCTGCAGCGGGTACAGGTCATGAAGGATATGGAAAGTATGGAAGAAGAGGTCGGAAAGCACAACAGGATAGCGGGTCGTCGAACAACAGTGAAAGTGAAAGATCTGTCAGTAGCACGAGGAGGACACCGCTGTTCTCTTCGAAAGGAAAGGAAAGTCGGAACAGTAGCCGCCACAATCGCAGCAGTCAGTCTGACCTTGACGAATTTGCTGCGACCAGACTGAAACCTGTCCCCATCATTGGCGGATCAGGGAGCAGCATGAAGAGCAACTCCGGGAGCCGCCTTGATGTCTCTGAGAGTCCTCTCCCACCTCCTGGACTGAATCTTGACCAGTGGAGAACGCCATCGCAATCACAGACATCCATTAGCCAACAGTCTGTACAAGACAGCCCCGGGTTCACCACCGCTGCGACTTCGGATCAGGAGAATGTTCCTACGTTAGCACTTCGACGGTCTCAACGTTTCGGAAACGTGGCAGAGAACTTCAATTTACCGACTCCAATTAGAACCGAGGAACGCTCCAGAACGCCATACATAAGCAGTCAAGAGGAAAGCCGGTCTTCTGCTTTGGCAGCATCAACGTCGACACCCAGCACCACTACTGAATTCAATCGCGTCGATCCTACGCTCCAAAAGTCAAGGGATAAGAAACGTCGAAAGCTTAGGTGGAATATTTTCCGGAGGAAAGGTCCAGAGCCTGAACTAGAGTCGGGTATGCGTCCACCGTCCTCATCGCCGGAGGAGATGGCCGTCAGTGTTTCGTCTGTCCCAATTTCTCGGCCTATGCCATACTATGCCATGATGGATTCTGAGAGCGAAATGAACACTAACGAGCAGGTTGGGGATTTCCTCTCACAAGTCGTCGAATCCCCTGCTGTAAGCCCCATGATGGAGGGCTCCGAGAGAGAGGTTCCGGAAGACGACCAAGTGCAACGAATATATGAAGATACTGTGTTCCTTCCGGCCGCTCCCGTATCGCCGCCACAACTATTCGCAAGACCGCCTCCTGCAGTACCTTTAAGAAGTCCAACAGAGCAAATCCCGGTGCAGCTGGATGAGCGTCCACAAAGACAACCACGTCTTGTTCGCGTTGGACGAATACCTCCCGTGGTATCGAGAAACGAACGACTGCATACACCCAGCCGCACATCCTTCTCTCAACCTTTCGTGAGACGGCCAGTCGCTGACAACTCTGATCAGACCCCAGAGGCTAATCCAGACCCGCCACTCCAGATTAGCACAGAGATCCTCCCAAACCGACCATACACAGCTCCGGACAGTGCTAAATCGGCCAGCGCCCCGGCCTTTGGAGAATCGGAGTTTCTACGATTTCCTTCGAGGCAAGCCTCAGAAGTCTCTGCGTCCAGTAGTTCTGAAGGCGTCTTGAGCATCCTCGGCCCCGCGTTGATTCCGGGCCAGCTCGGTAGTGGCCATTCGGGGAGTTTTGCTCGGCAGTCAGATGTCTATGTGCCCAACAGCCCTAGTGTCGACGAGGTCTGGAATGAGTACGATGATTTTATCGACCAGGTACTATCCCCTTCTCGAACAAGGAAAAGTGCGAAGGCCAGAGTCCAGCAGGAAGCTCCGGTTCCAGAACCACCTCGAGATCCCAGTACTTCAGCTGACTCGGCTCGATACGGCACAGCGACACAGACTGAGAGCCCCGATGTCTTTCTGTCTGACTTTCCTGTCCCTGCCATGAAACGGCCGGTACTGGGGCAAGCAGAGGTGACTTCAGCCGCACCCCCAGTCGTATTTCATCCTCCTACGATACCGGAACGATCGGTAGGAGAAGACATTCGACTGCGACGGTCTCGGATTGTTTCAGCCTTACACTCCTCAATTGACCCAGCATCGCCATTCTCGATTCGGGACTTACTTAGCGAATATGAAAGTCCCCATAGGTACAGCTCGAAATTATCTGAGCGCCTGAGTACCTCTACGGCCGGTCGCTCACTCGAGCGTCTGACAATGACCATGAACGCACCAGACATGCAAACCGAGCCGAATCACCAAGAGCAAGTGGCTCTTTTAGATGTGGTCGAACGAAGCAGAGACCCCGTGGGCCAGTCAGAACTTCACTACGCATCATTGATGGTCGCCAAGTGGCTCTCATTCGGACGGGTTCTCTTCTCTCCTGCTCACGATGAAATCCACACTATCCCGGAGCGTCATATTCTCGTGATTGATGGACTGGGAAATGAGGACTGGTCGATCTATTGTGCCGTCACATACGAAGCGCAGAGGGCTTTTGTGCATGATCTCAAGGAGAAAGCAACTCCCAAGGGCTCCAAAGATTCGAAACCGTCCCAACACGCTCCCGACAACCATCGTCGAGCAGAAGTGGTCAGTTTCTACGAGCGATTTCCATTTCCGCCTGCCTTTTTCTCTGCTGTTGTCGTTCGGTTTCCCCCGGCGATGGCTGAGGCAAAGTTGAAGAATATTATATCCGAATGCAGACGAGTATTGCTTCCTGGCGGATATCTGGAGCTCATGCTTCTGGATCTCGACATTGTCAATATGGGCGTTCAGACCCGAAGAGCAGTCCGCGAGCTCAAGTTTAGAATGACGGCGGCAGACAAGCAGATCAGTCTGAGACCAATAATTGATAATGTCCAGAATGTTCTCGGTGGACGTGGATTCTCCAATATCAGTCGCTGTGTGGTGGGAGTACCCGTAGCAGGGCGTCCCACTGGATCGACTGATTCGTCCTCATCTTCACGCTCGAGTGGGGGGTCGGATGGATTCCCGAGGCGTGGAACAGGAGATCCAAGACAAGCAAATGCCTCGCCACGAATGACCTTTTCTCAAGGCCGCGGAGGAGCCAATCTGTCACTGAATGACCTGATTGCTGATCATTCCGAGAACGCCGATGCGAAAATAGGCAAAATAGTCTCAAGAACAGCGAGAACGTGGTGGCAGCATTGCTTTGAAGCCGGGGTGATTCCCGATGGCAATCTTTCCAGAAGCATTTTTGCCGACAAGCACGTATTGGGGGAGTGTAAAAGCCGAGGATCCAGTTTCAAGATGCTAATTGCATATGCACAGCGCCCTGTCTTCGAGGCAAGACGGCGAACGATGAGTGAGCCCGTTGTGCCAACAGTGGCCACGGCTGGAGTTGCTCGACAGGCCCAACCATCTTCTGGTGGATCACGTACAGCATGATCCTAAGGGTATCGTGGTGTATCACGACATCCTTTCCAAGCACGCAAATGGCCCCGGTGGCCTTTATGAATGAAGAACGCGAGACGACTGCAACGACACGACGTTACAGCGAATGTTACTATGAAATAATTGTTTGGAAAGATATCCCCCTCTCATGAACCACGACGTCATTATTTAGAGCGATTTACCATCTGTCGAGAACTGGGACGGCATGTCACTATATCCCGAAAAGCTAACCATACATGGCGGGATGATGTAACACATTTTTGGCACAGAGTCTAGAATGGCGCGAGCCTGGTAGGAGAAACGACTCTCTCATGGAATGGCCGCTGGCGGCCAACCCTCGAGCCGCGATAATATAGACATAATATTCTAATTCTGGCCGCATGTTAAGTTGTCAACACTCTCGTTATCAGAAAGGGACATTACCGCTGAGATGAGGGAAATCGCTCTCTCTGTGTGGCAGGTGAAGCAGGCAACTGTTTCGATACTATTCATAGTAAATGACAGCCGCCGAGGCGTACGGAAAAAGAGTATTCTGTCGCTCCAGATCTTGAAGTTAACTTTGCAGCGGGGCAATCAAGAGTCGAGACAGGCGCCCTACTGCAGAAGGGAAGAGATGCGTGCCACACAATAGCAGTGGGACAACAACACGATCAGACAGCCACTATTTCGGAATATAGAGACTTCTTGCATGCCAGGCACCAATTCCTCGATCTTCCCCTGCTTAGCCGCTCGTGGCAAATGATGCGCGTTTTGTATCCTCGGGCGAAGATCACAGAAATACCTAGGTTATTAGTAGAGGAAAGGCTGTCTTTCTCTCGCTTGGTTTTTCCTTGTCATGTCTTCTCGCTCCACATCCATTCCACACCGAACTTCAGTCTCTTCGACCACTTCTTCGCAGTCCTCTCAGCCTCACCAAAGAATCCCGCAGCCTCAAAGACTCACTGCGCAGCAACTCGCCGAGCGTGTCATCTCGCCAGGCTCAGTGCTCTTCCAGTACAGCGCTGCTCCGCCCCCGGGAAGAGACAGACTGCTACACAGGGGATACACCGAGATGGATCGGAGGCATCCTAGTTCCTTCCAGCAACTGGAAAAGGTAATTCTGCACACTCACAATCCGTCACGATGGCTGACCGGCAATGAAGCTAGGTGAGGGAACATATGCGACGGTCTACAAGGGCCGCAATCGACAGACCGGCGAACTCGTCGCCCTCAAAGAAATCCATCTGGACTCCGAAGAAGGCACGCCGTCGACGGCCATCCGAGAAATCAGTTTGATGAAAGAGCTCAAGCACGAAAACATAGTCACCTTACACGATGTCATTCACACCGAGAACAAACTCATGCTGGTCTTCGAATACATGGACAAAGATCTGAAGAAGTACATGGACACACGTGGCGATCGGGGACAATTAGACCATATTACGATCAAGAGATTCATGCAGGACTTATTGAGGGGGACGGCTTTCTGTCACGAGAACCGAGTGCTTCATCGCGATTTGAAACCTCAGAACTTGCTGATCAACACCAAGGGACAACTGAAGTTGGCGGATTTCGGTCTGGCGAGAGCATTTGGCATTCCGGTGAATACTTTCTCCAACGAAGTGGTCACACTATGGTACAGAGCGCCGGACGTGCTGCTTGGATCCCGGACATACAACACCAGTATCGACATCTGGTCCGCAGGCTGTATCATGGCAGAGATGTATACCGGCCGTCCTTTGTTCCCCGGAACGACCAACGAAGACCAACTCCAAAAGATCTTCCGATTGATGGGCACTCCGTCGGAGCGCACGTGGCCTGGAATTTCCCAGCTGCCCGAGTATAAGAGCAACTTTCCATCCTACGCCACGCAGTCATTACATATTCTGCTGCCGCAAATAGATCCGGTAGGCCTCGACCTATTGGGCAAGCTGCTCCAGCTCAGACCCGAGAATCGAATCAGTGCACAAGAGGCGCTGCAACACCCATGGTTCGCAGATCTCCCGAACTACGCAGGACAAGGAAGGGCCCAAGTCAGTGCTGCTATGCAACAGCCAGCTCCACTCGGGCATCAAGGAGGAGTTCCTGGAGGTTATGGCACTCAACCAGGCATGGTAGGACCGGGCGCTTACTGAACGATATTCTCTTGAAAGGTGATCGCGTTGGATGTGATATGGAATGCGGACGGTGTGGAAAATAAGGAGATCAGTTTCCACGATACGATATGAGATCTCATTCCAAAATTACTCAAACCTAGAATGGAAGAAGAAGTGCTGGCTGAACAAACAGAGCAAGCTACCTTGTGATACCCTTCATATTCTCGAGGCGAAGACACGGACGGAATGCACATGCAGTCTTGATGAGACAGGATCAAAGACAGGATCCATGGTATTATGCTGAGCAACCAGTAGATTGTAATATGTATACATAAACTTGCTGTATTCGAGGCTGAGTCTCAGAGCTGTCGGTGATGGAAGGCGGGAAAAAAATGGATACCACATTAAAGCGGCGGGACCGGAACAGCTGTCGGAGGTCGGTTTTTGGATTTGGAACTCCGCCGATGCACTACCGCTCCTTTCGGTGTCCCAACATACGACCCAAGCTGAAGGACATCCATCCATTGTTCCTTCGGAGTTCAGTCCAAGCTCTTCTTTCTTTCCTCCATCATCTTCTTCAAGATGTTGTCGAGAGCCCGCATCAGGAGCTTCGGCCTGCAGTCATTGCCCAAAAGACAAGCTTACCGGCTTGCTCGCAGAACTGTCACCACCGATGCAGCAAGTTCTCACGCGGAGAGAGATGATGTTCCTGATGTGAGAACCACTCGGGGATTCTAATTGAGGCGGAACAGAAACTGACAATCAAATGCAGGAGGATGACAAACCTTTCCAAGTCAAGCTCTCCGACGAGAGCTTCGAAACTTACAACCTCGAACCTCCTCCGTACACTCTCGACACAACTAAGAAGGAGTTGAAACAGATGTACTATGATATGGTGTCAGTCCGGTGAGTGTTGAAGGCCATGACTTGCGGATGTGTCTGTAATTGACACTGGACTAGTCGTATGGAAATGGCGGCCGACAGACTCTACAAGGAGAAGAAAATTCGAGGTTTCTGTCATTTGTCAACTGGCCAAGAAGCTGTTGCCGTGGGTATTGAACATGCTATTACCAGGCACGACGCGATCATTACTGCCTACCGATGCCATGGTTTTGCGCTCATGCGTGGTGGCACTGTCAAGTCCATCATTGGCGAGCTGCTCGGTCGCCGTGAGGGTATTGCGTATGGAAAAGGTGGATCAATGCATATGTTCGCTCCAAACTTCTATGGCGGGAACGGCATCGTCGGAGCCCAGGTTCCCGTTGGCGCTGGAATTGCCTTTGCACATCAATACACTGGCAGCAAGACGGCGACGCTGACTCTCTACGGCGACGGCGCTTCCAACCAAGGCCAGGTCTTCGAGGCGTTCAACATGGCTAAACTGTGGAATCTTCCGGTTATCTTTGGCTGCGAAAACAACAAATACGGCATGGGAACATCCGCTGCTCGATCATCCGCCTTGACCGAGTACTACAAGCGAGGACAATACATACCAGGTCTGAAGATCAATGCTATGGACGTCCTTGCCGTCAAGGCTGCGGTGCAGTACGGCAAAGAATACACGGCAAACGACAATGGTCCATTGGTGTTTGAATATGTTACCTACCGATATGGTGGCCACTCCATGTCTGATCCTGGCACAACCTACAGAACAAGAGAAGAAATCCAACGAATGCGATCCACGAATGATCCCATCGCCGGTCTTAAGCAGAAAATCCTGGACTGGGGCGTTTGCACAGAGGATCAGCTCAAGCAGATTGACAAGAAGGCTAGAGACGATGTTGACGGAGAAGTCGCAGAAGCCGAGAAGACGGCACCTCCTGAGCCGATTCCGAAGATTCTCTTTGAGGATATCTACGAACGAGGCAGTGAACCGGCGTATATACGTGGCCGCACTCCCGATGAGACTTATTATTATTGATTTTTGACTTTGGGTCGTTCAGGGCTAGGGCAAAAGAGCGGCTTTTGATGCTTTGTATATTTGATGCGTGGTGCTTTTGCTTTATTCTCGTGTCTTGATAGGTGGTGAGGAGACGTAGTACCTAGATTCGCCCTTAAGGCTTCTGTTGGCACATGGCAAGGTAAAATGCTGCAGTAGGAAGCGCTTGGCATGGAAAAACGTGGCGCCAAGCGGTGCCAATGGCGCAGCTAACACCAGTTACCGGCAGCGGCGCTGGTGGAGAACCATCAACCGATGGATGATGCAAACTTGAATTGCAACCGCTAAGTTGGCCTCAGCAGACTCAAAAGCAGAGCCGGCCGGCTGGTTCTTGACCAAACGGCTTTTTGAATTCTACAACACATCCACCGAACCCGCCAACTCTCTGCGACGGGGTTCGTCCTCATGTCAAAATCATGGCGACGGCCGTCAACGAGTCTTCTCCGCTGCTACCACAGCACACATCTTCTGGTGCTTCTCCCTCACGGCCGACTCAGCGGACTGTGACCTTTAACCCTTTGACATCCGTCAGCTCCCAGTCTGGAGCGACATCGTCAGGACCCTTGAGGCATATGCAGAGTTCCTCTCCTGCGTTGACAAACTCGGCACAACCATCCCCCGAACAACAACCTATGCTCAGTGCTTTCAACTCGAAATTGCGACGGAGAAACAGCCATGGAGCCCCACTGCCCACCACCCAGCCATCCACTACGGCACCGAGAGCTGGCGCTCAGCGAACAACCAAGACCACCGAGAAATTGAAGATCTTGCCAAATCCAGACATCGGGGAGGAAGAGCCGGACGAGGAAAGCGGCAGAGATGTATATGCGCAGTTTACAAGAATCAAAGACCCAACAGCGAGAAGAGATGCCGTCAGACTGGGAAAGGCCGACCGAGACCGACTACCTCGAGTTACGGCATACTGTATGGCACAGGGTTATCGTGTTGAAGGTATCATGAAGTTCATGAAATCAAGATCAAGGACAAGAGGGGCCAATCCAAAGCTGTTTGACGAGTGCCTCTATAGTCCATATGACTACGACCACCTGAAAAAACACGACAAGAACAAAGGTGATGGAAGGAGTAACAGTCCGGTGCAAGAAAGAATAGCAAGGGTCATGGCAAGTCCAAGGATAGGACCGGGAGAACGGAGGTACTCAGACAGCGCAGTGGAGGTGGAGGACAACAAAAAACATCGAAGGGATGACCTCATTGACTTGCAAGAGGAATTGGGACCACCGAGTACGGCGGCAGAAGGCCCGCAGCTCACTATGACAGCAACCCAATCCTCCCACGACCCGCGACACGCCGAGGGCGATGATATGCACGAAAGGACAAATTCCGAACTTTCGACCGTGGTACATACATCTGAAATCTTCATCTTCGATTACGGCACTGTCGTGATCTGGGGGATGACTGTACAACAAGAACAAAGATTTTTAAACGACATGTCGAAATTCAGCGACGCCCCATTACCCGCGGATAGCGTTCAAACAGAGAATTTCAACTTTTACTACACGAAAGAATACCAGGCACGAATTTACAACGACTTCATCAGCTTGCGGGAACCGCGGAACCACATGATCAAATTGGCCATCAGCCATGCTCTGGCGCAGAGCGTCAAGACGAGTTTATTTGAGGATCTGGTCAGCGAGACGATCGAAAGAACGAGTCCTCTTCCTGCGTTGATCGCACAGACCGGGAGCGTCAATCTGACGAGACGACAACTGAATATGCAGATCGGAGAATTATTCATTCTGAGAATCAACATCCATCTACAGGGGAGTGTGCTGGACAGTCCAGAATTGATGTGGGCAGAACCACACCTGGAACCTGTGTACGCTGCTGTGAGGAGCTATCTCGAGATTGAACAGCGCGTCGGCCTTTTGACGGAAAGATTGGATGTGATTGCTGGTGAGTGGCCTGTGTCAATGAACGGAAAGAGTGTTGCTGATGAACCTCAGACTTGCTTGCGATATTGAGAGAGCAAGGGAGCAGACGACATGGCGAGGTGTTGGAATGGATCGGTATGGATGTTGCTGCTTCTGCTGGAGTTAACGGTCGCCGCTGACATGTAGTAGTCATTGTCCTCATCGCTGCGGAAATCTTGGTGGCGTAAGTCTTCTTTCCCGCTCGTCAAATCATCCTGGCGGCTGACAAATTTTCCACACAGCGCCATCAATATTGTCGTCGATCTCTACGCTGGAGTCGTCTGAATGTTATCCTCACCTTGAAAATACCTCCCGTCGCCGCACCTCCCACGACTGTCTGCCGCATTCGCCACAACAGCCCAGAAACCCCGGCTTCGACAAGTTCCCATTTCATGTTACCAAATCGAATTTGAAATCCCATCCGACCCACAGGAGATTGTTCTTTATCACATAACAAAAAGCCCGCCGCCGGCTCATCTCAACCTGTCCCCCCAGAATCAACTATCCACTACCTGCAAATATGAAAGAAATACTTTAGCGAGGCGTTGGAGGTGTTCCACAAATTCTCTTGCGTTGCATTGTGTCGAATCGATGACCACCACGACGTGTTACTCTTCTTCTTTCTTTGTGTTAGTGCACATTTTCAACTTGGGACTTGAAATTGGATGTGAATCCGGGCAACGAATATACTGCATCCTCTTCTGTACAAACAGGACAGGCAAAGAAAATACCACAATGTCATACCGACGTGAGGGCAAAAGTGTTCCCTTCTCTTCTCTCTACCATATTGTCTCTTCATCCTGAGACCTTGCCGACTTCTACCCCCAACGCACTTTTCCATTCGTTTCATTGGTGCTTACCAAACCTTGAAATATCTACTGGAACGCACGAAGTTCCATTTCTTTGGGTATGTTTCTTCATTTAGTCTATCTGAGGAGGATTTGAATGTCGCCTATCCCTCTCCGCAATCACTCATCATGTATACAAGGCTGGCGTGGATTTCTTGGCGGATTATTTTCCTTCTTTTCGCATCTCAAAGTCCTTCTCTCCAATCCTCCCCAAGGAGTAATAATATTATCATATGTAGAATTCAGACATCTCCTTCATCTAACAGATCCATGCCCCACTCAACATGCGCTATCCAAAGTATTCTTCAATCCTCCGCTTCTTCATTCATGTAGCCTCTCATGCACGTCGCACCACAAAGCTGCTTCTATAACATGTGAAAGGGTTTTGAGAGTCTTTGACGGCCTGAGGCCGGGGCTTTAACATTGGTCCCAGCAAATCCATTGACGATGCCCACACCAGAGCCCCAACCCTGTGCTTGATGCACCCTCCCAGTGGCCCCTGGTAGAATTCACGGCGTAGATTACCAAACATCTTCAGAATGGTCTGCTCTGCATTTTCCGGCGGAAATGAGCATCTCTGCCCTTCTGAACAAGGCCGAGTGCTGAGGGACATGGTTGCCATGCAATATCCGTGCCAAGCCCAGCCTCGTCACCTAATCGATTCTTCGTGACCCCCAGTTTGGATCAACCTTCCACCCTAGGTCAACCATGCAGATCATTCTGGATCAAACTCGTTTCTATCACACCCGAATTGATCTTCCAGGCGGCAAAGGTAGTGGTTTTCGTTCCAGTTCCGGCCAGCGCCATTTTTGTCTTCAAGAACTCCGCGCCCTTTCACCCAACCTTCCTTTCTTTCTTCCCCAAGTTGAACAAAATCAGTTCTGTTGCGCTAAGGATCTTCGGAGGTTCTCTCTCTCAGTGTCGATACATGCTACACAGGCCCTGTCCAAGGTATGCTGGCCTTACACTTCCCCCGACTGCTGAGACTTGTCTCCAGGGATTCGCTTTCAGCCTAATAACGCGGCACTTTGTTTGAGCTTCAGGAACACGATTCTAGAGTTCTCCCGACCCAGACAAGGGAATGACAGAGTCTCAATCACGTCACAAATCTCGCATTCCCCGCCTTAGCCCAAGAGATTTTTTATCACATGAATACAGGACCAGTGTGACTTACGAGTATTGTTCTTGCCGTGACCGGGGTCTATAAATGTCGGCTCCTTTTTGGTGAGTCCCGATAATTGCGGCTGTTTTCTTCGGAACTCAGTAGGCCAGAGACAATGCTTCCAATGGGCTTTTGGGGGGTTGGGGTTTGAAATGCCTGGAGGATGGCAAACCAGGAATATTCTTTCCCAGAGTAATTCCTTGCCTAGCGGCGCCTCTTATCAGAAGGTATGCGAAGAGACGCATTGTTGAGGGTAGACCCATGTCCAAAAGACTTCTCACTGACAAGGTTGTTTGACTTTGCTAAACATCCTGCCTCTCCGAGATGCCTTTAATATTTCCTTTCTTTGGAAACCCTCGCCCCCCTTCCCCTTTCTCTGTTTCTAACGTCCCGCTGCTACTCGGTCGCCGTGGACGGAATTTGCATCCTACATCCACATCTACTAGATTGGGTTCCGTTAGCAAGTATGTTCGACAGCTCTACGAAAGGGAAAACAAATGGCCTCTGGGGAATACAAGTCAGACCAATTGTGGTGATAGAGTTCGTCCAAAGGTATGAAGAGAACTCCCCTTACCGAGCACTCGACGCATCGGGAGTAGCATTGGTAAACTTGGACGTGCTTATCATCAATTTCTTCTGCATATTTTTCATTTCTTTCCAGACACCTGTCCATGTTGCTGCTGCTGCTGCTGCATCTGAGCCATCTTCGCTCTCGCACTCCGGCTTCCTCCAAGCTTAGGCCCTTTGGACTCTGTACCGGCACCGGGTCCTTTGGGCTGGCTTGAAGTTTTGTTTCTGTGATGTCGTTCGGCCATCGCATCGAAAAACTCTTGTCGAAACTGTTTAGCAAGGCGCTCGTCCGCGTCACTGTCATCTACTTCTTGGCCGCGGTTTTCAGGATTTCGTCGTTGTTCAAGGTCGTCAGCATCGTAAATATCCAGTCTATTTTCGTGCAGAACCTGCTCCACAAGTGCATCACGCGCAATGTCCTCGCTATTCCTCCGTTTCCGGGGCGGCGGCTTCATTGGTTTGCCATCACGACCGATGCGTGGTTTGCGAGGTCTTTGTGGTTTGGGTTCCTCTTCTACAGGAGCCTGGCCAGCTTTGGCACGCTCGAGTGCAGCCTGTGTCCGTGCAATGTTGCTGTCATGTGCAGAAGAACCCAGGTCAACTTCAGACAACTGACGAGCAGAGGATGGATGGTTGCTAGGAGGCATTTTGACGGGCCAGATATTGCCTTCAGCTGGAGTTGACAAGGTTTTGCGTGATTCTTCGTCTCCACCTCTCTGTGGGTTGTCTGACGAAGAGATAAGTTCGTTTCGTCGTTTGGCCATTTCAGCATCTATGAATGCAATCCTTATCTTGTTAGCAAACTACTTCTTCAAGGGTCAAAGATCTTCATTGAGAAAACGAACATGTGTCTGTCAACATTGACCACCTGACCAGTGCTGCCGATGAAGCGATTGGTGATGTCTATCGGCTTGTCCACCGATTCATCGGCTTTGGCCACCGGTGAATTTGAATTGTCCTCATTGGTTTTCCGTGTTGAATCAGAATTGGAGAATTGTACACCTGCGGCAGGTTTGCGATGTTGTTTTCGGGCCCGAATCAGGTTTGCAATATCGACTTCGGCCCCATTCTCGACTTGAGTCTCATCACCATCGGCATGAGTTGCTTCCCCTTCCGCCGGGGCAGGCAGAGCGACCGACGTTGATTCTGGAGATTGCACATGTTGAGCGCGCGCAAACTTCCTGCGCTTTGAGGATCGAAAGACAGCGGCTTCCTCCATATCGCCTCAAGGATCTGAAAAGGGCCCAAAGAAAACTTGATAAAGTGCAGGGCCTCGTTTGGTGGCAAAGCCGTGGTTCCAACGTGAGGTACAGAAGAAGGTGGGAAAGATTGTTCAAGACTGTACCATCCCCATGTATATCACTGGGTTACACGCAATTTTGATGATTCGTTTCCTGAGCTTCATACTTTCGTTCCGAATGATGCATACCTCAGACAGAGAGGATGTTGATCACGGTCTATCAAACCGAGGTCACGTGCAGCTGCGGACAAAATTTCCCTTGGCGCAACTTCTAGTCTAGACTCAATGCTCGCGCGATCCAACGACATTTTTTGTCGAAGTCCCATTTTTCCTTCGTCTTGAGCGCTTCATCGCCATCCAATTCCTTCTGCTCTTGAATTTACCTCTTCCGACCATGTCTCCCCAGGTACCAACAGCGACATACCGCTGTTGCCAATTCGCAGCTCGGACACAGAAACGAAATCTTTCCTCACGATGCCTCCGAATCTCTTCCACAAGCTCCTCCAATCAACATCGACGAAGAAATAGCTCGAGTCCCTCAGGACACTCAAGAAGATGGCAGTCAACGGATGCAGCAGCCACACCTTCGAACCCCAAGATTGCTGGTATCGTAGACCAAATATCACAACTAACATTGCTGGAGACGGCGGATTTAGTAACCAGTTTGAAGGTAGGCCGGATATCATTGCTCCCTTTATTAATTCCCCGTCCTTTCTTCGACACATTTCAATGACCGCTTTCAAAGCCTGGTTTCCGAAAGATGATGCCGAGCCCAGGCTAACAGTCTGATGCAGTCCCGTCTAAACATCCCCGACATGGCCTTTGCCGCACCAGCAGCTGCCCCTAGTGCCGCTGCCGCCACTGCGACTCCCTCTGCTGCGGAGGAGGAAGAAGCGGCCCCCCCGGCGGCCGAGAAGACTATGTTTACGCTCAAGCTCCAGTCGTTTGATGCCGCCGCGAAACCTAAGATCATCAAAGAAGTCAAGAGCATGCTTGGTCTAAGTCTGGTGGACAGCAAGAAATTCGTGGAGAGTGCGCCGAAGGTCCTTAAGGAGGGTATGCCTAAAGACGAATGTGAGAAGATTGTTGAGGCTATGAAGTCGCTGGGAGCGGTCGTCACCATGGAGTAAAAATCTGGCCGCAGAGAGCAAGGTGGGGGTTCAATCTCCATGACGGATCTTCAGTCGAAACCCTGATCGAGACCGCGAATTGGGACGATGGCGGAGTACAAATGAAAGAATCAAAAATGTATGTGTGTCCAGCATTTGTGGAGCCGGTCAAGCATATTTCCGAGAGGTTTGCCATTCTATCAAGTGAAATCATTTTTGATCGGAAAGACGGTGTAACTATATTACAACAGTTCCTGAGGGAATGGCTTCGGTATGTACAATTCAACCAATATACCTCCTCCCTAAGAACAACCGTACCTGGTGTTCTCACCTGTAGGATCGGTTGGTGATAGACCCATCCCTTTATGATCTTCTATACCGCTTCTCCAATGATGGGGAGGCAATGGTGCATAGTTTCAAGATGTAAAATTTCCCAAGGCACGGAATTCATCTGTCAACGCCCAACGCCCACACCCACACAAAAGTAGATTTGCACACCGGCATTTCATGAGCGTCATCATGCCGTAAAACAGAAGTCCGATGTTTTTTCTCTTTCCATATGACATCCCGAATTGTCATCCAATCAACCAAAAATGGAATCTCGCGTTTCTATTGCCTCTCGAACCTGGTGCCATTAACACCACTTACGCCCTTGCCCAACTGAGCAGCAACAACAGTGGCCTCTCTCACACTCCTTGCAACCGTGCCTCTAACTCGGCCTTCTTCCAGAACTAGCAATCCACCAATCGTGCACCCGCCAGGTGTGCTGACTTTCTCCCTTACGAGAGCAGGGTGTTCGCCGCTCAATACCATTCCGGCCGTGCCACGCATCGTCTGCGCAGCCATTAATTGTGCCTCTGCGCGCGGTAGACCCATGGCGACGGCGCCGTCGGCGAGGGATTCTAGCATCAACGCGAGGAAAGCTGGACCCGAGCCACAGAGGGCGGTGGAAACGTCCATCATTGAGGGCGGCAGGTGGACGACACGACCGATCCGAGTAAATATCCATTCTACGATCGATGAGAGGTCGGGGGGCAGAGGGGGGGTCGTGGTTCCAATGACGGTCATAGACTCTCGAACGATGGCCGCCGTGTTGGGCATGACTCGAACGATCTTGCATGCGTTTGACGGGAGGTCCTCGGGATATTCTGCGCCGTGTAGAGTTCGACCTATCTGTTCAACCGGGACACCTGCACAGATTGAAATGAGAAGTTTGCCGGCGAGTGCTTCCTTCATTCCCTCTTCGCGTAGTATATCTCCGACCATGTACGGTTTACAACCCAAGATGACCACGTCGGCGGCCTCGACACCCTTTACGTTCTCATTCTGTAGAATCGTAACATTCGGCCGGTAACCTTGGACTGAGAGTTTGATGCGCTTTGCCGACTCGGGCCGGCGGACACAAGCAATGAAGTTGGTAGGCGTTCGTGGTGGAGGGACATCGGTGGTGGGCGTTGTGGTTCCAGAGTCAGGGTAGGCTGGCGAAGGAAGCGTTGAAGCTTCAGTCAAGGACGAAAGGATGCCGGAGAGGATCGCGATTCCTAAGGTCCCTGGTTTGTGTTCAGTAGTGACTTTACAGGATAGTGGTCAGTATACTCACCACATCCAAGCACGGTCAAAGTCATTCCGCTATTGGTCACCAGGCTATTGACGCCGTTGGGCACCCTTAAGGTGTTCGCCATGTTCAAGACTTGGATCAGGAGCCACCTGTTGAAAAATGAGACGTGAAACTGTTGTGGAAGTCCTCTTGGTCCGGCAATTTGTAGCTGTCCGCTGAGGAATGACCAAACGTGCGGGGGTGAAGAATATTTTTGGGACGAACAAGGCTCCGGCCACATTCTGTTCCGCAGGGCACACAACAATCGCTGAAGATCTTACTCATGGGCATCGTTCGGAAACATTATTGAAGCCTCCCCTTTGTTGTTTCCCTACACCAAAACCCTGTTGCCGTGAGACAGACTCACCCGTCTCTCTGCAGTTCTACGCTTGAGCAAACTTTCGCAGCTCGCATGTGAGCAGCTTTTCGTCTTCAACACGGATGATGTGAATGCAATCTTTTCCTTCCACGAGCGTCCCGACCTCGCCATCATGGCCGACCCTTTCGAAGTTCGCATGCGATTCACCAATCTCCTCACCCACCTCTCGGCCTCGGCAACTGCATCTATCAAAACTGCGCACTATGCGCTCAAACACCGCGATATGGACGAGGACCTACACTCATGTATCCTCGAGAATTTAGAAAGAGGGAACAATATGAACAATCGCGCGAATATCATGTACTTTCTCGAGCATCATGCCGACATCAATATGAAGGAGGGTGGCCATGAGGCCTACGTTGAAATGGTTCGGCGCGACATTCAGCGTATCGTCGACGCCGTGGCGCAGAGCGGTGCGAACGTCAAGGTCGTGAGGAGAGTGGTCACGGGGCTGGGACAGAAAGGAGTGCTGACCGCAGAAGCCTTGAGCGTAATAGAGACTGGTCTGAAGGACCAAGAAGAGAAATTAGGGAGACTACTTGGTGACGAAGATGGCAAGCCTGAGGGTGATAAGGATACTGTGGACGGGGCGGCAGACGCTACGGCAGACACTCACAAAGCGACTCCGAGGACAGGAGCGCCGCATTCTGGAAAACCGAACGGCGTGTCCAAAATGGATAGGAGAGCGATCGAGCAGAGAATCGAGGAGGATCGAGAACGAAACAAACGACTACGAGAGAGTGTGTGGGCTGTCACTGGTGATGATGACCAGGAGTTGGACAAGATGTGGGAAGAAGGGAATTACGTTGGTGAAGATGAACTTATCATTGCTGATGAAGACGCCGATGAGCGTCTTCAGTTCGTGCGGTATCATCGAACGACGTTAGGAAGCTGAGGAGGAAAGCAAGACGAGATGATCCTGATGGTCTGAAGGCTTGTTTCCACCCATGAATGACAATTTCGACGTGGTCGATGGCCGCTTGACTGATCTAGCGGGCGATACGAGCAATGGAGATTATGCCATCCTTTCTTGCTCAAATGGCTTGCGGAGCACATGTTCCTGAGAGGAGCACACCAGGCTTTCCGCCTCGAAACGCCATATGAGGGCCCAAAAGGCACCACTCAACGAGCGCGATTCGTTGAGAAATCCGTCAAACTTTTGGCTTCTTTGATGCAGTACTGGCACCATCCGATTCCTCCTCGTCCGACTCAATAACCTTCCTCTTGCGAGCTGCAAGGGATGCTTCTCCATTTCCACGTCGGTTGGCTTCCTTTTCTCTCCTCAGTGCATAGGCGAGAAGGAGACCTTCGTACTCGTCTTCTTGTGCACGGGCACTGTCTTCAATTTGCGGGATGCGGTCTTCGAGTGGGATTTGCTGAAGTAAGTCTTTGTTCTTCTTGATGATACGCTGCTTCAACAAGAGACGCCACCAGTAATAATTCCGATCGTCGGCGTTTGGAGCTCTGGCCCCCCGAATCTTGAGACTGGTCAGGGACGCGCCACCGGCAGCGCGATGTGCAAGAGGTATCTGAGCAAGAAGATACATCTCAACCATACGCGCAAATTGCCGACTGGCGATCTTGTTGGTGGATCGGATGGCCTCCAACTTTTCAAGAGGGAGTAGAGTGGCAGTCGGCACCGATTTCAGGCGACCCCGTTCCACAGACACAAAGGGCGAGGAGTTAATCTTGACATCAGCTGCTTTCAATTGTGGTTCAAGCACATCAAAGTCATTCATGTCTCGTAATTTGTCGAATTCCTCGCTGGGATCTTCCACTGTCATTTCCAAAATCGTCGGATCAGCCATGACCTCATCGTATATGGCTTGATACAGAGCCGAGCCGTGACCGGACCGATGGAAAGGAGGTGTAATCACAAACTGTGATATTCTGAGTCGGGATGACAATTTGGTAGGAGTAATTGACTCCGAGGGCGGAAACGAAAAGGCTGGGATGTGGTCTCGCTGCGATCTTGGTTTCTGAAATTTGTAGAAGCGGTACGTTGTCGCATAGCCGACGAATGAGTATCGAGATGCAGTGGGAGTAGGCGCGAGAGGGTCTTTCTGGTACAATAAATACACCCTCCATCTATCCAACGTCCAGTCGACATCCTCCAAGTTAATGAACTGGCCACCTTCGATGAAGAAGACAATGAGGATCTGAATGTTGTCGACCAGAGTGCGCATTGGCATATCAAGCAGGGAACCAGCCCACACCTCATAGTTCTGTCCATCTTTTGTATACTTCTTCATGCAAACTCCAGGAGGAGTCCAGTTTGCTGCAGTCGCATCAACCTGCACTTCCGACTCGAAACCTGATTGAAATGCAATCGGAGGCAAGAAATTGCCGAAGGTTTTGTTGAGATCGAGAGCGCTTGTGGTGCCAACAGTGCTGAATTTTTTATCATACGAGACTTTGACATGAGGGCGCAAATCATGCGCCGCGAACTGGATCTCGATGTCTAGACCTTTGTAGCCGAAGATCTGTTCTGCTTCACCGACGATAGGATATGTAAATTGGGGATGGAAGTCATGTCTGGTCGTGAGTTTGTTGTTTGGGCCAGGCTGAACGATTGCGACATGGACCGCTTCATTCGCATTCACGGAGACTGTGGCGAGTCAGTACAGAATGTTCTGACACTGAGGCTTGACCAACTAACATTCTTCAGATGGAACCGCCATGTTGGTCGTGTTGGCAACTCTGCTCAAGGTGGTATCACTCCTCGCTCATGGTGAGGAAAGATGATTTTGAACCCAAGCAAAATACTCGACAAAACCGGGGGTATCGATGGTAATTTGGAGGTAACACAGTTGGCGGCAAAGTGAGAAGGAGGTTCGCTCGTTTCTGCAATTATCGGGCATCGCAAAGCACAGCTACGCGTGCGGTGTTCGAAACGCGACTCTCCCTGGCCAAGGTTTTGCCAAAAAAAAAAAAAAAAAAGACAAAAAAGCGGCAAAGTGGCTTGCCGCCCAAAATGGAGGGGTTCGATCTAGATAGAATAAAAATGTACCCAGTGCCACCACATGCTTCACTCGGCGAGTTCTCACCCTGAAATTTGGCAGGCTTCGGACTTTGGCTGACAATTCTAGTTAGGGAACTCGTATTCATCAATTTCTCTCTTCGCTTGACTATTCTATGAAGTCCTCGGCGTCCATTTACTCGGCAAGTTCAAAGTCGAAATAGCAGCCTCGTACTCCCTCGGCCACTCGCCCCTTGCATTATGCAGGTTGCAGAACTATGGTTGGCTTTTGGTTGATCGACTGCCTGCTCCTCTTTATTGAAACAGCGGTCACTTGCAGCGGCTCCTGCTGGCTTTGGTCTTGCATCAACCAATATCAATGGTCATTTTTGGACGATTGCTGAAATTTGGCGACCACCAGTAAAGCGGTAATGGTATTGGACATAAAGTAGCGGAAAGAATGATCTATGCCGCGTCGATTTCGGGTCAACATGATTTGGCGCGCTCCATTGGCTTTCGATTATGTGAGCTTGCTGTTATTTGAGCGATCCAACCGCAATCCAAACTATAATCTAAGCTACGGGACCTAGTACATGGTTACCAGGTTCGTGCGAAGCCGAAGTCATCCATTCAGCGACGCACTCTCGAGAGGATCCGTTGCCGAAGTCCTTTTTATGTGATCGGTGATCCAGAATATCCGTTACGATAACACAGTGAAACCTGAAGGCTTGCTGCATAGGAGTTTCACGTTTCTCGTAACATCAAACAACTTCCTGACAGACTCCCGAAACGGACCAACAGTCTGTACAGGAGTTTTCGATACGGCTGTGACCATACTGCTTCTTTCGTTTAGTTACACTTTTTGGACTTCTGTCTGGCTGGGGTCGGGAGCTTAATGAGAGACTCAAGCCGGGGGGGGCCGGGGATGGGGGGCGCCATTTGCTGGCCTGCAGTCGGAGCGTTCACCCCGGTTGCAGCCATGGGGCCAGCAAAGTGGCTTCGGAGGCTAGTGATCCTTCGTTTCTGCCAATTGCAGCAACGGTTCCTGTCATTGCGAGTTCTAGGCGAGTCGTTGACCCTCGAATCGATGGCTCGTTCCAAGGGTCACGGACCATGGATCCCGTGTTTCCGTTCCACCCTCCAGCTTTTGGGCGTGATCCCACTTCTCGGATCATATCATGACCTGTCCCACCCAACCCCGTCTTGATCGACTTTCTTTCCCGACTTTCACATCTCCCTTAATGGAACGACAAGCGGCAACGCAACATTGACCATGAAAGCTGGACGAGCGCGAACTACAACTTCGCCATTTCGAATGCACAGCACCCGTCCGAAAAAAGTCCTCGACAGCACGTTTCCCCTGGCTGTGACCATTCCAAGATGATGGTCTCGTCCCAAGTTGCGCGAGTCGGAGGTTGGGTCTGTGCGGGCCTCTCGCTGGTCATACTCATTGTTCGAGTCGTCGCAGCAAGAATACAGCATGGATCCTTCGATATCAGCACTGTTGTGTGCGTCACTGCCATCCTGGTGATCTCGGCTCGAATCGGTATCAACCAATATGTTCTCGCGTACGGCACCTCGAATGATGCTTTGTATGGGAAGGGACAATACTTCGACTCGCACGACCTCGACACCATCAAAATTGGCAGCATTCTAGCCTTGGTCGTAAGGTTGATGATCACGACCGTCTACTGGTTGCAGACCTGTCTTCTCCTTCTATTCTACTCTCGGATTCTCGAATTCCGTGCTCGGTGGACATCCGTTCTAATTCGAATTTGCTGGATAGTCATACCCTCGACCTATGCTGGAGTAGTTCTAGCAACCTTTCTGGAATGCCATCCATTCCATTTATATTGGCAGGTTGACCCGAATCCTGGATCGTGCATTCGAGCGTACATTCAATTGCTTACCCAGGGCGTCGCGAACATCGTCATCGACCTAATTTTGTTGGCGATTGCTTGGCCCCTGGTCGCAGTTCGTCGTCGGAGTTTGAATGAAAAATTAAGGGTTGGCGCTTTGTTTTGTTTGGGTTTCTTCTGCATCATCGTTACATGTCTCCGGATCGGATATATATATGCCGAGGAATCCTACCAACCTGTTCGAAGTTTTTGGGCTTCTATCCAGATGTTGGTTTCCTGCTTTGTTGCCAATGCACCGACGATCTATGGCTGCGTCAAGTTGATCAAAAGGCGGAAATTAGAACAAACGGCACGACGGGAATCGCGTCCGGAAATCTGGGTCCATCTGCAGGTGGCCAACGAAAGCACTACCTCTTCAGCTGTCCCGGTGCTTTCTCGGCAGACAACCGATTCACCAGCCTGCTCTGAGAAAGGGTGGTCACGTTGGGTCCCATGACAACTGCAGAAACGAAGACAAACTAAAATTACCAACGGTGTCACCATCACTGAACTCGAGCAGAACTAAGCCTACATCAAGGGGCCAAACAAACGACTAAGAGACCCTGGCGCGCCTCCTTCCGCCGGCCGACCTTCGCTACGGTCCAATATCATGGAATCCTTTCACATGATTCGAAGCCACACGAGGTTTCTGGTAAATGCTGGCATATCATTTTTTGGTTGAGAGGAAGGGGGGAGGGGCGGCCGCGCACACAAGGTGATGGCAGAAGCCTTGAAAATCATTTCGGAAGACCGCTTGGACCTTAGCCAGAGTGTGCATCTCTCAATGCCGAGCCAGGCTACGTCTCCACTGAGCCAGGTCTACCGAACAGAATGAGAGATCACCCTGCGTCCATTAAAAAATATTCAACTGGCTTTCTGGCTCTCCGGGTCTTTGAAACTGTTCAAGAATGGTGACCTGCTAGCTGACCTTGACCAAAAATGACAATTGCTCGCGGTACATAGATTGATATCTGTGCTATCACTTGGGTACCAATGCCGTGACCCTTTTTGTAAATACGTGCTCGAAAGTCTTTTCAACAATCCAAGATGATGATACATTAATGATTCGAGTGTAGAGGGATCGACCAAGGGGCTTCGCCATGATCATCATCGGAGAAATGGAGGATGTCAGGCGGGCGTCACGTGGTGATAAGCGTCGCCCCTTATCAGACCATTGTCGGAATCCTAAAGTGGAAAGGAATGGCTAGCCTGCGCCTTCAGGAGACTTTTTAACGTGGTGAGTGATCATATCTTGCCAGCTTTCTACAGTCACTAATCGAATACGGGAGCACAAATGTCGAATTGAAGCGCCATGCCAGCTTCCAAACGCACCGTGTATCACATTCTTTGAAGGGTGACTTTTCTTTTGGAACTTCCACCTGCCACATCTCCCAAATGGAGGGACTTTTTACCCTGCTCAGTTTGAGCGTTGTCATGGCCGTGGCCTCTTTTCTTGCAGGCGTACTTCCTCTGTCGCTTTCCCTGTCGCAATCGCAATTACGATTGATCTCCACCATCGGAATGGGCGTCCTGGTCGGGACTTCCTTAGTTGTTATAATTCCCGAAGGCGTGGAAACACTTTACAGCACCTCCGAAGTTGGCCACGCGCATTCACACGTAAGAAGGCAGGTCTTTGCACGCGAAGAAGACATCCGATGGCCGACCTCATACACACCTCAGACACTACCTGCGGTATCTGTTCGCGATCCTGGCGACGATGCAAGTCCACTCGACACACCGGGGCCCGTCATGCCTTCCGGCATGGAGCCTCCACCACGAACCCCTACGAAACCTGGTTTGGCTGGAATAATGGAAACCGAGAATGAGGTCGATAAAGATGCCAAAAAAGGAGGCGAAGAAAGTCATGATGGTGAATCCCGACACGCATGGATTGGGGTGGCATTGCTAGGGGGGTTTATGCTCATGCATCTGATTGACAAACTGCCACAATACACCCAACCAGCTAAACCAAAGACGAGGACTCACCATATCGCCCTCAATAACCTCGGGCGCAGATTCAATCTGACCACGTCGTTGGATCGGGATGATGAAGCGGACTCATTCCTCGGCTCGACAGAAGGATCTCGCGTTCGGAATCGGAGCTTTGCAACCACCACTGGGTTGGTCATTCATGCAGCAGCTGATGGAATAGCTCTGGGGGCTTCGTCCACTGCGACGAACTCTGGATTGAGCTTGGTGATCTTCTTTGCGATTATGCTTCACAAGGCACCAGCGGCGTTTGGTCTTACTTCTATATTGATCAAGCAGGGCCTTTCCAAAAGAGCAGCCAGAGGCCATCTCGTCCTTTTCAGCCTGGCTGCCCCTGCTGGAGCCATCTTCACCTGGCTGCTAGCTGGTGTTTTAGGTGGTGGCGGCAATCATTCTCCCCAAACAACTACTTGGTGGACGGGAATGCTTTTGCTTTTCTCCGCAGGGACCTTTCTGTATGTGGCCATGCACTCGATGCAGGACTCCCCAAGTTCTCATCAAGAACATATGAATGGCCAACCCAATGGATACGTCGAGGGGCGCGACAATGCCCAAAATGAGCAGAAACCTTCTTGGAAGGATTTGGGAGCAGCATGTTTTGGCATGATTCTTCCACTATTTTTACAAGTTGGACACGCACATTAACCGAGAATTTCCCTCTACATTGTCGACTTGGGACCCGTCGCTGTCACTGGGTTCAGCAGCGATGAAAAATCCCCCTGGGCATCGGGCTCTTGATCCGGGAAGTTTGTGCAGATCAATTGAGTGTTCGTCCTCATAGGCTTGATAGCAACAAAAATCCGGCTTGCTTATTGGGAAGACTCCCGGACGAATGCCACGAACCAAAATATTACCCTCCAAGCTTTCTGCAGTGTGCGGCGCCGTGTGATTCTGCGAATTGGTGGAATGAATCCGTGGGATTTACTGGAATTTGTACTTGTGCTACTGGTTACTAATGTAGGTTGAAACTCGACCGAAAAGTCGCATTGCAGGGGGCTGCGAGTGGTTTCTGACCTGGCCCTTGGCTGAGCTGTCGCGGTAACTGGCAATTGTTGGGCACCACCATCGGATGAGTTGATTTTGAGAAGGAACAACAGAGCGAATCAGCCTATATGGGGCGGGATAGGACGTATAATTTTATCGATCGTCACACTGGCCTGGAGTTGACCGTTGGATGCGCCTAGGAGCACTTGCAGAACCCGATCCGTCCAACCATCGGTATAGCACAAGTGAAGTATCGTGTGGATGCCGATATTGATATCTTAGCCCAAATGTAGTCGACGCATAGTGTTGCATTGACGGAGATCTAGACTCTGAAGATCAACACGGTCGACCAACTAGGGTACATGCTGCAGCATGATACCACCTACAGAATACGTTGTAGCGGTCAGTTGCCATATGTCAGGAAGCGAGTTCTTGGGCACCTAGTTAGTCGTAACCTGATGCAGGTTCCAGGGCCCATTAGGCACTCGTGGCGTGCATCAAGGAGCCCAAACGACTCACTAACAAAAGTCAGTGTATCCCCTCTCACCGTCGCCACCAAACCTCCACAACCACTCACACTCCGACACTTTTCCCTTTCTATACTCCTCCCTCCAACATTCAACTTGCATATACAATCCCTGCCTGCCTTTGAAAACTCCCTCCACCGCCGATCTGCTTACAATCCCGTCGCCATCACGACCACTTCCCCTGTCTGCGGACCAATCCCACCCACCTCTAACCTCCTGTCTCTATTCCAATTCCGTTCCGTTTCCGGGTCTGGGGCTGCCTTTATTATATGTGATAAGCGCCTCCACCAGCAACTTATTACTTGCAGCTCACTCGAGTCCCTTCCCCTAGTCCCCTCCCAGGCGCTGACATGGCATAATTCAATAACATCAATCTTCGAGAGGGAAAGGAGTTCGCTCGTTTGTGTTTGAAAGTATCCTGTACCTTCCTCTCACTTTCACCACCGCCTCGACAGCTTTTGCCCCCCCCCCCCCCCCCGGGTGCGCCTTGGACTAGAGACGACATTCGAAACAAAGAGATGGACTTGAGCCATGTCGATGGCTCTGTGCCTTTGGACAGACCGCTCTCTCCCCGACCTTCAAGATCCGTGACAATAGACCCGAATCAGCTGGCCACCACCCCCTACCACGCCGGGACGGCCTCGATCGATCAAGAAACGGATTATCCTTTCCCTGCGCCTCAAGGTATTCAGATAGATCCTCTCCGCTCCGCCAGAGCTCGACAAACAATGTCGCAATCACGTCCGAAACGACTGTCGACCTCGAATAAACCCGGCATGCCTTTGAGCATTCTGCCATCCGCTCCTGCCTCTCCTCCCACTCCCGCCCCGTCCCCTACGCCGTATCAGCGGGCTCCCAGTTGGACTTCTGCAGGTGAGAATGAGGACGCCTTCCTCAGGGATGCTCGGGGACATTTTTCCAGCCTGAACGCGGCCGAAAGAGAGAGATATCTGGCCGAATTACTCAACATGTGTGACAGTCAACTTTTGAGCTTCGTTCATCATTTTGTGTCTCCCAGGCTGAAGAAGGACCCCTTCGAGCATTTACCCGATGAGCTGTGTTTAAGAGTAAGTTTGGTGGCATTGGATACGGCAATGGTGAATTGATATTTGACCAGGTTTTGTCCTACATTGACGACCCGCTGAGTCTAGCTCGAGCCTCCCAGGTCTCGCACCGGTGGCATAAACTAGTGAACGATGATATGCTCTGGAAAATTATGTGCGACAAGCATGCGTGGCGCAAAGCATCGAACAGTTCGAATGATGATGTCGAATCTTTATCCCTTGCACAAGCAGCCCAAGGACCATACGGACACAATAGTCGATCTCCTCGGCGAAATCCGGACGGGTCGGTTGTGGGCCCGTCGAGTAGTGCACCCAATTTGACGCTGCCTAGGCAAGATCATCTGTCGTCAAGTCCGGCAGCGAGGAAACGACAGTCACAGTCTCACTATTCGCATTTCCGACACAAATACATGATTGAAGCGGCGTGGAGGAAAGGCGGTGAGAGCGTCATCAAACACATCACCCCAGATCAAGGCGTGGTGACGAGTCTACATCTCACTGACAAGTACATCGTGGTCGCAATGGACAATGCCAAAATTCACGTTTTCAATACCGCGGGTGAGCATCAAAAGACTTTAAAAGGTCATGTGATGGGGGTCTGGGCTATGGTTCCTTGGGATGACATTCTCGTCTCCGGTGGTTGCGATCGTGACGTGAGAGTGTGGCAGATGTCCACTGGCAAGAGCATTTATACGTTGAGAGGACACACATCCACCGTAAGGTGTCTACGAATGAGTGATGCCAACACCGCCATATCCGGTTCCAGGGATACTACTCTTCGCGTCTGGGACTTGACCACCGGCCTATGCAAGCATGTCCTGGTCGGTCATCAAGCCAGCGTTCGATGCCTGGCCATTCACGGAGACCTCGTTGTTTCTGGCAGCTACGATACTACCGCTCGTCTGTGGAGCATATCAGAAGGCCGATGTCTCCGAACTTTAACCGGTCATTTTAGTCAGATTTACGCCATTGCATTCGACGGCAACCGCATCGCTACTGGCAGCCTTGATACGAGCGTAAGGATATGGGATCCCAAAACTGGAATGTGCACCGCCATCCTACAAGGACACACTTCGTTAGTCGGCCAATTGCAGATGCGAGGCGACACCCTTGTCACCGGCGGGTCTGATGGATCTGTCCGTGTGTGGTCATTGCAAACCAACACTCCTATCCATCGTCTGGCTGCGCATGATAATAGTGTTACAAGTTTGCAGTTTGATGACAACAGAATCGTCAGCGGCGGCAGTGATGGACGAGTTAAGATTTGGAGCCTGGAGACTGGTCAACTAGTTCGAGAGCTCAGTCAACCTGCCGAGGCTGTTTGGAGGGTGGCATTTGAAGAGGAGAAGGCCGTCATCATGGCAAGCCGGTCAAATCGGACGGTCATGGAGGTAAAAAGGATTCTTCCATTTTTGTTAAATAATTCCTCTTGCTAACTTTGAACCAGGTCTGGTCCTTCTCACCTCCGGAAGAGCAGTGGGATCGAAGGTCGGAGAGTCCTTTGTCCTTACCCGAACAAATCCAAACTTCAGAACATGAAGAACCAACCCAGTTTCAACAAGATGAGGTTGATGCTGATACGACCATGAGCGACATATAGGATTCTACATATAATTCCGGAATACGAAGACGATAAACGAATTAAATACTCAAAACCGTTTCATTGAAAGTGGAACCATGAAGCAAATTGCTATGGTGATTGGAAGATAGGAGGGGAAAAGGAAATGGAAAAAGAAAAGATTCGGGGACGGAGGAACGAATCCGGTCTACTAACCTACATGGGATGGATATCTCTGCACCACCATACACACATATCCATTCCAAAGGTGATGGCAATCAGAAGGCAGAAAGATGTCGTGCATTGGTGGCCAGTCCTTGAAATGAGGACTGGAAGGGAAAAGGAAACCGTCCCCATCGCAGACACGGTGACCCTCAAGGTTCTTTGGGGGGGTTTTTTGGCATTTGAGCATTTTACATCACAGGGGGCAATTACCGTCAACGGATGGGTTTCCTTTTCTATGGCATCATTTTTGGACGCATGGTATCTGCATGGCCGATTTTATCATATCTTGATCGATCAATGGGCATTTATGGACAAAACAGGTGTCCGTGGGCTGTGGCTATCGTTCGCCGAAGCAAGAGATGACCCTGAAACAGGTCTTCGACGTATTTATATCCTCCTACAACCTACCATGTCTACATTTGGCTGGGTATTAACTCCATACATGGAGAAGGCTAAATTGATTGATGCTCGAAATGATATGCATTTTCAGTTATATTCGCTCCGTACGAGTTTCTGATCTGAACAATGGAACTGATGTCGCATGTGGGTACATATTAGAAGAGGGATGCTTCGAAGCTCGACCACGTCCAGCATTCTGCTGCCCGGTCTAATCTTCCAGTACTCAAGGAGTGCAATGGTCCATCTCGATTTATTGTTTGGAGCTTTTCAAATTTTTTGGGGTCTCTATGTATCCAAACCTCTATTGTTCCCTGATGAGTGTAACCAAACATCTCATCCTCTCAATTCTATAGAATAGGTTTGTGGGAGACCGTCATTTCTCAAGGTCAATTGCCCTTCTATGTGCATTAATCAGACAAGCTTCACCTCCATTTTTCAAATGAAACACTTCGAACCCTTCGACGGTCGTCGAACAAAAATGTCATGAGAGTTCGATCCGGTGGTTGCGAGTCCTGATGCAACAAGGTAACCGGGTTCAGGGAGACCGGGAAGAAGCCAACCAGACCGATAGCTTCACCATCAGTAGCAAAAGGTGTTTTCCGGTCATGGAATAGGTGAGGAACGATGTCCGTTGAAGCTGACTTCTGCCGAGAGAGGAAAAGATGTCATTTCGAGATCGTTGCAGCCATTGAAGGAAGATTGGTGGAAAATGTACCTCTCCTTCTGCGGCTTGATTGAGAAAGAAGTCATAATGACTGCATGACTCCATTTTAACAGCTCCACTGTTCAGCTTTGGTCAAGAAGGTCTGGTTGTGGAAGTTTGGAGGGTACATGCTGGTTCGTCTTTTTCAACGTTGGGTGTTTTGAGAGGTAGAAACGAGTGTAGTGGTATTTGGGTCGCTTCATGGTTGAATCGTCTGGCATTGATTGCTGGGGAGAAGTCGTGATTGTCAGGATCGAAATATGGAATAGGACAAGCTGCGGGCACAGATGTGGGTTGCTATGCGATTGTTTTCCCTTCTAACTGAGTATGCCCGTCTGTCTAGACTGGCCTGTAATCAGTTGATATATTCTAGTGACCGCCAGTCGTGGGCAAGCCGAGATAGACTTTGAAGGAATCGTAACTGTATTTTTCCCCTTGTATTAGTATTGGATGGAGGACGGAAGTGCTTTCGGGACATACAGGAGCCATTGGAAAGCAGTCAGGGTTCCAATCATGACGATTCTCACGGATAGACCATTCCAGAGACCTGTAAAACCGATATTACCGTAGATTCTGCCCATAGCCTTGCCGGCGGATTCTCCGGCTGGAAAACATACCAGTCAGCAATTTGGTTGGCCCAACTCATGTCTGAAGCCAGACGTACCTTTTCGATCCGAGTTCAATTTACTGACCATGACATCTGCGGGATGACTGACGACGGCGCAGGCAACCCCGGCAATGTATCCACCCAGGAAACTCACCCCGGTCTGTTGGAGTTTATTATAGTTCTCCTTGGGCTTACCCAGCTGCTTGTAGATGTAGTGGACGGTTTCCTCGAAGGTGGCGAACTTGCACATGGTATACGGGATTTGACGACCCCAAAGAGGTGTGATGCCCTTGTACAACCCGGCAATGCCTTCTTTGGCAACCACCCTGCTCCAACCTTCACGCAGGTTGTTGGCATATGGTGGGAGAGTCGTCTGCATACGCACTTTGATTGCCTCCCACGGGCACAAGAGAATATCTGCGATGAATTCGGCACTGGCGCTGGCACCCAGGTAGACGATCGTACGGTTGGTATTGGGGAAGAGATTGTCGCCGAACTCGTGCTTGAAAACTTCGTAGAAGCCGTACTTACCCATGCCCTGGAAACTGTAGCCCACAAAGGTCGGAGTCCAGCCGAAGAAGACGCCGCGGAGGCCTTCGTTGGCAAAAATCGAGCGCCAGGCGGAGAAGTTGGACGAATAAATCTTAGGATCGACCTGACGGCGGGTTTTGACAAGATCAAGGGGTGTGACAAGGGTATGAGTCGGCCCGCACGCGATAATACCACCGAGCATGCATGAGGCAAAGTACTTGGTCTATTTAGAAATTGTGTTAGCGATCTGAGCACGTGGAAATCCGATGTCATGCGTGCTTGTCAAGGTCTCATCTTTCGTGTGCATACCGAATTTGGTTCGATTTTTCCGAACGGGTATGATCTGAGGGTTTCACCAGAGGGCGGCTTCAGAGTTGAAGCTGTGGCAGCCATGGTGGGCGAGCTGGCTCAATCTTTGAGCCACCGAATCGACAACGTAGCACGTGCCTGGCGAGAGCGAGTACCAAGCGGAGCGAAGTCCAAAAGCTGGAGAGAAAGGATTCTAGAGTTCCTTCAACAGCTTCAGAATTACAGCACCGTTCGAGGAGAGTAGAGCGGGGGCAGATAGAGCAGAATTCAATACAGGGAAGCACAGAAGGATATACTGTGAATTGGAGAGAAGAGGATCAATGAGGCGAGAGTCTGAGATATGGCTCCAAGTGATAGCCACGCCTTGCCGCAAGAGCCGTGATAAGCTACATAGGGAGCTAGCTGGCTAGGCAGATCTGAAGCTGGAGACCGAAGATCGAACAAGGTGATTGAAGGCGACGAAGAAGTATGGGACGCACATGGGCACCATGGTGAGAGCGGGCTGGTGGAACGCGTGATGCCCTCCCATGCATAGACCAGTGACATCATCTCCTTCAAAGCTTGTCTGCCGCTAACCACGGCTTATTCAGCTAGACCGGACTGTGGAGGCCTCTGTCATCACCACACAACTCATTTCCTCTTTGAGCGGGACATGCACAATGCCGGTCGACATCATACCAGTGCTGGACACAGCTACATTCGCCGCCCCATGCCAAAGTCCGCCGGGTTGCTTTCAGGGGGGAAGAGCCGGTCCCATTCAGCCTGGAGCAAAGGCCCCAACATGTTAGCCGACCATTTCAGCCACGGTTTGTTCACACTTACCCAGTCAATGTCTAACATCACCGAATCTCCCCGCGCATTGGCATTTGGCAACTGGGGAATATTGACCTGATCGCTTGGGAATCCTGATCCGATCCCAAAGGGACTGCTACCTCCGGAAACGGGTCGATGGGGTACTCCCGGAATCGGCTTCACCGCTGCCACGGGAGCAGGCGGTGACGAGTCCGTTCCAGCGCTCAATGCCGTGTGCCAGCTTACCTGGTCCGGGGTGATCAAGGGAGGCCACGATTCATTCGTTCCAGAATCACTGGGACTATGGAGATCCGTTGGCTGGCCAGGTGAGGCTTGATTCACATCGGTCCGAGGGGGAGTCTGTTGCGGCTGCGAGGGTGGCTGTGATTGTGATTGGGATTGTTGCGGCGGCCCAAGTTGAGTGTACGCAAAGGAATCGCCTCCTGGCATGTACTTTCTCTCCACGTATAACGTCGCTGGCATGTCGAAGCTCCACGACTGATCGAGGGCATACGATGGTTGCGATGCTCCCTCGTTCACCCGTGATGAGATCGCGGTCTCTGGAGTGTGGCCTGCGCTGTGGGCGTCTCCTGGATTCCCATCCTTGGTGTTATCCTCAGACTGTTTGCGCTGCGGATCTAGCCCGTCCTTCATACTGACCGGAATTCGTATCCGGCGAAGTTCTCGGTATACTGTTGTGCGATCTCTGATGGCGGCAATGATCGCTCGGGCTTTTTGTGTTCGCGACAGCGACAGATCCGGTTCAAACACGAAATCCACAATATTCCAAATTCGATCGGCCTCTCGCAGCGTCGGGCTTGCGTAGATGACCGTGAGCAGCAGAAATGCTATATGCCATTGTTGATAGGCTCCGCTGTACCATCTCCATTGGCTTAGTTCGGGCATTCGCTCTATGGCAACGGCGCTCTCCATCGACTGAACTCCGCTATGGACCGTGAGTTGACGGAGTCTCTCAGGCACGCGGTTGCTGGCGTTGTTCAGGTATCGATGCAGGACCATGACATACATTCGCTGGATCATGAGAGTCATGACCAAATGAGCGTATTTTTGAATGGGAACCTCGAGATCCAGTACGGGGGCATATTTGGCCTCCATGGCTTTGCGAAACCCTTCAATCTTGCCCAGAACATGGGTCAAGGAGATCTTTTTCTTTTCGATCCGGATTCTATCTTGCCACACGACACGTTGCATCTCGGTACACTCGAATCGAATCCGTGACGCGGTCATGTCGGTCCATTTCGTCTTAGACTCTTGGGGTTTCACGCGCAAGAGGTCAGCGTCATGGATGTTAAGAGGGAACTTTGTGTCGTAGTCCTCTCGCTTGATTCCCGGCCGGGGGCCTTGAGATTCACAAGTACGGAAGTCCAGAAAACAGAGCTGAAACCACACAATACGCCGAACGTGACACTCCACCGCAGACAAGCCGTAGACGTCTTGAGGGTCACGATGGAGACCCATGCATTCCGCCAGGCGGACTGCCATGCCGACGATCACCGAGTGGGCGCGCGAGAGCTGGTCCCGACACATGGGGATAAGATAGATAACCAGGGCCTGTAATGTCTCAAGTTTCGTCGCTCGAAGGAACTGTGCCTTGCTCAGAGCCACTTCAGTTCCTGTCTGGAAATTGCCGAGGACCGTATTCTTCGGTCGGGCGAAGACGGCCGTCACCTCTTCCTCTGACATACTGGCGACAGCCGCGAAGAGAACTGAAAGCACGACGGACTGTTGCCACGCCGGCGGCTCGAGTCCGGCCAGGACCGAGGTCCAGAAATTATCGTAGTGCAATTGGAAACTGGGCCAATGCACAACCCGGGCGATGAAGTGGACATTCTGAAAATAATTACGGACCAAGACATCTGCCGCCCCTTTGGCCGGCAAGAAGTTGATCAGAGATCTCTTGTTGCCAACGTCTCCAAATATAAATCCCGATCCAGGGGCGATATAAGATGGTCCCGGAGCCAAAAAATCACCAGTATCGTCCGGAAGTTGTGGAATAGCCGAGAGCTTTTCGTCAGGAGTCCGCCGGTCCGCTGCAGGATCGTTGAGAGTGTGCCCTAGCTGTTTCTACGTTAACATCGACGGCACTAGCCATTTGGGGGGGACTGCTGACCTCCTCATTCAATGCCGGGCGGAAAAATCCCCCCAGTCGTTCAGTCAGCCTAAGAAGGAGTCAGTCGGGTGATGTGCAAGGCGAACTCCTAGATGCGTGATTATTACCGCATTTTCCCGACCTTAATCCCCAGGTCTAGAACATCATCATTGGCATCGTCTTCGTAGGAAGCGTCGATGACGGCCAACGGCGTCGGCTCCAGTCCCTTCTCGTCTTCGGGCACGGCGGCTTCGTCGTCGGAGGTGCTCTCTTCACCCCCCGGAAGGTCGGCTGATGTTCGACGTTGCGCTTGCTGGTTAGAACGGGCCATATTCTTCCCTTCCTTGCGTGCAACGTCTTGCTCAAGGACTCTTTCTAGGGAGCCCATTTTTTCCTTGATTTCGTTGAGGCGTTGTTGTGAGACTGAATCCAGAGCCGGGGCCAGGAAGAGACAGTCCCGGGAGAACTTGCTGCAATTGGTACATGGATGAAGCTTGTCACATTTGAGCTTGCGCCGACGGCATTCCAGACAGGAGGTGATCATGCGATTTCGCCGTCGCACCCGACTCTGCGACGGGGCTTTTGGTTTCTCCTCAGCAGCGACATTGCCTCCCGAGGAGCGCGAAGTATCCATGATGGTGGACGCTGCTGTCGAGCACGTCGGGACTCAGCGTATGGGCCGACGATGCGGAGACTGGCAGCCTTGTGCGAGAAATTACCTAAAATGTCTGGATCGATTCGACGAGGGCGAATGTCGGCGGGGTAGCGTCCACGGCAAACAGCCAGGCCAGAAATGGCGTTCCAGGTAGGGGCAGAGCGGGATACATTAACGGAGCATTTCAATGATGAGAACAAAGTGGCATGGTGTGGCGGAGGAATGCGATTACAGAGAAAGATTGAGATCGGAAGAAAGTCGTGCAGGAGTGAGTGGCAGCGTTACTTAGTGATGGATGAAAATGAAAATGGATGATGCCTGAGGGATAACAGTCTTGGCTGAATAAGGCGCGGGCTGACTCAGACATTCCATTCCCAAAGAGCGATCATATCCCCGGATCCCCCGGCCTACCTCTCGCCGATTTGCTCGCTAACTCATGGCGCATTCAAGAATCAAATGTTTCTCGATTTGTAGACCGTCCATTTGTCCGTCAATCCCCAGCCCGGCCTGATTCCAGGATCTCTCACCTGAGGGTACAATTGCGGGTATCATAACGCTCACGTTCGCCTCGCAGATCATTTTTGGGAATGCATTTGGAGGACAATATAACGGGGGGCAATGTGTCCACAATGACCTTTTGTTTTGATAATAGCACAGACGTGATGATTTGAGGCTCATTTGCCCTTACCAGAACCCTCTCTTGTCCCAACAATGCCACTAAAGCTCTAGCCATCTCAGACGGAATTCAAGACATTCGCTGTCCTCAAATTCCATTCCAGTCAAATTGGCGAGCCATTCTGGACCGGAGAATTTGGTTGGAAGCCATTTATTTTACACGATGGAGTGAGGCGAGGAGCAAAGCATTTTCGATTTCTGGTAGCGCCGAATCTCACGGAGAGCGACGGACAACGCTTGTATCGGCGAGGCTTCTTGACACGAACAGTGCTTGAACGGCGGAAATTTTGCGTCTCTGTTGTTGAGGGAGTGAGAAAGGAAAGGCACGAGGCTGAGATGTGTAAAGGGGACCCAACATCACGTGCAGAGAATGCTATGTTATCTAGGAAGAACATCATGTCTGTCACAACCGAGATCCCAAGGTTCCGTCTCCTCCCCGGCATTGATCCTACGAAGATCGACTCGGCTGCTGGCCTGCACCGGCAGAATGCATTTGCAATGCTAAAGAAACGGAAAGGATTTATCCGCTGCTATTGGGCTAGTATCCATCTGGAGAATAAGATGTCGATCTGATAAACAAAAGGTGTCCATGGCCACCTTCGAACACGGCCCACCTCTTGTCAGGACGTGGTTTGTGCGACGACAATTCCCGCTGATGATTCGGCAGCGCATACCAGTTTCACCTCCGATGCGGTCAATGCCCGCGAGGTACCTGTCTCAGCCCTGAATTCTTTCATCCTGCTAGCGAACGTGAGCGATGAGCAAAATTCAGTCCTGAAAGACGCATTTTCTCAATTTCTCAAAGTTCCGCATAACGCAGGCCTTGTGCACTGGTTGCGCATGCGGATGTGGCGGGTTCCTTTGCGGGCCAGCCAAATATTGCGTTGAACACAGTGGCTGTCCCTTCCGGCATGCGACCTGAGATGCGACCAGTCTCTCTCATGCTGTTGAAGCAGAGGACGAAAAATGCTATGTGGAGAAATATGAGAGTCTGTCCAAAAGGTGATGCTTGGTCCCCAGACAATGGGAGAGGTCCACTGAGGTGCAGACGGCGCTTTGGGAGGGTTTCTTCCCTCGATGCCAAGATTGATACCCTGGTCCCTTCCTATATCAGACCACACGCAACCATCGCTGGGGGGCCAGAAACACTAAGGGATCCGTCCAACTTCTCGAAAGCGACGGGCGCCTTTGACTACACTACCTTGACCATGACACCTCGAGGACCTGGAAGGACGATCTCTGGGATTTCCTCACACTGCCACAGAAAAAGAGAGCTTTGTTCGACCTTCGCAAAATCGACTCAAGTTGCGTTAATCAATCAACTAGGGGCCGCGGATAGGATATTCCATGGTGGGTAAAAGCGTAGCTTTCTGTATTTTGGGGGCTAGCCCCCAAACCCCTAGGCCTCGCTGCGCTCGATATTGCCAAGCGCTTTTCATCACGTGATTGGCCGGCCATCCTGGTCTTGGCAATTCTTGGCAGCGCCCCGCGTGTGTCACGTGACTGACCAACTCTCTTGTCCGGAAAATCTATAATCCGACGATTACCTAATACTGTGCTATGATTGGCTGGCCCCATCGGATCCAATCCATGGCACACCCTGGAATGGGCCCCTGGTCGGATCCAGTCTATGGATCACGTGTGGACGATGTTCATAACGGTGTCCAGTGCCGTACGATATCCTCCATCGGATCCAGTCCATGGACCATATGTAGACGATGTTGATCACGGTGTCCTGTGCCGTACGACATCCTCCATCGGATCCAGTCCATGGGCTGTGAAGTAGACGACGGTATACTCAATTAAGAAAGCCGACAACGCTGTCAAACTTCTTGTGCAACTTGAGGGGATGGAGGGCTCTGTTCTCTATCTACTTGTCGAGGTATTGAGGCTCCTTCTTATAGACATGCGAATGCTACGTCGTTACGCAGAGCAACCATCAGTAACGTCGTCGTCTATGGAAACCTCTTGCTAATGTTTCTGCGGTGGGGCATACACACTATCAAGGAATGCCAAGGAACGGAAGGGCAAGCGTGATTCAATGGGAATTGATGGAATTGACAGTCCTATATGATATCGACTCGATCGCTTGAGTCAAGCGATGATGGGGTGAGATGAGCAGGTTATAAGCCTGCGTCTCGCCCGGTATCTAGTGTCTTGGCAGGGGCCGCCCTGACACCACAATTTCCTGGGCAGACACCATGATTTGAAGACAGTGTGGTCCCGGAGCCCGGGCCAATGAAGTAGGATGCTACAGACTACACCATCCTGCAGGATTGGTTCAACCTTGCAAGAAGACCTGTACCACCTTTAGTATCTCAGACGAGGACCAGTACAACATGAGGGAATGTCTCGGGAGAGCGAGTTTCGAACAATAGCGAGTGGGTCTGGGGTTGTCTAAGCACAATTGAGCCTAGTGGTGCGAGCGTTGTCCGGTGGATGGCGCGGTACCTGAACCCCCCCCCCGAAACCCCAGTAAAATCGCCTAAATCGAGGTACCAAAACATCAAAATTGAGACACTGACATACCTGCGGTATTTGCGGGCTCTTTTAGCTTGTTGTCGAGCCCTCTACAATTGTATAGACTTTCCTGGTGGTAGAGGCTTTTTGAGCTCTTTTTGAATAACCCTGTTATTGCTGTCGCCCTCATGTCCACTTCCTTCATTGGCGACATCTGGCGAGCCCCCTTTGGGTGCGCTGAGCATCTCTGCCTCATAGACAACAGAGACGCTCTGACCACTCAACATCGTCAAAATCGGGTGCAAAAAGACCTGTAAAGGCAAGTGCAAAGGGTTCTGCCAAAAGGGATTAACGACGTTGGAAAACGTTGGAAAAGAAGCACCAAGAGGGGGCAATTATGCGAGGGAAGCAAAGTGGATGGAAAGGTACCAGCGTGGCATGCGCTTGTGAGGGTGTCGGTTTGTACTGCGAAAAAGTGTCATCACCTTGTGAAGGGGTTTGAGATGGCGTGTGATCACGCTTGCGTTTCCGCGCTTTATTTGTCTGGTGAGTGGATGTGTTCCTCGGTCTTTTGGTGCCAACGCCGTAAGTGTTGTGGATCATATTGAGAGCTTTCTGTGCCGCCGGCCGGCGAGGACGCGATAGGGGTGCGGCAGGCGGATTCATCGCCACGGCGCGAGAGCGAACTTTATGGCGAACAAGCGTAAATAGCGTATCAAAGACTCCTTTTGATTGCAGACAAAAAAAACCACGTTGGGGAACTGGACAGCAAGTGGACGAGGTTGCAAGAGCTTTTTAAAGTGGGAGTTCTTCCCCGCGCGTCCTAATTAAATCGCGGTATCACGTGCTTTTCCTGATAGAGCCTCGAACGACGTGCGCCGCCAAGAATTGCCAAGATACACATGACCGTGTTAATCACGTGACGCAAAAGTCTTGGCAATCTCGAGCGCAACGAGGTTTGGTGGCTAACCCCCAAATACAGAAAGCTACGCTTTCACCCCCCGCGGAATATCCTGTCCGCGGCCCCTAGTGAGTAGTTGGAAGGGCACGCAAAGCATCCATGAAGTAACCACTTACGGATTTGGTCTTTTCTTCCATCCTTTAGTATACCTCAGGGTGGTCTCCATAGCAAGAAGGTCACGCTTCCCCTCGGGATTCGGAAGCATTCCAAGTGTCACATCTTCATTGCAGAGAGTCTTAATATCCCTCCAGTCTAGATCCATCTCATCATCATTGCCGGGCGCGTCATTCTCCCATCCAAAGTAGTGCTCCCTTTGCTTAGTGCGATTAATCGCCTTATACACTAAGGCAGCCAGTCTAGTTGCTGTATACGCAGAGAGAAGAAGCAAGAGAGCTAGCTGTGGTCGTTGCCGCCCGCCCGGGAAGACCGACGTGTCCAGAACCCAATGATGACAGAGAACTAGAAATACGTCGTCGATGTCCATGACTGGTTTCTCTCGCACGCCCGTGTCGAGGTTATACTCAACAGTCAAGTATCCATCAATGTACTAATCATAGATCAGTGACTAGTCTCGAAGAATGAACAAATCTTTACCCTCACATCGCGAACCTCCTCCATTACTTTAGCATGCAAACCCTTACCAACAGACTTTCGGTATAACATGCACCACACTCTCCAGCATTCATCTCAGGTGCTTCTTTTTCTTTCGTCGAGTCCCGCATGCTGCTTCTTTACGGTGCCCTTCTCAACGAGTTGTCGTCGATGTTGTCGATAATTCTCAGGGGAATATGGAGCCGTTGGCCTCTGGTTGAAATGCTGCACGGCCATACTGCCTTCACGAGAGCCCTCTTCTCTTCAATTCCTTTCCCCTCTTAATGATAGTAGATGTGAAGTGGTCAGAGGAGGAATTCCTCATGAAGAGGAGAGAGACAATACTCTCGGTCGTCGGTTGAAACGTCAAATTTGAGTAGAGCTGGTCGAATGCATAAAGGGAGATGGGAGATGGAACGAGGTTCAAGATGATTTCGTGAAAGTCGGAGAAGGCCCTCTCTCTCTCTGAGGCATTGTGAGGGAATCGAGGAGCCATGTTCGGAGCGGCGCGGTCGAAGGTGTACCCATTCTTTCAGGTTTCCTGGCGGTTTCTGAAGGTGGGGGAAGTGACAGACCAAGTTAGCGTTCTTGGCATCGAGGGAAAAACGCCTCCAAAAAGAGGAGCCGCCAACCGCCAAATTGGGCGGGAGATTTTCCCTGCAACCTGCGTTGAGCTGTAATTTCGTGACAAGTTGCTCGCGTCGCTGGCAGGTTCAGTGCTGTTGACACGGCACCCTTGATGTACGCTAGGCTGAAGGGTGTGTGGAAGATGATAAATTTGTTGGGCGAATTGATGCAAGCACATACTGATTTGTTGGGGTCATAGGGAGATGGTATGTATTCCGACATGAAGAGGCAGGATTTTGCCACCTTCGATCTTGCCCGACTCATTCTTCTGAGGTGTGCTCTCTAAAGGGCTAAGGGCTGATACTCGCATCACACAAATTCGCTCTCCGCAATATCTCCCCTGCCTATCCCCGGTGTGGAATTTTGGGGTGACCCCGAATTGTCCCAATGGCCGAGGGGATGTATGCCACGCCTGAAGTGGAAGAGTACGACAAAAACCCCAACGACCCCAAACAGCGTCGAGCCAATGACGGTTGAAAGGAAACGGTAAATGACCGCCGACGCGCGTTTATAAGGCACCTTTCTTTTCGCATCCTACACAGCTATTGACATCGATATATATGCTTACACGTGAGACATATTTTGTGTACTTGGCGCTTATTCGGAGGGAAGATCACCCAAACCCCAGTGAGATGAAGATCAAGGTTCAGGAGGCTGAAGAGCTGGCCAGGTCTGCGCTCCTGAAACTGGGGTATAAACCTCACGACGCAGAGATTACGGCTCGCCATCTAATCGATAGCGAACTTAGAGGCTATGGGGTCGCTGGGCTTGCTCGGGTACTGAGCATCCGGGATCGACTTCGCGAGAACGGACTGAAGGATGAGATCACAGTGACTCGAGACAGTCCCACTGCCGCCCAGTTTGACGGACACGATACTCTGGGATATATCGTGGCACAGCGGGCGACGGAAACAGCGATTCGGAAAGCAAAACAAGTGGGGGTGGCTGTTGTGGGAGCCAACAACACATGGTACACAGGCATGTTGGCGTATTATGGAGAAATGGCAGCAAAAGAAGATTTGGTCACCATCATTGCCTCCAATGCCAGCCCATGGGTGGCGCCGCAGGATGGATACCGGCCGATGTTTGGCACCAACCCTTTCTCTGTGGGCTTTCCCTCCGGCAGTGGGACACCGGTCATATACGACATTGGAACGTCCAAAATCCTGCATGCCGACGTCCTCCTCGCTCAGCGCTTGGGCGAACAGCTCCCACCAGACTCCGCGTACAACTCGACGGGACAATTGACCACCAACCCGGCGGAAGCGTTGGATGGCGCCCTCGCCGTCTGGGGAGGTCACAGGGGGGCTGGTCTGGCCATCACAGTGCAGCTGCTGGGTGTGCTGGCCGGATCACCAGCCCTGCCCGGAAACCTGCACGACTTTGGATTTCTAATCATTGCCGTGGACCCGGCCATATTCAGGCCGATTGACGAGTTCAAAGCAGAAGTTGATGCCTACTCGGAAAAAATGAGACAGAGTCCTCCATTGCCTGGGAAGGATCCGTTGCGAATGCCTTTTGAGAGATCGGCAGCTTTGCGGGCAAAGACTTTGGAAGAGGGAGAATTTGAGGTTCAAGACCAGGTTGTGGAAATGCTGAAAACAATGCTGATAAAATGAATGTGAAATGTCACGCATAGTGGGGATTGCGATTTCGGCTGCGACTTCTCCGTCCGATAACACCCCGTAACTGTCACAAGATATCGCGACAATCGCATTCCAATTCGCTCTGATCCTACTAGACATCAAGTAATACTTACGAAATTGGTTTAATATAGAACGCCTGCAAACCGGCTTCACCTTTGAGCACCCCTGCAAAAGAATCGTGGACCCACTGTGAGTCTGTATCTACTCTATACACATTTCAACACCAATCAAGTCGAGGCAGATTTTGGAAAGACACGACTCATACACTCCATTACATACTTCTGATACGGATCTAGCCTACAAAGAATAATGAGTATAATAGCAGCAATAACATTCTTAATCAATTAGCTACAAGAATACCATATACAATACTTGACAGCCACAAAGCGCGTGCTTTACCACTCATGGCCAATTAGTTAAAAGCGCCACGACGACATGACGCAAGGGTAGCGCTGACTGGGATGTGCGGGCATGTCGAGGACGATGAACACCTAGCCAGCCCAAGGCGCAATCTGCTTCTGTGCCGACCAGGACGATACGACGTTGCCGAAGGACATGGCTTTCAAGCACGTATTCCAGGACCATTTCACGGTCAGGTCTAGCCACAAACAGAGACTTTGGTGCGGATGAACCCGCGATTGAGAGAACAAGAAACACTGGACATCAAGCACTGCATCATTCGGCAAAGTGAGTAGGAGCCTGATTCTAGACGGCTTCGGCGAAATTGGCCTGGACAGCGGCCAAGTTAGCCGCACCCTCTCCTTCTCTGACGTATACGTACCGTTGCTCATTTGTAAAACGGCAAAAATGGTACTGGCCCGTCGTCTATATCAATATGTGAAGATATCGCTTTGGCCCACCAAACTTCCAGCTTTCATCCCCTTCTCACCCCCTGTGCTTTGTCGTCTCTATAGACCTTTCGACGAGAAAATACCAAGATGACGCCGGCGAGACAAACGGTCGCACTCATATCTGGTGCCAATACGGGCATCGGGCTTGCCGTGGCAACCCAGCTTACCAAAGTTCATGGATACCATGTCATCGTCGGGTCGCGAAATGCAGCCGCAGGTGAAGAAGTTGCTGCTGGTCTGATGGCGGATGGATTTTCGGCTTCCTCGATCCAGCTTGACCTCTGCTCAGACGAGTCGATTGCAGCAGCTGCGAGCTGGATGGAGCGCAAGTTCGGCGTATTGGACGTGCTGGTTAACAACGCGGGAATCCTGATTGATCATGTCCCCGGAATCACCGACGCCTACAGAGGTCTGTCGACGCGAGAGCTATTCAACCAGACTTTCAGCACCAATGTCATTGGAACGGCCTGCTTGACCGAGGCGTGCTTGCCGTTGCTGCGCAAATCCGAATGTCCACGCCTTGTCTTTGTCTCATCACGCATGGGATCCCTTTCCGAGGCAACAAATAAGTCGACGTCGTACTACAGCATTGACTACAAGGCATACGATTGCAGCAAGGCCGCTCTCAACATGTTGGCTCTCAACTATGCCAGGATCCTCGAAGATCACGGTGCCTTGGTGAACGCCGTGTGCCCTGGTTTGGTCAAGACCAAGCTCACTAATAACTTAATGGGATCATCGACAGAATTGGGAGCACAGAGGATCGTTGAATTGGCGACCGCGGCGAAGGGAGGTCCAACCGCGACTTTTTCTGACCGAGACGGTAGCATTCCTTGGTAGTTGGATGGCCTAAGAATGTGGCGGAAATGTTTTGCATGAAACTGGGAAGGCCCACGTTAGGTAGCCTGTTCATAACATGGTGCCAACCAGGTTTAGTAGGAAACCAAGATTATCGACTCCGGCGTTCCAAAGATCCAGTTTTCGTGCGTTGGATGGCTTGTAGTCTGACCGCTGTACATCGATTAAATCACCCAAAGTTACAAGTCCGCTTATGTGCAACGTGCGGCTCGCTTCATACTCTGATTCCCAAGCTGACGGCGTGGCGCCTCCCAGAGAGATTTTGGGCCAGGAAGCGGGATAGTTCTATAGCTGTGCGATGTATCGCAAGTATTTCCGGTCTTGACACATACGACACAGCCAACGAGTAACCATAGATTTGAAAGCCTGCACAGATCCCATTGAGCAAGATTCCCACAACTGCGAGAGACCGAGCACGGGCATATCTCCGTCGAGATTCGGCACAGACCCAGTCTTCCCCAGTTCGAACTCGGGTTCAAAAGCTCGTTCTCGCTGCTAGATCCTCCACACATTCTTTTAAAGAAGACACAGATGTCCTTCCCAAGTTAGCCACTGAAACGTAGGGACAGAAGCTGGGACTTGCATCTAATGCCAGGAGTAGCTCCGGGCCATATCCTTCATTTTCGGGTGAATGGTCAATGATGCACATGATCAAATAAATCATGCAAGCTTGCAGGGCGGCAAGGAGTTCGAATTCGGACATGTGGTGCATCTTTGGAGTGGCCAGCATCAGAAGAACGCGGAGTGGGCAGAGTCCGCACCTCGTCGACAAAACGACGATACTCGGCTCTGATGGTCCGCCAGAGAAAATACTTTGTTTCAGATGTCCTTGAAGCAAAAATTTGAGCATCATTCACAGCTGGATAGTGTACAAATGCCAAATTCTCAATGGGCAAGGTTTCATCATCCACATCCGATGCACCATTAGCAAGCGAGACACTCGGCCTGCCGCAAGGCTTTGCGCTCACTCTGTGGGCGGCTGCTGCGGCGGTGCTAGGCAACGCCCAGCTCCCCGCTGCCGCCGACTCATCATACACACACTCGACGCCTTTCTTCGTACACCGCGAACAAGTCGCTTCAAAACTGCATTTTGTCTTCGCGGCATTACATGCCCAACATGATCGCGCCGATTGCGCATGCGACCGCCACAGTAATGAAGATGGCGATCACGTGAAGATTCTGCTCCGAAAGTCAGAGTAGATGGAGTAGAACATAAGCCCCAAAGGAGTTCCTACCATTGGTGAAAGGCTTTTCACAGAGAGAGCAAAAGTAAATGGCGGCAGCCGAGGAGGAATCATGAGTGGAGTACATTATCGGTGAATTTAGTAAAGATTGCGTCTCCCTCCATGATTTGATATGTACTGTCGAAGAGTGAGAAGAATTGGTCGGTTAGGATCCCGGCGTGGGCGTGCAAAAGGGAGATGGTTGCATACGAGGCTGATGATTCATTCTAAGGTGTGGGCCGAAAATTGGGGCAGGCCTTTCTCAGGCCAATTTGGCCGACGGCAGGACGTTTTGGTCTGGGCCGATCCCGATGCAGCTTACGTAAAGATATCAAAGAACATCAGGAAAAGGCTGTGGATTTGTATACGTGCCCGTGTAGGGTACAAACAGGAGAGTGGAGCGGTTTGGCTGCATTGCAGCGGACAAGTTAGAAACAAGCTCACTCCCAATCTAAGCCTGAGTTGATAGAAATGCACTCATTGATGGCTCGTTCTAAGTATCACGTAGTCATGAGGGTAAAACCGAGCTAGCGCTACCATTTGTGTCATGTCGCTGTTGTAATTTTAACCAAATGGCCATGAGTGACAAAACATGCGCTTTGTAGCTGTCAAGTATTGTGTACAGGACATAATATTCTGGCTCCTAATTGATCAACAAGGAAGCTATTACGCTCCTTTCAGTCTTTGTAGGCTAGATCGGTATCAGATGTAATGGAGTGTATGAGTTGTATCTTTCCAAAACCTGCCTCGACTTGATTGGCGTTAAACGGCCCACTCAGCCTGACTTGGGCATAGAGCAAATACGGACCCACCACGTCTCTACCGGCAAGGACAGGTGACGGCTCCCGAGCCAATCAGCCGATACGAACCTGGCGAGGCTGTGAACTGCGACTTTCGCCGAGATAGCGGCAACCCCCCCGGAGTAAACGGAGTGCGAAATAGGGATCACACAATGCACAGACGACGTATTATCGTCCAGTAAGCGACATTGCTCGGCCTTTCCATATCCAGCCCCGCTGGCCAGACCTTCGCCTCGGCTTCATGATTTTATCGACAATTCCAGTGTCGGCCGAATTCAGTCGGTGTTCATCGATATTAAAACTGCCTAAGAGTTCGTTCACCTTTGTTCCTTCTTAGGTCATCTCAATTTCCTCAGTTGCAGCGAGACCCATGGGTTCAATCGCTCCAGAAACTCAAACACCAATCTGCTATATTGTAACTCCAGTCGGAAATCTGGGATATGGCTTCGATCAATCACTGCTTCTTGGGACATTGGAGCAAACTGTCCCCACGGGAATTCCCACTGCGATTATCCTCGATTCCGGTTCCACTGACAGTGGCCCGGGAAATCTGGGATTGGGAAAAATGACATGCCCTCGATCTGGGTATGAGCGTGATCTTGGAAAGCTGTTGGAAGCGTCTCATCGCTTCAAAGTTCCCATTTTGATTGGATCGGCCGGGGGAGACGGCAGTGATGATCACGTAAAAGAGATGTCCGCTATCTGTAGTGAGAACGCTGCAAAGCCAGGAAACGAGCAAGTCCACACTCTTGACACACGGTCGAAATTTGTCACTAACTCTGGGCCAGGGACTATGATTTCAAAGTGATCTCTCTCTATGGCGGTGTGGCAAAGGAAATGGTCACCAAGCGCCTTGCTGAAGGTATCCTTAACCCGTGTGGGCGAGCCGTTCCTCCAGCAACTCAGGCCGACATCGCTGGAGCCGCGCATGTCGTGGCCCAGATGGGTCCTGAGGCATTCATCAAGGTCATAGAAGCGGTGCCCGACTATGACATCTTGCTTGGGGGCAGGGCGTACGATCCAGCCCCATATATTGCGTTCGCAATTCAGTCGTTGCACCGTGTCGACCCAAAGGTCGACGTTTTCTCGTCACCAGTCATTCTCGGCGGATTTACTCACATGGGTAAAATCATGGAATGTGGAGGACAATGCGCCAAGCCCAAATCGGCGGCTGCTCTAGCGACAGTCTATGCCGATGGCTCATTCGACGTCAAGCCATTGGATGCTGATGCAAAGTGTACCTCGTTATCCGTGGCGGCCCACACATTCTACGAAAAGACCAGACCCGACAAGCTTGCTGGACCTGGAGGCTATCTCGATCTTACCGCGGCGACATACGAGGAGCTGCCGGACGGCATCAGCGTCCGTTGCAAGGGAGGTATCTTTCACACTTCCGCCTCTCAGGGTAACCCGTATCAAGTCAAGTTGGAAGCGGCAAAAGTGACCGGCTACCGCAGCTTCTACATGGGCAGTATTCGTGACCGTAAGTTCTGACCCCCCTTGTCTCGCACCTTTATTCTCAAGGGGTAGTGCTCATATGGCGCAGCGATTCTAATCAAGGAAATCGATCATTTATTGAAGCAGGCCAAATGGTATGCTGGCACGCAAGTGGTGGGTAAAGGAGAATGGCAGCTCGAGTTCCACGTGTATGGACGAACTGGTCGTATCGACGGCGAGCCGGCCGATATCGAACCGGATGAGGTCTTCATAGTAGGAGAGGTCCTCGCAGATACTCAAGCCTTGGCCACTCAAGTCTGTGAGGCCGCCCGGATTGCCACAGTCGTATGTACAGGGCCTTTCTTGCCAAACTTGACACAGCTCATCTGACCTTGCTTTCCTCTCCTAGCACGGGCCGTACCCAGGCCAGAAGGCTACAAGTGGTAACTTCTGTTTCGGCATCGCCGGAGTCAAGACCGTCGAACAAGGCCTCTGCCCCGAATTCTGCCTTTATCATCTCATGGACCTCCAACCTGGTGAAGAGTTCGCTGCGGACATGGATGGCCAACCTGTCGTGCCCGAGCCCGGCAAGAGCGCCCCCTTATTCAAATGGAAGACCCAGAAGGTCGGCAAAGCTCTTCCAAAGGCGACCGTGAATGGAAATGGAACTTTTCAATCGGCATCTGAGTCTCAGGAGGCTAGTGATGCCAGCAAGGCGAAATCATCTTCTCAGAAGCCAAAAATTGCCGAAAAGGCAGTAGACTTCGCACAGCTGCCCATCGATTCAACAACCCTGGGTGACGTCGCCAGCGTCTTACGCTCCAAGAATGCAGGGCCCTATGAACTCACATTCGACGTGATTTTCCAATCCGAGCAAGTCTACCGCATCATCAAAGACGCCAATATCCTAACAGAGGAACTAGTCCAAAAAGCCTTCGACATTTCCCTTGAAGAGGTCTTGTACTGTGGATTCTTTGATCAGGCAAGGGGGTGGAAGGCTACGATCCCGAGAAAACGTGGAAACAAACCTACAGCGTCAGGAAATTTTGGCGAGAGAGACGTCCATGGATCGCAGCAGTATATTCCGTTCTTGAGGGTGAAAGTTCCGCCGGTGGTTGTGAAGCAGTTACAGCAAGTTCAGGTCTAAACACAGGCCTAGGGGCATTCTCTTCTTGACATTGAAACAAAGCTCGATATTCTTCTCCGAGGAGTCGGGGAGAAGCGTGTCGGGAGTGATATGATTGCTTTCGAGGTTTCGATACATGTCTTCCGTTAGGATGTCATCAACCAATCCGCCCTCACGAGCATATCGGTGGTTGTTGAACATATGTGATGTAGCACCCAAAATCCAAAGTCGAACTTTGGAAGACGCATTCCCACCCAACATGGGTATGAGAATCACCCTGATACCTTGTCAAGCTGCCGTTATGGCTGTGCGAACACCGGAGAGCCCACCACCACAGACACACGGATCAGTGCTCAGCGCATTTCGACGGAAATTCCTGCTCGAAACTGGTGGTTCTCGAATCAGCTCGAGTTCTGGCAATAGATGTGAGGTTGCCATGGTCTGTAAGAGCAGGTAGGAACTTGGCAAAACTTCAGGGACCAGTTCCTATTTAATGGGTCTCAGTATTGCGACGAATTTATTTGGGTCAACATCTGAAAAAGGTTGCGGTTGCTTTCAGCATCGTCGACCGGCAATGAGCCTCGTCGGTACGTCCGCTGAAAAAGTATACACCCGTGGAGCCGCGTTGGGAGATTGGCATTGAATTGTTGATCCTCGTGCGTGTCTGCCTTTCGAATCATCTGATTGTATGACTTACCATTTCCCTTGCACGCGCGTGGTGGTCGTGTTGTTTCTTTGGCGTTGGCGGATCCCCCCAGCGCTTCGGGAGCTCCGTCCCTTCTGTTGGAAGAGTGGGTCGCGATAAGGAAAGCTGAGGTTCCTTTACTTTCTTGTGAAGGTAGACTTAAAATGTTTTGGCTGATCTTCGCGTCTTGAGTGAAACGTTTGTAGCTGGCTGGACCAAAAGCCCACTGCTAATATACAACAAGGGGAAACTACAACACGGGAAACCCTCGAAAGATAAGGTGGATGGTGCTGGTTAGGTCAAGGGTGTAATTTTCCACAGGAGAAGCCAATCCTCACCGCAACAAATCCCCGAAGACCGCGAAGCCGAGAGGGAATGTCCACTCTTCATTGTGCTCCTTGTCTAATACATTGGGAGATAAGGCCCAAATGGATGAATCACTGGATCGGTATCCTGAAGAAGTTCATCAAAGTGGAAGTCAATATCAAGCTCCTCTTCTCCCTTGCCGAAGCATGTCATGTCAATCTCATTACACGACGGCCAGGTGGGTGTTGAACCCACAACCGTCTGTAGTAACCGGTAAGACTTTTCCAGACTGTCCTTCGCCCTTTGCGCAATAGCCAGCTCCACTGATGTGCCAGCTTCCATGGATTCAATCTGGCCCAGGACCATGTTGAGGAGCATGTGCATTCTCACATTGGTTTCACCACGTTGAATGCGCTTGCCAGATAATGAAATCATGTCCTTCAAAGCACCTACCAACAATTCTCTGTAACTCGAACGTCCCTGAAGGGCTTGTTCTTCATCAGTTGCAGTAATGAGCTCGAGGCATATTGCGAAAGCGGCGTGAATCACGCATGCTCTGAAGAGACCTCCGGCTACCGTCATCAGGCGAGAAAAGTCTTCATTTGGATCTGGAGGGAAGATTGACATGGCCGAGTCTAAGCTAATCTTCCGGGAGAAATAAAATAGAGGATTCTTGCGCGCCAGACTGGCAAACGGACGATGTAGCGGGATTAGGAAACGACGAAGAAGGCAGTCTGTCAGACGGCGAGAGAATCGTGATGCTCTGGAGTTGTCCCTTTCCTGAATAAGAATGTTGCATTCACGGCAAGAATCGCTGATCTCTGAGCCAATAGCAAGGACTCTGTCATAAGACATCCCCGAACGTAAGCCATTCAGGCATCGGACGATTTCGAGCCTCACACGTAAGGTCCTAAGGAGAATGAGCTGTGCAGAAACTTCCGTACTTGTTGTCTCTGGATGTTGTGGGAGTCCTTGAGTGTTCTCATCCATCTCCCCATCATCGTTATTCGAAGGCGGTTTGGTATCGAAATCGTCAAATGAAATCATCGGTGGCATTCCCGAATCCAAAGATGACTGGATTGACATCTCTAGGATGGTAGCCCAGAGCCTTCTCCTGATCTCAGACTGGAGGACCGTCATTCGTTGAAAGTGTTTGGGATCACGATGTAGACCCATTTGAATAGCTGTCCGGACAAGAGTACCCATGGAGACCCAGATCAGATCACCACCAACGGATAAGATCTGACGAGCAAGAATCAACAAACAGTGCACCTGCAGTCCGCCGATGGTCAACCGGTCCTTTTCCAGGGGTCCTGCCAGCCAACTTTGTGCGGCATACACCCATTGAGCTGCTAGAGACCGAAGCCCGGCTTCGTTACGTTCATCTCGATGTAGGCTGGTTCCAATGGCTATAACGAGCTGAACCTTGAGCCGCAGTGCAGCTCCTGCAGTGGTTGGATTGTTCCAGAATTGTTGATACTCAGTCCAGAAGGTAGGTACATGGAGGATTCGAAATGCCGATTCGAATCTTGAGAGATATAGCCGGGTCATGAGGTCCGCAACTTCACGCGATGGAGGCACAATGGTAGCTTCGGGACATGAGAAACACCTGCTGGGTCGTGTTGCTTTGGCGCCTTTGGCCAGGCTTTTGCATGTTTGAAGCAAGTTACGAATCTCCATTATCAAAGGTCTCGTAGCTTCAGTACTCGTGGCGACTCCAATTTCGTCGCTGAATACTGATTGAAATGTTTTGAACTTGGACAGTCAGCTCTTAACGGGCACATACGAATGACATGTAAATTCTCTTGACCTACCTCGTAAGTGGCGTTTATCCAGTGACTCTGACCAAATACTCTGGTCTTGTTTAGAGTTGTTCTCCCGTCTTGCAAGGCGGAGTGAGCTGCCAAGTCGTAGCCAGGAGGTCGATCTGGTGCATGACTGGAGAAGCGTTGCTCCAATGCTTGTACCCTGCGAATTAGGCCGTGAAAATCAGGCTCTTTGTCACGTCCAAAGGCTAGATGTTGCTTCGAAGATAGATTTTCACCATCGTTGTCGGTTGAGGGGCAGCTCTTCTGCGTCGGTACGGAGCTTTTCTCTGGTAGGTAACTATTGGTATCACCAGGAAGGCGAGTCGAACCGTCCTCACCCGTCTCAGGGGTGCCCGTGGGAGGTGCTGAGACCCAGGTCGAAATGGCGTCCCCATGCGGCGCAGAAGCAGTTTGACCAGGATAGACTATGTAGACACATTTTCCTTTAGCAGCAATGCAGTGATTGCAAGGGTCATTTCGATCGCATTTGACTTTGCGGCGGCGGCATTCGACACAAGACCGGGCGGGCCGTCGGCGCTTGCGCGGAACTGCTCTGGGATCATTTCCGACAGCAGGAATCATGGCTGAAGCATCAGGCGGTTATGACGGAATGGCTCTTCAATCCATGAAGCGAAGATAAGTATGAGAAGAGAGCCTTTTCTTAATTGAAGGAACGGATTCCATTTCAACCGGGAGCTAGTCCGTGGACTCTCCGTTAACTCCGCTCTGACCAATCATTGTACAATGAATTCACCGGCTCGGCCGACAGCTCGGCCTTCGCACCAACCACCAGCCAAGTATATTTCAGATTAGCGACCACTCTCGACTATAGATTTTGGCGACGACATACCTCGACAATGATAAAGTTCCCAGCTGCGACGGAGTAGAGGCCGCTTCTGGACTTGTCAGGTTTGAATATTATCGTGGCCTTGCTCCATAGTCCTAGTCGTCGCGTTTTCTGCTTCTAAATTGACACCCTCATGCAGGGTACGCAACTCGGGAAGAGCGAGTAAATGCTCGAAAAATACCTCAGTGCCGAATAACCCGTTCTCATCTTGACGGGCTTCCGTGAGCAAAGACTTCGCCTCTACTACTAGAGATCCGTGAAGGGAGTGAAACTCTCGTTGCCGATGGCGAACCGAGCAAGCTGTCCCGACGATGTAGGCTACTGAAATGCGAGGAAAGGTATTTGGTGAGCTGGAGTAAAGGGATGACATATTAAGCCACTTGATTGAACGTGATAAAGAGGTTCGGAGGTCAGATGCTGTCTTTTTGGAGAATAAGTGACTGAGGCCAGTCAACCAGAAAGTGGTGCATGTGTACTTGCACCACGTGGTCGCCACTGGCCGAATGTGAGATTGTAATCTTTCGCACTGCTCTATTACCCAGGTTCCAAAGGCCTGAAGAAATGTCAGGCATTGTTCTCACTGACCCCGACTGCGTGGTTGCTGTTCTCCACCTCGGGAATTTCACTGCCTTGGAGGCTTTGCCCTCTGGAAAACTATTTTGGTAAGCTTGTCCTCTCTAAGATTGAGGCGCATTCTAGCATCTCCGTTTCATCCATCTCCCAACACCAAAGCCACCATGTCGACCTCAACCACAACCGAAGTCCTGAGCGACAGCGTTCACGGCTAGCTGCTTGTTGCAGCCACGATCACGCTCGAAGATGGGCTCTTCAACGTTCAGGAACCGTCGCAGAGCTTTTCGCTTTCTTATTGAGCGAGGGCTGGCTTTGGATGACCCAGAAACAAGACCGTTTGCCGAAATCGAGGGAACCATGGATATGTGGTACGCAGCTGGTGGACAGATTGTGCTATACTCGACCTCAGAAAACACACTCCTCAATTTTGTGTGCGTCCATCCAGCTTCATTGTCCAAGGCATTCGGAACATACAGCAAAGCGACTTCGAAAGCCATGCTGCTGGAAGTGTATAGGGACTTCCATCCTGGTTTGCTCCAGTTACTGGGTAAGGTCGATCCAGTAGAACTGAAAATTTATCCGCCATTCGATATGGCGAACCTTCCGACGTTTGTTTCTGGCTGGATGGGCTTTGATCGGCGACGCCAGCACATCCCTTCACACCACATCCAGCCAAGGCGGCACCATGGGCTATCGTGGATGGGCCATCATTGGGGGTGATGTTGGAATGAGGCGTAGCACCGGCCGAGGTACATGAACAACCCCCCAGCTGTACAACAAAGCTCGATATGAGCGAGCATTGAAGATTCAAGGGTACAGTCGTCAGGTTGTTGAGAGCAGGGTCGCCACCAAGTCCGAGGATAGGACTCAATGTTCTGTCACAGGAGTACGTTACCAGAAGAGGCGCCTCTTAGCGTCTATGCCACAGACGTCGTAATTTGCTCCCAACTGCATGATGCGATAGCAGAGTTGAGATCTCGTGGTACAATCCAAGATCTACACACATCCTGGTGGAAAATCCCGATGTACACCAGATTGGTGTCTTGGTCTGGATAAGTAGAGAATAGAGCAACAGCAATAAAGGGCCTTGAAACGCCTGAGTTCTTTCTCTTGCATGATGGCCGTGAGACTTGACAAGACATGGGCATTGTAATTCTCCGCGAGTAAGGGAGCAATTTGATTGTCTCTTGAGACGCAAAGCAGAGAATGGCAACCACCATGGTAAGCATAAATCGCTCTTTGACACATGTTGTCTACATATCTCTAGTGGATAGGTCGTCGTAAAGAGCACGGATCTCTCGCGGAAATTCGTCCTCAATCAGAATTGGATATTGAATCTGAAAACGGGAGAAGAAAAGTCCAGCACGCTTGGCAGCAGTCTCTCGGGGCAGCAAAGCAGTCAGTCCGTTTGGCGTGCAAGGCAGGGTATTAGGAGCGGGTGATGGTTTCTCAAAGACAGGAAATGCCTCCAGACTAACATCATTTTGATGCGCAGATTCAAGGGCGGCGTGAGCAAGATGTAGGCCACTCGAGTTTCCATGATAATGAGCCTCACATTGCGCATCTCCAAGATCTATCAGGTCAGCATGTATGCTTTCTCTTGCACCATCATGCGAACGTTGAGCTCGTTGATCCCCTGATGAGCTTCTAGATTGGTCGATACTGCGATGGCCAGGAGAACATGCTGAGGCAGTCTCGTGTCCACGTTGTGCAGTTTCCAGCTGCCAGTTGTGCCTCCAAACTACAGATGTATTCTCGAGGGAGGTTGGTCTTTGCATTCTGGTCGAAGTAGGGCCAACATCGCAGCGCATTTTCCTGTTCCTACAACGGTTGCAGGCTGGTATTGAGTAAGCGCCGTTAGTACCGAGGTCAAGTCCCAACACAGGAGTTACCCACACGAAAGAATCGATCCTGACCTTGCATTTTATTGCAAGGAGTAGCAGGCTGGCTTCGGGGAACTGACAGCAGCATGTTAGCTACTGGCCTCATAGAAGGCCGCAGGCACAAGGCAATCAGCAAGCGATTTGTCTTTTCATGTAGACGTAAGGCGTTCTCAGATCCAAGGTATGCAGTGCCTAAAAGCAGCGAGACAGGGCACACTTGCAGGGAAACCGTCGCCCTGTGAACGAATATTAACCGCTCCTGTTTAGTCTCCCACAGTAGCGCCATATTCATCATCCCAATTTGACTTGTTCAGCCCTGAAAGTCTGACTCCGCGGTCTTCCCTCAGTCTTCCTGCGCCATAGGCGCAATCCTAGGCCGCAAACAATGGTAGACTACGCAAAGAAAACAGTAGCTGAGCTACAAGAGATCCTCAAGTCGCGGAGTCTACCGCATTCAGGAAAGAAGGCAGAGTTGATCGCCAGATTGAATGCGGCCGACAAAGCAGCAGAAGAGTCTGGTACGTGCAAAATTGTCCCGCACCAGCGGTCGACCCATTGCGGTGCGCCCCTTCGCGGCCTTTCAGTCCGCCTTTGTAATGGTATTTGAAGCCAACATAAACTGACCTGATGGTGTCTGAAAGCAGCGAAACCCCCTCCTGAAGAACCTGTCAGCGCGCCACCCGCACAAGCCCCAGAACCAACACCAACACCGGTCGCAGAAGCACCAGAAGTACCAGAAAGCGCGTCAGCGCCTACAGAAGTCGACGCGACTGACTCTCCATCTGCAAACACAGACTCTGCTTTGGCCAACTCTGCCTCATATGCCCTAAATTTACCCTCTTCAGACGTGGATTCCGAGATGGCGAAACGCAAAGCCCGAGCCGAACGGTTTGGCACTGGTGTAGTTGCGGCAAATGGAAACTCCGGCGACGCAAGCGCAACCACTACAGATGCAGATGCGTTGAAAGCACTCGAACGCGCAAAGCGGTTTGGCATCGGGCAGACGGCGATGGGTAAGCTAGACGAGGCCTTGCCGGCGGAGAATGAACGCGGAGCGAGGAACCGAGGTCGCACAGATGAGAGCAGCGCAATGGACGACCCAGGTCTAAGAAGAGGATTTGGAGGACGCGGCCGGGGCAGGTTTCGTGGAGGAGGTGGACGGGACAACTCAAGGCGAAGAGTAGGGGAGAAACCTTCTGGCATCATCAAGTCAGGCAGTGCATTTTCGACCGAGGCTGACCGTCTGGCTGCGGAGGCAAGGAGAAAGAAGTTCGCTTCAGCATCATGAAATCTTCTCATTTGGCCGGTTATGATGGATACTTCTTGAGATAGGACTTCTCAGGCGGGCGGGATTCTGATGAATTTGACTGGGTTTTTACAAAACAGGCTGAACAACAATACAAGAGCGCGGCCACCATTATGTTCAAAGGCTGCCCGGGGAAAATCCTTTTGTCGAGTCTCTTCGGTTATTCTCGTGACGAGATGGTATGGAATTTTGATCCATGTCGTCTCGTGCACTTCGCCGCGTGCAATGTGAGAACGGGATCGCATATCATTCATGTATTACGTAGAAAAAGAAAAAAGCCGGCTGCCGCGAAGGGAAGGGCAAAATTCCTCCATCCAATTCAGCAATGGGACTTCCTATCTAATGAAGGCCTGGTTGTTTGTTGTAATCTATAAGGCTGCGGAATGGAGGATTTCCTACAGTTTCCCGGAGTATTGGGATTCACTGTTTCTATCGACAAGTTCCATATCCACTCTGACTTTAGATCAGCTGAGCAGCGTCGTCTGTCACACTAATGGGCGGTAGACTGCTCATACTCTCGGAACCCGTACTAAATTATTCACCGTCACTGTTCCTATGATCCTCAATCCTGCAGACCCAATGCCGTTAGCCTGGAGCCTGGAAGATGTTCTCAAGATTCTTACACTTTTATCTTAACCCAGAACCTGCCAACATTTCGTAGAGCAACCTGTTCGCGGTGATAGGGAAATACTTTGTTGATTGGTCGGTTCTGTCAGGTGTTGTGAGGGCTGTCGGGTCAAATGAAACATTCGAATAGTGGCAAACTGGCTGGGAAGTTCGTGTACCATCTTGGTCGCCCCGGAGAACTGATTGTGGAGTGTTCATATGGGGTTGAAAGTTGTTGTTGTTGAATACGATGAAGTTGCCTTGCACTGGGGAACCGCTCCGTGGAGAGATTTAAGAGTTGGTAACTGTGAACTGTAAGCCTGGGACAGAAATACTCTCCGTGTCTTCCGTAGCAAAAGAAGTGGTATATTCGTGCACAAATGGAAATGCAGCCGCGCTGCCATCAGAGATAGGCCGAATAAGAGAAGCAGTGGGACACCTAGGAGGTTACTGAATGGTAAGAGGAGTCCGGTCTCCAAGAGAAAATTACGTTGTGTAAGCAGAGCGAATATGGCATCTTGAGCGACTGGTCAGCCATGGATGTCAATGCGCGATGCTTATATGCTGAGATATCCAGCTTATCCGCCATGCGAGCGTGGCTCCCGCCTCTTGTCATTTGATAATGGAACTCGAACAGAGCTTTGGAAGAGGTGATAATCAGGAGAGATGAAGTGACGTTGTCTCAGTTCTGTTGGAAAGCAACCGCAAGAAGAAACAAGCCCGGAGAAATTGAGCAGCAATGCAGATTCCGACCGAATAGGAGAGGAATTAGGACATGAATTTGATCTGCGAAGACAAAATGAGCCGAGACAACCCGCGGGGGATGTAGAATAGGGACGCACGTTGTCATAGTCGAATTGGCTGGGACAGGCTTGACGAAGCGGTAGCCCAAGATAAATGGTTTCGTCTGCACCGAGGAAAACCGCAGCTAAGCAAATCACCAAACACAAAAAAAGTCTTCATATTGCAAATTCTAGATCACATAATTTGGGCAAAGAGCACCGAAAAAACCCTTTTGTAGAAATGTTCTCGCCATTTTGGCAGACTTCCTCACAAGGTCACAAACCAGTACTGTCGGCGGGCTTAAACAGGGTGTCGAGAAGCCTTTGACGGCCTTGTTGATGCCAAGAATAAACCGCATTGGGATTAGCGAGAAATGCTCCTTATCCCAACTGTCGATGCACTTCTCGCCCTCGAGCATCATAAGTCCCGGTACCTTGCGTTTCTGTAACACTCATCCTGATGCATTTGAGATGTGTCAGGTTCCATTGGATGCTGACACCCAGAGAAGTCATCAATTGATCTTGACCGGGAATTTGTACCAGCACCCAACTCGCAGTCTGAGACCTCAATATGAGCTGAGACGCCACAAGATCTGGACGAGAAGTCGACAATCTATGATCGGGGTCCCGCGGAGAACACCAAGTTGATATAAGCTCTCCCAGAGAATCCCAGCCTGTTATCAAGCTCAGACAAATGTCCAGGCCCAGGTCAGTTTGGGCTCCCACTGCTAGGCTGGCTTTCTGATAAGGAGGCTCCACAAGGTCACAGCAAAAGACACATGGCGCAGAGATAAGCCTTTGTCCAACCAGGTCTTCACAAACTTCGAGCCTTTGGCCTTCAGTCAATTTTCCTGCCTCACTATTCGATGTGGCCGTCATCATCGGCGATAATTCCATCCTGTTCGGGAGCCGGCCTAAGAGCCTGCCCAGAATCTCCCTTTCGGATGCGTCCAATCGAGCTATGTTGGTTTACCATCAATAAGCCTCAATGGTCACTTTCACGTATCTTGTACGATTGGATCGACAATCCGCTTCGAGACGAGACTGAAACGAATGCACGATCGCATCGGTGATCTCATGAGAATTGATAGATATGGCCCAGCGTCCTTAAGCCCGCTCACTTATCTGTTCACGGACACGACCAATACGACGTGGCTGGTGGTCCAGAACAACCTGAAGATTGGGAATGAAGAACATCGCATGATGGCGTACAAACGACCTCCGAGGATACAGAGCCATTTGAACACATCTGGGAGAAGTACAAACGCCTCGGAGCTCAGAATACGTCGAAGCTTAACAGTTTGGAGACCCATATCTGTTCCGTTATCAGCGGCAACTTAGCCTAAGCAAGGGGTGGCTTGCATACCCAAGTCTGTGATTTGCTACTGAACCTTCGATCTTTTGGAGCAGATCTGCCGCGGACTTGCTTGGCCGGGGGGACACCCTGGTCTCGAAGTGAATCTATTCTATATCCCCCGGAGAAGCATCCCAAACGTCCCAGTGAGAATACTGGCCTTGGTGCACACCAGCGCTTCCCGCCTATATGTACCCTCTCGACTCTCTTCAGAAAATTACGATCTATCAACATCCGGCATTGCTCCAGTGTTGAGTCGATCGATATCCATCCAAGGCCGACGAGTCTAACAAGCACGGTTGGGATCTCTCATCATGGCGATCGACTTCAGCCTGGCCTTCCGGGCCCCAGAGGTCAACCCCATCACCCACAAGGCCCGATCCATTCCATTTTTGAATCCAATCAACATGTATGGTCGCGTGTTCTTCTTCTCATGGTTCGGCTTCTTCATTGCCTTTTGGTCTTGGTACGCCTTTCCTCCACTGGTAAGTCATGAAGGTATCCGGATGTCCGTTCCCGATGCTAACAGCACGCAGCTGCACGATACCATCCAGAAGGACCTTAAGTTAACCAAGGTCGACGTTGCCAACTCCAACATCATCGCCCTTTGCGCAACTCTACTTGTTCGACTCATCGCAGGACCAAGTTGCGATCATTTCGGACCTCGCAAGACATTCGCAGGCTGTCTCCTCATCGGTGCTATTCCCACGTTCCTGGCTGGAACTTGCTACAACCGCGGGCAACTCTTTGCCGTTCGATTCTTTGTTGGTATCCTGGGCGGCAGTTTTGTGCCTTGCCAAGTGTGGTCCACTGGATTTTACGACAAGAACATTGTTGGCACTGCCAACGCATTCACCGCCGGCTTCGGTAACGCTGGAGGCGGTGTTACCTACTTCTTGATGCCCTCCATCTACGACTCCCTGGTGGGCCAGGGGCTGACTCCTCACACGGCATGGCGCGTGGCCTTCGTTGTCCCTGGTATCGTTATCGTCTTTGTTGCGCTCTCTCTCCTGCTCTTGTGCCACGACACTCCCGTGGGCAAGTGGAACGAGCGCCATCTTGCTGCTCAACAAAACCTCCATAGTCACGGTGTCCATGCTACCATTGTAGATGCACCAAAGGCAAGTGTGATGGAAACGCCCCAGTCGCCATCTAAGGGCTCGACCTCACCACCGTCTGACGTGGGCGAGAAGTGGGAATATAACGCCACTGGCGAGCGCAAATTGTCCGTCTACGCCGATCATGAGGCGCAGATGACAGACCAACAAATGCTCGATACGGCTCGAGGCGAGGTTGTTGTCAAGCCAACTCCGAAGGAGGTCATCAGAGTTATGTTTGCGCCGCAGACCCTGGTTACCGCATTCTGCTACTTCAATTCGTTTGGTGCCGAATTAGCCATCAACTCCATCCTCGGATCATACTACCAAAAGAATTTCAACCAGTTGGGCCAAACCACATCCGGACAGTGGGCTGCTATGTTTGGTCTTCTCAATGTCGTCACTCGCCCTCTCGGTGGCATCATCTCTGATCTCTTGTACAAGAGTTTCCCCAATGTCTGGGTCAAAAAGGTGTGGATGCACGCCTTGGGTATCGTCACCGGCGTCTTCATTATTGTCATCGGTGTCCTCGACCCTCACGATGAAAGCACCATGTTTGGCCTTATCGCTGGTATGGCTTTCTTCTTGGAAGGTGGCAACGGTGCCAACTTCTCGTTGGTCCCTCACGTAAATCCCCAAGCCAACGGTGTGGTTTCTGGCATGACCGGTGCTACCGGCAATTTCGGTGGTATCATCTATGCTATTGTTTTCAGATACAACACCACCAACTACGGCAAATCATTCTGGATAATTGGTGTCATGACTATTGGCATCAACCTTGCTTTTTCCTGGATCCGACCCGTGGCGAAGCACCAGGTTGGTGGGCGCTAAACGGTGGCGATGGTCAAATCAGAAGAGGATGATGACAGATATGTACACGGGTGTCGGCGGCGAGTCTTAGTCTATTTTCCTATGGATATGAATTGGTGTTGGATGGGGAAACCGTGGCAGCAGAAAAGCAACGAGAATGATCAACATTTCAAAACAATAGTTTATAACTTCGCCTGCTCTTCCCATTCCATTTACCGCAGAGGCTCATGAGGATATCTGACCGCGATCGACACGGGTGGTCGTATTCCCTCATTGGCGGAACGTACTTAACACAGCAAAGTTGTGTGAAAGAAAGCAGGTGACATGACTCAAATTGACGAATCGCTACTGCTTGACTGTTGGCTATGCAAGGGAAAGAGAGACACTGCTCCATGTGCGGGACGTCGTGAGGCCTGCGATGGCTCCGCCGCCCTGCGTGCCTCTCGTTCAGGGGAAATCGACACGCTAATTCAAATGGGGATTGGCGGCTTGGCAACATCTGGTCTCGGCGGTGAAAAGACCCTCGTGGCCTCACTGGACTCTCCCACCACCCGCTGAAAAAAAGAACCTAAAATCATTCTTTGATCGCTGAGCAAGGTGCTGATCCTTAATCAAATCGATTCTTTGAATTAATCCCCAGCAGAAAATCTCCAGGTCTGTCGGTTGCGGCTCGAGACATGTTGAAAATTCCCTCGCGCAATAAGGCCGTCGGTGCAAATGCAATCACCAAGGCGGTCATCTTGGTCCGTTTGGCCGACCCAAAGCTCAATAGGAACTCTGCTGATCCCCAGGTAGGTCGGAGGTCCTTCTCGAGGAACCCGATTCAGACCATTGAGTCTTGATGTGCCCAAGGTAAGCCAGGACACACCTCAACAACGGTCCAATTCATTAACCGCTCCCGACTTTCAGCCTCTGTTTGATGTTGCCGGCCACCCCATCATCTGGCACTGTCTCAAAGCCGTCTCCAAAGTGCCCGACATCAAAGAAGTCATCCTCATTGGCTATTACGACGAGAGTGTCTTCCGCGATTTCATCAAGGATTCCTCGAGAGAGTTCCCTAACATCAAGATCCAGTATTTACGAGAGTACCAAGCCCTTGGCACTGCTGGTGGCCTCTATCACTTCCGGGATGCCATTCTCAAGGGCAAACCGGATAGATTCTTCGTGTTCAACTCGGACGTCTGCAGTTCTTTCCCACTCGATGCCATGCTTAAGCTCTTCGAAGAGAAAGATGCCGAAGCCGTCATTCTGGGCACCCGAGTCAGCAATGATGCCGCCACCAACTTCGGATGCATTGTGTCCGACTCTCACTCCAAGCGCGTTCTACATTACGTGGAGAAGCCTGAAAGCCACATCTCGAACCTGATCAATTGTGGCGTGTACCTGTTTGCCACCGAATGCATCTTCCCTTCAATCAAAAGCGCCATCAAACGCAAGACTGAGCGACCACGAATGATTTCCTACCCATCCTCGGAGAATCTGGAGTCGTCCTTCGTGGCTGACCCCGAGGAAGACGGCGAAAAGAACGAGGTTCTACGTCTAGAGCAGGACATTTTGTCCGACCTGGCCGATAGCAACCGCTTCTTTGTCCACGAGACCAAGGACTTCTGGCGTCAGATCAAGACCGCCGGTTCGGCCGTTCCAGCTAACGCCTTGTATCTGCAAAAGGCTTTTCAATCTCAATCGGAGGAAATTGCACGACCCTCCGCTACCATCGTTCCTCCAGTGTTCATCCACCCCACTGCCGAAGTCGATCCTACGGCCAAGCTGGGTCCTAATGTTTCCGTTGGACCAAAAGCAGTGATTGGCGCAGGCGCACGTGTCAAAGAAGCGATTGTGCTCGAGGAAGCAGAAATCAAACACGATGCTTGTGTTCTCTACGCCATTATCGGCTGGAACAGTCGTGTTGGAGCATGGGCTAGGGTCGAGGGCACCCCTACCCCCGTCAGCAGCCATACCACGAGCATCATCAAGAACGGGGTCAAGGTGCAAAGTATCACGATCCTCGGCAAGGAGTGTGCAGTGGGTGACGAAGTTCGAGTTCAAAACTGCATTTGCCTGCCCTATAAGGAGTTGAAGCGTGATGTTGCGAACGAAGTCATTATGTGATTTGTATATCAATGGCGACGAGCCAGATTCATAGAGCGAGAAACTCAAAGTGAGCGCAGAATGCTATCTCTTAGGCGAGGAAACGGTGATAGAGAAAAAAGCCAGGCAGACAACTTTGTGACAATAGTTATTTTTCTAGAGAGAATCAAGATCAATATTCATCGAGGGACCGGTCGAACCTCGTTGCATCCGTGACTCGTTCTCGGGTATCCCATGGATTTGATCACCAATCCCAGAACTAGGCCCCCCATTCAGAGAGAAGGGCATCTGAGATATAAATGCAGCGTTGAGCCCCCACCCTCTTTCACCCAACTTCTACCTCTTCATTTCGTCCCTGAATCATGTCTTGTCTCCAAAGGTCGTGGACCGACATACTGGGGGTCCCTTTCACTCCGAGGTTGCGAATGCGCGAACGAACACCGTGTTTTCATCGTCCAGTCGGCGGAAATTTCGTCCGAAATGCCGAGGTATGCTCCCGGCTTGTTTGAAGTCGGACGTCGTCAAAATCTTGCTGCCTTCTCTTTTGCTCTACTATAATTACATTAAAGGAGGATTGAAGTCCATCTCCCCCTTCTTTTCAAGACTCGTGGTCAATTATCTTCATCACCCAGCCAGAAAGAAGAAGGATTCTTGCAGCAGATCGAAATGGCGTATACATTGACCCTCCCGGATGGCTATGGGTGAGTTCTGTTTGATCGTCTAATACCTCAGACTCGGGATCCAATCTGACAGGAATTTGAAAGCTACGTTGTTCTCGTTGCTCTGGGCCTGGTCCCAGTTCTATCATGGACTCAAGGCGCAGTGGTTACGACCATGAGAAGGGAAGCTCGCGTACCATATCCCAATGCCTATGCATCGGCCGAACAAGCAAAGGAAAACAAGGTGGCCTACAAGTTCAACTGTGCCCAGAGGTCTCACCACAATCTTTTGGAAAATATGCCCCAGACCATGCTCTACATACTTTTCAGCGGTTTGGAGTACCCCAAGGCGGCAGCCGGGGTAGGAGCTGCTTGGCTCATCTTTCGAATAATTTTTGCATGGGGATACATCACCAGTACGAAGGCCCATGGAGCGGGGAGGTTGTATGGAGGAGCATTTTGGCTGATGCAAGGGGGCCTTTGGGGAATGTCGATTGCCACTGCTCTGAAGATGTTGTGAAGTCGATGGCTTTGCCGAGGGGCTGTAAGGGAGCTCTGTAACCGCGGAAATGTGTCAATTGGCGGCTCTGAGAATAGTCGTGCAGATTCTTATTGTAGAGTATTCGGTCAATGGGATGGCTACCGTCGTGGGTAATTTTCGTTGGTGGAGTAAGCCGCACGTGATTCGGTCCATATGTTGCTCCGGGGGTTATTTAGCTAAACTTTACTAACGCGATCCCTAAAGCTTTAACTAAATACCACCTATCCTTTCAGGCGGACTTAGGGCCTCTTGCGCCCGGAGTCGCAAGCCCATAGTCACGTGCGTCAACCCCCACCGACGAAAATTACCCTTGATACCCACAGTAGAGTGCATTGAGTCATGCAAATTCCCCAATGTCAAAAATCAGGCACGAATTCATGAGTCAGAAATTTTCGCGATTTCACCACAATACAAAAAAACATCTCTCCCGCAATTGATGACTCGACGGCCTACCTGAACACCTGTTGTTCTTTAATCTCCTCCGATATCAGTATCTACGGTCTCACACAAGTATTCACACCATGGCGGACGCAACTACCTCCCTGGAGCAGGACGCTGCCAATCTCCACCTCGACGAGGTCACGGGCGAAAGAGTCTCCAAGTCTGAACTGAAGAAGAGACAGAAGCAAAGACAATTGGAAGAGAAGAAGAAGGAAAGGGCTGCGGCTGCTCCACCAAAGCCTGAGAAGAAGCCCAACAGCGCCGAAATGGACGAAAGCAGTCTCAGCCCCAATGTCCGTGTCCTCGTGCTCTAATGCCCTGCCCAAATTTGAATTCGTACTGATCTGTCTTTCCGCAGCAATACTTTGAAATCCGAAGTGGACGGATTAACCGTCTCCGAGAAACCAAAGCTCCTAACCCCTACCCTCACAAGTTCCAAGTCAACACGGACCTGAGCAAGTTCGTCAATGAATATGCCGATCTCAAGCCCGGTGAGCAGAAGAAGGACGTCGAGATCCGAGTCGCAGGTCGAGTTTACGTCAAGCGAGCAGCGGGCTCCAAGTTGGTTTTCTATGATATAAGAGGCAGCGGCACCAAGGTTCAGATCATGTGCCAGGCACAGGAGGTCAAGGGAGACGTCGGATTCGAGGCCCAACACGAGCATCTACGCAGAGGAGACATTGTCGGGGTTGTGGGCTACCCAGGTCGAACGGCACCCAAGAACCGACCCAATGAAGGAGAATTGTCCGTATTCGCACACGAAGTCATCCTCCTCACACCATGTCTGCATCAAATCCCCTCGGAACACTTTGGTCTGCAAGACGTCGAAACCCGCTTCCGTCAGCGTTACCTCGATCTCATCATGAATGACAAGTCGCGCAATGTCCTCCTCACCCGAGCCAAGATCGTCTCCTATATCCGCCGTTACTTCGATTCCAACGGTTTCGTCGAGGTCGAAACGCCCATGATGAACTCTATTGCTGGTGGTGCCACGGCAAAGCCCTTCATCACACACATCAACGAATACGATACGGACATGTTCATGCGGATCGCTCCGGAATTGTACCTCAAGATGCTCGTGGTAGGTGGCATTGAGCGAGTCTACGAGCTTGGAAAGCAATTCCGCAACGAGGGCGCCGATCTCACACATAATCCCGAATTCACGACATGCGAGTTCTACGAAGCCTACGCTGACGTCTATGACGTGATGAATCGTACGGAGGAGCTTATATCCGGCCTCGTGCAGGAGGTCACTGGCGGACACAAGACGACCTTCCATACGCAACACGGCGAGACATACGACGTCGACTGGTCACGTCCATGGAAGCGCGTCGACATGATCCCAGCCCTCGAGGAAGCCACCGGCGAAAAGTTCCCACCGGGCGACCAACTCCATACCGCAGAGGCGAATGGGTTCTTCAAGCGCGTTTTGAAGAAGTGCAATGTCACGTGCCCACCCCCCGAGACCAACGCCCGCATGCTCGACAAGTTGGTCGGCGAATTCATTGAAGAGAAGTGCATCAATCCGACCTTCATCACAGGGCACCCTCAAATGATGTCGCCGCTGGCCAAGTATCACCGCTCTCTCCCGGGAATCTGTGAACGGTTCGAGGCATTTGTGTGCAAGAAGGAAATAGTGAACGCGTACACCGAGTTGAACGACCCATTCGATCAGCGATTACGGTTCGAAGAGCAAGCGCGCCAGAAAGCCCAAGGAGACGACGAAGCGCAAATGATTGACGAGAATTTCTGCACGAGTCTCGAATTCGGTCTCCCCCCGACGGGTGGTTGGGGTATGGGCATCGATCGCATGGCCATGTTTTTGACGGACAACTACACTATTCGCGAAGTGTTGGCGTTCCCGTTCATGAAGGAGGAGAAGGTTCCCGCTGGCAAGGAAAAGGAGACGGCGGCGGAGGTCGTAGGTATCAAGCCCTTGCCTGAGGAGGGGATAGGTAAGTTTTACAACATGCTTCCGAATTCGGCCTGGACGGTTGAATTGGATTTGCTGACAAAGTGAATAGCGCATAAGTAAGCGACGATGACCCCGCCAGATTCGAAAATCGAGGGAAGTTATAAGCAGAAGAGACGACACGATGTCTGACGTCTTTATGAATTATTTGGCCAAAAGAAAGAGATGCAATAAGAACAGCAGACCGGTGTTGGCAGATGGGCGATTTAACATGAACTCGCGTCAATAGATGGAGCATCAGAAAACTCTTGTGGAGAAATGGAGAGAGAAGGCGGACGCAAGAAATACCCTGTTTCTTTCTCCTTACTGCATGCTCTGAGTGTTCGAGTTAGCTGGTTATTTGTAAAGAGCCAGTGAATGAGAGCTGCAGTGCAATATGTTACTGGTTATGCGCCAATGTCTTGCTTTCAAAATTCGAAGAGAACTCAGAGTGGATCAGAACTGTGCCGGACTTGAAAACTAGACTGGGGGAAAGAGTGTTCCCCCCCAAAAAGAAAAACCCCCTTCCCTTTACTGGAACGAGCTGAACCTCGAAGGTTGAATTGGAGATTTGATATACGATCTCTCTTTTCCCTTTCCTGTCCCCCGAGTTAAAAAAATCCATCCATCCATATCAGCCTCCTTTAAGGCCCAGACTTATAAGGCTGAATGGTGGCCCAGTTGTGGTCTGGTACATATAATATACAGAAACCGTGCGACCATGGCTATAACGGCGAAAACAACGTGAGGGTCATCTCATCTCGTGACGTTCATCGATTGTCTCTGTTTCTGGAGAAAATGGCTATTTTGACTTGCCGAACTCCGTGTTGATATCTTGCGAAGACTCGTGCAGTTGCTTGTGGTCTCGCACCGACTTTTGCGCGTCCATCGTTAACCCCATCATCATCAATCCAAGCGCAGTAACAGCGGATGCCATACTAGCAGGGAGCACGGTTCTCGTCTCGGTGGCAGCACCGGAGTGTTTCCAAGACGCTTCCAACGTCCCTGCTGCACCCTGCCGACCCCGCCCAACACTGCCGATGCTACTGACATGAGCTTGAGCCCTTTGGGCTAAAATCCTCGCAGCCTGCTTGGGGAACCAGACACGACTTCCCAGAACAATCGTCCAGGTCAGCAGGGCAAGACTACCTGCTTGATGCGCGCTCGCGAGGCCCGTGGGGACCAGGTACAAGAGTGTAGATATGCCGAGGATGACTTGTAGCCCGACGAAACCGACGACGCCGTGGACGCCACGTCTCGCGGCGGGCGGGAGGACTTTTTGCATTGTCCCGGTGCGCGAGAATGCCCAGAGCGCCATGACTGCGGTGAATGTTGTGGTGGCGAGGATGCGGTGGTCGAGCTGTACAAGACTCGGGTTCTCGAGCATGTTCCGCCACCACAGGTCGCTATGGTCGGGGTTTCGGCTGTAGAATTGATCCCAGAGCTCGCTTTTGGGCGGCGTCAGACCGAGTCCCATGAAGGGGAACTCGTTGTAGATGAGTCCGGCGTCTAGTCCAGCAACGAGTCCACCAGACATGGCGGTAATGTAGACGAGGCCGGCGAGCAGGGAGACGGAGCGTTTGAAGGTACGGAGGGCGGGGTTGCGGAGGGCGTTGAGCGTCGAGGCTGCGGTACTAGCGGGCAAAGACAAGATCTTGTTCGTGCGCAGGATGTCGAGTCCGTTCCAGAGCATGGCGAGGTAGCAAATAAAGGCTGTGCCTAGATGGGCAGTGAGTCGGTACTGAGAGACGCGCGGATGCGAGCCCGGCGCGAACAAATCGTCTTTCAATCCGGATTTCACCATCCACCACCCAATGAAGCCTTGAAAACCGATCAAGCCTGCGATACCTAGCAGTCGGCCAGCCATCGAGCGCGAGACTCGTTTTCTAGCGATAAAATACGCGGCTGGGAGCACGAAGCTGAGTCCTATGAAGCGTCCCCAGAGTCGATGGATCCATTCCATCCAGTAGATGGATTTAAACTCTTCGAGAGTCATGCGCGAGTTCAGCATGTGGAACTCCGGACTCGAGCGGTATTTAGCGAATTCTGATTCCCAGTCTGCGTCAGACATGGGCGGAAGAGAACCTGTGACGGGTTTCCATTCTGTGATGCTCAGCCTGATCATCATGGGAATGTACAAGTCAGTTTCCTTGCTTGGTCTGCGATGGCTTATTTTTCCGGTCTGTGGGACTTGGTTCTGGGAAAACGGCCCAATTACGTACCCTGACTCTGTGAGCCTCGTGAGGCCACCAAATACCACGATCCCGAAGACGCTCGCCGCGCTCCCGAGAAGCCAGAAGGCCACTATATTTGATGATGTATCAGGGAAGAACGAACGCTTGCCCTGAGTCTCGTTCCTGCTCTTGTCTCCCGCTTCTCCGCTTTCAGTTTCCTTCGCAGGGGCCTGCACATCTGCCTCTGCCGAGGCCGTAGCTCTTGCTCGCGCGGAGGCAGAAAATGCCCGAATGAATTGATTCGGTGCATTGATCCTCACGATCGCATGCCCACTCGTACGACAGGGAGAGAACACCGTCGACGTTTGAGATTGTCGTATGGATCTATTTGGGAGTGTGCTGAGGCGTCGAACACGTACAATCGGCTCGCTTCTTGTCTTCGTCTTTGGCTTGGAGATCTTAGGCACCTGGCCGAATAGAGAGCTCTGTCGGCGACTGCTGCAGTCGAAGAATCTCCTCGACAAACCCGGTGCAGCCTCACGGAGGGCTCGAGTGAAGGAAAACATCGGCAGCATCGTGGGAATGACGCTACAGCGATAGTGTTGCTACAGAACAAGACAAGAAAGGTATGAAATCCCCCCAAGTCTTGTGTCCATTGAAATGATCAATCGAGCATTCCGAGTCGACGGGAGGAATCTGACCAATCAGGGAAGGCTCAGAAATATTTCACGTTTCTCCGAAAGGGATTAGATCACACCACTGCTATAAATTAACACACAAGAGTGCATAATGGAAAGCAAGATATTGCGACATTTTTGTTACAGAATCTAGCTACTATCATCATTATGTTCGTCGTCATGAGCCCAACCGAGAAAATTAGCAGGATCAATCAATAATGGTCTAATATATCATCTACACCACTGCCCTGCCGTTGGGGTGGTGGTCGATCTCGCGGATAGGACAAATTAGGCTGTCCTATTTGTCTGTAAGGAGTGTAACTTCGTGTTGGCTCATTGACGCTACGAATTGTAGCACTGGGTGGGATCGAAGATGCCGGGGTCATGGACCTTGGCTCTGCGGGATGTGGAACATATCCAGGAGAGGATGTGTTGATTTTCTGTAATGTTGGACCTCCAGTCGGTGTCATAGATCTGGGACCAGTTCCATGAGATGTGGGCGGCCTTTCTGGTGGACCTCGAGCGGGAGTTTGTGATCTGAGGTTGGGGCCTGGTAACGGAGAGTTTCGGCCTCTTTCTTCAGGAATGCCGGGAAAAGATGGACCAAGTGCGGCAGCTGGTGTACGGCGACCCATTGATTCAGTTGGGCTGTCAAAATTGGGTCCAGACCACGAAGGCGGTTTTGTTGATGATGTCGAGCTTCGATCATCCGGATAAGGAAGGGCAGAGCTGTTGTCGGAAGGATACCTTGGACGCGAGGTGTTTGACGTGCTTGTCCCAGGCCTTGGAAGGGAATCCATCTGATAAGCTCCAGGTCCATTTCGATCTCCTTGTGCCGTTCCTGGTCGAGGAAGAGCAGGACTAAACGAACGCTGAGAAAATTGGGAAAGACCGGTCATGCTGCGATTGGGCATTGGTTTACCGTACCATGGTCCATTCGGTTCGGATACAGGTGTCTGCGCTCGATCGGGAGTGTAGCCCATTTCGCCTGCAGAACTCATCAAGGGAGCGTTCGAGGTGTAGCTTGACCATGACGCTGCAGATCCGTGTGTCGCGGTTCGCGCTGGCATAGGTGGACGAGTCGAAACATCAGGTAACGTAGGAACAGCGTCATCGGCGTCCTTGCCCGTCCCGGGCTGAGATGTGTACTCGGGAAGAGTTGTCATTGTCGTTTGTCGAGATAGACCCGCGAGAGAATCAACTTCGGAAGTGCTGATGTTCGGTAAGGTTGGCTGTTTCTTGATCTCCAACCCTTCACGAGCAGCTCTTGCCTCTTCTCGGGCTCGAAGTTGATTTTCCTTCTTCAATGCTTTATCAACCTTGACTTTGACAATTCTTTCCATCCTTCGATTAATCTTCTTTCGACAGTAGCTGGTCAGGCCACCATCATCACTCGGGATGTGGTGCCAGAGGAATAGAAGGTACAAAATGATCGAAATAATGAGACTGAGGACTGAGATGACCCAAATGAACAAAGTCCAAAGCATGCCAAAAAGAATGACAGCTTGCAGGTGATTTTCATCCGCAAGGACTCCGATATTGACAAAAAATTGGACCACGGGAGAATGGCCGTCCTCAGGCGCATTTTCGCCTTCCGGTATCAATTTCAACTTCATGACGGAATAGAGTGTGATGGCGTTAATGACTTGTCGGGGGCCTTCAGCAAAGACAATTCGCAGCCACGCTTCAAAGGAAAAGTAGGTGAAGAGGGCCACGTAATCCGCTCCCTTTCGGCTTTTTGTCAACTCGGCAAAAACCAGGAAACGCTTCCATCCTCGTGCTTTACCCCATCGGATAGACTGTACACGGACGGCCAACGGGTCAAGATAGCTTTTGGCGACGCCACCTTGTCGCATGACTCTAATCGCACGTATCCATCGATAGACAAGCAGCACAAACGACAGGATGATACATCCTGCAAATATCCATCGTGAGATATACAAGGGAATCTCGGGTTTGATCTGACCGGCCCATCGATCGAATGCGAGCAAATTGATGGCTGTGAAAGAATCGACCGCATAGACGGAGATGGAGACGACAAGCATCACAAGGAGGTAGCCATAAGCGAATGGTGTCCAGCACGAAGAGGACTTGAAGTCGTCAAGATTCTGCAGGTCATGTGAGATCAAGTAGTCGCTTCATGTCCGAGGTACGTACAATGTATTCCCATTTTTGCTCACGACTTAAGTCACCGAACTTTTCTCGTTCACCACCACAGCAGCCCATGATGGCAACTTATAGGATAGACGGGGTATAATTTGTTGAGTGTGCTGCAACCCGGCAGCGGTTGATAAGAAAGGGTATTAAAGAGAGGCAAGCCTAATGCGTGGCCGGTCTTCGCAGGCGGTTGTGGTGTGTAGCACGGCGCAGCCGATGGTCAGGTCAACAAGAGCCCAGCTCAAGTGCCTCAAAGTTGAGACCTTTGGTCTTGTACGGCTTTATTGCATCGCTTCCGGAGAGGATTCGTAGGTTCTTCTCGAGACGGCACGACGGCGATGACTTGTCGATATCTGGCAAACAATCCCTCCACCTTTTCTTTTTAGGGATTATACAACCGTGGCAGATAGCCAAAAGCGTGGTTCGAGTTGGACAAGCCTTCAACTGATGCTTGACTGCCGATAGACAAATCGCAGAGGACAAAGGAGGACTGCGTGAAAAGAGTAGACTTGGACTGCAGGTGGACCAAGCGGTACGAAAGGAGAACAATGACGCAAAGAGAGCGTGGAAGAGGGATTGTGCGTGTTGGTGAATCAGTAACGAGAGGCTTTGATGCAACAACTGTAAGGAGTGTGGATGGTTCAGCACTGGAATGGACAGGAGAATGAGTGCGAAGACTGAATTGGGAATTTGAAGTGAGACTGACCAAACAGGAGCAGCGCGACGGAAGCTCCTTATGCCGCGAAATCTCAAACAGAGCTAAGCACGTACAGGTTTAGGCTTGACCCATTAACATGGCCAATCCCGGAAGCGCCTCCTTGGCAGCTAATCAAAGTGCACCATTCGAACCCACCGGCCCCCCCATCCTCAGACCCTCAAACACGTCCCTTGCACCAGGCTTGGCCTTCCAATGGGGCCATCTCACAAAAGACGTCAGTCAGTGGTCTATCTCTCTGCAGTGAGTAGCACATTGCTCAAACAGGTCACGGCCGTTTTAGATGGGACTGATTGACTGATCTGTGTGCATATTCAGATCCATTATGATGAATCTATGGTCGTTTTGCTGTACAGGCTTCTGTTGTATGCGCTCGGACTTACCGCCGACCTCCAACGCCGTCGTCTAATGCCAGTGAACAATCAACCTCAATGCTATGCAATCCATTTCCTACTAAGCAGTCTTCCATTCATGCTTGCCCTTACCGCCAGCTCTGCCACCGAAGCCCCAGCCGATCTGGTTGGCGACGTGGATTTCAACAGCGAGATCTTCGGCGAAAGCCCAGACTAGACCCGGATTCTTTTGGAAGTATCGGCCGACGAAGACAGCATCCACACCTGATTCAACGATCTCTTGGGCCAGATTGCCGTTGGTGATGGAGCCCACGGCAGTGACCGCCAATGAGTCGCCTGTCTTTTCTTTGACCACCCTGGAGAATGGAGCTTGATAGCCCGGGCCGGCCTTGATCGTCTGAGACGGATGGATGCCAGCTGAGCTAGTATCCAGCAGGTCAACTCCCAAGTCTCTCAAGATCGGGGCGAGCTGGACGGTGTCTTCAATGGTCCAGCTCTCGGGGAACTCGTCTTGTCCTTTGAGCCAATCGTCGGCACTGATTCGGAAGAAGAGTGGCATTTCCTGGGGGATGACGGCTCGGACGGCTTCCACGGCCTCGCGGGCAAATCTGGTCCTGTTTGCAAACGAACCGCCATACTGATCAGTTCGCTTGTTGCTGACAGGGCTCAAGAATTCGTGGAGAAGATAGCCGTGTGCGCCGTGGATTTCAATAACATCGAAGCCAACTGCCACCGCTCTCTCTGCTGCGGCGGCAAATGCATCCTCAATTCTCTTGATTCCCTCAACCGTGAGGGCATTGGGATGTGGGTAAGTAGATTGAAAAGCGATGGCACTGGGTGCTAGTGTCTGGTTCGGCCAGCCATTGGCCTCCTTTTGAGCAGTATCACCCAAACTCAACCATGGTGCAACAGTGCTAGCCTTGCGACCAGCGTGGCCCAACTGGATGCCGATCTTTTGACCTTGGCTGTGCGCAAACTCGACGATTCTCTTCAGAGGGCCCATCTGGCCATCCTCCCAGAGACCACTGTCTTCAGGTGTGATTCGACCTTCTGGTGTAACTGACGTGGCTTCCACCATGGTGAGACCAGGTCCGCGCTGAATGATCCCACCGAGGTGAGTCAAGTGCCAATCAGTCAGATAACCATTTTGAGCCGAGTATTGGCAGAGAGGGGAGAGGAAGATGCGGTTTTGGAAGGTGACCCCACGGATTGTAAGAGGCTGGAAAAGTTTGGGGATAGCGTGGCCATCAGATTGAGGGCTTTTTGCTGTGCCGGCTGGCGGGAGCTGAGCTGGGGTAAAGTACGAGATGCCGGGGGCAGCCTTGTTGACGATGAGGGGCTTTCCTTCAATGGAACCCATTGTGGAGTTTTGATGTTTGGAGATTTTGATATCGAGGAATTCTGGGACGGCTATAGAGAGAGGTTCTTCCGGGCTCGCCGACGAGTTGTGTGGTGAGTTTGAACTCTTGCTCGATGGTGAATGATGAACAAGACATTTCGAAATGATGACTGAGTAGGATATTTATCTTGATTTCTTGGTCTACTAAACGTACTTTCGCGTCCTCCAGACGCGCTTTGAAATCAAGCATCAGTGTATACTGCACCATTGATCGACGTTGGTGCTCGCCTCGTACTTGAATCATGTCACGGTTGAGGATGGCGGCCAATGCCGGGCCACAGGCCCGGAAATCGACCTCCGGGAGGCGACATGGGAACCAAAAAGTCTGTTGTCGCAAAGGGTGGCGAAACGACAACGTGTTCGAATTCCCAATGTACTCATAGAAGTTGCTTGATAATTTACTCTTCGTCCACAAGTCAGATTATTCAAATCTCAACATTACCGGTCGGGCTCCTTTCCTCTTCTGCAACGTCTTCGTCGCTTATTTCGCCCGTTTCTCGTTAGTGGATCCGACTTTTCACCCTCATACCATCAACACCTCGGCCTTTTCTCGGGGAGTCCGACATCACCGAAACATGGGGCCTCTCGTTGCATCCGGGCATCAAAGGTTTCTGGAAACGGTAGTGAGAGCAAGGAGGAGATACCAACCACACTTGCAACCAGTGTTACTATATTACAAATATCTCAAGATATTCCTCCTTCGGGACCGATTTTGAGTATCAATGTATCAATTCCGTTGCCCGGGTCATCATCCATGGCCAAGAGTGAGAATGCATGAACCGTCATCGCTTCAAACTAAATATTTCCAATCACAACCATATATCTTAAATTGCCGTGTTTGGAGGTTTTGGTAGTGTCACAGTCCCCAATTCCGTCATCAAGGTGCATCTGGCTACTCTTCCAACCCCAGCTCTTACTCACATCGAACCTATCTGGCGCGCTTTCGTAAATGCTCAGGAGCCGTCCAGCTTTGCTCGGTGAATAGATCTTGAAATAAGTTTGGATTGTCGGCCGAGGGTCCATGTACGGAGGCATGGCTGAAACGTTGAACTTTCTATTCGTCCGCACCAGCTCTTCATCTTCCCCGTCTTCGTCCAGCATCCGCGCACCGGGAGGCCAAATTTCGCCGGAGGCTGGCCGTGCCGTTGCCGGAGTCGGCGAAGTCTTTTGTGTCTGTGGTGGCTCTCCTAAGCGCCGCGTGGATATGGAGCTTTCACCCTCATGATCCTGGGGGTTTGCAATGTCATAGTCATTTGTTGATTCCGTAGATTCATCCTCCCGTTCAGCCTCTGATCCTCGGGCCGCCTCGTCCACCCTCCAATTCTGGTTTCGCCGTTCGCTCTTTCGAAGTAGCATCTCACGTTCCAGCTGTCCAATGCGGTCGTCGACAGACGCAGGTATAAATTGTGCCAGGGGACCATCATTGGGGGTTTTGTCTTTGGCACGATGCAAGTACATACTCAACTGCTGGATTTTGGAATGGTTGACGCGCTGAATATACAGATTCCACATACTGCCGGCATACCATACAGTGTGTGAGTAGACTCGCTTCCCCTCCTTGAGAGTCCTGGGGTTGGGAAACTCAGCGGAAAAGCGGAACGGCGGATAGTAGCTATAACGAGCCCCCGAAGTGGGCGAATAACCTCGCGAAGGCTGTCTTCTGCTTTCGATCACATTTCCCGTGTTGAAGTCGAGAGCCCAGGCGACGTCGGTGGGCTCCAGACTGGCTGATAGCCTGGCTGCGTGCGTGCTCCATTCCGCGATGCTGGTGGAATTTGCCGCCAGACACGCTTCTCGAGTGCCTCCCATGACACAGGACACATCGTGGCTAGGGATCCAAAACTTTCGGGGCTTACCATTGCCATCCCATGACCTAGACGCCATATCCTGAGGAACTTCATTGGAAGACCCCTGGTGATGTCCTCGCAACTTTCCTTTATTGTCCCCCCCAGCTTGACCTGCCTCGTGTTCAGTGTCATCACAATCCTCAGCTTCTTCACTCAAACCGAGTTCAATGTCGGTTGGCCGGGCGTTGAGCACCTTTTGTCGAAGTTCCATTGACATCCACAAGGCATCAGATATCACCTTTTCCGGAAGCACGGGAACTCCGACGATGTCTCTCTGCGACCGAATCTGCTGCAATTGTTCGAATCGCAAGTGTACATAATGAATTCCTTCGTCGAGCAAAACCAACAACGGCGCGATCTCGGGTGAGGTGTATAGAGCAATCCAGGCTTCATCCTTTTCCGACACATACCTATAGTTGCTAGCTATTCTACAAGGTGTGTCAACTCGTACGGCAAAGAATCGAAGACCGCTTGGCTCCGGACAAAGGTATCGGCCGCCAGGCGATACAAGTCCGGCCTCGACGGCTTTGGCCCGCAAACGCCGATTTAACAGCTTTAGTGCAAGATACCACCGGTCCCATTCACCGGGGATGAAGAACGGATCGCCTCCAACAATCTCACGGACAATTTCGGCGGGGATCTCATCCCAGTATTCGTACGGCATTTCCCAACCTTCCCTGCAAAGCATGGCTTTGGCAGAAGAGAGAATGCGCTCACCAGCCTTTCCATAGTAATTGTTTGTCACAAGCTTGATCAGACTATGCAGTGTGGCAGGCTGCATCTGGCGAAGGATGGATTCGACACAAGAGTCGATCAAATCGGGCATGTCTAACCAACAAGCGGCCGCAAACAGTCCGATGGCTTCCTCCTCTTCCTCGACTGGAAATTGCCTGCCATAAATTCTCTTCAAAGCCAGCTCAAAGGCGTTCTTCGTAATATTCGGATCAATCTCTTCAGGCGCAATCCTCATTTCTTTCGCCACACTCTCTGCCCATGCGCCGGAGAAGGCCGAGGAGAAGTATGGAACCCGATCGAGGAGCAATTTGTGAAGTCTGTAGCCTTGACCAAACGCATAGACCGTGATGTCTGAGTGGCGGCCTTCCTCGAAGCCATGGTGGAAAAGATGCCCCGCCAATGTCGATGTGTCACCTAAACTTCGACCAACACCGCACATGGGCCGAATGTGCGAAGGGCCCCTCGAAATGGGGCCAGGACTTGTTCGATCACTTGTGATAAATAGTCGGGCCGGGCCTGCAGAGGTGTTGGCGGATGTGGCATCGAAAGGATTGTTGACTGCATTTGTCGTGGGGTCATCGACGTCTTTTTCTAGATTGAGGACAGGATGTTTAATGTTGACTACCGGCGGGGATGAGGACGGCGTGATGTCTCCTGCTCGCGTGTTGCTCCGCCGGTTCCCACCGGCACTAGTCAAAGCGGCCAAAGGACCAGAGGTGCTCGAGGAGGCTGCAGCGCTGAGCGAGGCCAGGGCCGTGTTTGCTGAGACTGAGGCAGTAGGTGGACCCGATACGAAGATTGATCGTAAGGGAGGCTCGAAAGTGGCCGCTGGAAGGCCTTGGTCTCCGTAGTTCAGTGCAGGGACTTGACTTGCAGATGCAGTTCTTCGTTGCGGGAAAGATCTGGAAGTTGGCTGTTGAAGCGGTGATCTGACAATGCCTGAGCTGGAAGGATCAACGAGGTATTGGGGCGATTGAGCAGGAGATGACACATTACTTTGATTCGTCCAGGTAGTCCTGTCAATCTCTGGGTTCGATGTCGAGGCATCATATCGCTCAAGCAGGCCATCCAAATCATCTCTGGGAGGACTCCAGCAAGAGAAGTGCTCTTGATCCATTCACGCGAAAGTGGTGGTAATTACGGTGATGCGGACGGTGAGAGCCAGAGCAGAACACTATCTTGGGGCCATCAGCTACACTTCAAGAAAGGTGATCCAATGTATCTTTGTCTTCAGTCATCCAGATGAAGCAGGGTCGAACCATTCGATTCCTTCGAGGGGTAGGTGGAACATAAGCCTTTTCTTCAGAGAAGGTCTGCGTCGAGAAGAGGACGGGCGAGGGTTCGACGGTCGGAAGATTTGGTCTGTGTCACGTTGAATCTCTCATAGAATACCGATGTTGGAAGTTGAGGTGGGATGCTACAAAAGGACGGACGCTCACATCTGCGTGGCTGGTGTCGGAACTATGATCCCGGCCCCTACGGAGATAAAACTTGCAGCCAGTACAATTCGGTCATTTGTATTCTTTGTATGGAGACTGACCAACTCCTTTTCCACTATTGCCTGGTCACAGTGTAGTGGCACATTGATTGAAGAAGGGGTTTTTTGATGCAGCTGGCCCAATATCCTTTATCAGTTCACGAAGGGCGTCATGTCATAAAACAATTATGGCTACTTCAATATGGATGGGCCGATCATTGCCACCGCGCCGAATAGTGATCACTTTCATGCTCATCCTGAACCTCTAAGTTCCCATGATCCTCAGAATCTGCCTGTATCGCGTCGTTCCCTTTCGGCCCAACAAGAAGCCAGAGATGAGCAGCAAATGAAGCCAGATAAACGATTGTCGCGGGATGAAAGTCCACGTGGTACAACGCCCGCAGAGTCAAGAGTCGAGGGACAAAATCTGAACGTATATGGCGATGCTGGAAGAAAAATCAGTGACGATAAAGATTTTGGACACGTTTGGGCGCATAACTCTGCTAATGCCCATAGTATGTTGGCCGACTCTGGAGACATCTCGAATAGTACACTCCCAAACGGCTTTATCGACAAAGTTTCTGGTTCCTCAAATGAGAACCCTGAACAGTGGGATATAGTTCCAAATGTTGAGGATACACATGAAAACGATTCAGAGTCTAGACGAGACACAGTACTCCAATTGTCTGGAGAGCCGCCACACGATCTTACGTCGTCCCTCGAGCCCCAACTTGTTCACCTCGTTGATTCGAACATTCGAGAACGCATCCCCAATGATGATCCCGGTCCTCACGCCGTCGTGTCTAATCCCGCAAAAGACGTTGAATCTCCTGGCGAAGATGTTTTCATCTCCACACCACCGACAAGTGCCCCTGTGCTGGGGCCTCTGCAAGACGTCGATAGCAAACGACCGCATAACCTCTCAATAGAGACGAACAATCGGCAAATTCAGTCTTCGACAAGCCCTGGTCTAAGACCATTACTTCGGCGAGATCTCTCAGCTCCAGCCTCTGCTCAGAATACTCGGTCCCCACCAAAACCTGATAAGGTGCGACCAATCTTAAAGGTCCCGGATGCTTCATCGCGCGCTGAAGGCACAGACGGCAGAAGATATTCCTTTTCGGGTCATCCGCTTCCGTCCCCGATGCCATCATCTATTCCACTACCGCCACTGTCTATTCCAACCTACTTGCAGCTCGAGCTATCCTCGCAACGACCCTCGCAACTTTACATTCACAGGTCCGCTAACAGCGACTTTCCATATGAGTCATCTCGAGTCAAAATCGAGAGGCTGTTAAATTTCCTGCTTCTCCCATTTCACCTAGAAAGCGTCCTCTGGTTCGGGACTCTTGCATGCCTCGACTCGTGGCTTTACACATTCACAATCCTGCCGCTCCGGCTTCTGAAGTCATTTTATATCCTCGCCAAATCCTGGGCCATCAATCTAGCGACCGAAGTGCACTTTGTATCAAACTTTGTGTACAACGGCGCTGGCAGAATGTGGAAAAGGAGGAGAAGCAGTCTCGTGCCGAATTCAACTCGAAAACTGTCAGGCCCCAGCCCCAGTGAAAATAAGCCCCCTCAGTCCAACACCGGGTACAATCGTCGGCAAGGAAGATATCACCAGCGAACGAAGTCAGTTCCGTCCAACTTACTGCCAGACGACAAAGCAGATATGCTGAAGGGGCTGTTGATCATTAGCACGTGCCTTGTCCTCCTGCGACTTGACGCCAGCCGAATGTATCATTGGATTCGAGGCCAGGCTGCCATCAAACTCTACGTCATCTACAATCTCCTCGAGGTCTGCGATCGCCTTTTCTCAGCAATCGGCCAGGATGTGCTCGAGTGTCTCTTTTCTCGAGAAGCGCTGGAGCGCAAACCAGACGGCCACAGCAAAGTATTGCGCCCATTTTGGCTCTTCATCCTCGCTCTGGCCTATACGGTTATTCATTCCACAGCCTTGTTTTATCAAGTCATCACTCTCAATGTGGCTGTAAATTCATACTCTAATGCTCTCATTACCTTGCTTTTGTCCAACCAGTTCGTCGAGATCAAGTCGACCGTGTTCAAGAAGTTTGAGAAGGAGAACCTCTTTCAATTGACGTGCGCGGATGTTGTGGAGCGGTTTCAACTCTGGCACATGCTCATCATCATTGCATCTCGTAATATCGTGGAAACAGGAGGATTGAGTGCGGGCTTGAATGCCTTCGCCGCCGCTGCGTCGGCGACCGCCTCTGCTCCATTGGCGAGCAACAGCAGCATGCCTCTGATAACGGCTCTGCCACCGAGGTCGGCGAGTTCGATTCTTCCCCGGTCCTTTACTTTGGTGCCTGACGTGGTGAGCTCGATAACATCGTATGCGCCAGCAGTCAGCCAAGTGCTAGGTCCTTTTCTAGCAGTTCTTGGGTCAGAAATGCTGGTCGACTGGATCAAACACGCCTACATCAACAAGTTCAATAATACCCGTCCCGCAATCTATGGCCGTTTCCTGGATGTCCTGGCCAAAGATTATTATACGAATGCCTTTGGCGATCAGAATCTAACGAAGCGACTAGGACTCCCAGTCATCCCTCTGAGTTGTCTCCTCATCCGAGCTAGTGGGCAGACATATCGAATGTTCATGGCGGCATGGGTGCCATCGACTCCGCCCAGCTCGTCGACGAGCCTCGCGAACATTCATAAACACTACTCGGCAGCACGGTCCACCATGCCAATGACCACGAGTACAGCCATCTCGAAAGCAGTCGATGATATTATTAAAGCCATCCCGGCTGTCATCACCAGTTCCAGCATCGTCACACATATGACGACTGTACTGGTGTTTCTCCTCATTTTCTTGATTCTATTGGCTTGCAAGCTTGTCCTTGGCATGCTCTTGTTGGCCTTTGCAAGATCTCGATACCACTCGATGAAACTGCGTGAGAAAAATCCAATCCATCACGTGGAAGGAGGCCGCCGGGTTGGCGGCTGGGGAGTGGTAGAAGTCGACGACGACAAGCGGCGATGGATATATGAGGACGATCCGGCCGGCCTGCGAGCACTGCGAGAAAGAGAAGAAAGAGAGAAACAAAGGGAAGAGGAGAAAGAAAAGGGGCATGGGGTGGACTTTTTTGACAAGGTCAAACGATATGAAATGGTCGCTAAGCGAATATGGTGAGCAGCACCCGAGTGACGGGCCGGACGGTCTCGGTTCGGAGAATGCGTTGAAGGCACTACTATCCTGTAACACGATAGGCGATGGTGAGGTCTGAGATTCAAAGATCCGTCAACCCCAAGCACCATAAGTGCTCCGTGCCGTCCCAATTAGGTGCACGCTGGAATTCTAATTTACTCACTCTCCTTCATCGACTTTCGACACATGATGGCGCCGGGTATGACAGCGTGACAAACGCCCGTGAGATTAACGATCCGCATCCTGTCATTTCCCTTCAGGAATGAAGGAGAGAAAAATCCCCAGGGTGAAACGACTGAGGGGAAATTCTGAATTGGCCAACGGATTCATTGGTGCTGATCGTAGCTGGTTCTTGACTCAAAGGACACGAACAAGCATGCTTCATCACTGACTGGCTTCGAAGCCGTCCAAAAGAGCCATATCCGGCTTTTTGCCCATTTGGTGGAGAGTATTTGTGGATGGTGGAGCGGGCCGCAAATTACCGTAGTAGACCAATGATGACCTCTTCGGAAGCAATTTTATGGGCTTCGACTGACACACGGCACCTAAATCTTGAATGGAGAGCCAACAGGGAGCCAGCAGGAAAAGTCCCTGATTTGCTTAGTAGAGAAACAAGGAACATCGTATTTATTTGACTGGCCTTACATGCAGTGGGTGGTGGCCCAGATAAATGCCCTCCTAGATATGAAATTTTGGATTTTAAAACGGTCTCATTATTTGGATGGCCCAGCTTACCTGTCAATGACAGCGCCTGGACTGTTTCATGGTACCCAGGGTCTACCCACAGTGGACGGATGTTTTTGGTTTTTAATCTCAGATCGACAACTCAGTCGTGCATTGTCTATAGTCTTCGCCAATATTGTACCAAACTCTGGCTGCCAAAACAAAGTCAACCGTTCATCACTCGAGTGCCAGCGTGAAACTTGGGAGTTGGGGATGTGCGACCGTGCGATGTTGGGACACGTGGAGGTGGCAGTGCTGGCCGTTGAAAAGTGGTTGAAGATCATGGATGTGGGCATGATCATGATATGGATGATTTCCTGTTATCGATTGAGGAGATGCTAAGATAGAGATTCATTAGTGAGCCGACCAGTGGAGATTGAGCAAAGGGCCGTGACGGTGACAGTGGCATGAAGGATTGCGCAACGTACACAACTCATCAGTGGGCAGTGACGGTATCTGACGGGCGGCAGATGACATGGGCTTGCGAGAGCCCTGCAAGGCCACAGCAACAGGCCGTTCACAACAAAATGATGTGATACGTGCTAGACCGTCCGTAGTCCGTCCCGCGACAATGTATTTGTGCCTTGGTCGTAGTGTTTTTGTTTTGTGGATTGGAGGTGGATCAGGTCATACATATGTGGGCGGCCCGTAACAAGCGGTTGAGGGAGAAAAGGAGCCCAACTTCACCGGGACAAAGCTGTTCGTTCCAGATATCTGGGTATCTAGTAACCGAGTCGACTGTTGTACCTGACTTTCAGTCTGTTCGCACATCTCCCTCAAGTAACCGTGGAAGCTTAGTCTGTAGAAACGTGCTACGCTCCATACTTAGCTCAGAAAAAACGTGAACCAGTGAAGACTGACCAAGACAGATAGAGAGGACCAATTTTGAACCACGGAAAACAAAGCAGTCGATCTACTAACCAGCTTTTGCTTCCCTTCTACTTGTCCTCTTCGCGCCCCGTTGTTTTGGTGGTCTCGGTCTGCGCCTGGCCGTGGTGGACGATCTCAGGCTGTGCTGGAAACATTAGCTTGAACCGCGCTCCAACACTCAATCCGCGCAACTTTTTCTTCACCACCCATCACCCTCTCAAAAATACTGCTCAAAGGCCGAGAAGAGCATCCCAGGATTGCTATTCCCGTCCCTCTTCGCGCCCTCCTGCTCTCTTCGCCCCCTGTCACCGTGATCCCTGACAGCGAGTGGTCGGCGCGCCTGTCGCTTGTCCTTCTAATTAAGCGCCAGCTTCCGACTTTGTTCTCGTTCTCGCCCGGCCCTGGAGAGAGCGAGTGAGTGAGCAAGCGACCAGAAGAGCTAGTGCCCACTGCCACAGCCATCGCGACCGTGAGGCGATCCAGTTGAGTTGCGACTGAGGGCACCAGACTGCCTGCGGCCTGCCCTTAGACCCTGCCCGCTTTCCTGTCAACTCCAAACTCCACCGCAAGTGCCAGTGCAGGTGCCGGTTGCAGTGCCATTGCCATTGCCATCTTTTGCTTCAACACCTGCCAGCTCAAACATGGACTCCGACGTCCACACTGGCAGCACCACGACTCCCTCCTTCACATCTACAAACACCAAACGACGTCGAGCCACATTGACCAAGAACCCTCCTCCCTCCGCCTTTCCTTCCAAACCTTCACTCCGCAAACCACAATCCTCCGCAACCCTCCAACGAGCCCCGTCAGCTCCATATCCACGCAGTCAAGCAGCCTCACAATCATCCCGCGATTTCCACCAGAGAACCCAATCAAGCGCGTACGGTTCCTCTACCTCCTCTCTCGAACGCATTAGCGGAGCCCCTTCTCCTGTGGTCCCTTCTGTCGACTACTTTGGATCGACTGCCAACACCTATCAACTCCAGCAGCAGTTTCCTCCCCCTCCTCAGACCTCAGATGACCGTCATAACGACTTGATCGGCGCGCCATTCGACGCCTCAGGTCTTCTTTCATCCTTCCAAGCCGCCGACATGAATGGAAATCAGAATGCCAATGCACAGTCACCACAACCTCCGCCAGTGACAAACAATCAGACCACACCAGACTTGCGAAGTCACCCGTTACGAAATTCGCAAACATTTGGTCCTACAGGCGTGGCTATGATGGAAGTCATACCTCCCAAGTCAGAAAATGGCACACTCAGCCCCAAGCGATTCTCGGGAGATGGCCAGACAAAACCTCCAGGCCCTCTCCGGAAAAAGACAGGCTTCTCGAGCTTTGTCAATAACATGCTTGGCTCGCCCAGAACCATCAAGATATCTGCTCCCGAAAATCCTATGCATATGATTCATGTAGGCTATGACAATCAGACCGGGCAGTTTACGGTGGGTTTATTCCTTGATCCCGCGGCCATTGAACCGGTAGCCCGGGGTTCCAATGTGGTTGCTAATGTATCTCCTACAGGGACTTCCTGCGGATTGGCAGAGAATCCTCTCTGACAGCGGGATCTCCAAAAATGAGCAGGATCAAAATCCCCAGATGATGGTGAATATCGTGGAGACCTACAAGAGTAATTTTGGAGGTGTGGATGATGGCGTCTGGCAGAAATTCGACCATGCAAAGCTCTCGGACTCTCCTCAAAGCAGCAACAGCAGCTATCAAAGTCCGGTGACTCCCAACATTGGAGCAAGTTCGGCTGCGTATTCACCAATGGCCGGTGTCATATCGCCTCCCGCAAGTCCTCGATTTCCTCAAAACCACGAAGGAAGCTTCGAAAACCCTCGAGCACCCCCGCCAATACCGAAAGGGCCTCCAGCCAGTGCAATGACAGGTGGAAAACCAGGCCCGTCTAATATCATGATGCCCAATCGACCTGCTCCCAAGCCTCCTGTTCAGAACATACGGGATCTGGCTCCCACTCGGCCCGCTCCCCCTCCCCCAGTCCCGCGGGATTTACCATTGCGGCCAAGTCAAGAGCAGCAGAGACCTCAGCCTTCAGCGCCAGCGCCACCCCTCCCAGCTTCGCCGCCAATCCCTCAAGAAGAGGCACGTAGTCGTTCCAATTCCAAAGGGCCGGCCGCTACAACTCCTCCACGTGCACAGCCAGCCATTCAATCTCCAGCGCAGTATCAGCAACAGCAAGAACAAGCAATGTTGTTGGCGCAGCAAGCCATTCAGAGCAAGCAACTTGACCGGAGCCGAAGTCAACGTCAAGTGGCACAGGGAGCGCCTGAGGTTCCACCGAAGATTCTGCCTCCGTCAGCCAGCCCCAACGTTCCAGAGACACAATTCGCTGCCGCTGCAGACTCTCCGGTTCTGCAGGATCAACCACAGGTAGCCAAGGTTGGGCCGGTACCTGGCCCTCGGCCTCGCACGAAACGACAACAGAGCAACATTGTGGACGTCACAGCCAGATTAAAAGCCATCTGCAGTCCTAGTGATCCCACTACGAAATACCACAATCTCAGCAAGATTGGACAAGGTGCGTCTGGGGGGGTCTTCACAGCTTACGAGATTGGTTCCAAGAGATGTGTCGCAATCAAGCAAATGAATTTGGAACAGCAGCCAAAGAAAGACCTGATCATAAATGAGATCATTGTCATGAAAGACAGTAAACACAAGAACATTGTCAACTTCATGGACAGTTTCTTACATGAAGGCGATCTATGGGTTGTGATGGAATACATGCAAGGTGGCAGTCTGACAGATGTGGTGACATTCAATGTCATGAGTGAAGGTCAAATCGCTGCAGTGTGCAGAGAAGTGAGTGTTGCCTTTGTTCAAGAACCGATTTTATTGCTAACTGTCGGAGACACTGTACGGCTTGCAGCATTTACATTCGAAGAACGTGATCCACCGGGATATCAAATCTGACAACATCCTGCTCTCGGAAAGAGGAGACATCAAACTGACTGATTTCGGCTTTTGTGCACAAATCAATGATACCCAGAACAAGCGCACAACAATGGTCGGAACCCCTTACTGGATGGCTCCAGAGGTGGTCACGAGGAAAGAATATGGCCGAAAGGTGGATATATGGAGTTTGGGTATCATGGCTATCGAGATGATCGAAGGAGAACCTCCCTATCTGACAGAGGCGCCATTGCGGGCCTTATATCTAATCGCTAAGTACGGCACACCGCGCATCAAGGACGAGCAAGCGCTGTCACCGGTTTTCCGGGACTTTCTCCATTTCGCCCTAAAGGTCGACCCCGAGAAGCGAGCAAGTGCGCACGATCTCCTACACGTAAGGAAATCCAATGCCTTTTCAGCTACGTTGCTAACCTTGCAATATAGCATCCATTCATGCATAATTGTGCTCCACTCACCAGTCTCGCTCCTCTTGTACAATTAGCTCGAGAGAGCAGAGCTGCAGAGAAGGCTAATCGAGGCAACTAACAATGGAGTCTCGGTTCATCATTGTACACCTAATAGAATCACGTCCGAACGGTGCAAGTGGTCGCAAATTCAACTAATTTGTGTCTTTGGCCATTGCAGCCTCACTCTCAAGAACAAATCAACCGTTCGCTTCTCCGCAAGAATTTCGCCCGGTTCGCGGCACGTCTCAGAGTTGTCATTTCTCACGACTGAATGAATGCAGATTGTCAGCAGAGATATCTTCATGCAACACATTTTGCACACGACAACGATGGTCACCCTTCGCACTCGAGTGTATTCTCATGGGCCTTCTTTCCTTTCATTCACGTTGCTCAAGGGACATTATCCGCAAATCGTTTTTCTTTTTTTTTTCCCCACGACTTCCCAAGAAAGAAATCATCATGATCATACGAATAGGCGAAGGAGTTGGGTCGAATATAGATAGGTATGGGCTGTCTCAAGGTTATTTCCCGTGCATAAGTTGACGCACAGAAAATTCCCGGGCAATATCTAGAGGTCGGAAAATGCAAATTGAGCTGTGATTTGACCTCCAAAGTGTAACAGCAAGGCAGAATAAAAGACGTAAACGACTGGAGGCCCCCGAATAAGAAAGTCGGTTTCGTCTGATCACGAGCTCGACCAACGTATGTCGTAAGCAACTGGTCAATATTATACAGCACCAGGTTGGGAGCTTGGACTTGTGTGGCTGTGTCTACATTTTAGCTTCTGGCTTTGTGGCTTTTCGCTTCGCTTGCCACCTCGGCGACCTTTTTTTGCGTCACTGCGCTGTGTTGCAGGTTGCCAGTTAGGCTGCGGCCGCATCCAACGAGTGAGGATATCTCGTGCTCGAGAGTCCAGAGAACCAAAGCAAATCCCTAGATCGGATCATATCTAAGCGCACTTTGACCCATTAATTCATCTTCCCTACCATCTTCGAATCGATCAACCAGCCCATCATGTTTCGGGCCCAGCAGCAGAACGCTTTCGACGATGCCGTCGGTAAGCTAGACCATGATCTTCGGTGTTGCCCCCCGACTAACGCCCATTGCAGCCAAAGCTACCGACGAGAATCTAACTTCGGAAAACTGGGAATACATACTCGATGTCTGCGATAAGGTACAATCGAGTGATAGCGGAAGCAAAGATGTTGTGGCTGCGATGATCAAGAGGCTGGCGCACCGCAATGCGAACGTTCAGCTGTATACCCTTGAGCTGGCCAACTCACTCTCCCAGAACTGTGGTATTGCCATGCACCGGGAACTTGCTTCAAGAAGTTTCACCGATGCTCTGTTAAGGCTGGCGAACGATAGGGTGGGTAAACGGACTGCGATATCGAGAAAGCTGGGCTGACAGCACACAGAACACACATCAACAGGTCAAATCAAAGATTCTGGAAAGAATGGAGGCTTGGACCAAGGATTTTTCAAGCAACACCGAATTGGGGATCATGGAACAGGCGTATTTGAGATTGAAAGCACAGAGTGAGTATGCTCGTTCGATGAGCAAAGGCTCGAACGGATCCTAATTGAAGTTAGACCCTAATTTACAACCCCCTCAAGCGCCGGTCAAAAGGCAGATCACAGAATACGATCGGCAAAGGGAAGAGGAAGAACTACAAATGGCCCTCAGGCTTTCGATTCAAGATAAATCTGCGGGCCCTTCGAGTCAGCCAACCGGCGCCGCTGAACTGTCAGCCCAACCAGCATCCTCAGCACAACACACCACACCCCAATCGGTTCCGTCGGGCACAACAGCTGCCACAGTTTCAAGAGTACGAGCGCTGTTTGACTTTCAACCTTCGGAACCCGGTGAATTACAATTCCGCAAAGGAGATGTTATAGCGGTCCTCGAGTCAGTATACAAGGACTGGTGGAAGGGCTCTCTTCGTGGGCAGACGGGAATTTTCCCCTTAAACTATGTTGAGAAACTACAAGATCCAACACCAGAAGAGTTGCAGAAAGAGGCGCAAATGGAGGCCGAAGTGTTTGGACAAATCAAGAACGTGGAGAAGCTGTTGGCTTTGTTGAGCACGAGTACAGCCGACATGAACGTCAGAGATAATGAGGAGATCACTGAGCTCTATCACAGTACGTTATCAATCAGGCCGAAGCTCATTGAATTGATTGGGAAGTACACCCAAAAGAAAGGTAACCATGAAGGCCAATATTGTCGTGGCATGAGGATGGCTGACAGCGACTAGATGACTTCCAGCAACTCAACGAGAAATTCATCAAAGCACGTCGCGACTACGAAGCGTTATTAGAGTCTTCGATGGCCCAGTCAGCACAGCAATATGCTCGACCAGGCTCTCAACCATATGGATATGGAGGAGGGGGACCGCCACAAGGCTACCCACCCCAAAGATTCTACGCCCCTGGTGAGTCATGAAGCCACGGAGACGCTCTTACTGGATCTAAATTACGGTGACCAGATGGGCAGCCTCCAAATAACGCCATGCCATATCCCAATCAATCGCAACAATCATTCCAACCTCCGTATCCTGTCGGGTCGCCTCCGCCTCAGAGCCACACTCCATCCAATCAACATGCCTCTCAACCACCTCCAGAGAACTATCCTTCATACCTGAACCAAACTCAGCTGCCGGCTCGTCGACAATCGCAGGCTGAAACGTACGCCGCATATCCTCCTCCAGAAGTAAACGCATCTTACAACCCCCCTCCCCCATCCGAGGCGCATGGTTCTCGGCCTGGGCCCCAACCATATCCCAACTTGCAACAACCCAACATCACACAGCTTCAATATCAAGACGACAGTAAAGACTACTCTCCGTCAAACTATTCGGCCGAGGACCTTCACAATCCCAACATTCCCATACCATCTCAACAACCACCACAACAGCCTCCCCAACAGCCGCCTCCGCAAAGCTATGCTCCGCCTATGCCGCAAGGACAACAACAGCAACACAATATTCCTCCACAGTACCCGCCGCCTTCTGCTCCAGCACAGTCATACGACTACCAAGCTCCTTCACAACCTCCTGCCCCAAGTCATGGTCCCCCTCCTATTCCTGGGGTCGGTCCGGCCGCCGTAGAACGACCCCTTACACCTTTGCCGCAATCCTCAGCCTACCCGGTCTTTTCACCGACACAGGGCAAACCGAACCCGCATCAGCAGTACCAGGCATACAGTCAGCGACCGGCGAGTGTAGCGGCGCAAGCTCCCGGCGTTGCTCCCGGCATTGGCGGTGGGAGGACGAGTTATTACAGGTAACGAGATAGGATATGATGATGGAGGAGGACAAGAAATGAGATGGTATGCACAGAGGTAATTGAAGCTGAGATGAAGGGAAATCGAGACCCCTGGGACAGGCCTGGAAGGAGTTTGAGTGCGGGGTGGAATCGTGAGCCATGCTCAGGAGTCAGCTTGCAGGAAGTGTGATTTATTCTACCAAGTCCCTGTCAAATGGGACGGAAATGAAATGAAATCAACCGGACGAAAGCGTATCAAATTAAAAAGTCGTTTCAGAGTTCAAAACTTGCAAGAACAAAATGCTCTATGAATCGCAATTCATTGAGGGTGGTAGGTATCATTACCATAGCATACCAGACACACTTTGCCTTCCCACGAAATTCCGTACCTGTTCCCACGCTGCAACTACAAATAACTCGTGTTTCCGGATAGGCATATCTACGTCAATTGAGCTAGGATAACAGGGTTGTCTTTTCCTTCCAGCTGACGCAGTGAGTGGGAATATCATCTCATCTCATATAAATTCAGTTTCCATCATCTTATTCCGATCTCACCATACGTTCCAACTCACATCGTCAAGGATGGCCGCAAGGCCTTTTTTACCTCAAACTCTACGAGTGTCTAGTTCACTATCGCTGTTGCTGTCATTATCACTGTCACAATATCAAGATTCATTGTTTGCTTATATCTGTGGCAGACTTCATTGTGCATCAAAACAACCTGGACAGGTGTGGTATGCGAAGACCAAAGACGTCGGGTCCGGGGTGAGATCCCTCGGACCGAAGCTCCCGAGAGAATTCCAGTTTGTTTAAAGTGCATGTGCATATGTACGTTGCCATTGCGCCCGGAACGCCAATTTCATGGAATTTCTCGCTGTCTATGGATGTGCCGGTGTATCGGTGGCTCGATTGGGGAAATATAGGCAATTTGAACTGCACCATTCAAAGGCATAAAAACAACAACACAATCTCCCCACGCAAAACAAATCCAAATGTCCGAGGATGTTGGCCTTGGCTCAGACTCCGTTCGGAGAAGAACATTTGTTGAACTGGAGTAGCTTGATGTGGTTGATCAAGGTTCTGTCCGCTGCGAAGTTCGGCGGAAGATTGGTCTTTTGTTTCGTCTAGGAAATTTGCAAAACACTTGCTTCCTTCCAGCCCCAATCGATACATCCCAGCCTGGTCCGGTTTCCTGTGCGGTGTCCCTTTTCGAATCAAAGGGTAATATTGATTACCACCACACGTCCTGACCATCGCTCCAGGACGATGCCGCCCTCTTGACAACGCACACTCTCACCATGCTCATCTATTTGCTTTCTTGACTTTGCATGTAGGTGTATCCAAAATATGCGACGACGGCGCCGACCAAGAGCACGGCGTACATGGCAATACCCATTCCTGTTCCGGCATCACTAGACCGTCCACCTGGCCCAGCAGCAATCTTATCAGTAGCACCAGTCTTGGGGGCAGGGTCTCCTGGAGCACGTTTCAGGGTTCCGATCTTGAGGCCGGCGAGGATTTCGCGGGCTTCGTCTGAGTGTCCAACATCTTCAAAAGCTTCGGTTGCGTCTTGACCGCCAACATCGAGGAGAACTTCTTCACCGCCACTGGACACAATCACGCAAAGGTTAGCCTCAGGGTGGAATTCGGAATTGGAGAGACTTCGGACTGGAACGTTGTGGAGAGGATGAATACAGAATGCGGAATGCGAGCGGTAATGTGGGGTCACGGTTCGGTGGGGGAAGGTGAAATGGTTGTGTGCTTCTGTCTGTGGGAATCATGAAGAATGGGGAACATACGGATGCTCGTCGATGAAAGACGAGGCATTGTAGATGTTGTCGTGGATGACAACGTAGAGATCTTTCTTGGAGGAGTGTTTTGACACCTCGGCGTAAGTGAGCTCCTCAGACATGGTTGATAAAAAGATGAGTAGCGTATGAGACGCGGACGGAGGGTTCTCGACGAAGGTGAGAGGGTGATGAGAGAGATGGTAGACTCTGGTTGAAGGCGAGCGACGGAGGAAGAAGAAATGCAGAGAGAAGTCGCGACAGTTGTGTAGAGGGGCGCAGGCAGTGAGGAAGCTGGTGATAGTTAATTGACCAGACTTTATTGTTTGGAAGCTGGAGTGTGAACTTGTCGGTCGAGGAAGAGAAGGCATTGGAAGGTCAGGGTCGGGCTGCTGAGCACTTGGCCATTGGTCACTGGAGCGGTGGCGCCACCGCTGGGAGTCGCTGGGACACTTGCAGTCCTTCGGCACCACGAATCGGAAGCTTTTCAATTCAAAAAGGTCACAACAACGGGAATCAATAGCCCAATTCTAAACTGTCCGATACGGGGAGAAAACGGAGCTGCTCTTTTCTGGCGCCCCATCAGGCTATTCCACATCCCCGCTCTGTGGTCCATGCTATCCGCCCACCGCAGCTGGGGGGCGCTGCATTCCGCTCTCCTTTACGATTCAGTTGGCGTATTCCGTATTGTGGAAAGCAGAGTAAATCACGTGTATTCGCGATCCTATGGGAGGGTGAATGACCACTTGACAATTAACACGCGCCGCATGTAACTTTTCCCCCCATAGGAAAATGCGACAATAACAATATCAACACCTACAATGCCGGACCATATCGTATATGATGGTGTCCCGCGCACTGCTGATAACGGAGAGATCAACCAGGAAGGAAACGGTGTGGACGGGCCCAACGGAAACGACAACCACGGTTCAAAGCTATTCTCTGGCCAGAAACTCTGGTTTGCTCACACCGTCCCTTCGCGACACTGGCTGATGCACAACGCCGGTCTGCACGGCGCCACCATTGTCAAATTCGACGTCGATGCTGACATCAAACTCGTCGATCATGCAAAGAAACACCAGGCTCCAGGCACCCACTCCTACAGATACGTTGAACTTTCAATTAGGAATGGAAAATTGGAAAACCTCGACTCCCATGCAATTGGAGTACCTACAAGAGCAGCCAGGCAGGTCGGGAGTACGGTGACAGCAGCGAAAACGGGGAGAACAAAGTTTACAGATGAGGAGGATCAGTTGCTGTATAACTGGATGAAACCATTTGAGGATGCGGGAGGCGCCTACAAGGGAAATGAAATCTACAAACAATTTGAACGAGTGCACCCAAATCATCCATGGCAGAGCTATCGCGACAGGTGGTTGAGGATTACCAGATTTCAAAAGCGACGGATAACTGCACCCCCGGGAGGGGAAGAACCCCAGCCCGGGGACCCAGTCTCTGAGATGTCAGTCTTGTCACAGCAAAGAAAGAGAAGACGAGGAGCAGATGACGATGGGGAAGAGCAACGAGCTGATGCCCATCAAGAGCTCAATCGCCTGAAGCCGCCGCCAGTAACAGCCAGAAAAGTAGCAGATGAGGCCTCAGACCGTGCTTTCGTTGACCCAGGAGCGCTGTCTTCCACGGAACCAAACATCCTACTGAGATCATCATCGAGGAAAGGCCGTGTCAATGCTTCCGGACAAGGGAAAGAGGAATCAAGTGTCTCAAGAAAAGCAAGGATGGAAACTGGGCATTCTCTCACAAAGGCAGAGCTCCAGCAACTCTTTCATCTGGTGCCAAACTTAACCCACACCACACCCGATCAATTCGACAAAGCCTGGGGGGGATTTGCTGCCGCATTTTCCTCCACCGAGCACAATCCCGAAGCTTTGAAGCGTTTTTTTGAGTCGGAGGTTGTTCCTGGGTATTGCAGAAGACACAACCAGCCGATCGAAAAGGTTGCTCCATATCTGTTTAGGAATGCCGGGACTGGTCTTAGTACCTCATTGCATGACAGTCGACCCATTGGTGGAAGTGAGGGAGCCACAAATCCCGTCTCAGCCTCGAATAGGGTCATGTGCAGCAATTGCTACACTAGCGAGACCGATCTTTGGCGACTTGACAAAGGACAGCGTCTATGTAATTGGTGTGCGGTGTTCTTAAGAGTCAAGAGCGTCCTAAGGCCGTTAACTGCTCGTCTGAAGGCGAAGCGGGAACGTTCAAGCCAAAGCGGAAATCCCGAAGCGAAGATACCTCCAGTAAATGTCACCGCGCGACAGTCTGGTTCTTCTGTCAAATCTGCTGCCACCCCAGGGTCTATCCACCCAAGTGGGGTGGTTCAAGCATCTCTGAACGTTTCTTCGGAGGGCGTCAACCATCCTCCACTCTCATCCCCCAGAAGTCTTTCCTCAGAGCTTCAAGTCGTGTCTCCTTCGTTCCAGTCAGAATCCCCGACAAGAAGTCAACTTCCTGAGCATAACGAGGCCCGAAAAAGAAGTGCGGGGCGAGACACACAACCACAGTCGACCCAAAAGTCAAGCACATCCGACACACGAAGCCAGACTCAACAAGGAATTTCACAGGAATCTGGAACCATCATGGGAGAACTCCAATCCGCGGAAGCACAAGCACGACCTGAAGATGGACCCCAAGCGAAGTCTCCGAAGGCTGTTACGGGTGTCCCTCCATTCGAAGTTTCCACAGATCAGAAGACGAATTCCGGGGAGGCAAGCTCCCTACCAAGCTTACCCGCTATGCTATCAACGCAAACAAGCTCACATTCCCGTTCAAATTCGTCTCCACTATTCATGCAAGAAGATGAAGAAGGAGGAGGAGGCGACGATCTAGAGATGAAGGAAATTCAAGGATCAATTTCGGACATCGATTCCTCAAGGAATCCAACGAGTTTGGGGCTAATAAAAGAACAACATGGGCCTAATCCAGAACCCAATCAGCAATCCACTCTCGACGACTCCGAGTCTTCACAACGAGGCGCAGATTTTAATCCAGGGGAGGTAAATACTAGTGGCACGGCGGAAACGCCGACCGAAGCGTTCGAAACTGGACGAGAGGCAATGGAGAATTGGGAAACAGCACGGGAGCACCACCAGCACAAGGATAGTCAACTAGACACGCAGGCGCTATTCAATTGTTCCCAATTCGGTAACGAAGATATGGAATTCGACTTTGCACTCCCTGAGCCGGACGGCGGATGGAAGCGAGTACTTGGTTCTCAACTTCCCTCGGAGGACGAGGATGAAGGTCAGGATGAAGAGCCCAATGTCACCATACGAGCGGACGACCGGAGCAACCATGTCTTCGGATCCCATATTCAAATTGGGGTCGAAAATGGGACCCAAGTTGCCCCTGTTCCTCAATCGCTGCATGTACCTGCCGCTGAAGCCGACACGAACGATGGAGACAATGAAGGCGACGAAGATGGCCGCGAGATGGACGACTGGCTGGCTCTCCAGAAATCTCTGCACAAACACGTTCCACACGTCGAACCCATTCTTTTCAAGGCCGTTGAATCGACAACATTCGACTTTGCCCTTGCGACTGAGGTTGTGGAGATCATGCTGGAGGTGCTCAAAGAACAGGGTCAGGAGTGTCGATGTTCATCCATGTCTGCCTCAAGACTCGAGAGTTTACTCCCACGGGATATGAAGGGTGTCTGGACGAAAGACGACGATGATCTTCTGCAGAGCCACGATAAAAGAGACAATCACCGTGTCATTGACAAACATGGACATAATGGCTGTAGCGCCCGCTTTGAGTTTTTGAGAGAGAAAGCGGAAGGACAATGAGTGGCGACGATGGATTTGGATGCGCTCGAAGTCAACGGGAAAGGAGCCAATGAGACAAACTGATATGAGACGGCTTGACTTGGAATGAAAGATCCCAGATAGATGGTACTGGTGCTCTATGGACCAGTTGTCTCCAGTACTAGAATTTGGCCAAGGTAACTATCATGCGGTTCTTATTCGATGTCGATGATCCAACTTCATACTGCAGCGCTCTATACCCCATGGAAATTCTAACCACAACCAGCGAATGCCATTCGTACAGCCAAACCGCGAGCGACTACGGTCGTATAAAACAACGAAAAGGGAGTGGCGAGTGGCTGGACCTATTCCTCTGAGACACTGGGAGGTAAAGTGATCGAGCACTGAGCAGGCAGACAAGGTAGGCATTGCAACAAAATAGGTACCCTACAAGATAAAACGGGAGGGAAAAATTCGTCTGGATCGGAAGGAAAGAATTTTCTCCTTGTTGAGTCATTTGGCCATAGGCAGAGCTCATGTGTATCTTCCATGCAATGTTCTGTCGAGCCATTATCAAGGCCATTCCAATTCTTCTGACTTTCTTGCTCCGGCGAGCATTGCTGGATGACAGTGGATGTCGGAGGAGGCCCCTGTCAGATCTGAGTGAGCAAGGGCTCCTCTTAACTCCAAAGATAATCCCATTTTCCTTCTGTTCAAGTTTCGACGTATTCCATTTGAATTCTCTTCGAACTTCATTCGGCGTTAGATGCTCATCTGTTGTGATCACGCAGCTAGAGCAAGAAGAGAAAGGCTGAGTTCCCGGGGAAATTAAATCACAAACCCACCACATCCCCTGGCCCATCCAGCGCCATGTATAATCCATTGAATCTATATTCCGACCCGGCAATGTCAAAACTCCCCGAGGAGACTAATATGCCGTCCAGTCCGGGATGGGAAGAAACAATGTGCAAAGTTCAAAAATAAGCGTCATCCATCCACTGGGTCGTGTTGTCGCGAAATCACTTGTCGACTGGAGCCTCACAAGAGACAAGCGACAATTTTCTTTGGCCTACTTAAACTTCAAATGTCCTTCATAAAATTTGAGCATGGCTCGAGGACAGTGACGGTAGACCTTGTCCATACTGACTTTGGTCTTCTTGCCGTTTTTGAAGTCGATGTAGGCCATCAATTGTCCTGACTCGCTTCGTTCGACCGTGTCTACTTTGACGATGAAACTCTCCCAGTCTTCCTTCGCAGGCACCCAGGTTCCTAATTCTTCCGGCGCACGAGCACCTTTGCTAGCGGTACGTTTTTGTCGTTTCGGGGCTCGGGATTCTTCTGCGGATGATTGTCTTTGCAGGGGTTGTGTCGACTTTGATTTCGTCAGAGTCTTGTCCGGGGGTCCTCCGATCTTTTGGTGGTATTTCGTCAACATCATCTTGGCGTGACTAGTAGACATGAAATCGTCAGCGAACTCCGTCCTTCTAAGGAGTAGTGTATGCGCAAGGTACTTACGGTAGGAGGTTCTTCTCAGGCTCGAAGGTGTTCTGGTCCTCGGGATAGCCCTGCCATTTGATCTCGTAGAGAACAGTACGTCCGTGTATCATGTGGCTTCTGATAGCTTCAACATCGAATTCCTCCTCTTCATCGTCCTCTTCTCCGCCCTCATCTTGAACTCGAGCAGCCTCTTCTGAAGCATTCACGACATCGTCCTGGAGTTCGCTGTTGAGTTGATCATTCGGTGCGATGTCAAGGCTCTCTTGGGAATCTCGAGGAGCAGCTTCGCCGTCGCTGCCAACAACAGAGACCGCATCATCTCCTAGTCGAGGATGAGAAAGTTGATTTCACAACTTTGCAATGCAGCGCAAGTGAAACCGCGGCTCGAGTAGAAGCATGAACTAACCGAATGGTGGAGGCATGATCTGCCCACGCGATCGTTCCTGTGTAGATGTCGGGGATGGGTCGGAGAAAGGAAGGCCGAGGAGAACTGAGATCCCTCCACACTCTGTGCAAGTTGCGCAGGGCGAAAGGGCAGATCAACTTCGGGTTTTTATTGTTCTTTATGGCGGACGGCGCGTGGTTGGTCGGAAGGCTTGCCTGGAGGCTGAGGTTTGCCGTTGCCCTTGGCGCTCTGGGGTGCATGCTACCTGAAGGCTTATTCCATCTTCACGGCTATCCGTCACTTAAACCGAGCTGTTCTGCGATTTACATATTGCCCAAATCAACTGACTCTGTGGTCCAAGGTCATTTAATTTGTTCTGACCCCTCAGGCTTTGTGTTTGCGGTCGGCTGAGTACAACAGAAATAACTGGAACAACAGCCAGCCAAAATCTAAAAGCCCAATCGGTGGAAACTCCACGTGGATTGGCCATCGAGGCATACGGAATACATGCGCTCTGCAGCTGGTCGAACGGGTCGGGATCGTAGACTGATGCCGAAGAACACGGACAACTCGCTTGTCCGCCGTCATCCAATGTGGTGAAACCCAGAGTTTCTGCGGTGCATGACTCGGCCATTGAAAAGGCAAGTGAGCAACTGATCAAGTAAAAGGCAGTGGACACTGGTGCTCTGCCCGTGACAGGGGTGGCTGTCGGAGTGACTAAAAGAGACAAGAAGCAAGCAGCTACTGTGTCCTGGCTGCAGTAGGAGACAAACATGGTCCCTCCCAGAAAGGCGCATGAAGTACAAAACGTGTCCACACAAGCTATGTCATCAAATCAGAACGCCAGGAACTCATACAAGGGGACCCTAAGAGTTCTCATCGCTCTTGATTAGCGGGCATATCACCACCATAGTTTGTGCCGACTGTGTACGAGGATGAATAAGAGAGATCAGATGTAGTCTGCGTGGGCAATACACATTTGCACAGATCGAAGCTGATCCCGGAAGCTCGCCAAAAAGGAGGCCAGGCAACAGAAGAGTCATCACGAGAATCTCGGAGACCTCATGGTGAGTTGAGAGGTCGGTATTTCAGAAAATTGCCAGATGAGAGTGGTTATGAGATCGTCGGTAAAGCAGGCTCTCTTCGTACTGCTGAGCAAGCAGTTTTATTGCGGTCGATTTATTCACGCTACGAGATCATACCATCTAGGTCGGTGGAGGATGAACACGTCAAGGACACTTTACATGATTCGGAGAGAGAGTTTGGAACGTAGTCATGGTGATCCTTTGGGCATCGATCGAACATACAGATACTTTTCCGTGCCTCAGTATCTACCTAATGTAGGGCAAAACGCAGGAGTATAGGCTTAGTCTCGCTGCTTTTACGTGATTATGCTTGGCATTTCACTGCGGCTCCAAATCAAGTCACGTTTCAAAAAATTCAGGTAACCATTCTCCTACGTTTGAGGATTGGATTCAGCCTTTCTTAGACTTGTGAGAGCATTGACCTACCTGGGGCAATAAAATACGAGAGTGGGAAACGGGAACTCCTCGATTCTGGTGCCTTACAACTCGGAAGCGACCTCGAGAGAGCACAATTTCTGAACGCATTCTGAAGGGACATTCTTCTTTGGCCGGCGTAGGCTACCTCCCATCATGGCGATGCAACTGGATTTGTCCCAGGCTCAGATTATGAAAGATGAGACCGGGAGGCCTTTCATAATCGTCCGAGATCAAGGAAAGAAGAAACGAACCCACGGTATCGAAGCAATCAAACAACACATTGTCGCCGCAAAAACAATCGCCAACATCGTCAGAACCTCCCTTGGTCCTCGAGGACTCGATAAAATCCTGATTTCACCCGATGGCGACATTCAAATATCCAACGACGGGCGCACAATCATGTCTGAAATGGAATTGACCAACCCGATTGCCAAGCTGATGGTGGAACTGTCAAAATCTCAAGACGAGGAAATTGGTGATGGCACAACGGGCGTGGTGGTCCTGGCTGCCGCCCTCCTGGATCAGGCCGCAGATCTCATCGACAAAGGCATTCATCCCATTCGAATTGCGGACGGCTTCGATCAAGCATGTGAAGTCGCCGTGGCACATCTGGACAGGATCAGTGACGAAATCACCTTCACACGAGAGGAGCAAGAAAATCTGATCAAGGTCGCCAAAACTAGTCTGGGGAGTAAGATTGTCAGCAAGGCACACGATCAATTTGCAAAGATCGCCGTCGATGCAGTCATGTCGGTCGCCGATCTGGAGCGGAAAGACGTTGATTTCGAACTGATCAAGGTCGACGGCAAGGCTGGAGGATCGATAGAGGATTCCCTTCTCGTCAAAGGAGTCATCGTGGACAAAGATTTCTCTCACCCTCAAATGCCGAGTGAGGTCAGGGATGCCAAATTGGCCATTTTGACGTGTGCCTTTGAACCCCCGAAACCGAAAACCAAGCACAAGTTGGACATCTCGACTGTGGAGGAATTCAAAAAGCTACAACAATACGAAAAGACCAAGTTTGTGGAGATGATTGATATGATCAAGGCCACTGGAGCGAATCTTGTCATCTGTCAATGGGGCTTCGATGACGAAGCAAACCATCTACTCCTTCAAAACAAGCTCCCAGCTGTGCGATGGGTTGGTGGTCCGGAGATTGAATTGATCGCCATTGCCACCAATGGAAGAATTGTGCCCCGCTTCGAGGACCTCAGCAAAGAGAAACTCGGCAAGGCTGGTCTTGTCAGGGAGATGACGTTTGGCACGACCCGCGAAAAGATGCTGGTGATCGAAGAGTGCGCCAATACCCGAGCTGTCACGGTATTTGTGAGAGGAAGCAACAAGATGATCATAGATGAGGCAAAGAGATCGCTACATGATGCTCTCTGTGTTGTGCGGAATCTCGTAAGAGACAACCGAGTCGTCTATGGCGGTGGAGCGGCGGAAATTGCTTGCTCACTCGCCGTTGAAGATGCTGCGTCTAAATCTCCTGGCTTGGAGCAATATGCCATGAGGGCATTTGCTGATGCCCTTGATGCCATTCCCATGGCTCTTGCGGAGAACTCTGGTCTCAGTCCCATCGAGACGCTGGCGGAGGTGAAGTCACGGCAAGTCAAAGAACAAAACTCGCGATTAGGAGTTGACTGCATGGGTACTGGGAACAACGGTATGGTCCTTTCTCAACCCCCAACCTCCCCCCCTTTTTTTAGTTTTGAATGGCGCTGACCCTGTATAGATATGCGAGCAAATTTTGTCATCGATCCACTAATTGGGAAGCGTCAGCAATTACTTCTCGCAACCCAATTGTGTCGAATGGTGAGTTTCACCTGTCCATCCTTTCTCGTCATTCGTTCCTGACACATTTTCTGTGCAAAAGGTGTTGAAAATTAATAATGTAATCGTGGCGGGAAGTGACGAAAATGAGTTTTAAGACTTGTTGATCAGCATTCCGGCATTAGATGGCGTTTGACCAGACAGCGTGCATGAGAAAAGGATTCACGAATCGGTATAAATCTGATACCCAGTGGAAAATGGGATTGATATGAACCAAAAATTTGGATGCCCATGACCTTCAATCCACCACGTCCATTCATTTCCAGCGTTCTCTCCAAGTCATCAAGGTAACACGCGAGCTTTCTCACTGTCTTTAGTCAGCGACTTGCAAAGCATTTTTCCGGGCCGGTCGATTCATTCTGTTGTTCGGAGATATCCATAACAAGGCTGCGGGCTGCAGACACAGAGGCTGACTAACAAGACTCCTTATTGGACCATCAGGAGGGTCCAGTAGTCGACATGGCTGCTCTGGCTATCTCTGGGAACTGACATCCTCTATCATCAACGATGTAATACCGTGCCAGATCAATGAGCCAGCTCAGATGACGAGAGTCTCGAATTACGAAGAACGAAGGGACCAGGGCATCCTTCCTTCTCAAGCCCATGAATCGAGAGTCTCTTCGCGATAATGAATTAAGTAGCGCTGAAAACCTCGATATTTCCCCTAGCATGGAGAGCACCATGTCGACCATCGTGCTCGAGAGAAACTTGACCAAAGAAGCCCGAAGAGATGAAGACCATTGGGCTGGTCTGGCTGAGGCTAAGGCTAGAAGGAGATTTCAAAGTCGCTTGAATCAATACTCTTATCGTACATTCCCCACGGGAGGCCATGACCCTTGAAATATGTATGGCACCAAACGGTCCTACTTTTTCGGCTAACGATCGGACCAAATCTGTCGTCATCCTAGGCCGCGGGAGAGCTGCTGAATGAGAGGCCTAAAAGGTATCAGCCGTATGCAGACTATGGCGAAAACCCCGTTGCTTGTGCCACGGACGAGTATGGCTGGAGCAGATGAACAGCAGGCTGTCGAGATATGGACGCGATCAACTCGCAAGGCTTGGTCCCACAGATTGACTCCCCCCCTGGAGTGTGCGACCATGCTGCTGGACAGCGATGTGTGGAGAGTTCATCCCTATGGTATGAGACCCAGAACCTCTCCCTTGGTTCCTCAATATTCCTTCTCTCCATTCCACATACGCCACGCCAGTTCCAACTCTCATTGGTTGTTGCAGCAGTGAAAGTCCTCCGACCCAGCTTTGGCCACCACATAATCAGCACATATGAATCACTCACTGCTGCGTTTTTCCGCCTCAGCATGACGGACGAGTTATTGCTGAACAGCTTCATCTGGACGGCCGCGCTGGAGATGTCGCTGCACCATGCTTCGGCGCGCAACGCGCCGTCATGCTCTCATGCCGGGACAAAGCCATCCAGGCAGTCCGCGAGCACTTCTCTACAGTGACAGAGAGCGAAGCTTTCTTCGTTGACTGCTGAAGAATCTGTCTGCAGAGCTTGGGGTGACCACCTTTGTCGAGCTCAGAGAGATCATGCACCAGTTCATCTAGTGGGGTCTTGCTTGCGATACGGCGCGTTCCAACTGTAGGAATAGATTGCACCCCAACAACCCGTGTTTACGTCGGGACACGAGGCTTAGGTGTGAGCAGGTCCAAAGGAATTGTCAACGACAGGACGACCGAACGGGGCAAAACAGTGGACTCAGACTTGTCCACGCAGATGCGACCGAGGGCCTGTCTACTAGAACTGGCAAAAGGATCCAATTCAACTTACTTTGACGACACGCTGTAGGATGTCAGCATGTCTATTACGATATTTCTTGGTCCTGCATTACCTTGTGCTTTTGAAGGAGAGCTTCTCATTTTCAATGGAAAATATGCCCCAACAGCGGGCGTATCGGCATATCCGAGAAGGAACGTATATACAGTGCCAAAAAGGGGAATATGCTCGGATTACATGTTGGGAATTGTCAAAATAACTTGGCGAACGAGGGAGGAAAAGGACAACGACGAGGCTGAATGGGGGCGTTGTCGGCGAATGAACAAATGGAATCATGTGTTCCAGGTTAAACGACAGGCACATCAAGGGGTGGAAAGAAGATCTTATCCAGCACGAACTAGGGAAATTAACAATGTAAGGTGGTGACATCAGGACCAACGCAATAACTCCCCTCTTGCTCCCATTGCCACTGACTTACTCCAGGTATTAACTGAACAAGAGCTGGCTTTGAAACTGGAAACGCTGAAGCTGGTTGAAAGAGAAGTTCGGTACCAAGCATCTCCGATACTGCGCGAAAGCCAAGGTGAGGTTTTCCTCTCATCTTCCGATCTTACGGATGATTTCTCGGCTGTCACAGCATCTTTCTGCAAAAACTGGTGTTCGACAAGACGAAAAAGTTTTGTCCGGACACGCGACAATGAGAATTTGTGCTAGGATGATGATGTTGGTTACCCTGATCACCACTGCTGTCTCGGCGATGTACATACGCGACCCATACTGGGCTAAAAGCACAGATATTGGAAAGTGGAAACGTGAGATCTTGCGATCTTGAAGGATGGATCCGGGGAAGCAAATTGATCCAAACACTCAAATGTCGGTGTAGGAGTCAGTCGGTTGACAATAGCTGAAGCAAGATGTATGACGCCCATCTTCCGATCTATCGAATGGTTACCCCTTGGTGAATCGATAGTGACAAAAAGCAGGGAGGACCGTGCCCAGGGAACGGATCAATGCTATGAGGCTTTATCAACCCGCCACTGCGATATTGGCCAGCTCGTCAGCTGCAGGCTAAGAAACTTGACAGCGGGAAAGACGGAGGTGGAAAGGATGGCTGTAACTGGAAGAACTATGGACATAATTGGTCAGCTGAGCGGTATTTGACAGCTAACCTGACAGGCTCAATAGTCTTTCAGAAAGTATTGCATCGATGCCAAAGTAAAACTTCGGAAGCAACTTCGGATCCATGGACCGAGGCGGTCTAGTTTGGGATTGAGAGCTATGGGCATGAGATGACCAGGGGAGGATGAGACGCAAGCGTGGACAGGAGGTAAACCCTGGAGGTACGCCATGGCTCAAGAGGATGGCGTGGGATGGGTTGAGCCAACGGAAAATGATAATGGGTAGCTTTGGCAAATACGATAGCTCTCTTCAAGACTGACATGCATCGCTTTCGGAAGGGGGTTAAACGAAACGGCAAGGCTGCGAGGAAGGAAATGTCCCGGCAGGTCGTCCCTTGGGGGGGTTGACATCTACGATATAATTGTCGATCATTGGCGGAATCAGCCGGCATGTGGGACGTGGAATCGATTTCCTGTTGCCCTGGTCTCTGAGCCGTTGGAACGGTTGCAGGAGCTGTTTCGCTATCCGAAGGTATCACAATGCTAAGGGATGCCCGGCAAATCGAAACATGTTCCCGCCCGGAGACTAAAGTTATTGGCGTTCCAGCCATAGTATTGTGGTTCCAGCTCCGGGTCGATGGGTCTACGGTTCCGAGGGTGCGAGTCCAACGTCGGGGTTGGTCCGGTGCTTGGGGGGCGCTTTTTTATTTTGGTGTGGGTGTGGTTTGTCTCGCTTAATTCGAGATCGAACATCGTCTCGGAGGGTTGATCATTCCTGAATGTAGAAGGTCCTGCTAATACGACCCAGTGACTTGGTGGCCATTATGGAAGAAGGGTATTCGTTGCGGTTTACACCAATCGAAATAAGTCTCCGAGCAGCAGAAACGGTCACGGCGATTGAATGGACGCATCTTCAGCCACACTGGGATGGGGGGAGCTTTGTCCTTTGTTGAACGAACGGTAGGTGAATGAGATCGGCATTGCAGTGTGGCTTGCAAGGAGGGCGTGGAGTCGTGGAGGTGATATGAAGGAGCTCCTTTTGGTAGATATTTGCACTCTCGTTACCGGATTTGATTCCTGACACCGGCTTCTAATCATTAGTTAAGTGCCCCGATGGTCAACTTGCTTGACTGTTGGATCTCAATCCTTCAATCCGTATTTTAGGTCTAGTTCCGGTGAGCACCAGAGCGCTGGGGCCACCCAACTGACCGGACAACTGGGGAGCTCGCTGGCGTAGGGCCAAGCTAAGTCAGGCAATCTAGACCAGCGGCCAGGTACGTAGGGTGGCACGTTGTGTTGTGCGGATGCCAGCATTCACACGATGCGAGGTGCACGAGAGCTGGGAAAGGAAACGATCCTCTCGTTCTTGGATGGTTACACATGTCAGAGGAGAAGAGAGCACAAGGAACCATTTGGGAGGTGAGGGGGAAAAAAGGGAGGACCGTGAATGGCTGCGCCAGAGGGAGAAAAGGGTTGTCAGCTGGACACCAACAGAGCGAAAAACCCAGAGTTTTAGGCTATTGAAGAATTGCACGTGGATGAGGGAGAAGTCTTTAGCTTAAACGGGGAATACGGAAGCCGACTGATGTGACATGCTTTAACCATTGTTAGTGCCCACACAGGTCACCCGTAGGTGTTCGGACGGGCTTCAGAGCAAATGGCAGATAGGGTGCGAGAAAAGGACCGACGAGCTGAAGCATTCCATACTGATATGCCGATTTATCTGTTCGCTTGCTGGGCCCGATGGGTGGCTGGGGCGAAACACAGCAGTTTGCATGTGACCTCTGTATACTCTGCTAGTACGACTATCAATTCCCGGGGTGGCACTGTAAGTAAACTCAGGCTCCAACCGATGGCAGCCAATATTACTAAGGTACTGCAGTGCCACGAATACCTGTTATCATTTGTCCCACATGTCACGGGCTGTGCTGTGAGTGGGCTTGTTCCGGTGGCTTGTCTGCTGGTGGCAGTCCCGCGCGTATCTGTGGAGAGCACCGAGAACTCAAACACTCCGAGTCAGGTTCCCGGAGGAACCTGGCGACTGATGCCTAGGCCAGGACATAAGCTATGTTGAGGTACCCAGACAGGGCGCTTAGGGCTTGGACCGGCTCGGTGGATGTTCGATACTTGTAGGTACATCGAGGTACTCTACTAGAGTAGTAGTTATCTGCTGTAGAGAGTGCCAGCGTTTGTCCGGTCGAGTTTCCCCCTTCGACCCCCCCGAATTGTGTGGGGCCGATCTCAACAGTTGTTAGTAAAATAATGTGTTTTCCCCAACTTGGTAAATCCCAAGACCAGCGATAGCGCTATCCCCATCGGCAGTCACTCGCCGTCACTCGTCGGCTGTCATTACAAGTTTAATTCACCTTACCGCCAGTACTGCTGTGTTTGTCTGGATGCTCCGTCGTGTCTAATCCTAAGAGAGCTAGTTCGAGATGGCGCTACATAACTTTTGCCCTCCCTTGGGCCTTTAGGCTTTTAGCCTTTGCTCTTGGTCTCTGCAAACGTCCTTTCCTTCTTCGAGACTTCAGCCCTTCCAGGTCTTCCCTCGTGTCTCGAACCAAACGATGCACATCGCCAATGCGTCTTGCCCCCGGTCCCTGAATTTGCCCTCCTCCTGGTGTCCTGCTACCCATCCACCCATTCCCCCCCAACTCCCGACCCACCCTGCTCTTTTTCATGCCCTGTGCCCTGCTGCGTCCAACTAACCCCAAAACATGCAACCTGCTCTCGGCGTATCTTTGTTATACCGGCTCTCCCCATCGCAACTTTTCACCATCCCTCAAACACCGTTACACTTCCCTCTCATACACCCTATTCTGGCCTCTCGTTCGCGACGTGAGATCTCTCTACACATCGGTGTCGATACTCTCTTCGTGTCAATGACTCTCCCGCATCTGTTGAGTCGGTGAACACGTTTTCTCCCTGATCGGCCCGAGGTCTCTCAAAATTGCGTCACTAGTCGGATCCCACCAAGGATTTCCGACTGCTTTGCGGACAAGCAACCCATCCAACACCACCGTCCTCCCTGCCCACTTCTCCGGCTTCTCTCTGCTCCCTCGAGATTGTCTCTCGCTCTGGTTTTTCTTGATTGTCCCGCCGAAGATCCCTCGAGATGCCGTCGCGCTTAAATGCGCCCGTCCTGTCACTGGACGCGGGCAAAATGCATCAAATCGACCCTTCCAATGCTTGCAGTTTGATGGCGATGTGGTCAATATTCTCCAAATGTTCAGAGACGTTAAAAGACGGTCCACGACTGGAAAACATGAGTTGGCGAGTGTGGTCGCGAGAATCCTTATGTGTCGCTCCCGTGGAGTCCCCTGCCGCCCGGTCGAGCCAAGTACCCTCCCTCTCGAACTCATTCTCCTCCGAGGACGACGAGAGCCTGAGCGAAGAAGGATCCCGTCCCATCCATTCCAGATCGAGGCCTTTTGGTCAGGATGACTGTGCGAGTTCCCTGTCCAGATCACGACATCTGACCCCTCACACCCTGGAGAAGATTGTGGTCACGATACAAGAAAAAACCGAACTATGTCCTTTGTCTCCCTCCTTTCAAGCCAGCCTTCCAGCATTACCCGCCATCGCCCAACCCAAAAGCCCACCGGCCCCCACCCAACCGGAACTGGAGAACAAACGCCTCCAAGATTCGACCGACTCGTGTCTCTCCAATACCACCACGGCGACGTTGAGTACCGCACGCCAGAGCGAACATCGTGATTCCGACACCTCAGTCTCTTCGGATGGCCTCATTCGAAGTGGCTCCGTTGTCCACGGTTTCTCCCCCGCCACGTCTTCTTTCCGTGGTCGACATTCCGGTGCCGGAGTTCCACCGGCGCCACCGTCGAAACTAATTCCCCCGAGCAAAACACGAGGCGTGTTCACCCTGGGTGGCTCATCGGAAGATGATGAATCATCTTTCGAACAACGAGTGCTGTCGACCGGACCCGTCCATCCCAAGAGCTCCCTCTCTCAAAGTCTCAGCAGGCCGAATTTGACGGCCAAGTTGCCACCGCCACCGAAAAGAACATCCTTCCGGGAAGTCGTCGCCGAACGAAGGATCCAAGAAGATGCCGAGAACGATGAAGGGGCGATTGCCAGTAGTGATGAAGAGGAAGACACCGATGAAGTGATGGAGTCTGCCATCGATGAAGACGAGGAAGAAGACGGGGACGAGTGGGAGGACTCCAATTCCGATGATGGCAAAGTTTCCCAAGAACCTCACCTTTTCCGACGCGTCGAAAGTCGTCCCGAACTGGTCTCACGGCGGTCCATGTTAACTCTGGCCCTGAACCGAGGACAAGGCGGACTAAATCATGCTTACTCCCAGCCCGCACTACATCGGGCTCTGCCGTCCTCGCAACCAGTCAGATCATCATTGGCAGAGTCACCGGAAGAGGATGGAATGATGATGCAAACATCCAATCGACCACCCATCGCAATCCCCCCTCCAAAGGCGTCTTCCAAGTCACTGGCACATTCCCCCAGGACGACGAGACGGAACATGTTGTCCACCGAACTAACCGAGTCCTTACGGAAAAATCTTCTTTGGGAAAGACAACAAAAGTCACAAACCATCAACGCTTTTCAAAGACGAAATCGAAATGCTCAGAGCATGGCGAATCTTCAAAGTCATGCAGCTGCAGCCACGGGGCCTGGGCAACCACCTGCTGCTGCCGCCGAGGCTTCGAGAACCAATTCTTGGAATCATTATTTTGATAATCCATGGGAATACCATACCAAAGGCTGGTGACACGACAACTTCTCCCCCGCTGATTTTTTGTGATATCGTTGCATTTACATTGTTGGCCTTTCTCGTCTGCGTTCCGAGCGGAATTATGTCGTCTATGTGATTTACGGCCTTGTTTATTATCTAGTTTATGAAATGGGATCGGGGGCATGGGAGAAAGGAAACGGATGGCGTCGGCTTTGCCCCATCCGAGACAAGGCGTATTTTCGGGATCCTGTTGCTTTCTTCTATCCAAGAGAACATGGAAATCTGGTCGGGTGGTCCAAAAGTGAAAAAAACATTTTTATCCACGATATCATGCGAGATGCCAGCCGTCCTCCATCATTTATGTCTCGGCCATCAAAGAGCTTGGATCCCATGGGTAATGCTCTACCATACCATGTCATCCGACTTTGTACTATATTCACAACATATCCGATAAGCTTCTTTAGAGCTAGTTTTGTGGCAGGGGGGGGAGGAATGAAAGCTTGTACGAATATCAGTCACTTGATGCTGAGAATAATGCGAGAGTACCACCATGAATGAACGTTTATTCCACCTTTCAAGTAATATATTGAAATTCGAGCTTGATGATTGGTTAGATTGCCGATGACAGATGATGGGATTGCACAGCTCATCCCACCCACCTCGTCTTGATGGTGTGCTCATCTGAATATGTCTTCCCAGGTCTACTTAAGCGTGCGTCGTTCTCCATTAGGCTGAATTCCGGGGTCTATGGACTTGAATTCTTCACATGGGCAGCACACCACGGGCGCCACACATTGCAGTGCATTGCGTTGCAATGTTCGCATCTGCACCCAATTCCATTTCCCACCACCTGCTGAACCCAGAATAATGGAAACAGGTTACTGGATTTTGTGGGTTTTGGTACGTAGCCAATCGTTTCATGCTCTGTCCGACCACCAATCTGGCTGACTGGACGGCTTGAACGCACATGTAACTGGCTCTCTATCAAGTGGTCACGGACCGTGCGCCTATAGAACCAAGACATGGGGGTTGCCCTTTCGGGCAATTCTTCCAGGTGATTTTCTTTGAGACGGGAACAGCACCGAAGACGGCAATGGCAAAAAGGGAACGGAACATCCAAGAGCGGCAAGCATTTGTATCGCGTGAGCGGAAAAAATATTTATATTTTGCAAATCACGGAACTTGAAAGTTTTGAACAACCATAGACTAGCCCGCCGTATACTCGCTCGCGACCTCAGGCCCCCGTGGGAAGGTTTGACAACGCAGCGTCGGCGCGATGATGGTGGATTGTCACCCCTGTGGGCCGACCAAATGGTGCCCCGTAGTGGGATAGAATGATTTGGGGGCTGAAGAATAATCGGAAACTTGTGGATACTTGGGTCCTCTGCACATGACTGATTAAACGGACATTTCTGAATGTGTATTTGACACGCGACTGGCCCAGTGAGGCTGAATTTTTGTACATACTTTCTAGTACCGACGGAGTTCCCTAACGACCGGGCTGGCAAGGAGAGTCATTGGTCACCGCGTAAAGTGATGCCTGACACCGAGACCGAGACCGAGATCAACCCGAATGTAGAGCGCGAATGCTACCTTACCTTTTCCCCTGGGATATCAACGGCGTATGTGAGCCTGGGGGAAAAAAAAAAAAAAAAAAAAAATCCAAGAAATCCTTGAGAGGCCATGTGATGATTTTTGGGTTCTGGGGAACTTTTGGAGATGAACGAATACGTATGAAAGGAATGTCCGGCGTGGTGAATGATGCCAAGGCGGGTAAAAGGGTCGCGCATTTTCTTGCTGTCGGCCAGAGAATTAAGCGACTCAGGATTCAGTGGCATCAGCCAGGGTAGTACGAGTAAGTCCGTATGGAGGTGGAGGCGCCGGGAAATAATATCATTCCGGAATCCGGGCAGACTACGGGACGTTGTCATGTGTTGTGGTTTGCTAACTGAAGATGGTTCTAAGTTCAGTATGCGGATGCTTTTGATGAGCAAGAAAGAACATTGACAAATTAAAGGAATACTCTGACAACCACCGAAAGGGCCCCCCCTTTTGCTCGAAAGCACAGGAGGCAACGGATTCGGATAGAAACTTAGACTCGGATGATGCACCCGGATCAGGTCAGGGGGTCCCATCTTAGGGATCCGTTCGGCATGTACAAGGCCACATCAACCCGACACCTACTCTTGAAAGTCACTTGGACATGGAATATCTTATCGACGGATTGAGGAATCACCTCCAGATTCTTACTCATATGCCCTCTTTATTTTCCTCTCTTCACGTCTCATGCCTCCTGTCCCATGGTCCACGGCCATGGGTCACGCTCACGTGGTTCAACCACGCCCCTGATACTCTTATTCCCGACGATTAACCACGATATAGCCGCGCATACGTCTTGTAAACTGAGTCGACCTGACCTCGGTTGCCGACGAATTAAACTTTGGGGTCTTGTTGCAAACGGAGAGCGACCATCAGTGAGTTCTCAGAAGGCGTTGTTTCTTTTTTTCGCGATTTGCAGCTTCTGGGGAACGATTGCGAATACTAGATTTTGTGGGGGAAAACATGGGAATGCTCCTGTTCCCGTTCCTGCGCTAGGTGATATGCTTCGGTATGGACTGCACATGCAAAGTCGACAGCGATGTCTGAAGAAGGGACGACGGGGCAAGTGGGTTTTTCCAGCGAGCTGGTCGTTCCGGGTGGGGGTGTCAAGGCGGGTAACGTCGTGTAACTAGCGAGACCTGGGTACCTGAATAGGTACCTATTCCGCCATACAGAACACGTCAAGAATCAATGGCGCCTACGTTCTAGAAACGTGAGGCGGTTCTGGAGGCTGAGTCCGCGTCCGCAGCTGCACAACTGGGGAAATTGGAGATTGAGTATCACCGTCGGTTATCCCATTTTAACTCGACCTGTGATCATTGTGAGAGATACATGGGTCGAAGTACCATGTGAATTCAGCTAGTCACTCAAATCAATGATGCTCAAGTCCAGGGGCTACAGTATGGATGGTCGAAGTTCCGGATCAGGTTCGTGGTCCCGAGGACTGCTTTGGCCGCGCCCAAAACTTGATTTGTGTCAGGCTTTCAGACCGAATAACCGATCCTCTCCACCGTCTAGCTTGGAGTCTAGGACGGCCACGAGGCTTAGAATCCTACCCACCCATTTTCCCGCAGTCAGTCAGTCATTGACTCGTGAATAATCGCTTTGGATATAGTGGCTCCTGGCGTTTCAGAAACTGACAATGAAAATGTCACTTCATCCGGGACCAGGGTATGAACGTGGTCCGAAGATGAATACGGTGTAAGGGAGCCGTTGTCGTTGTCGTTTGCAGCTGAAGATCGATGCAATACTCTGATCCCCTAGCACCTCAAAAGGAGTGTTTTCCTTGGTGTTGGCTGCTGAATACTGCTACTCACGGAATGATTCTTCAGGTGGATGTCAGTCCGATTGACTCGGTGAATCAGACCGAGATGCATTGGGTTCTCCCATATGATGACAACCTTTCTGTCCTGGCAAGGAATCGATTACTTACCTCTCCCCACATTATTCTTACTCGCATTCCAGACAGCAAATTTTGACATGCTTCCACGCAAAGCATGGCACGGCTACTTACTTATGGCTGGGGGGACTAAGGTTCCCGTTAGGAGTATTACCCGGTGAGACCAATTTCTGATTTGTGTCGGTCAGTAGGGGGGCACGGCAAATAATTTCTTCAGCAATTCCGCTTACGCTCCAAAAATACGATACTGGGGCGATGTCGGCAGCGGCTCGGAATTCGAAGGTACGATAGTATCATATGGAAGCCGCTAGAAAATGAACGTCTTGAGACAAGAAGTGGTTGTCTTTCCCCTCTAACTTGCCGTCACGGTGAAAAAAGGGGCACGCTCGCCAGAGAGTATTTCAGCCATGTTTGCAGCCGGCCAGAAGAATTTCCTTTGATCTCTAGGAGTCTCCATCAAGCTTGGGGGGGGAGAGACATATGGCGCATCTGGCCCCCCAAGAACCAGAGCGCAAGACCGGAGCGCCAGAACGTGAATTAACAAAAGTGCTTTCATGTTTCCGATCAATATTCGTCAGAGCAAGGATCTTTGGCCGAGGCTCGGGCAGACAGCCTCATTAAACCAAAACAGAATCGGACTGTTTCTTGGCCTTGTCGTTGTTCATTTCTTCATTCGGCTGACTTCAAGAAGCTTTTTTGGCTCGGATTTGTTCCGTGGGGACTTAGTTCAAGCACGCTAATGTCCCCCAGGCTCAACAGTCACCAGGATCGCGAGCCCCAAGAACCTGCTGCCCAATTTGCTAGTTAGTGTGTGGACTCCTGGTTTAATTTTGACGAAAATGGTCCTCAACGTCAGGGATGGTGTAGTGGAGGGGTATGTATCGGAACCGCAAAGCAACTCAATCGAGGGCAATTAATCACAAACGCGACAAATGTGATTTTTGATTTTGGCAAATATCCTCATGCGGGACTATTGGATCGGCAACAGGGATGAAACAGGAGCCCTGTATGGCCGCGCGTTTGCGTCGTGTGACGAGGGAAGGATTTTTATCCTCGACATCGGCTCCGACCCCGACCTCGGACGCGAACGGCATTTGAGCCTGGAGAACTGACTCAAATCCCGCTGCGTGTTGAGTAAACCACCCCCCCCCCCCCCCCCCCAAAAAAGTGACACGGGAAGTCTCACATTGTTTCCGGACCGGAGGATTGAAAAGGAGCAGGTGCAAGACCGCTGCAATACAGAACACGTTTGTTTTCAGGCATAACATTACTAGTACGCCCATTTCAGTTCGACTCATTTGAATTTCTTTACCAATGTCATCTTTCGCGAGCGAGTTTGCATAAGCAGAATCGAGGCATGTCGCCGACAACTTACTGGTAGTTGTGCGGTGGCGGTTTGTTGGTGATGACGAGGCCCCGTGACGAGGCTGAAGTAGATGAAAAGAAAGGCACACTGTCGCTTCAATTGCAAGCGCAATGAAGAGGTGTCGTAATATGAAAGTACTCTCTAGTCTGGCGTGCACTTAAGTGGGCGCTTTCGATTTGATAGAGACCAGTATAGCAATGGAATACTCCGTACAAGATGTGACCCTTCGTTAAACGTAGTTAATATGATGGTCGTGTAGAGTGTTTCTGCATAGATATGTAAACGGATATTCCAGGTTCAAGAACCATCTCTATTTGTCTGCTGTACGGATTGAAAAGACATTTTTGAGATTGCAATTGCATTTCTTCGTTACACAAATTCGACCCTCGCTCCTCTGAGCGTTCTACACGCATCAATAACTTTGCAATTTACTTTGTGGAGCATTGGACGATCCTCAATGGGCGTTCCCCAACGTTTAAAAGGTTCCGCACTGATCAGAAAACGGTGATGAAAAAGTTACATCACGGATCGTTTCGAAGGTTTGTCGTGGATGGGGACTCCTGGCAAGGGATCGGGCAAGCCTGATTTTTCTTCACGAGAGCCAACAGAAGGGACCCGCTACTCCGCGAGAAGAGGCTGGGGCATGTATCTTTGGGTGCCAGAGGGAAGAAACTCGGCGATGGATGACTTCATTTTGCGGGGGGGATAGGATCGGGTGATCTTTTTGCCTATCTACTTGGGGGTCGTTTCCCTCTGCAGCTTTGACAGAGTCGGCGTTTGCTTCGGGAAGGTAGAGCTTGGGGCCTGTAGAGCCGGTGTGTCAGGTTTGCTGGAGACGTCGTATTCGTTCATTTCTTCCTTCTTGGTGGCTGCTCGGGGGTGGGGGGGCATTTGCAAATGGTAAATCTTGGATAGGTTCTTGAACCTTCGAAACAAAAGATGGGGCCTGTGAGAAACTAAAGGGTGGCGGTCCGGAAAAGGAGGCACGGGCGAAGACGGTGGGCATTGCATATCTGTCTACATCCAGCTTGGGGTAAGTTCAAGGCTGCATAACCATGCACAAAAACCTAGTGTCGAGAATGATTTTTCCTACTATTCCAACTTTCCCAATGGTCAAGGGTATTTGCGGACGTTAATTACCATAACGGGAGGCCTCAGCACCTTCAGCGATTCTCAAGCTACCCGGCGAAAGCGGCAAGATTTCGGGGCACGGTGTGAGGAGAATGAGTAACAATTTGTAGCAGACGAGTATTATTATCAGGCCTTTTGTTCGTCTCCGCTCCGGTTGGAGGGCATTCAGACATGAATCTGTTCAAGACAGGCGCCTCGCCTACATACTAATGTAGTGTGACTGGTGCACAACGCGCTCCCTCCGTGCCGTTCTCGAATGGTTCTGGAATGGGGGGAATCCGGAATGAACGAAGGAAGGAACAAGAGTCAACGCCAAAATGGCCCACATCCAATCTTGGATACATATCCAGTAATCGTGCGTTGGGTCAATCTTGTACTTGCCGCAAGCCTCTTCGTATCTAACGGGGGCATGTGTCCCCTGCAGCAGTGCCATGCAACTTATTTGCCAACGAGACAATTTCATCTCGTAACAAGAAAGGCAATTGTTGATTCGAGAGAAGAAGACATTGGGAGACAATTCTCCGTCTACTTATGTGGTTGGAGCTGTTTCGGCGGATGTATAATTCTTGAGAGGAGTTGTTTTGAAGACAGCCGCAACCGTGCCCGAAGATTACCACGTGGGAATGAGGGGATCTGATGCCTTGAACCTGGTCAACATGGAACTTTAATCCAAAGAGGAAGGTCGAAAACCCCATCAAGGGCTATGGTACTAAGTACAGAGTAAGTCATTGTGGTGAGTTTTCCTGTTCCCGATTATAGCTAGAAAGCTAGATGGCAACCTGTCAAAAATGCAGACAACTGTCTAATGCATCAAAACTCAATTTTGAATCTTCTGACGAGGCTGAGAAAGAGAATGCATGTGGGGTCATCTAGTACGTACCACGCAGGTATTCATGACCCTCCGGCTGATCCTTCCAGGAAGGTCCACCTGAGTACGAAGGGGCATTTGCTTTTCACTTCAATACCCGAGACTGTAGCCTATTCATAGGTATAATGAGACGCCCGAATGTTTGAACGTGTTTGGAAAGGTCGGGTCATGCTCCCTCATCTTCCAACGGATCTCACCATGTAACTACAGGCTGACGCGTCCTTGGAAACCGAGGTCTTCTTGTCCTGGTACTGTAACCATTCCTCACCCTTTGCCAACGCATCACCACACTGAACAGGGCCATTGAAGAATCGCCTGTTGATGTAAAAGCAGGTGTGGGAAGCACATGAAGTGGCAAACAAGTACCCGTCTCGAGTTAGAGCGATTTCAAACAAATGGTGAACGTGGTAAGACGGAATCCGTTGGTATTTCGTGCATGTGAAGGAAATGCTAGTTTCGTATGTAAGGCTTTCCCAAATATCTCTTCCGAGCCAGTTGTGATACCTCGTGGCAAATGGCCCTTGAATTTCAGGATTCTGCAATACTAGGGTCTCGTGTCCGCAAGAGTTCCAACTTCCGTCCCGTGCTGGTCGTGTGGACCTGGAATCAGGCGGTCAATGTTTCGTTGGAGATCTACCTATCAAAGAAAGCAATTGAGGGATCAGGCGATGTGCGCGGAGGGTCGAGCCAGCGCTTCCTCCCGCCCGGCGGACGGGCTTGGGTCCAGACAAGTCAGACTGCAGATCGGTTACTAGAACAAGAAACGCAAGGATGATACCTATTTCAAGCTGGTTGGTAATCACTAGGTCTCTTGGAGGCGGACGGACAAGCCATGGAAAATCAAAAAGTCAAAAATGTGAGCAGAGACTGATCAACATTGCAGAAGGTGGCGTGATAAGTTAATCGACAAGAGATTCGTATCCCTTCTAACAAGGATCGGAATAGAGCATCTGCAAGAGGACGGGATTCTGAGTCAGTCAGGCGGACGAGGGCTTGCGATAGAGCAAACATTAGATTAATCGATAGAAGCTCAACTACATCAGGAAGGAGAAGAAGGAAGTTCTTGGGAAATGGGGAGAGATGAAGGCTGTGGCGCTGGAGGGGTCCTGGAACGGCCTGGTCCGTAGATATGGGTTTAATTAAGCGATGTAGTGGTTCTGGGGGCAAAATGGGGGAAGGGAGACAATGGACTTGGTTTCTTATCCACACGAGGGCCCATATATCCAGTCGGTCCGCCGTAGTAGGGTGGGGGTAGATCGTCATGATGACTTGATGTGTGATGAGATATTCCACGTGGGGTGTTGATACCACGCTGGATGATTAGGCAGGGGGGACGAGTGGTCAGGTAATCAAGCCACCGAAAGTAATGAGAAGGATGATCCGGATCATGAGAAGAATCTGGAAGGAGAAAGACTTGCGAGACAGAGAGAGTGTGGGAGAAAAAGAGGTTGGGGGAGACATTCAGGCTCCAAGATAGTATGAGAATATGCTTGGAAGCTGGTGACATGAAGCTGTATAAATAAAAGTTATGCGTGGGATATGCCGACCTTGTACGTAGCAGGTAGGTCGAAGGAGTGATATCAAACCAGAATTGCTTATTGATAGTTTCAAAGATGAGAGATTGGGGGGCCGGCTGGGTGTGTGATAGGGGATGGGTCGTTGATGATACTGGCCTGGCCTGGTGTAACTCTGGGTCTGTTATTGAGCCCGAAGCAACTTGGGCAAACCCCAAATGAGTGTGACTTGGATAAGCAAAAGTAGCCAGTGATTTTATCACGTTGCCCCGACACTTTCTGAGATTGATTAGGGTGCTTCACGGGTGGTAATTGTGACAATGCTCGTTTTGTTTGCCTGGTGTAATGGCAGTCCATTCAATACCTACCATAGTTACCGATACTGTAAAGAAAATGTCGACGCTAGGAAAGTTCATTGCATCAAGTCTGTGGAAGCATGGTAGTGATATTTCCGTTGCTGCAACGAGAGGTTGTCGAAAGTTTGACAAGCTGAATGTACCAGCCTGAATGTACCTGGTACCTCCAATCCCAGGTAAACGAGTACTCCAATCCAGGTACCTGGGTACTTTGAATTCCAAGCTCAGTCAAAGAGTGTATAGAGTCCGGTATACAGCAATTGATGAGGCCGGCCACTCCTCAACTTTCTGCCTTTTTCTTTCCTCTTCCTTCCTGTCTTTGGGACTTTGAAAATCATCCAAGCCTTGTCCTAATCCGGTAGCTCATTTCTCTTATTTTCTTCTCTTCCGGCCACTCAACTGACCGACAAATCAAGCGCCCTTTTTTTGGGGGGGGCTTACCCGTATTATTTCTTCAAATCGGTTTCCGGCACCTTTGTCATCGCCATCGCCAACTCATCAAACATGTCAGTTGACAGTGCCAGTAATGCCAGAAGTAAGCCTGCAGCCCCGGTTTGGCTTTCTTGTTGCCTTCCCTTCTTTTTGGCCCAGTCCAAAAGCTCCCCCATCTCAGCCCCCATCTCTCCGGCAGCCAGGGGCCTCCCGCGTCGAATCTTTCTTTATTAGCCCGGGGGGCGCAGTGATGCGTGATGGCCCAGCCGGTTGAAACGCTGTCAATCGGTCATCTGATTGCTTGGTTGTACCAATTGTTGATCAAACTTCTCGCCCAAATCCAGGCGCCAACCGAGTCAGCAACCAAGGGTCCCGACCACTGCCAGACTCTCCTCCAACACCATCAATATCACTCGTCTCTCCTATTTCCAGCTCGGCTCAATCATATCCTCGAGTATGCCGCTTCTTCAATACATACCAAGGTGATTACCCTCTGTCTTTTACACCCCAATTTTCTCATTGGTCTCTCCCTTGCCGTAATTCCCCCAATAGCCTAATATCAACTCCCCTAAACGAGGGTCTCAGCCTGACGCAACTTGTTTCCTAAAGACTGGCGACGACTGGCCCTCTCGTACATGCACTCCCGGCGATATCACGCTTTCAATTATTTTCACGTGATAGCTAATGATTCACCGCGTTGTGGTAGGTTGTCGTGCTGGGTCACAATGCCCCTATCGACATGTTCAGCCCAACAGGCAGAAACAAGGCCATCAGCAGACTGAAGATGTGACCGGATCGGCAGAACGGCGCACTCTCTCTCATAGTCCGAGTCAGAAACCCATATCACAACCGCAACAGACCAGTCCACGGGAATTTCAAATTGGTCAAGTGATTAGGAGATTTGCTCCTGTTCGCAAAGAGATCGACGATGCCACTGTTTTGTCCTTTACCCTCAATCCATCAGATCCGGACTTTCCCTTTGAGCTGGAAGGACTTCTGTGTACCTTGAAGGTACCACAGTCCTATCCTCAAAATGGTCGCCCCAGGATCCGAGTCACTAACGCCGAAATGGCCCGAGGTTACCAGATCAATATCGAGAAAGGGTTTGACAGCCTGGTCGAGCAGTCACCCCGCAAAGCCTTGTTGGCCTTGTTGAATGATCTGGATAAGAATCTAGAGAAATTCCTGACCTTGGAAAAGGCCCGGACCGTCAAAATTATTGCAAATGCCGAGAAAGGAGTGAAGGAGGCCGAGCCAGCGACGAAAGAGGGTCCCATTTCTGCACCCGAGCCCATTATACCGATTCCTTTACAACCGTCATGGACGCCTCATCAGAGAGCGGACGCTTTGGCTAAGCGACAAGCTGATATTCGACAACTCACAGCCCGCATGGGTCGAGCATCGAATTTTTCTAGTGGCGCCGATGGGATCACCTTCAATGTACCTGTGAAGATCGCCCAACCTGACAGACTTCCTCTCCCTCTACAATCACTCAAGGACGTCGTTTTGAAGGTGCCAAATCTGTACAATCTGGAACCTTGCACGGTCCAACTGCAGGGAATGAGTGGCTCAGAGGTGGAAAATGTTCAACGTGCTTTTGAATGGCACGTTCGGGAGCACCCTGAAATGACACTTATGGCACATGTCAATTTCCTGGCTCAGAACATTCACTCTATGACCTCTAAAATGGTGGGAAAAGCTGCTCCACAGCCAGAATTGATAGAGGCCCAGCACGATGTCTCCGAAGAGAGCATGGCTGCTACGAAGGGCGACCTGGTTGAATCTGAAGAGAGAAAAATACTGGACGAAGAACATCCACATGTCAAAGTCATCCCTCGTCCTCCAGAATGGGGCCATCATGATTCTGACTCGGAGTACGGGTCTGATTCCGAATATGACTCGGACGGGCAGACCCATTCCGAGGACGACGAGGAGGAAGACGGGGCTGACCAAGGCGGCGCCGCTCTTCCCGCCTCATCAACTTCGTCTGCGAATGGCATACTCCTGTCCTTCCCCAACCTGGAACTTCACAACATCGAACTCTTAACCCTGACGACCTTGTCAGTCTCAGTCCGATGCCTGCGCTGTAAGTCTCCCTTGGACGTCTCCAACATCAGACCGAGCAATGCGTCGTCATCCAACCCCGGAATCGCCTCTAGCATCCGCACGGAATCGTGCCCCAAATGCACAACCCCATTCACCATATCATTCGTCTCAAGCCCCTTACACACTAACACCATCCGTGCTGGCACTCTCGACATCACAGGTTGTACCATCACAGACCTGCTCCCCAGCGTCTTCCAGCCAACCTGCTCATCTTGCTCGAATACCTTCCCAAGCCCACCCGGCATGATCTCCGTACGCGGCGACAGTTCCATCCAAGTCTGCCGCTCATGTCACGCAAAGATGACCTTCGCCATCCCTGAGGTGAAATTCCTCCGTCTCTCCCACGCCGTCGCGCCTCTTCCTCTACGGCGTCCGAAGAAGGATACCCTCGGCATCTCCGCGGGTACGCCGCTGCCCCTGAACGGCACCTGCCCCCACTACCGGCACAGCTACCGCTGGTTTCGCTTCGGGTGCTGCGGCCGTGTGCACGCGTGCGACCGATGCCACGACGCCGCCGAGGCCCACGTCAACGAGCGCGCCGACCGCATGATATGCGGCTGGTGCAGCCGAGAACAACGATTTAGGCCCCAGGACTGCGCGCTTTGCGGTAAGCGCCTAGTCAGGAGAAGGAAGGCGACTGGGGGATTCTGGGAAGGTGGCAAGGGTACGCGCGACAAGGGCTTGATGAGCCGCAAGGAGAAGCGGAAGTATAAACGGTCCAGCGGTGGGAATGTTATTGGTGGTAGTGCTACAGGGAAGAAAGGGTAGACGGGAGGAAGTAGGGGACCGCTTGTTGTCAAGCCGAAGTTCGTTGTTGCCGAGAGGAGCTTGTCTTCGAGCTCCCTATATCTTTCTTGCCTAGGGCTACTACCATGAATTGCTGATTGAGACCTACAATAGCTTCCTTGTTCTACACAGGGACTAGTTAAATACCCTAAAATTCCGAGACGGGCCGATATGTCCTCATATGCAGCTGCGCGGCCCCCAGTTTTCAAACACCCGATCCAGCAAAAATTCGGCGCAAAGGGTGTATCTATGTGCTGGCTGAATCTTCCACATGCCCTGCGCATCATTCCAGACTTGCTTTCATTTCTTACTGTCCTTTCTCATCTTCATTCTCCCTCGACGTACCTAGATCCGATAATAGGCCGGACTGCTTGCTTCGTTACCTGATTGTGCGGCATATTCTTTTGGGCTCTTGTTGTTCTTCTTTCGCTCTCTGAGCCGTGTTCTCCAGTTTCTCGATCAACTCAGGTGTGACTTCCAATTTATCATGTGCCCTTTGGTAGTAATATTTCAAAAGGACAGCTGTGCTCTCACTCGTTAGTCGACCAACTATATCAATCTTGCGGCGCGCCCATATTTTAGCCGGACCAGTAAATATGGCCACTGCACGGGGGAGATATTCTTACTTCCCGGCTCCACATCTGTTTTCTCGGGTGCGGATAAGTCATTCTGTCTCTGGAGATTGGAGACTCGATGGTCAGGCAGCGACATATAGTTATTGATATCGTGCTGTGGGGTGGGGTGGTTTCCAACCCTTTGCTGCCCTCGGCAAAGACGGAAACGGCGATGTATCAACTTTGAATCGATTGCAGTGGACCCTTCCATGTCAAATACCGCTTTTTGATTCAGTTCTAGAGCCTCGGTAAAATGAAGACCCCAGACTGTGCATCCCGGTGCCAACTCGCGGATCGAGTGCAATTGGAATCTAGCTAAACATATTAGCGATACTCGTCGTATATGGGCTAAGGGATGCAGAAGACTCTGGGAATGGAGCATCACGATGGTCACGAACATCTCCACCAGTCGATGTAGAAGTATTCTTCCTTGAAGGAGGGCGGAAGCTTGAGTAGCTGACGATATACTACCTCTTTTCATTGGACCATGTCCGTTGGAGTATTCTGTTTCTGAATCTTCGATATTGTAGAATCGACCACCTGGCGAGGAAAAGGTTTAGTACACGAAAAGAGAGAATAATTTTGATAGGCCTGTCTGTGAAAATGATCCACTGCCTGTCGGGCAGAGAGCGTGATTCGGTAGAGCTGGAATAACAAAGATCAAGGCAGAAGGAACAAAAAGGGCATTGCCGCAGCCCTTGTGGCAGTGGGCATTTTCGCACCCGAGGTTTCAGACAAACAAAGAAAAGATGGTCGTAGTGTGACTGAAAGATTTAGTGCAAATAGCAGCTCGATATCTTTTGTTTCATCAATATCATAAAACATTTCTCGTTCTGCGGTGAAGCGTGCTTGGGAAGTGGCCGGGATATTTGAGAACAGAGAGGATTGATCTCAATGCCGGCAAGTTGTCCGCAAGCTCTTAACTGAATTTGCACGTGGGCAAATTTTCGTTTACATGCCTTCATTTGCTTGACTCGAGTCAGTTAGACGAATTGAAGACGAATATTTTGTGTCGTCGACTTTGTTCCCACCGTGGCAGATCAGCTTAAGCCATCTGGTGGCAGCAAGATGTCAGAGTATCTCATGGTGGAATCGTAACGTTATCAAGACAATGCTAGCCCTATCTTGGTCGATCTCTGGTAATTACCAGCCTCGCCATCTCACCCAGACATCAACAATTTTGTCAGGAGAACTGGTGCTAGAATCAACAATCAGATACCAGCCGAACATTGAGAGCGTAATACAAGCGTGGTTTGGCCAGACGCGCAGCTTTTGTCCATAGTGGAGAGGAAGCTGGCGCTTTTCCGAATTCTTTTCGAAAGAGAGAATTCCATGCTCTTGACTTATGCGATTGACAATGATTCTATCCTGCTGGGTGGTCTTGTAAAGTTCGGGCATGTTCCAAGGGCTGACAACTCCCCATCCCGGATAGTCCTTGCAAGGCTCTCGAGCAAGAGCAAGGCCACCAGCAGAGATGAGAGCTTCGGGCCGATCTGTGCGGGTTGGGTATAAAGAACATACTTCGGCAAGCACAGACACGGAAATGGTGTCATGCGGATCTGACGTGAAATGACGACTACTGGCTGCCACTTGTTGCATATCCATGATAGGATAGACACCAGCATGGATTTCCAGTTCGAGGTTAGATTTTGTCAGCTCTAGCGTGTTTTGGAGAGCATGGGCCGAAGAGGTAGAACTCGGGTGTGAAGGAAGAATATTTTGTAGGGAAAGCGCCGTGGGAGATGCACCGACGGAGACGATGAGTGGTGCTTGACGATCCATCTTGAAGTGTTGAGAAGCATGCCGGCAGACGTCAATCTCTAGCTTCAGCATGTCCATAGCCTGGTCCGGTGATGAACCACCGTAACTGAGACTGTTGTGCGAGTAAAACCCGAGCATATGGAGATCACCTCGAGACTCTCCCTTGCTTACTTCGTGGAGCAGGTTCAGCATTTCCGTGGAATTCGGATTTAGCCCTGCTCTATGATACCCTGAGTCGGTCTTGACGAATACCGAAGCCGGGAAACCTGCCTGTGCTTTGAATTCCTTTACTGGCTCTAATTGATCTGGATGATCCATCATTACGGTGATCGAACCGTCACCCAATTGACGCGCCACGGCAGCCAGTCGTTTGACGTGGGAGGGACCCAGCGGAACACCGTACAGCACATTGATCTTTGCACCTCGTTGCTTGTAATCCAAGAGGAGAGGTGCCAGATGTTCAGTTTCAAGGACGGTTGAAGCGACCAGTCTCACGTCCTTGCAATCGGGGCCCACTTGCAGTCTGGTGATTTCTGAGGTTTTGTGAGTCTTGACATGAGCTCGGAAACTAACACCAAATTGCTGGATAGCATCGAGCATGGCTCGACAATTTTCTTTTACCTTGGCCACGTCTATCACTGCCGCTGGAACCGGAGCATCGCGAAGGGATTGGTTCTGATATGACTGTACCAAAGTATTCTTGGGTGGGAGGGGGTAGTCTGCCAACGTCATGGTGGTGTTCGAGATGAGTATATATCAGAGTGCGTGAGTCCCATTCGATGAGGTTATGATTGAAATTTGAGTAGGAACTCGCAGTGGGTCACTGAAATTCCATGGACGCGGTGGCGGACTCCGAAGTTGATATCGACGTCGCAAATCCCGTCACGTGATTGGTCATGTGATCTTCACGATCCCCTCGCCATCGTGACTTGATGTGGGTTTTCTTCCTCTTGCCGATTCCTCTGTCTCCATCAGTCAGAGAGTGAGAATCGTGAACAGCCCCGAATAGATGGAACTGGGGGCTAAATGAATCGGAGTTGCATGAATCAATTTCAATGATAATCTTTGATGGGGCGAGATCGGAACCTTCGGCTTGGAAGGATGCCTAAATCCAGGCCAGGGGGGAACTTTGCTGGATGCCAAATGGTGGATGGTTTACTTATGGAATAGACAGGCGGAAAGTTCCGTGGTCAGAGCGTGCTCCCTTTTCCTAGAGCTCGTGGTCGAGATACATACATTCTAGTAGTTGAGTGATAAGTCCTCTGGACAGCATACTGAAGGTACATCAGTCCATAACCATCTTGCAGTGGACTTTCCATGTAGTAATCAACCATTCTTTTTACTCCATCATACCGGAGTCTTGACACTTGACACCCCCGGAGGTACGGGAGTTGCCTAGGACTCTGTTGACTTAGCTACCGTCGGGGATATTCCCAACCTATCGCTGGTGCCCGCTGGCATGCAGGTCTGGTTTCACCATGCACCACCTGGGCTCCATGGCCAATCCATTTTGGCTCTTCAACTCTAACTTACTCGAGCCCTTTTTGCTTCCCATAGCATCCCCTGGAAGTTGAAGCCAGTGCAGCAGTCCCTACGCCGAAGGCTGAAACGAGACAACCATGTCCACCGCCCCATGGCATCAAAATTTCATCAGGCGAGAACCCTGGCCATGGTAGATGGGGATCTGCATATGCTTGCTTACCGTCCCCCTTGTGCTACTCTACACGGAGCAATTCGAGCACGCCGTACCTTGTGGCTCGTCCCCTTCCTTCGCCCAACCATACCTGCATTGACACATACATGATCACCGAACTGGAGCACGAGCATTGCATTGATCTGGGTCCCTTTTATCCTTCCGGGCTTTCGTGAGCCAGCTCCTCACTTTCTTCTACCTTTCCTGTCTTCCCGCCTGTTATTTCTCTGTCCATGTTTTTCGTGGCCGGTCCAATTTCGACCTCGAACTCCTAACCTCTTCGCAGGAGCATACGCCACCATCAGCTGTAGCCCGTCCTCGCACATATCTCATCGTCTGCCTTCGCTTCACTGAGATTTCAACTACCTAATACAACCTCTGACACCCTGAGCCAAACATCGTCACACCCAATTTTGTTCCACTCCTTATTCCACCGTATCCTTCACCGATCCGGTTGCCAGGGGGAAAGACCTCTCACCGCATATACATGATACAGGATGGGCAGGGAGATATGTGTATATCAAATATGAATAGAGGGTCGACAGTTTATATGGTGTCGGAACAATAGCCACCGATCTCCTTGATTGACATCCGTGTCGATCCCGTTGAAGGTTTCTTGGACGCGGGCCTCTGGACGTCGCCCAGCATGTCTATCGACCAAGGTGACAATGGCAGACAGACTCTTGTGCGTCCACCCTCCCATCCGGTACCTCAGCTACAGAAACCCTTTGAAGAGTCCATGATGGAATCAATCAGCGATCAAGGGGACCAAGATGTGCCCATGGATGCTATGGCTCGAAGGACCATGCTGCTTGAGGCGCCAACCTATCAACGGGTGATAGCAGGGAGATGGAAGCAGAAACCCGGTGAAATATACCACCCCTTGTGGAAGCTCGTGGCCCAAATGTCGTTTGGGGTGCATCTGTTGGCGGAAAATATGGCCATATCGGAAGAGGAGGTCATGAGGATATTGCAGTCTCACGTCGATGACATTGATGGCTTTTTGGAACGTACCACGGAGGATTTCGACCTGGCGCAAAGCGACATCCACGAAAGAATCCGTTGTCTGAAACTCCCACTCGCACATGGAGATGTGTTTGACCGGATGCTGGAGGATCGCACATTTCGAGCCTCTATTCTCGATGGAAATGAAAGGATCGATCATGTCATTACTCGAACCAAGAGGGCCGCCAAGGATGCTCTCAAAGACGTTCAGAAGGGCTTTGATGCGACCAGCGTCTTGGAGAAATACCTGTCCAAGCTCAATTCCAAATGGAAGAGGGAGTCGCCTGAGCATGAGGCCGTGCTTGTCGCAATGCTGGGAAACGTGGAAGGTTGGCGTCGTGCCTTTTTGGAACTGCATCTACAAGGAAACAAGCTTTCAGGATCTTTGAAGAAGCTCGCAGAAGTGGTGGCCGAGATGCAAAGGAGGGCTGCTGCTGTGAGCAGAAATGTCGTGGTCAGCTCAGTCCATCATACCGCCCCTGTTCTCTCTCTCCCCTCTAACGCTCGTCAGGCTAGAGCTCAGAAACCGAAACACATCAGTTCGCAAAAGACGAATGGTGCATCGTCCCATTCCGACTCCATTGCGGACCAAAAGCCCCTGCCGACTGAACCGGGTCGACAACACTCAGCAAGGAACTCCTCTCGCAGCACGCAACTAACGAGCTTCTCCAGCCGCCCGAACAGTGGCCAGAAGTCGTCAAGTCAAGGATTGACTTCGCAATCACCATCCGCCGGCCATCAATCACCGCGATCCCCCGGGTCTAAAAGAAATGCCCAAGCGGAGAGGGTTGAAAGCGCCCTGTCGCCCGAAGCAAAGGCGCTGGACGTATCTCGTGCGGAGCAGGCCACTGAACGGATGCAAAGCCTTGGTGGACTTCTCATCCAGTTTGACAACGATCACCCTATCGAGCTTCCTGCGGACGTTCCCGAGGGCGCTCTTCGGCAAGCGCCTGTTTCGGTAAAAAATCGACTGAGCATGACCTTGGGGCTGAAATCTAAGGATAACTCGGATCACCGAATTTCAAGCATCTATTATCCACGAGCTCTAAGTGATCTCTTGAAAACCCCACCAATATCTCATTTGTTACCCACGCCACAGTCTGCCAAACCCAAGGGCACGCCCGTCCATGCTCTCACTGGCTTTACCTCCCGTGAGCAAAGTCCTGCCATTGGAGTGATTGACCCCGATAGCAAGAAAGAAGTCAACTCGAACAAAGTGGCTTCTGCCGTCGGGAAGTCGGCTCGCGCTTCGATTGCGGAAACATCGGCCGGAACACGTCCTTCATCGGTTCTCAACTCAGCATTTACTTCACATCCTGCTGTTATGGCAATGGCTTCGCCTCCGGCAGAACTTCCTGTCACCGCTGGACCAGAGGAGCGACCACCTTCCTCCCAGTCCAGAAAAGACTCGAAGCCTTCCAGTCTGGGAGAGCCGGGGCCTGCGTTACCAGAAGACATGGCCACGAGATCGGCGTCCATTTCTGGACCACAGATGCTGGTTGATACGTCCATTGTTACGGTGGCGGTCACTCCTGCCTCCGCCGAGAAGGAGACATTTGCAACTGCAGAGCAAAAGGCTGAACACACCGGACTTGTCGAAAAGGCCGAAGAGACTAAAAACGCCGAGGCAGTCAAGGAGGAAGTTGTCGCAATAGCTCTCCAATCCCAAGACACCATGAAAGACGGCGATGAAGTTAAGCCGAAAACCGACGAGAAAGAAGCAGAGAAAGAAATCCATGAACACACCCCTCCTCCTCCAAAGGCAGACGTTGATAAACCAGAGACACAATTTCTGGCTGAATTGGAAGCGATTGTCCCCGAACCACCCGTCCCGATATCACAGCAAGATTTTGGTCCTGTGGAATTAGAAGCTCCGCATCAAACATTCAAACTACCACCCAGACCGATTGCAGTTTCAACGAACCCCGACAAAGAAGTCCCTCGTGCCAGTATCCAACAGTTGGATGACTTTTTCAAATTACCGACTGAACTCACCATCAAACCTGGAATGAAGCCCAAGGATTTTGGAGACTCGACATCACCAGAGCCAATTCGCCCCCTGAAGTTAAAGCTTGCAAAGAAAGATGGGAAAATCGTGCCTGTACAAGTCAGTGGCCCAGGAGGTTCCCAAAAAGTCGGAAGTCCAGGGTCTAAACTCCGAATGGATGTCGTCGCAGACATCATCGAGACTATGTCTCACACCCCGCCTGGTTCACCGATTCATGCCAGGTCTGCCTCGTCCGCTTCCTCCAATTCGGCGCAACGATGGTCGCACCGATCATCTAGGTCCCTAGGACCACCTGATCAAGCACCGGCGCCTCCTGGCCCTGGAGGGAGACCAATGGTGAATCCAGACTTTGCAGCGGCCGGGCAATTCGAAGGTGAACGTAAGCAAAAAAAGAGCAGCAGTAGAAGCAAGAGCGGGTGGAAGAGTTTTTTCAGCGGGAGCACAAACGCAACTCGAAGCTCAGGCACGTCGATTACTACCAACCCCACAACCGAGGCCACAGCCAGTACCACTCGGCCGAATTCAGAAGCCGCAACCAGTAAAAACATGATGACAACATCGGGCAAGGAGGTGCTTTGGTTCAAAGGCGATACGAAGAAGACTCTTGGCGTTTCCTCTGCGTAAAAGTGATTTGATGTGATGCCTGGATTGCCGATTGTTGTGGTAAATTTCTCAGAGAACCGTCAGCAGCATGTAAGCTGGCGGTACGGAATATGATAATTTGGGGGGGAGGAGTGGTAGCTTTCTCAGTAAAACTTAGCCACCGTTTTGTTTAGGGGTCCTAGTACATGGCAAAATCTCGCATTCTTAAAAGTCAGATCCAGACCAGTGCAGCCATGTAAAAATGGAAAAGAAATACACCCCTTGGAGATCAGGTTGGCAACACCCGGTCAGAGAAAGGCATGACAGGGTAGATTTGGAAAAGCTTGGGAGAGGGAGCGTGGAAGCTCATCGCCAGTCAGAAGAGGGCGATGAATCACGAGATTCAGGGTTGGTCGTCTTAGATTGCCGTGAACTTTTTTGCTTGGAGAGTGCTTGACAAGCTCGATGATGCTGTGGAAGAGAGGTGGCATCACTATGTGCTCGGATCAATTGCTGCTAGGTGCCCTCAACTCAGCATTTTTGGCGGTACGGGCCAGTCAAAGCACGACAAACAGGGGGACACCGCCTAGTTAGCCAGAGCATGTTAGCCAAAGTGGGGGGAAGGGAGTCGATGTTGGGCGGACTGCTGTGGGTGGCATCCAGAGTGCGGTTCGACCAGACTGCGCTTTTGCGTTCTACCGTAAGTCGACCACCTCCACAGACCCAAGTGTGTGTGCCAGGTTGCTCGAGCCATCCTCGTCCTTTAACTTGGACCTCATCTCCATTCTCAGCCTGTTCTTCCTCGAACTCCTCGACTAACCCCCGAGCCCTTGGTCGATCACATCTTCTCGTCACTCCACCACCGATTAAGATTGATGTTCTCTCTTCCTGCCTCCAAATCCCCTCGTCGCCACACGGATCAATTGTGACCGCCGACGGCCTTCCACCGACCACATCATCCAGTCGACAAGGCGCAATGCCTCACCAGCTGCGCATTGTTAAACCGGTATACAACTAAGGCCTCTTCGAACGCGCGTATAATTTTTGAACAAACACTTCACGAGAGCCTTGCTTCACGACATTGCACTTTGACGAACCAGAAGCTGGCCAGGTGCGCGTTCGAGCATGCTCATTAAGAATCTTGCGCAAGACGCGATTTCTATAACGAGTCCCAGAGGATCATGAGCTGAGGCATTTGGGAGGAAGGACGAATCGCTAAGCAGCTTAGGACCAGAACCGTGGAGAAGAGAAGGTACGCAGAGCCCCAATTTATGCCGTCCAGACAGCGAAGTTTTGTTATCGGGTCGTCACTCGGAGTTCATCTGGTGAATTTATCAATTGATATTGGATTTCCCGGATCTCCAACTTCAAAATCAATCGATACGGAGCGTTTGATCCTCCACCCACACGGTCCAAGCCCAGATCAAGTGGCCCATAAGGCATCTCTGCGGTCCATGTGAGACCGTCATTGCCCCATTGCTGACTTGAGATCATCAGATCCCGTTGTACCCCACTTACCTCTCCGACTCTTATACACATGTTCAATAATTCGAACGACGACGTTGCGCCATTTGGCAAAAGACCGTCACCGCCAGGTCCGATCCCACTCAAAGCTATGGCTATTTTCGGCACCAACCCGGCCATGAACTCTGCAATGCGCCACCCGCCCACTCAGCAACTAGGAAACAATGCTGATATTGCTCCTTGGGAGAGTCGATCCCCGAATGGCAATGAAATAGCGCCTTGGGAACGAGGTCCCCAAGCGCAGATGGCAGGCACACGCCCATTGAATCAGTCGTACTTTGCTGATTCGGTTGGCCGGGATACACAGAGTTCGTCCATGCGTCCAGATACGGCCAGAACGAATATATCAGACGCCGGCGATTTTGATGCCGATGCCCGACGGCCGTCCATTACCAGCGCCACCACTGTGAGCAGTACGGGCTCAATAAGTAGTGCCACAAATGGACGGTTTCACAAGAGTCTGAAGGGATTCTTTGGCGAAGATCCCACGGATTCTCGAAAAGGATCGACCGCCAATCTGCCAGAACAGTTACCGCAAAGCAATTCCTCAGACAAACCATCGCACCGGAGCAATTCTGTACATACCCAGGCCACTGTGGACGACCGACCCAAGACTCCGGCACCACTTCCTTCCAGTGACGTTACGCCTTGGGCCTACCAGAACTTTGAAGACGTCTCCAATTTCGGATCGGCACCAATACGGCAGGAGCAGCAGAATGACGCTTTATTTCCTGGTTCCATCCCTCCAGTGCCTTCTCATCGCCGCGGTCTGATTCATCGCCATACGAGGAGCAAGGAGGATCCTCCAAAGGGTCAGCAAGCTCCAACATCTGTCCCAAAGAGACCCTCGACCAGCCGAGAATCGTCCACGAGTAATTTGGCTTATTTCCGCAGCACCCCTCAGAACAATACACCAATGAGCTCATCGACGACACTCACGCGTAATGCGAGTCCATCTCCGGCATCTCGTAAAGAAGCATCTTCGCAACCAGAAAAGAGATCATTATTTTCGAAACTGAAACCACGACACAAAGAGAAACAAGCACCCCAGCCCGAGCCGATCAGAACAAATGTCGAGCCGGTACGACCACCAGAAGAACAGAAAAAGACTAGAACTCCGTCGACACGGACCAACACTTCGGACCTTTCGGACAACAAACGAGATCGAGAAACCAGTGTCGCTTCGGCCGACAGCGCATCGACAATCAAAGCTTCTGATCCGTCACCCAAGATCGACCGTACATACACAGGTGGATCAAAGGGCAGTAGATTTACTCGTCATGGAAGACATCGTGGTCCGAGTCTTCAGGGTGAATCTTCGGAGAAGAATCGGTTGCCGAATCAGCAAGCACCCATGCAGGCAGGAATATTCAGCCTTGATACCAATTTTGACGACATGTCCGGCATCATCTCACAGCCTCAGGTGCCCAAAACTCCCGGGGAAGCTGGAATTTGGATCGGCAAGGCTTCTGCGACGCCAGCATCAGAACTGTCGGCGCCGGCTTGGGACGCACCAGACAGTTGGGCTGTCAAAGGCCAAGAAGATGAAGTTCTCGACCGCTTACCGGAGGCCAACGACGATGGTCTCCCGGCCATCCAAGAGGAAGATCGCCTCTCGTATTTTATGCGTGTTTTCAGAACGGACGGCACCTTCGCGACCCTGTCCATGTCTATCAACGCGACGGTGGGCGAGGTGTTGCAATCACTGGCAAAGAAATCTGTCCTGCACGATTCCATCGACAATTACCTGCTGCTCATGCGTAAACATCAACTATCGAGGCAGCTCGGGCCAGGAGAACGGCCCGTGGCAATGCAAAAGAAGCTTTTGCAACTCGCTGGTTATACCGAGCGGGACCGAATTGAAGATGTGGGCCGAGAAGACAACAGCTACCTCATTCGTTTCACTTTCAGTCACGAGAAACAAACCGGATATGGGAGCGGCCTTGACAACGATCCCGCATTCAACAAAATGCAAAAGTTCAGCCATGTTGACTTGTCCGGAAAATCATTGGTGACAATCCCGATCATCCTCTACACCAAAGCTTCCGAAATCATCTCCATCAATTTGTCCCGGAATCTTTCTCTGAAAGTACCGAGGGATTTCATCACCGCCTGCATCAATCTTCGCGAGATCAAGTTCACTGGCAATGAAGCCTGGAGACTACCACCGAGCCTAGCTTGGGCAAGTCGCTTAACTGTCCTCGATGTGTCAAACAACCGACTTGAGCAGCTCGACCATGCCGAGCTCCATCGATTGATGGGTCTTGTAAGTTTGAAGCTTGCGAACAACAAATTATCTCAGCTTCCACCCAATTTCTCCTTCTTCCGCCAACTTCGCAGTCTCAACTTATCGTCCAACAATTTCACGACATTCCCAGAACACATTTGCAGTCTGAAGGCGCTGGTGGATCTCGACATCAGCTTCAACAAGTTATCGTCGTTACCCAAGATCTCGCAACTGACCACCCTGGAACGACTATGGGTGACCAACAATGATTTGAAGGGCTCTTTCAATGAGAGATTCGCCAGCTTGACCAACCTGAAAGAGATAGATGTCCGGTTCAATGGCATAACCAACATCGACAACGTGACCAATCTTCCGAATTTGGAGCAACTACTGGTTGGGCATAACAACATCACCACGTTCAAAGGATCTTTTGCGAAGCTCCGTGTTCTCGTCATGGACCATTGCCCCGTCACTTCTTTCGAGCTCGACCAGCCTGTCACAACGCTGACAAACCTTAATATAGCTTCGGCGAAACTCGTCGAGTTTAAGGAGACAATGTTTGACTTCATGCCTAACTTGCAGAAACTGAACCTCGACAAAAATCATCTCTCCAACATGTCCCCTCAAATTGGGCGATTGTCTAAATTGGAGTTCCTGAGCATGGCGAAGAACCCGCTGAACATTGTTCCGCCATCAATCGGGAATCTCATCGAGCTCAAATTCCTGAATCTGAGAGAATGTAACGTGAAAAGTCTCCCGCCGGAAATCTGGTATTGCAGGAAACTAGAGACCCTCAATGTTTCCTCGAATGTTTTGGAGACCTTTCCTAAGCAGAACGCCGCTCCACCCCCTAATGAGCCCAAAGATTACACGCCAGCTACCACACCAGGCTTGTCAACTTCCCCCAGCTTCGAAGAGCTTGGGAAACTTGAGGATTTTGCCGCACGTCGACCTAGTCAGGCCTCTGCCGGGATGATGAGCATTGGAAGCTCCCCAGGCAGCGGACGGAAAAATTCTGTCGCCTCGATCTCGGCCCACAGGAAGACTTCGGTAATATCAAGAACAAACACAGAATACTCCATGACCACCGCCACCCGGAAGGACTCCAATATGTCGCAATCAAGGCTCCAGACTACATTTGCTGGCTCACTCCGGTATTTGTATTTAGCTGACAACCGCCTCGAAGATGACGTGTTCCGCGAGTTGGCCCTTCTACCCGAACTTCGAGTCCTCAACTTGTCCTACAACGAACTCGACGATTTTCCGCAAGGAGTCCTGCGCCGTTGGCCTCAGCTAAGTGAGCTCTATCTGTCCGGGAATGAATTGACATCCTTGCCTTCCGACGATCTCGAAGAGAGCAGTAATTTGAGGGTGTTGCATCTGAATGCAAATCGCTTCCAGGTGTTACCTGCTGAACTCTGCAATGTGCATAAATTGTCCACGTTGGATGTTGGAAGTAATTCCTTGAAATACAACGTCTCAAACTGGCCTTATGACTGGAACTGGAATCGCAACACGAACCTGAAATTCCTCAATTTTTCTGCCAACAAACGCTTGGAGATCAAACCTGCTGCCCACCAAACCCCGTCGCAATTCAGTTCGATGGGCCGCGATGACATGACCGATCTCACGAGTTTCAACACCCTGAAGCACCTCCGAGTTCTAGGTCTCATGGATGTAACACTGTTGACGAACACAATTCCCGATGACAACGAAGACCGTCGAGTTCGAACCTCTGCGTCGCTGGTCGGGTCGTTGATGTACGGAATGGCGGATACGTTGGGTAAGAACGAACATCTGTCAACTCTAGATCTTCTCAAACCCAATTTCCGAGGCCAGGATGGAGAAATTCTCATTGGCATGTTTGACGGTCAGACGATGTCGAGTGGAGGTTCACGGGTTGCAAAGTATTTGCACGAAAACTTTCCCGCGGTATTCTACGAGGAGCTCAAAAAGGCCGACAACGCGAAAGAAAATGCGGTCGATGCTTTAAGAAGAACGTTCCTGGCCATCAACAAGGACATGGCCAATTTCGCCAGCAGCAACTTCGATGCCAAAGAATACCGGTTGGTTAATGGTCACCGAGGCTCGACTGTTGCCAACATCCTCGGTCCTGATGATTTGAGCTCTGGTGGCGTAGCCACAGTCCTGTACATCAACGGCCAGGAACTGTATGTCGCCAACGTTGGTGATATTGAGGCGATTCTCATTCAATCGAATGGCCAACATCGCCAATTGACGAGAAAGCACGATCCAGCGGAGCCAGCGGAACGTGAGCGCATCCGAGAGGCAGGAGGATATGTGTCAAGACAAGGCAAACTCAATGAAACTCTCGAAGTGAGTCGGGCTTTTGGCTACTACAGTCACATGCCATCGGTCATCGCCGCACCACACACCTTCAACTGCCAAGTCAGTGAATCCGATGAACTTATTGTCTTGGGTACTAAGGAGTTTTGGGATCATGTCACGGTCGATTTAGCAGTTGATGCCGCTCGAGCCGAAAAGAACGATCTCATGCTCGCGGCGCAGAAGCTGAGGGATCTCGCAATGGCGTTCGGGGCCCGAGATAAGATTATGGTGATGGTCCTGGGAATCTCCGATCTAAGAAAGAGAGGAAATCATCGCTTCCGGGGCACGAGCCTCTCGATGGCTAAAGAATTAGGCCTTGACGAAGGAGCCATATTTCCGAGTTCGAGAAAGACTCGGCGAAAAGGCGAAACTCTGGTTGGTGATTCTCGACTTGCCAGACTGGAAGAGCCAGATCCTCCTGTCGGCGACGTGGCCATTTGTTTCACTGATATCAAAAATTCAACCGCTCTGTGGGAGATTCTCCCCGTTCCGATGAGATCGGCCATAATGATGCACAATGAGCTCATGCGAAGACAGCTCCGAATCATCGGTGGGTACGAGGTGAAGACAGAAGGGGATGCTTTCATGGTGTCCTTCCCGACGGTCACATCAGCGTTGCTTTGGTGTTTCAGCTGCCAAAGTCATCTCCTAGAGTTGCCCTGGCCCACCGAAGTTCTGGAGACGGTCCATTGTCAAGAGAAGGTGGACTCGGATCAGAATACCATCTATCGTGGTCTCTCGGTCAGAATGGGCCTTCACTGGGGTCGACCCGTGTGCGAACAAGATCCCATTACCCGACGAATGGATTACTTTGGTCCCATGGTCAATAAAGCGGCCCGAGTGTGTGCCGTGGCAGATGGTGGACAAATCAGCGTCAGCAGTGACTTTATCGCGGAGGTTCAAAGAACCCTGGAGAGCTATGCAGATGATGATCGACGAGATTCGGTCGGATCGGAAGAGACGGTGAATGACGATCCACTGTCTGTGCAAATCCGCCGCGAACTTCGCCAGCTAAGTAGCCAGGGATTCGAGGTCAAAGATCTTGGAGAGAAGAAGTTGAAAGGTCTTGAAAACCCCGAATATCTCTATTTGATGTATCCACATTCACTGGCCGGTCGCCTATCTGTTCCTCCTAGAGCCGAGAACAAAATCCAACTTGGAGGTGACGCTCCCGCCAGCGGTGATGATAAAGGTCAACCCGGCAGCCTAGGCACAGACAGCCAGCTGAAAGACCTACGCCTCGATGAAGTTTGGAAACTTTGGGATATTGCCCTGAGATTGGAGATGTTGTGCAGTTGTCTGGAAGCCCCAGAGCGAGCAGCCGGATTACACAAGCCCGAACTTAGTTTACTCACAAGGATGAAAGAGCGGGGAGGGGTACAGACAGATGGATTCATGATGAACTTGTTGGAGCACCAAGTGACCAGGGTCGAGGTAAGCAACATGACGGGATTCGTGTGAGAGATCAGTCTAACGTGATTACTTTGGTTCAGGCATGCGTAACAACACTGCAGCTTCGCCACATGTTTCAGCCTTTCCAGAAAGGCGTCAGCTTCTTTGACCAGGCCAAACCTATTGGCGACATCTTGTCCGAGCTCTCAGGTCTCCTTACCGAGGCAAATCAATTCAGGGATCAGATTGATACACCAGAAACGGAGGAAGAGACAGACTCGGAATAAAGTTGCTCAGGAGTTCCATTCATCTTGTCAATGAGACTTCTGCGCGATCAACATTTTGTTTCAATATATCAGACTCAACCCGTCTTTGCCAAATACGGCGGGCAGATTACCACCAAAAAAGTTCCGGCCTACCTCTCCTCGTCTAAGAGAGGGAATGTTTGCGGTTGCATTGGTTTTTATGAATGAAGGGTTTTACGAATAGGATTATTGTGCTTATCTATCAGGAATCATGTGGAATTGAACTGGCGTTTGATGAACTGCGCACAACGACCAGGGGGTTTTGAAAGGGAATACAAAGGGATGCCGTCATGACGAATCGAATATTGCGCAAGCGTTAGTTTGTGGTTCACTTCCTTTTCGAGGCTTTTATATATCATCTTCGGGATGGAGAGGTTCAACAGGGATCAACTGCAAATATGGTATGGCTGCGACAGAATGTGTTTTGGTGATCGAGCGCAAGGCTGAGAAGCCAGAGGGGGAGCGGGAGTCTTTGTTTACGGGTTGAGACCACAACAGCATCCAATACAGGGGCTTTGTCTACTTTACGGTACTTTGCATATAGTGATACTACGGAAAGATCAGCAATGTCAGCGACATATATTGACTCCCCTACCCACCTGGGAACTTGGGTAATTACCTCGGATGCCTACTCCATATTGGGTACGAATTCGGTTTCAACCTTTTTATTTTCCCAAACTCACGCGTCGGCTATAAGCCGAAAACCCCAGAACAACGCCCAGGCACAGAGATGACAACAGAGCAACTGGTCAGTGTGCGCCTAACCATTTCGTCAAGTGAGGATGATGCCCTTCAATCATCGTTTCGCCGAGCAATACTCCGGCACATGCCACGATCAAGATGACAATCGACTTGGAAGGCCGAAGCTATGCCACCGCTCATCTAGAGTGTCGGTCCTCGAGTATACGAGTGAATACTTAGATCCCTCAAAATACATTCAAATGTTTGATCGGCTGGGTTTCCATTCTTGAAGACAAGACCGAAGCTGTTGTATGACACGGCTTTGATATTTGCTTATACCAACCGCACAACCTGGGGAAGTCATTCGTCTCGTTTGCCATTTTGCAATCCTGACTACCATAAAAGGCGGTCCATCATCTCAACTTTCTCGCCTCAATCCTCTGGATCCGTCCATCACAAACAGTTACACATCTCGATGAAGACTTATCACTTCGACAGCAAACCCTTAGCCCACCCCGATGCCATAATCACAGGATCTCATTACCGTTTCACACTCCTTACCGACCGATTAATCCGCTACGAATGGTCTTATGATGGAAAATTCGAAGATCGGGCATCAACCTTCGCGATCAATCGGGAGTTCCCCGTCCCGAAATTCCAGAAGATCGAACGCCCCGACGAACTCGAGATCATCACAGACCATTTCCATCTGAGCTACGACAAGGAACGATTCAGCCCCAATGGACTGATGTGTAGCTTCTCCGCGAAGATCACTCAGTGGGGAGCCCAGTGGCGGTACGATGACCCGCTGAATGCTTCGAGATCTCAGAATCTCGGCGGAACAGCTAGAACCTTGGACGGGTGTGATGGACGCTGTGATATGGGGGATGGCGTGTTGTCTCGGTTCGGATATGCGGCTATCGATGATGGCGAAACCATGCTGTTTGACGGCAAGGGCTTCGTAGCTGGACGATTGCCTGGAGATCGCATTGATGGGTACCTATTTTGTCATGGCCACGATTATAAAGGGGCAATAAGAGATTTCTACGCGGTGAGCGGCAAACAGCCTATATTGCCCCGGTGGGCGTTAGGAAATTGGTGGAGTCGCTACTACAAATATCATCAGGATGAGTATCTCGGGTTGATGGACGAATTCAAGAAGAGGGAGATCCCGCTGTCCGTTGCAGTGATTGATATGGATTGGCATCTGGTGGATGATGATCGGGTTCCTCATGCCGGCTGGACGGGATATACTTGGGACAGCAAGTTGTTTCCAGACCCGACCACTTTTGGTCGAGACTTGCACAGTCGGAATCTCAAGATTGCATTGAATGATCACCCGCATTCGGGGATACATTCGCATGAGGATGCATATGAGGAGATGGCTAAATTCTTGGGCCACGACACCTCGAGGAAGAATCCTATCCGGTTCGACCCGACATCCCCTAAATTCATGGAAGCATATCTGGGCATCCTCCATCGGAATATTGAAAAGGTCGCCTGTGATTTCTGGTGGATTGACTGGCAACAAGGTTCACATACCAAGGTACCTGGAATCGACCCTCTCTGGCTCCTCAACCATTTTCATTTTCTCGACAATGCTCTCGACGGCAAACGCCCCCTCATCTTCTCACGATATGCCGGGCCAGGGAGCCATCGTTATCCGGTCGGATTCTCGGGGGACACAGTGACGACATGGGCGTCGCTGGAATTCCAACCCGAGTTTACAGCCACGGCGTCCAATATCGGCTATGGCTGGTGGAGTCATGATGTAGGCGGACACATGCTAGGAACCCGCGACGACGAGCTGGTGACGCGATGGGTGCAATTTGGTGTCTTCAGCCCCGTGATGCGCTTACACTCTTCCAAGTCGCGCTGGACATCCAAGGAGCCCTGGCTATATCGCACGGAGAGCGAGTTGATCATCCAAAATTTCATGCGTCTCCGTCACCGAATGATCCCATATCTCTATACGTGCAACGTCCTTGCGTCCACCGAGGATGAACCCCTCATCCAGCCTATGTACTGGTGCTTCCAAGATCGGGATGAGGCATACCAAGTCCCCAATCAATATTTTTTTGGCTCGGAGTTGATTGTCGCCCCGATCGTGAAGCCAAGGGACAAGAGAACGAATCTGGGCTGTGTCAAGACCTGGCTACCGCCTAAGTATCGCCATGTCGATGTTTTCACAGGCACCGTCTACGACGGAAACAGGGAATTGAATATGTATCGACCTCTTCATGAGATTCCCGTGTTGGCACATGAAGGCAGCATCATCCCGCTCGACGCGGACCCGACGCCCCAAAATGGTGGCTTGAATCCAACGCACTTTGAAGTCCTCGTTGTCGTCGGCCGTAATGGACGGAGCCGTGTTCTAGAAGATCCCGCCGATGACTCTGACCCCGTCAAGAAAGAATCCCCTTCGTCCGGCGAACGTGGCAGTTTGATCCGATATGACCAGGCTCAAGGCGTCTTAACGGCCCACGTCACAGGCAGGACCTGGACTTTCCGCTTCCTCGCCATCACCGAAGTCCCGAAGGACCTCAAAATCGTCGTTGACGGCAAGGATTGCACTCAAGATGCCAAAGTCTCGATCGAAAGTTTTCCGTCCACCCCGTCGATGTTGGCCCATGTCCCTGCTCCGGAAAAGGAGGAGGAGGAGGGAGAGAAGAAGAGGAGGAAGAAATACACTATTCACATCTCGCTAGGCCGGGACCCGCAATTGAGCGTGCTCGATCATAAAGCGCGGATTGAGCGGTTGCTACTTGACTATCAGACTGAGTTTGAGATTAAGGATCGGATCTGGAGTATTGTGACGGATCGCGACAGTGCGATTAATGTCAAGATTGGGAAGTTGATGAGTTTGAGTGTGGATGAGACGTTGACAGAGCCCGTGGCGGAATTGATTTTGAGTGACGTCCGGGGAATGCATTTGTGATCCCAAAAGAAGGGAGTTTTGGAGTGGGGAGCTTTGATGGTGAGGAAGAGCACGCATTAGAAATAGAAGAGCATCTGATCCAACGGAGCACTTTAATTGAATTTCTCTTTGCTAGACCGCTATGGGTCCTAATAAACCCGGTGTCAAAAATGAACGTCCTCCTTCAGGAGCTTTTTATTTGGCCTGGCAACTCGTGATCCACCACAGCTCGACTCAACAACAGAAGGAAGATCCGGCACGCTGAAGAGCGACATTCTCGTCCCTTGAACATTGGTGTTGCCTTCCCATTCTCGGCTTCTCAACTCACAATTTACTCTCTCCTCGCATGAAAGGAAAGACCTTCTCATGCAACCACTGGCCAATTATGCGATTACAATCCTCCGGTCTCTCCCACAGCGCCCAATGGTTCGCACTGACTTCGCGTCTGGTCAGCTTGGGGATCTTCTCTGCCATCTTCTCCGCCATAAACGCCGGCAGAGCCTGGTCTTTAGTCGCGAGCACGAACAGCACTTCTTGCTGCAGCGTCAAGTCCCTTGCGGCCTGGGCTGCGGATTTACGACCCGAGTCAAAGAAATCACGCCACTCGTTCATGTAGTTGTCCTCGCGGACGCGGTACCAGTTGAGCGGGCCGTTGATGCCATTCCTCGCGAATTCGTCGACGTAGAAATCCATTTCTTCGTCGGTGAGAAGCCTGTTCTTGCCTACGCGCGCCTGCTTGGCCAGGTCGATGCCGACGTTGGCGTTGAAGGCGACTTCGCCCTCCGGTGTGCGCCCGCCAAACAGATTGTTCAACCACCGGCGGATCTCGGCCTTGGATTGCACGTTCTTTTCGATCTCCCCGGAAGCGAACTGCATTTGATACGTGAAGTTGGGAAGGCGCTTTTCCGCTTGGACTCCTAGCGGTTCGTACTTTGGGCTGGGTAGGAAGTAGGGTGTGCAGATGCTGAAGACTGCAGTGATCAGGCGCGGGTAGTATTGGGCCACGCGGTAGACGATGGCGCCGCCCCAGTCGTGCCCGCCGAGGATGATGCGCGACAGGCCCTTTTGGCGGCATAGCTCAGCGATGTCATCGGAAGCGCGTTTGTATGTGTAGTCTTGCAGTGTGTAGCGGGGGAAGTCGGTGCGGCCGTAGCCCATACAATCTGGGGCGACCACGTCGAGGCCCAGGTCTGTCAGGAAGGGGATTTGGAACCGCCATCCCATGCTGAGGTCTGGGAAGCCGTGGATCAGGAAGATGGTTCCCCTTTTCGGCACTTTGGGAGAGGCCGGGCTGAAGAGGTAGCCATAGGTGTAGCCGTTGAGTTTGGCAGAGTGAAAAGAGATCCGTGGATCGTTATTAACTTTGATTTTGTCGACAGGCATGATGTCAATTGTTTCTCTTGCCTTGAGAGCGAAAGGTATAAATCTATAAGCTCCCCCTTTTCAAGTCGAATTCTTGAGGCCGTTTATGTAGACCTCTCAACTCTTCTCTGGATTCTCTGCGTCCTCTTGCCCTGTCCTCTTTCTTGGAGGAGGTTTGTCGCCTTAGTCCCAATTTCGGAACTTTCCTCGGTTCAAACCCAGGACAGGAAACCTCCAAATCAAATGGGCTGAAACTGTTGTTGCTCGTGCAAGATTCTACGATGTTATTGTGTCTTCAGGTAACACAGCAGAGAGGAAGTGATGAGGAATTTTTTTTTTTTTCCCCCTAGATTGACAGATTGTTTTCGGCGTCGGTGATGGTAGATTGGATCAGTATTGTAGGCCGAGGTTGATGCTCGCGAAAGATTCCATGACACAATGCCGGGCCATCACGATACGAAATACGAAATGATTACCATATGCAGTAGTGATCTCGTGGGAAACCTGTACTTCATATCGTAAATTGAAGGAATCACTGAGAAGACCCAATACGTTTGTCTTTGACCCCAGTTTACTTTTTCCTAAGACGATACATGGACCTATATAGGTATGTGTAACCTACGTCGTACACGTTTTCCTTTTCTAGCGTGTCAAGTCGACCATTCAAACATGTTTATCAAGAGGCGACTCATGGCCCTTTCATGCTTCGAATGTTGGTGACCACCCAGCAAATCCGTCGTGGTGCATTTTCCTGCATTTTCTTCGCGGAAGATCAGCAATTAACATTGCAAATTCCAATCTTCCTTGAATATCTCAGCCCCTTTTTCCCCGATCATAAAGACCGGTCCCTGGACGTTGACATCAGGCAATCGCGGGACGATGCTGACATCACATACTCTGAGGCCCTGAATTCCATACACTCGCAAGCGTGCATCGACGACACCACCGTCTCTCTCTGGAAGCATTTGACATGTTCCGCTCGCGTGCCAGTTGGGGATGGTGTTGGCAATCACGTATTGAAAGATCGTGTCATCGTCCGCGTCCGCGGGAACATCATCGAAGCCTGGGCACACTTCCCCATGGTTAGGACCTATGGTGTACTGTGACAGAGCCGGGTGCGCGAGAAGTTTCCTCAGATCTTTGAAAGCGTTAACGGCGATGACGCGATCGGTGGGGTCAGAATAATAGTTGGGGTTAATGTTCGGCGCGTCGGACATGGATTTGGATTTCAAGGTGACATTCCCTCGGCTGAGGGCGACGAGGGAAGATGCTGTGAGAGAGATATAGGACAGATTGGATTGAGGAACATAATAGGCTTGTTCAGAGCTTGAGCCTACGCCGCCTGAAAAGGTCAATCCACCCGGGTAGTATTGAGATTCGTATAGAAACTCCACGTGTGACTGATTGACTAGTCCTGCCTCGATGATGGCACGGGCACCTATAGAGTCTAGTGTAGCATTGGATAATTGCTGGAAAGCATTGGTGATCCCAGAGGGTTCGGTGTATGGGCCGGTAAGGTGGTCGAAGTATTGCTCCTGAGCTGCGGCGAGTGACGATTCGGTGGCGCCCATGGAGCTGGTGGACGCCCCTGGGTCAGCCAAGGCCATGATGCTGAAGACGGAATGATCGTTGAGGTTGTTCCAAGGTCAGTTCTCGTTCGGTTCAAATGTTCGACTTCCACTTACTGTTGACCAACGTTCTCGTTGATGTGGACCGCGGCGATTCCATTTCGACTTAACTCTCCCTCTGGTCCAATTCCCTGAGGCATCGTTAGCAAATATGCAGGGTCCTAGCTTTGTCTCAATGTGCATTTACCGATATCATAAGAAGTTGAGGGGTATTGAATGCTCCCATAGAGAGGATGACTTCCTTCGTGGCGTTCGCCGTGTGAACCAATGCGGTAGGCTGATCCGTGAAGGAGATGCCTGTGGCCCTGGTGCTTCCATTGGCGCCTTGTTCAAACTGGATCGAGTTGACCGTGGCATAATGAAGGACATCAAGATTCGTGCGATTCCGGGCTTGTTGGTAAAAGCTGTCGTAACTGGAGCTACGCCTGAATTGGGGGTCGAGGCATCCCGTCCCTTGCTTGACGCCAGTGTTATTGCCGTTGTTTAGTTCATCTACTATGGGAACATTGATGGCTTCGCATGCTTCAATGAAACCGATGTTTGATGCAGGTACTTCACCCTGAAACCCAATCTGCAGGGGGCCATTAGAGTAAGCACGAGGATCCCAAGTTTGATACCGGTGGTCGAAGCTGTCATTCAGATTTGGTGGGTTGAAATGAGTATGCTACCACGATTAGATCTGGCGTGGAGGTCCTTCTGATGACTGAGATACTAACCCTGACGCTGAAGGGGTACAAATCATCCCAGCCCCAGCCGGGATTACCCAAATCAACCCAACGATCGAACACGCTGGCACTGCCTCTTCCATAGAACAGACCGTTGGTTACTGAACTCCCACCAAGACCCCGGCCACCTCAACCATGGTCAGCCAACTGAGAGCGGTTGGAAAGAAGCGTAATAAGCTTACGATGGTAGTTAAGGATTCGATCGTTCAGGTGTTCTTGCGGCAGTGTATAGTAATTGTAGTCAATCGCAGTGCCTCAAGCAGTATTAGGATGACCTCCTTCGTCGTATCAAGAGAAGTGGCGGTATACCAGAAAGATATTGATTCCCTCCAGCATACTGATATGCCGCAACAACCGTGGGTTCGGGGCCTGCTTCGAGCACAAGGACTCTCTGGTTTGGGCATTCCGACAGTCGATTTGCGAGGACTAGGCCCGCTGTACCACCTATTCGGAGTCAGTCAACTCAATGGTATGATGCCCAAGTTGAATAGAGCGTTACCTCCAGCAATGATGAAGTCATATTTGTCTTGGATGACCCGTCTTTTGATGCTTTTGATGGGACTAGCCCCAGCCACGCTCATAAGAGCAGCAACAACAAAGCTGGCGAGATACATCGTCGTTTCGGTGGGAAATATCTGCAATTGAATTTGGACAAGAAGAATTGCCCAGCTTCAAACGATCGAGCAGAAGCATCATGGTTTATGTCAATATTCATACGTCGTCTTCGAGCAGTGATGCTTGCTTTCGTGGCTCAGTCTCGGCGAAGCTCACATTCAGCACCATCTTGAGCCGCCATCATCTCGGACAGTCTCACACTGGAGTCCGAGTCAATCCTGCCCAGCTGAACCTTGGGTTTCACCAAAGTATTCGACTTAGACGGGGTAATTGCATCATAACGTGCGGGGAATACCCTTCGACTCTATACGAGGAGACCTCAGCCTCATAGTGGAGCTTACCTTGTGAAGATCTTTGTCGCATTTGAACACGTGAAGGTTCAGGTGAGCTCGATTAGCGGCCAACCCGGTCCAGTCAGCATAAACGAGGTGCACGAATCGTATTGAGCGCATGGACATTGTTCAGAGCGAAGGTGTTGAAGCGGGAATGCTGATCGAGACGTCCCAGCCTTGTCCATGGCTTAGGAAATGCTTTATGTGGTTGAGAATTCTTCTGGGCAACTGGGTAGATATTAGGCCCCTCTTGGGACATTACCGAGATTGTTCGCGTTAAAGGAGGCCCCAGGTGACTTTACTGAAGGCTTCTGGAATGGCCCATTGCCTTTCCCCACCTCTCGTTAAGTGGGGGAGCAATCCCAGATTCCCGCCCGGCCAATGACCCGTGAGCTAAGATACGATTTGTGGGAGCCTTGTGGGGTCTAAAGTGGGCAGTGTTTTCCCGGGACATCCGACCCTTGCCCAACTTTGGTCCGTCGCTGTGATACAATCTCTCTGCTCCAGGAAGACTCGTGAGAGGAAAGGATTGATTGACATCGTAGAACGTGATGGGCCAAGGCCCAGCGTCATTCTGTAGGAGCCTGGAGGATGGGATCGTAAAAGAGAGAGCCTCTACACCAAATATGTAAATTGAGGACAAATGACGTTCTTGACTTGGAGGAAGTGGGGTGACGTGTTGAGGTTCGAATGGAACATCAACATGGAAGTATGGCCCCGATAATGGACTTTCTCATTGCAGCCTTTGGACCGTAAAACACCGTTACCGACTGTGAAGACGGCTGCAATCGCTGATCGTCGAGCTTCTCGGACTCCGGAGCACTCTGGCTGCCTGAAGCAGAAACCTAGTCGATCGTATATAGGAAAAAGGTGTGAGATGGGCATTCCCAGCCTTGTCCTTACCCTGGAGCCCCCACATCTTTAGGAGGCAGCTAACCCACGGCCGGTTGAGTATAAAATTTTGGTCGCGAGAGGCCCTCATTCCTCTTCCTCTTCCTAAACAATACGTGAGCTTGCGAATCCTAGCTCGAGGTATTTATAATATGCCCATGTTCGCAGCATTATAGAAGCTGAACTGCCTCGGTACCCTGAATGTCTACCACTATTTGCAGGTCAGGCACTGAAGACCCCTGAAAATGGCGTGATGAGAGGCCCGGATGAGCAATTCCACTGCCTCCTTGTTGGGTTCCTCGAAAGTGCGAAACATACCCATCAAAAATGCGTCAGTCGGTGGTTGGTGTGAGAGAATTCGCAATGATGTGATCCATTTATTTGCTGCGATAAGAGTGTACCTCTTATGAAACCGCTTACTCGATCAACAAGAAACACCTCTATGTTCTCGGCTTCTTGTCGTTGATACCTTTCCGAGCTGGTTCTGGAATCCTTTCACTCGAATTTTTGACTCTGCTCACCGTCGTAACATATAGTTTGTTCCCATCGCTTTTGGTTTTCATCCCGTGATCATCCAGCTTCCATTGAAATGCATGACCTCGAAACCTCTCCCTTACTGTCACCCCGGACATCTCACGAATCTTCTCCATCTGTCGAGAGGGAAGACCTGCAATCGGCAAACAATGAGCGAAAACTCGACAATGATGTTCTCCCGGAAACATCCACCTCTGGAAGAAACATTGGCTGGGGGAGCGCCTACGTCCTGGTCATTTCCAGAGTCATTGGAAGTGGCATCTTCGCTATGCCTGGCACAATCGTGCAGAATATCGGAAGCCCTGGGCTGGCTCTAGTGCTTTGGGTTGTTGGAGCTTTTGTTGCATGGGCTGGGCTTGCAATCGATATGGAGTATGGATGTATGCTTCCTCGGTCTGGAGGCGTCAAAGTCTACCTCGAATATACCTACCGCAAGCCCCGGTTCCTTGCTTCCACGTTGGTGGCAGTTCAGGCGGTGTTGCTGGGGTTCACCGCCAGCAATTGTATTGTTTTCGCAAAATATACCCTTTTCGTCGTGGACGTTAATCCAGGAGACCTGAATACCAAGCTGCTGGCGATCGGACTTCTTACATGGATTACCATTGTGCATGGCTGCTTCTACCGGACTGGCATTTGGATTCAGAACCTCCTGGGCTGGGTCAAGATTGGACTGATTGTGTTTATGATTCTGACTGGTTTATTTGTGGTCATATTAAGACCTCAGGCATCATCCAATCTCGCCGGAGGCCTTTCTGCCACCGCGTGGGACGGTCTCTGGATGGGTTCCGACTGGTCTTGGAATAACCTGTCGACAGCGTTCTTCAAGATTCTCTACTCCTACGCAGGATTGAGCAATGTCAACAATGTCCTCAATGAGGTCAAGAATCCCGTCCGAACGCTCCGATCAGTTGGCCCAGTTGCTCTCCTAACGGCTTGTTTCATGTACGTTCTGGTGAACGTGGCATATCTGGCTGTGGTCCCACTGGAGGAAGTCAAGCGTAGTCGAGAACTTATTGCCGCTCTCTTCTTTGAGAAGGTTTTTGGTTCGGGGTTTGGGAATAAATTTCTCCCCATTGCGATTGCACTGAGCGCGGCAGGGAACGTCATGGTCGTCACCTTCAGTGTGGTAGGCCGGATGATCATCTCGATAGCATATTGACTGACTGTACTGCAGGCTCGAGTCAACCAAGAAGTCGCCAGACAAGGGTTTCTTCCGTTTGCCGAACTTCTGGCCTCTTCCAAACCCTTCAATTCACCACTGGGTGGGCTCATCGTTCACTTTGTGCCTTCCGTGCTGGTCATTGCGCTGCCACCCTCCGCGACTGTCTACTCTTTTATTGCAGACGTGGAAGGGTATGCCGGACAGTATTTCGCCCTCGCCGTGGGTGCAGGCCTGATCATCCTCCGACTTCGAAACCCGGACCTGCGTCGACCCTTCCGAGCATGGTTACCGGCTGTTTGGCTGAGGATTGCATTGTGTCTCTCGTTGATTGCGGCGCCCCTATTTCCACCTAAAAAGGGGTCATCCGATGTCAATTTTTTCTATGCGACCTACGCGCTTGTGGGAATTGCTATGTAAGGGACTGCCCCCGTGAGGCGAATTGCGCTGACTTTGCTAGTGTCATATTTGGTGTGGTATATTGGTATCTGTGGACTATTGCTTTGCCGCGTTATAGAGGCTACAGACTCGAGGAGGAAGCCGATATCCTCGGCGACGGGACCACAATCACCAAGTTGGTCCGCAAGGAAATATAATCAACCACCGAGGATTGATAAGCACGAATTACGATGATTGGGAGGATATAAAACACACTCCTAGATATGCCTTGAATGCCTGAAATAACTCTGGAGACGTGAGGCACGCCATTCCAATGGCTCGAACTCCATTGGCCAGAGGGCAGAGTACACATGCCCTTGATGACTATACCCCACACATTGTCTGAGCATGGCGAATGTACGCTCACGGATGGCGTGCTATCTGACAAATCAGAGATATGTACGGCATGTTTCATAAATAGAGGGTGTTCTTCCCCTCGGGCATAATTCGAAATGGGCCATATCACATACATTCAATATGGCTTCTGCAGCCGTTCAACAACCTGGTGGACATTCGACCTCTTTTGAGCCATTGACGACCCCGCTTAAGGGTGCGCCGGCATCTCAGCAAGAGAAGCATCAGGTCCATACCCAGTTGAACTATTACAAAGATCCTGGTGACGGAAGTCCCCCTCCCCCGAGCTATGTTGGCAAGCCAGAATCTTATGAAAGACCCACTGAGCCCCTTGACGTGACCATTTATGATATCCGAGGCGAGGAGCAGAACTACAATCTCGACAAGAATGGGTTCGAGATTTATCGTCGTGAAAGTGTCGAGAAAGACTTTCTCGACGACGCCCAGATCAAGGCCCAATACTATCCTGAGACCGAACAGTTGTTGAAGGACGCGTTCGTATTGGCTCTTTCCCCCCTTTCATGACAGAGCTAATATTTGGTTGCCAGCACCGGCGCTTCACGAATCTTTATCTTCGACCATACCATCCGTCGGGCTCCCAAAGACCAAAGAGGACCGCCCACAACCATCAATCTTCGCGGTCCGGTAAACCGCGTGCACATTGATCAAAGCTACACCGCAGCCAAATCTCGTGTTCCTCATCACCTACCAGACGAGGCTGAGGCGTTACTTTCAACTCGTTATCAGATCATCAATGTGTGGCGACCCATCAAGACGATTCTGAAAGACCCTCTGGCCGTCGCCGATGCCCACTCCGTCCCTGACTCAGACCTCGTCGGCGTGGGACTGATCTACCCCGACCGTCGTGGAGAGACGTACACCGTCCGACCGAACCCCGAACACAAGTGGTATTACCTGTATGGACAGACACCCGAAGAGGTTCTTCTGATCAAATGCTTTGACTCCAAGCTGGATGGGCGGGCAAGGAGAGTACCACATACGGCGTTTGTGAATCCGGAGACGGCTAATGAGTACTCGAGGGAGAGTATTGAAGTCAGGGCACTGGTGTTTCATGAGGACCAGACAGCGGAGTAGTTCACACCAATATGAATAAGAGAGGCAGATAGTCGTAATGCGTCAATCACTCTAAATCTGAGTTCGCCAGACCGCCAAGAAAACTATGTCCCGGGCCAAAACTGCGCCACAGGACAAGGAGCTCAGCCTCGCGCGAATATCCGGTTGAACCAGGGATGCCACGTCTTCCGCCAATCTGTATTGACTCTCTTCACCAGCCACACTCGGTTGAAACCCTCACCCCCCCCCGGCATGGGACAGAGACGCGGGCTGTGAATATGCTAGTCGATAGTTATCAACTAACTTGGGTATGGAGTACTGTAAATTAACTCAGAGGCAAGGAACCATCCCGCCTGCGTCATCGGTCATCTTACCATTCTGCCTTGGCTCATCTTAGAATTCAAAAAGGGACGACGACTTCCCCCTTCCGTATAATAGCCTGCGCTCAGCAGGCAACCTTTTCGAACTTCTCTTCATTTCTCGATTCAACTTACTTCCTCCTCATCCCCATCATGTCATACGGTCCGCCTCACGGCCAACCTCCCTATGGAGGATACCCCCCGCAAGGGCCGGGTTACGGTTCTCCCTATCCCCCGCCACAAGGTCCACCCCAGGGAGGACATCCCCCTCCTCAAGGGGGATTTGGTGGCCCTCCGCAACATTTTGGAGGGCCGCAAGGAGGATATGGCCCTCCTCCTCCTCACGGTCAGTATCCTATGAGCGGACCACCCCCTGCGCATAGTGGCTACGGTCCCCACGGTGGGTTTCCGCCGCCACAGCAATATGGTCCCCCTCCGATGCCCTCTCCCGGATACGACCCGCGAGCACAAGCGCAAGGTGATGCATCACGCGATGCGGATGCTCTGCGTGCCGCGATGAAAGGCTTCGGCACCAATGAAAATGCTCTCATCCAAATCCTCTCCAAACCCGACCCGTTACAAATTGCCCTCCTCAGAAACACATATAATCAAAGACATCGTCGCAACTTAGAACAAGATATCAAATCTGAAACATCCAAATACCTCCGCGATGGTCTCGTCGCAATTGTACGAGGCCCGCTCATGGATGATGTACATAACGTCCACGATGCGATCAAGGGTCTGGGGACCAAAGAATCGGTCCTCAATGATGTCTTGCTGGGTCGTTCTAATGCAGACATGCGCGCCATAAAACAAGCATACTACGAAACATACAAACGCAGTCTCGAGGCGGATGTGAAGGGCGACTTGTCGCTCAAGACCGAAACGCTATTCAGCATGGTCTTGGCCGCAACGCGCAACGAGGAATCTGCACCTGTGATACCTACCGAACTCGAGCGCGATTGCACAGAACTCCATCGCGCAATGGACGCCCGGATAGGAACGGATCAAATCACCGTCTGCGGCATTCTCTCGAATCGAAGCGACGGCCAGATACGTGCCATCGCCCACCATTGGCAGCAGAAATACCACAGCGGCCTGGAGAAGGTGATCGACTCGGAGTTCTCGGGACACATGAAGGATGCGCTCCTCCTGATGGTACGCCGGGCATCGGATCGCGCCATGTCGGACGCCACTCAGTTGGAAGACGCCATGACTGGGTTTGGCACCAAGGACACGCTACTCGTCCAACGGGTCGTCCGCGTGCATTGGGATCGAATGCACATGGACCAAGTCAAGCGCGCGTATGCCCATCGCTACAAGAAGGATTTGATCCAGAGAGTGAAAGGAGAGATTCATTCCGACAAATATTACGAGGGGTTGATGGTTGCATGTTTGTCTTGATGAGTAAGACTGCTTGCTTTTGGTAACTCGATTACCTGATTTGATCAGAATTCTCAAGATGGTTTTGGGTTTGGGTCCGTGGGATGGGAATCGGTTCTGTTCTTGCAGCAGTGGCTTAACAGAACAAAATACTGTTTCTGCCTCCCCATTCTTAACTCCTTCTGCAGAACAATTTCAGTATGCTCGACCTTTTTCTGACCCCTTGACTTCAATTGTCTCCCCTCCTTTCGCGATGCTTGAAGCAATGAATTCCTCTTTCGATTTCCAGCATCGATGGGTACTCACAGCCAGTCATATGTGTATACATTCAACCTAGGCCCCCATCCCTCTTCTCCACGACATCATGGCTTGACCCAAAGGCATGTCTCTAGGACAGTAGGCTCGAATATTCCGCTCGTCTTTATTCGACTCGACGAAACATCGTGACTGCAAGCATTGGCCTTCACGACGCATTCCCTCTGATTCAACGTCCCGCAAGGATATCGAAATGACCGAATCCAGTAGTATGTTGTGTGACATACTCTGTGTATTCATTGCGGATCTGAAGGATATAAAAAGATATTTTGACAGGCGTATTCCAATTCTTCTCAGAGCAGTTCAAGAATATTACTCATGACAAAGAAGCTTTCATTCAGACTTGCCGCTCAGTTCAAGGCCAGCTCAAGAGTTTCCGAAGAAACGGCCGCAACGGTACTGCTTTACCGCGCGGTTCCCATCCCGAATATAACCACGAGGGCCAAATATATATACCAACAGACGAGGAACACAATACTCTGCAAAATGTTCGAAAGGCCGCATGGGGATCTCGTGATCAATGTCAAGATATTGGTAGAACCGATTCTGGCGTTGAGCTGTAGTAAACACCGGACGCTGTCAAGGACAAGAAAAGTGAGGCCAGCCGCATGTGCTCTCTGTAGTCGTATCGAGAGCAATACATGAGTCCTCCAATGCTCCAAATTATATTCGCCAGTGGGACGAGATTAAGAACGTGGACGAGGTTCCGAAGAGAACCAGACGCAAAGAGATCATTCTGGAATGTCGAGATCTCCTCAGACGGTTCGTGTGTACAGACTTCCGTCAGTTCAACAGGTCACATCAGGTTCACGAATGAATGGATTCATTCTTGGACAGTTAATTCTCCGACTTCAGAAGGATGAAGGCGCACATAGAAGGCCAGGATCAGCGAGTGATACTCAATCAGAGGCAGACGAGAATCCACGTCCACTGACAACGTCCCTGCAAGATCACGAAATTGTGGCCGGTATGATTAGTCCGGGTATTGTGCTTTCTGAGGCCGGGCCAATTCAGAATATGGTTGCCACCGATGGTCTGGATGCTTTTATTCGATTGTGTGATGTCTTGAGACCGCACACAGGCACGGAATTGTATCGACCTCCCTGAAACTTTGAGCAGCACATTTTCTGAGGCGTGAGGAGCACGTGCGACAAGAAGTGGAGCTACACACCAAGGGAGCTCTCACATTTGTGGTGTTGAAGGGTTAGCGGTCTGGAAGATGAGTCCATGGATCCAAGTTAGCATTGAGTCGGCCATCAACCAAATGGAGGAATGTGCAATGTCCTCGATCGTTTCTTGACGGCATCGCTACTGATGCCATGGATCGAGTGATGTCGTCAGATGAGAGGGAAGTTTGGAGCCCAAGGGAAGAGCTCTCCCTTGGGATTCCCCGGCCCAATGCCGGTAATAAGTCTTCTCAGCTTAGAGGCGCCGCAGATTTCTAGGCAGTAAGTCATCTTCCCACAAGCCCACCTCCAAACAGCCTTTTGGCAAATATTTCACGACGGTTTCACATTCATTTACTAGTTCAGACACCTCATTCGCATCAAGAATCCATTTCGGGTCCCTAGCAAATCTCTCAATTAGGTCATCCCCACAGCTCGGACTTGACTCCTTTCCGACCCCTCTCGACTAGGCCATCCATGATATTGGAACTCTTGACTCTTGACCGCCGGTTGTGCGCACACCGTCTCGCGTTTGTTGTTCTCGTCTTGTTGCTTTTCAAATGGCTGTTCCCACACCCCGACCGCGGTTCTGATATCCGGATCTTGTCCATCATTGGGACCCATGCGTATGCCGCTCTTACAAAGCATCCTCTGCTGCGAGCATGCATCGATGAGAGAAGAGAATGCCCACCAACAAGGCTGGTCTTCTGTTCGTCAACAAAACCCCCTCGTCCAAGTCGCTTTCCAACAGCAAGGGCGACGCCGTCGGCGTTCGCGAGATCCATCAACATGCCCAAAAATCTCGCGATTAGGAACGGGAGAGGGAGAACAGGAGGAAACTGAAGAGAGCGAGATTGCCTCTTGGATGGGCTCCCGTTTCCGTTGTTCCCAGCAAAAATCTTCCCCCGCTGTCATTTGGTAGAGCCGTCCTCTAACCCCCCATCCACACGTAATCCAGAATGACGACGCTGTTCCTGATTCTTACCGCGCCAATCGGCGCGATGATGGTATCCCCAAACTGTCAGGCGTTGCGCCAACACGGGGTTCTGTCGAACCATTTGGTCAATTCAAGGTCTCGATGAACGCCGAGAAGTATCAGATCCTCGAATATTTTGTCCTCAGGTTCTTCCCCGCGGTGACGAGAATGGACATGATCGTTTTTATGGGACATCCTCGCTTGTCGTCAGCCAATCCGGCGATTCAGGTCATCCGCAACTCGCTCGCGGACGAACTTCACCTGCTGGCCCTTCTGACCACGACCAGCGCCCGCATGAAATACGTTGACAAATTCCACTTCGCCCGAGCCGATCTTCCCGAACGGTTGGCCGACGTCAGTCTTCGATTGTTGAGGCGGTATCTGGCTCAAGGCCGACCGGTAACGCAGGAACTGATACAAAGCATTCTATATCTGTGGGCGATCGAGAGCTATCGAAGGAACTGGGATGCTCTGGGTCGCTGATCGATTTCAGGCTGCCGCTACTCAGACTCCTCCGCTAGTTGAAGATCGATGGGAGACTGAGGAGCTTTCGGCGCGACAGTATACCTGCGGAGTCACGTCAATCCGAGAGCATGGATAACAACCAATGGGACATGGTTTTGCTGAAGTGACTGAAATATTCAGCCCCGATTTTCAAAAGCTGTTGGACAAAGGACTCGACCTTGGTTGCATTATCCAGTGCCATTGGATAGGTGTCGAGGCACAAGCTCTTATGCCCGATCGCGACTGGTCGAGAATCAAGAATGGTTCGCGGTACAATTTCAAGCGTTTGCCAGGAAGTTGGACATCTTCTCCTGGAATGATTTTGGCCCCGTCAATGAGAAGTTTTTATTGCTGGACCAACTGCGACCCACCAAACTGACCTGGCTCTAGCAACGGGCCGTCTATGCCGAGGTTGGGGATTGAGCGACCACCCTGCAAAATATCAAACTCAGCGTTTCGGAGTAGCAGTTTGCCCATTGGCCCATTGGTCCATTTTGCGAGATATCAGGCCTTTTTATGTCTTGAGCAAGGACGGCCCAAGATGGACAATGATGTCCTGAATGATCACCCTTGCTAGAGCCATTATTCCGCAATCCTGTTTCACAAGGGTCCGGAGTGAATTGAGGCAACAAAACCCGTCAGCTAGGTACGTGATGCGTAGGATCTTCAAGACCGCAGAGGTTCGTATATCGACTATTTTGTTTCATGAGTTGTTGCTTTATTCCATTCCAACGACAGAATCTCCCTCGGTTCCGCATGAAGCGATCTTCAAGATGAATTATCTTGGAATTTACCAAGGCAGGCGCGGTGGAATATCGGGCATGTTCGATCATGGACATGGTTCCTCCGGTTCCATCAATGGCCTCATGATTCGGATGGATTACAGAATGCCACAACCCACGTTCAAAGATCAATGCTTTGGGCTTTGCCATTATGAGTCAACGGGATATAGCCTTTTGTTTGCCTCGGGTATTTAATCTGGAATAATTGGAATATGGAAAACGAAAAACCAGAGGATCCGATATCGATTGCCATCGGGAGATCTCGGAGGATGATGGCCCAGGACAGCTGGCCGAATGGTACTTCGGCGGTTCGGATGCCTTGATCGGAACGATGAGCGAGAAGAGAAGCCAAAGCATTTCCAAATTGTCACACAGCTGAAGCGAAGGCGATATTGAAAATGATGAAGGTTTCAAAGGCGAGGTTTAAGGATGTAAGTGCTGCTCAAAACGTTTGTAATTATTTCCGCAGGTGAAGTCAAAAAGCTGATCAGTTGTGCCGAGGCTTAAAATCATGTGCTTGGCGGGGCACCTTGACGAGTCCATTTTTTCACCCCCGCAACTCCGACGACCAGCTCTCTTTTCTGCCAAGTCAAACTTGGTCCCTCCTCTCCACCGCACTGTTCACCTGCTGGCTCACACCGGCCAGTGACCAGTCAATGCTCATCGTTCTCCTCGCCCTCGTGCCTGGGCTCGGCTGGGCTGATGAGGCCATGATGACATGCTCGTTCCAAGTTCCTTGCCACTCACAACCTGAACCTGTGCCTCGGCGGAAGGGGAGCAACCAAAACTTCCAGATGCGAGGCACGCGTGTCTCTTTTTGATTTTCGCATCCTGCTCATTTTCGGACTAGAACGGCCCTCTTGGCCTTGGATCTGATTGTCATAATTGACGGGGCTTTTTCTGTTTGCCAAACAAAAGTGTCCTCATCCACTTTCTTCTCCCTGTTGGGAATTTTGTTTTGGTTCGATCGATTCTCCTCTCACTGCTAATCCAGCATTGGCGTTAGTCCTGGGAAATACCATTGTTTCCTGGTGTCCGAGTCTTCGTGTGTCATAAGTAATATCCTCTAAGGATCTGTTTCGTTTCCTTTTTCCCCTTTCTTCAGCTCTCCTGTCCTCAATCGAGCAGTCGAGCAATCGAAATTTCCTCTGCTTTGGCAAAAGAAATCGTACGGACGCGACACGGTTGGCCTCGTATTGCCGCACAAACGCATCTCCGACAGTTCCAGCGACCTCTCGACATAATGTCTGCCAAAAGCGTCAAAGGTGAGGGCGGCAAGAAGCCCGCTAGCGCCGCAACCAATTTGATCGCTGGAGGAGGTGCTGGAATGATGGAAGCCCTTGTCTGTCATCCGCTCGACACCATCAAAGTGAGAATGCAATTGTCCAGAAGAGGGAGAGCGCCAGGGACGAAGAAGCGTGGCTTTCTCCAAACAGGAAAAGACATTGTTAAACGGGAAACGTTCTTTGGCCTGTACAAAGGTCTCGGGGCTGTTCTCACGGGTATTGTTCCTAAGATGGCCATTCGATTCACATCCTACGAATGGTACAAGCAATTACTGGCAGATGAAAATGGTATTGTCAGTTCGCAGGCCACTTTTATCGGTACGTTCCAGCTTGCTGACGGTACTTCCTTGGCTAACTCGACCTAGCTGGATTGGGTGCCGGTGTGACAGAAGCAGTCGCCGTAGTGACTCCGATGGAAGTGGTCAAAATCCGCATGCAAGCCCAATACCACAGTTTATCCGACCCTCTCGATATCCCCAAATACCGAAGCGCCCCCCACGCCCTATTGACCGTGGTCCGAGAAGAAGGAATCGGCGCCTTATATCGCGGTGTGTCGCTAACCGCACTCCGACAAGGAACAAACCAAGCCGTCAACTTCACCGCATACACGGAACTGAAACAACTGTTACAAAAATGGCAACCGCAGTATGACGGGAAGAATCTGCCCGGATACCAAACGACGGTGATCGGGCTCATTTCGGGCGCAATGGGTCCGTTCTCCAATGCCCCCATCGATACGATCAAGACGAGATTACAAAAGACACCGGCGGAGCCAGGCCAGACGGCGATCTCCCGCATCATGACTATATCAAGAGATATGTTCAGGCAAGAAGGTCCGCGAGCATTTTACAAGGGAATCACACCGCGAGTAATGAGAGTGGCGCCCGGTCAAGCCGTCACTTTTACCGTGTATGAATTTTTGAAGAAGAAGTTGGAAGACAGTAATTGGATGTTCGTGGGAGGGAAGTACGAAGAATGAACCAACGACCTGGAACCTGGAGTTTGGTCTGTCTCGGAGAACTGGAAGAACACGGAAGGAAGGGATGGGCTGAGCTGAAATGAAGTTGCATGTGCATGCTTTTTGCATTTATATGGAGCGATAGACACAAAGCGGGGCATCTACATATGTGCCAGACACCATTAACTACCACTGTTCCGTTGTATATAGCCGTCGGTACATGAATCTAAAGCCTTTGGGGAAAAGTGTAACGTAGAAAAAATTCACTTTAGGAACGATTGCAAACGCGATTCAAATCTGTTTATCCATCTTGCACATGTGTAGCGCCGCGTGCCCAGTTGGCCCCACTAGCTCTTCCTGATCCAAAACAGGTCCGAAGGGTCAGTCACATGATCCAGCCTTGTCTCGGCCAGGCTTGTCATCCTTCCTCGGCCTACCTTCTTCACCTGGCCAGGTCGTGACAGCCCGTTTTTTTCAATTCCTGCGTCCATCAGCAGATTCCCCCTGAGGAAACAGCAGAGCCATTGTCCTCGAGGCTCAAATCATCCGTCCGCACGATCTGAATACCGGTTATTCTATTCAGTGCCTCTAATGAAGCATGGAACTCGCGTGCGATGAGCTTTGGCGTCTGATGGAACGGATGGAGGCTCTGAGTCCTCGAGGGAAGCCCCCAACGTCAAGCCTTCCAACAACCTCCTGAGATGATGACCGAAGCCACCGTGGATTCTTAGATGCTGCTCCTAGAAGACATCGACGTCCAGGACCTAAAGGCTGAAGCCACCGAGCCCGAGATCATCAAGGAAGATGAAGATGTCCTACGTTTCTACCTGAGCACAGAATTACTGATAGTGTAGTGGACGAAATATACCATATGGCCTTGTCATCCTGAGCATGGATGGTCGGCTTCGGTTCTGGGAAGTTTGCAAGTTTATGAATAGGGGAAAGGACTAGGAGTTCAGTGGGGTCGAACTGGTACTCTTTCAGCCTGGTTTTGTCGAATAACCACAAAAGCTTCGTATTTTCTAGATGAACACATGGCCCTACGAGGCTATTCTGACGATAGATGGTACCGATGAGGGGCATGTTGAATAACAGACAGGCGGAAATCTGACGCCCTGCCCCGCAAAATGTGGGATATCAGTTAACAGTAGTCTCGGCTGGCCATGACCGGCTTCGGCTATCACATCGGGAAAAAAGACGAATCCCAAAGCCGGACAGGATGGTTGTATCATCTGCGCCCGAGGAGAAAATGGGTTACGCTAGAGGTCGACGTCGAAGCAGAGGTCGATATGTGGCCATGAAGGCACGGTTTGGGAGAAAGATGAATCCCTTTGCAAACCCTAGGCCAGCAACTGGTAAGCTCCGTCCAGTCACGGCTTTGGAGGGGTCGCGATATATCGTGGAAGGGAATATCCGAGCGAGCTCTGGCTCCCTGTTGTTTCCTAACGGCCATATATAAAGAATAGAATCTCTATCAGATTGCAGAATACGTCGTGACGTTATTGATCATGACGAAAGAAGCACGCATTAAACAGTCTCGGAGAAAATCAGTAGGCAGGACCCCTCGTGTGTTGCAGGCTAGGGTGGCCTCAAGACGCTTGGTAGACTCTAAAGCTTCCAAACTCCCAAAACGCATTGGTATACGCACTGCCGGGTTGCGTACTCACAAAATCGACACACGTCCCCGGGCAATCTGACTGAGTATTGTAGTACTGTGTTTGTCCCGCCCAGTCACCACAGAGGTCGATGTCGACAATGATGCTTTGATTCCGAAAATGACTGCCAATGTCGCAGTCGGTGCTCGGGAAGTCCGCCAATGCTTCTGGCCAGGTGGAAGGGTCAGGAACGACATTGGTCGAATTAGAAGTAGAGGTGGTAATATCAGAAGGGATATTGGCACGTTCAAAGAACCACACGCGAATGCCAGCACTTCGGAGTTCCATGGCATAGACACCTCCACCATTGCTGTTGAATTCCTCTCCAAACGTAGCGGTGGAACCTCGGACACCACAGCCACTGTCACCGTCGGTAGCGTTCAAACAATTTCGATTTAGAGCGGTACCGGTCTCTTTCCGCTTCACGCCCATGCTGCAGCCTTTGGTCGTATGAAGCGTCACCTGATTTCCCACCGGGGCGAGGTTTGTGGCTTCCATCACGTCAATCTCGCCATTTGTCGGCCAATTCGACGGATCTGTTAACCACAACGCTGGCCACGTAGAGCACCCGTAGGGAGAGTGCAGGACGTCGAAGATGAAAAGACCATCGTTGTAGGTATTCTTCGAGGTGATTCTTGCGGATTTGCGACCAGTAGTCGTATCTGTATCCGAAAGGTCGACTCGTAAGATAGCAGACGTAGAGCTTGCATAGGTGAGATTGAGGGCCGCAGAGCCAGGCGCATCAACGTAGCTTGACAAAGCGAACGGTCAGGCTCAAATACAACAGGGCAGGACCGAAGACGGTTACTCACTGGACAAAACCTTGTGCGGGATCGTAACCCGTGAAATAGTCAAAGTTGTCGAAAAAGTCGGTGCCAGAAAATGTTTCCACCAGACTGTAACTCAACTGGGAATAGTCGGGATAACGATTATTCCGACTGATGACGACAGCGACTGTCACGACGACAATGACGACGACAACAAAAGCAATGGTCAGGATAATCCAGCATCTTCGAGACCAATTTTTGGGATTTCGCCTCGACGCCGCCCGTTTTCCGTTCTTGTCCAGGGTAGAGGCGTACGCCCAAGCGAACTTGGGGGATTCCGATGCGAAGCCTCTTCTCCCATATTCCTGAGATGTGTATGTCGGGGGCTGGCCTAGGTCGACATCACATTGCTCATATCGGCGTGAGGAAGGGTGGAAAGACATGATTCTCGTCCGCGGCAGTCAGTGTATCAAATGAGATTGGGCCGTGTTCAAAGAACATTGGGAATCAGGAAGGGAAATGGGTTCACGGTCCCATTTCTAGAGAATGGTGTTTAAAAAAGGAAACACGGAACCTTTGCAAAGAGGTAGGCTAAGCTTCGAATCAAGCTTCAAATCGGTGATCATGGTACTTTCTATCGAGGGCGTTTGACGCAAGTCTTTATCGCATGAGACCAACAGGAAACGTGGTGTGCCTCAACAGTCCAGGCCTAGTGGGATGGTGGGAATAACTGGAGTATGCGACGCGTAAGAAGTTCGAGACAAGTGGCCCAGGGGAGGTCCGTAAGGGGCCCTGTAAGGGCGGCCCTGAAATTCCGATTGAGGCTGAGCCAAAATTGAGCCGGCCAAGGGCGGCAATAGTAGCTGTAGGTATTTTTCAATACTCAACCCTGATTTCAGATAGTGTGTTATCACTTACGACATCGGTACCTAATAATGTCCTGTCCTCTCTGCGTGAAGAGAAGTAATGTCCCTCAACATCGTAATTATCAACTCAAGCCTCATCAATGCCAATCCCGAGAAACATCCGGTCGACGCAGATCTTTCCACCAAGCCTTGGTGGTTAAATGCGGCTGCTCGAGTAAGACATGTGCCAAGATGGTCCTGTCATATGAAACCTCAGGACAGGCCATCTTTGCTCCGGCTTGAAGACGGACAACTTGGACTTTATTTCGTTGTCGATAACCCGGGCACGGCCCATTCCCTCGATCTCTCAACAGCTCGCTCACCGCGGGAAAATTGCCCTTTGGGAAGCGCGTTCATGCGAGCCATCGGGGACAAGCTAAAAGCACCAGTTGAATTTCCGCTCTCCAGACCGCGATCTGTCCTAGGACTTGAGGATGGGTCATATGCCCGTGATAGATTGCAACAGAGACACGCAAGAAAAAAATAACGAAAGGATTTGTGAGGCATGCTCGGATTACTTGTCGAAGAGGCGTTTCCTATATCGACTGCGCTTGCTCATTCTAGGATGGCTGGGTAATTCCCAATGTAACTTACATAGCACCTGTTTGCTCCGCAGAATTTCATCGGCAGGATGAGCAAGGGCCGGCTTACTACCTATGTCTGGATTGACTCCATCTACGTCCAGATGCTAATCTGAATGTTGATGCATCAAAAGAGGTGACGAGGCAGACAACCCCGCAATGCACGCCCCGCCCTCCTCAGCCTCAGCCTCAGCCTCTCAGCAATAAAAGAAGAACCAAGACCGCCTCAAGCTTCGGGCCGCCTGGATCGAACCTTTTGTCGCCCCTCGTCTACAAGAAGCAGGCGACGGGTTGCTGCCGACATCCAACGATGGGCAACGGCAGGTTTCGTCGTATGGTAAATGATTTGCTCGGAACACCTAATTACCATCAATACTCATCCTCAGAGAGTGAAGTCGGTGTATCTTTGGAAACGTTTTGAGGAAGCATCGCGTCGCTAACCCTTGCCATCCATAGAATGTGACCACAAGTGACTCTGAAAACTACACAAGTGCCGAACCCGAAAGCGAGTCTGAAAGTGTATGGAGGTTCCATCCTAGCTCACCTCTCTTCTAGCCTGATTGTCTTGCTCAGCCTCGAATTTAACATATTTCATTGCCTCTTATCAGGAAGAAATGTCAAATGGCGATGAGTCCGTCCGCAAACCTTCTCCACAACCACATCAGCGATCTCGGCCGCCAGCGAAAAGGGCGTCACCCGCAAATATCCACCGTTCAAGATCCCAAAATCTTAAAGCTCCGAGCGAGAGCACCGACAAACGGCGTTCAAAATCTCACGACCCCGTCTACAAGACACCTAAAGCGAGAACGCCTGTGGATGCTGTGGTCGACGAAGAAGAATTTACTCCCTACGAACAACTGTGGAACGATTCAAAGTCTGAATTCAAGGAAAAGAACCCGGATCTCTTCCATGCTTTCCAGCGAGTCGAGCAGAAAGTCGTCCATGTGGACACCAAGGGTGAAGTCGGCGAGAGCCCCGGATCCGCCACGAAAGAATTCCATGAAACCGTAGGAAAAACCAAGTTTCTTCTCGACCAGCGTCGATGGAAATATCAAAAGAGTGGCCAAAAAGGCGAGGTCAGAAATCTTGTCACTCGATTCCTAGTCATTTTGGGAAACCTTAGCGGCCTGGGAGGGGTCGTTGCGAACGTTAACCCGGTCATTGGTGTTCCAGTATGGGCAGGCGTTTGCTATTGTCTGCAGGTGCGAATTGAAAAATCTTTCTTTTTTTTTTTTTTTTAAAAGTGAAACTAGTAACACCCCCTAACAGGCATGTCTTCGAATGACACAGAGTGATGAAAGTGCTCTCAACGGTGTACGAGAGGTTACTGACATCATAGATCTATACGAGGTATTGAGACCTACTTTTTACAGTTCCAAGCCGTCAGCGGCGAACAAAAGGCTCTACGACAAGACTAGGAAGCTTTTTGTCAACATCTTGGTATTTCAAGCTTTTGCAGTCAAATTCTTGTCAAAGAACACTGGGACGCGGGCTGCGAGAGCTTTTATCTCGTGGGACGACTGGAAGCCCATGCTGGAGGACATTCAACGGGAAGCCAAAAATTGTGAACGTCTCCAAGAAGCACATGCACAAGCTGGTCAGAAAGAAATTAAGGAGATACTCAAAGAGACAAGGCTCCATACGAAGTACCTTGTAGAGCTCCAAAAGACGAATGACGAGTTTGATAGGCAAGAAACGATTATTTCTTGGCTATCAGATCAACCGGTCGAAGCTCACCTTGGTCATGTGCTCAACAAGTCAGAGCAAAGTGCTTTCATAGACCGCAAAAGCGTGCCGAAGGATTACAAAGCCCCAGATGACTGGCTTTGGAGCGATCTCGAAAGGTGGTGGAAAGACAGAAAAGTGAACAATGTCTTTTGGCTTCATGGAAAACGTGAGTGCAGTTCTGACGCTTCGAGACTGGTCATGCTCATATCGAATTATTAGCGGGGACCGGGAAAAACCACACTCATGTACGCATCTTGATGCGTTCGCTGCTTTAGCTTACTGACTTCTTTCTTCTAGCTCTCAAGCAACACAACACCTCCGACGAAATTTGGAAACGGACACTAAATCTCAGCTTGCCTACTTTTTGATTGCAGATGAACCAGGACGGAGAGAGTGCACGAGCGTCATTCGAAGTCTTCTAGCACAACTTGCCAGGACTCCCGAAGGAAAGATTGCATCTTCAATCTCCGAACTATACGATCCCCGGGGCGCTGCCGCAAAGTTAGGTTCAAACAGAAGTTTGCAAGAGCTCAAAAGCCTTTGCACAAATTACCGGACAACCCTCGTCGTTGATGGTTTAGATCAGTGTGAAGACTGGAACGAACTCCTCAAAGCACTGAAGGATCTTACCTGCGGCAAAACCTCAACCAAGCTGCTGGTCACGTCCAACGAGAGACTTTGGGAAGTTCGGGGGAAGAGGACCTTCAAAGAATGCCTCGAGATGCAAGTCAACAAAGACCGAAATTTGCAAGCGATCAAACACTTTTGCTACTGCCAGATTGCAAAGAACAGCGAGTCGCTCAACAATGGCGAATGCAAAGATCTTGAAATCAAGCTTGTCGACCGGCTCGTGTTCAATTCCGATGGAATGTAAGTCAAAGAACTCCGGCGTTTGAATCGGATGGCTGACTTGGGGGGGGGGAATGATTTAGATTCAAATGGGTCGAGCTCTACATCAATCAGAAATTCGGGAACAATCGAATGTACAGCAATCGAGATGCAGTCAAGGACCTTATTATAGAACTGGAAAAGTCGCCCCATATCCCCGATCTAGATCCCATTTACAAATCTATCCTAGAAGGAAACCCTGATGATAAACTTCTTCGTCAAGTCAAACAATGCGCGTTCAGATGGACGCTATCCTGGGCGGCCCCAATGACGATCGTACAGCTGGCAGAAGCGGTACATGTCGAAACCCACGCAGCAATATCTCGTTCTGAGAGTCTTATACGTGAACATTGCGCTGACCTTCTCGAACTGAAGAGTGACGGTACTCCGGTGACAATAGCAGGGACAACTGTTCGGCACTTTTTGACTCACTATTCTGTCAAAGAGAAAACCACCATATATCCTTACTCGGACGTCAACTGCCATGCACAGATCTTAATCACATCCCTTAGGCGCCTAGAGTATCTTTGCTCCATCCCAATGTCGGGCCGGGACTTTCAGGACGTTGATTGGACATTCGACCTCTATGCCGCCACTTTCTGGCCATTTCATCTGGCGAAAGTGGCCGCAAGGCGGTCGAATATTTCAGACTTCCCAAGTGTCATCGAAAAATTCTTCGGGCCCAACATTACCGGGTACGGCTCTGGCTTCAGACTTTGGACAGAGAAATGGCTCAAGGTGACGGGCACCAAAGAATTCGCAGCCAAAAACTGTTTGCAATCTCAATTTCCAGACGCCTTTAGGCTCGTCACGTCCATATTGGCCTCGCCACCGAATCCATTTTTTGCAGCATGCGCTCTAGGGTTGCCGCCACTGCTAAAGGCCCTCCCGCTGCCGGAAGCCGACATGTCACAGTTACGCAACATCAACGATGAATTGGGAGCATTTCTGGCAGTGGAAAGCGAATCGACCGAGTGTCTTGAAGTGTTGCTCGCAAAGAAGGTGGAACTAAAGAAGATGAGGCAGTCAGGAAACACGATCCTGCATTGGGCTGCTATAAAATCATGGAGTAAAACGCTCAAATGGTTGCTAGACCGAGATATTGCCCAGGACGCATCGATTATTGACGATAATGCTGCAACGATTCTTCACTTAGCGGCGGGTTCAGCGAAAGGGCCTTTGACGAAAGTGGAAATCCTGTCAGATTTTGGGTTCGAGAAACTTGGACTGGAAGCAAATAGACCAGATAAGGACCAGAAGACGGCGCTTCACTATGCGCTAGATGGTCCCAGGGTGTCGACCAAGCTCATCCAGAAGCTGAGAACATTGAGTATTGATTTCAAGGCCAAGGACAAAATGGGAGCGACTCCGCTCCATTATTCGGTGCGCAATCGAAAGGCGTCCGAAGAAGTGATCAAAGAACTCGTCAGCTACAAGATGATCGACGTCAACGCAGTGGACCACAAGAAGAAAACGGCATTGGCCTATCTGGTTGAGAAGGGTACAAGGGTCCGGATCAATAATCTTGTTCCTATTTTGCTGAAAGAAGAAGGGATCCGTGTCAAACCGCGTAATGGGGAGGAATCAGTCCTGCATCTTGCCATCAACAACTCCGTTCTCTCCGAGAAAACGTTCCAGCTGTTACTCTCTCACGAAGGCTGTAAAGACTGTGTTGACAAGGACAAGAGAAATCTTCTCCATTGCGCTCTTCTTGCCTACAGAGACTCGGCAAGCACGAAACTTTCCAGGTCACGCTTGGAAAAAATCATTGACAAGCTTCTTGAGGACAAGGACATTGATGTCACCTCGGTCGACAAGAAACGAGCAACAGCACTTCACTACCTCGCGCGAATCCCCACTCAACCCGCTGGCTTAATGAAGACCATGCTCTCTAAGATCACGGACGTTGACGCATCCAACGAAACTGGCGAAACAGCCCTGCATATCCTTGTCAGGTACAACGAATACGCCGACAAGGCCAACGAAAAGGCGGTGCAGCTGTTGATCGAGAGAGCAAAAGCTTTTGATATGGCAGACAAGGGCGGGGAAACAATATTGCAACGGGCAATTCGCAACTGGAAGACGCCGCCGCATGTGATCACGACTCTCATCCAAAAACAATCTACAATTGATGCTCTGGATAAAACAGGATGTAATGCGCTGCACTACGCCGCAAGACTTAGAGGGGACCTTATTAGCCGGGCCTTGCTGAAAGAAGGAGCGAACGCTTCCATACTGGATAGCGACGGCGCTTCGGCCCTGCACTATGCCTCGGCGAGTTCTCGCGCCGTGAGTGCGAGGACAGTCAAATTCTTGATAAAGTCCCACGGACTAGGAGTCGATGCGGCCGACAAGGCCGGGAAAGCACCAGTACATTACGCGGCGCGATCAGGGACACTAGATGGGCTTCAGGCACTGGAGAAACAGGGAGCTAAATTCGACATAAAGGACAAGGATGGCAATACTGTTCTTCATCATGCGGTGCGCAACGTTCGAAGAGCGCCAGAAATCCTGCTCTATCTTCTTGAACGAAAGAGCGTGGATATCAACACGAGGAACAGGCTTGGTGAAACGCCATTTCTTTGCGCTGTTCGAAGAGGGTCTGTTGAAGCCGTCAAGACTCTTGTCAAGAAAAAAGCAAAGACTTCCACCAAGACCAAAAAGGGCGAAACAGCGTTGCATTATGTTTTCAGGCGGTCCGATACATCCAAAGAATTGGTCGAGCTCGTGCTTGAGCAAGATATCAACCTCGTAATGGAAGATGAGACCGGCGAAACAGCACTACAGATCGCTCTGAAAGCTAGAGAGGCCTCTTTCGATTCCATGATGGCCTTCCTGGAGAAGCTTGGCTCAGATGAAAACACGAAGAAGAAAATTGCTGCTACGATTGACACTAAAGGGACGGACGGCATGACCGCCTTGCAGTTTGCGGCTAAACACCGCAAGGCCGATGTGGTTAAAATCCTTTTGAAGTATGGCGCCGACGTCACTCTCACGGATAAGTCGGGGATGACAGCAGCATGTTTGGCTGCGGCGAGGGGCCATGAAGCCGTCGTGAAGTCACTACTGGAAGGGGACCGGAAGAAGACACAGTGGAAGGAGAAAGACGGATTCTCGCCTCTTCATATCGCTGCAAGGGACGGCAACGTTGACCTGGTCAACGCCATCGTCGGTCTTATCGCAATCGATTTGAAAGACTCTCAGCAACGAACGCCACTTCGAAGAGCGGTAGGACGTGGCCACGAGGCAGTCGTGAAGACTCTCCTGCGGAAAGGAGCAGATTGCAATGCAAAGGACAATGAAGGCAAAACACCTCTTCACAGGGCCGCCGAACAAGGATATCCTGGGATCGCGAGGCTCCTCCTGGCGCATGGCGCGGCGATTGGACAGAAGGATAACGAGGGTAAAACGCCGCTACAACGGGCTGTTCAAAGGAGTCATGAAACAGTCATCAGCACGCTTCTTGAACATGATGCCGATGCCGAAGAGTTGGCTACATTTAAGGACGAACAGGAAAAGAAGGGATCGAAGCTGTCTAACGCAGGAGCTCGGGATGTGTACACTAGGCACCTACTTCAACGAGACGCGAAGGTATGAACACTTTCTGATAGACTGAGCCATCGATGCCTCAATGGGAATTCCCCCTACTGGAGAGGCGAAAAATTAGTACTACCGGAGGGCCCGGCCTGTGCTTGAAATTTGATTTCCTCGCCCTCCATCAGAATTCGGAAGACACGCTTTCGTCTTAGTTTCTTGCAAGGACACAGGGCTAGGGATTTGCTGATCAATCTTTGGTAAGCTTCGTCCGTTAGAACACAGTCAAAAAGCAGACAAGTCACAAATGCTTGTGGGCGTTTTGGAAACCAGACGGACAGACTTGAGCTCCCGGTTTGCTAGAGTGGGACGACGTTTATCATCGACTCTTCACAGATGCCAAATAGTTCTGGTTTCTAGATGCACTAACAGCTCCTGGTGCTTTCTACCATCCCTTCGTTGGCCTTTGGACTTGAGGAAGAGTGGAGGTTAAAAGCGGCGAATGTCAGATGAGCGCCAAGGAGAGGTACGTACTACCCCGTCCATTGACTTTTTTCTTGAGGCTGAGTTGAAGCCTTGTGAAACACCTAAAAGCCAACTACTATTCTCGGCCGATACATATGAATGTGTTGAGGCCTGTCCCATTGATTCCGAGAGGAGGCCGACATTTCAAACGGTCGCTCCTTTTACACCTTGATTCTATGCCGGCAAGACCATCATCTGGAAACGTCCAGTCGAACGCTGAGAATTCAGAAACTCAACCGCCTTCCCCCCTCCATTGAATCGACAAAGATATAAACAAACTGCTTTTGCACCATGCAGTCCGGAATCTCAGGTGAACAACTTCTCCCATTTTATATCTCCCATTCAAACATCCCGGAAACCATACAGGACAATCCGAACTAACACCACACAGCGTCCGCGGACCTCCACGGTGCCTTCACCAACTTCACGTCGGACAGCACTCTTTTCTGCCTCCCTGTCACCATCACTTCCGAATCTCTAACTTCCTTACCCTCGATCCCCTTTCCCTCGACCTCGTCCACCTTCTCCTCCTCCCTATGCTCCCTCGACAGCCTCCTCAACCCCACCACACCACTATACCTTTTGCTTCGTAAAACCCCCTTGCAACCCGAGCTGGTGGCGATCACATACATCCCGTCACGGGCACCTGTTCGGCAAAAGACGCTGTTTGCATCGACACGCGCGACACTCGTCCGTGAACTGGGCAGCGAGAAGTTCGCGGAGGCCATCTTCCTCACGGAGCGCGAGGAGATCCTCGACCCAGGGCAATGGGATGAGCGTGCGGGCACGGGCTCAACGTCGGCCTCTGCAGCGCAGGCTTCCGAAGGCGTTGATATAGGGCTGTTGAGCACCCAAGAGCGCGAACTCCGAGCCGTCAAGCGCGCGGAGGAAGAGGAGCGCCATGGAACCCGCGGTCGAGATCTTATGAACGAAGGTGGTAGTGGTGCGAGTTGGATCGGAACTCGGGACGGTGACAGTGCCGCTACCCGCAGCGGGGTCACGATGAGAATCACCGACGAGGCGAAATCCGCTATGGCTGAGCTGACGACTGCATCTGTTGCTGGAGGTCTGATGGTGCAGTTCGGTATCGACATTCCCACTGAGTCGCTCACGCTGATCAACTCGAAGCCTGACGTCGCGCCGGACACCGTGGCCGGTCTCATCCCAGCAGATCGCCCGAGTTATACGTTCTACACAGTCCCAAACTCCAGCGGTGGTGGTGGCGCCGGGTCGATTTTCATCTACGTGTGTCCGGGGACGAGCAAAATTAAGGAACGCATGATGTACGCCAGTTCGCGCCAAGGGGTGTTGCATACTTTCGAGGGCGAGGGGGGCAAGGTCCTCCGCAAACTTGAGGCGGGAGATCCAGAGGAGCTAGGAGCCGGGAGGCTAGAGGAGGAAGTCAAGACTGTGTCTAGTGCCGGTGCTGCCGGTTTAGGGGTAGGAAGTGATGGAAATGGTGACGATTCGGCGCCTGGGCCTGACACCGCAACACCGAGGAGCGGGTTTGCTAGGCCGAAGAGGCCGGGAAAGCGGTAGGTTGTGGTAGAAATGAGATGGGAGGTCGTGGATACGATCAAGGATTGATTTTCAACTCTGCGTGGGGATCCCGGGAGTACGAGCCATTCAAGTCGATATTGGCATGAGCATCGGCAGTGATAAACTGAAACGGAAAACTAACAGAACGAGTCGACAAAGGCAATCAGGAAAGCAAACATTCCTCATTTCCCATTCCGGCGACTGCCTGTTTACTCCTTCCAGAGGACCATAAACGGTGACGCTTGTGAAATCACCGTTCCTTGATTTTCCTGCGCCATCAAATATAGCACGATCAATTGTGGTGATTCCTTTCCGACCTCAAACCTCCATTGGGACGTACCCAAGTCGTACCGGTGTGCTCCCGCATGCCCAGCTCCGTATCTGGCGATATTTGGCGATATCTGGCCACAGCGCCGCAATGACGAGTTCGCTCACACAACCTTTTCTCCTCTAAACATCCTGGAGCAATTGAATAGACGAAACTGGTTTATCCAGTCCACCGCCTCGAGCGTCGAGGCTGACCTGTCCGCCGTGTGTCAAAGCTGAGGAGTTCTCATTCATGTCCAACGGCTAGTCGTACCGACGACCCCAGAGTTGGTTGTTCTTTGGTAGCTGGTGGCATCCGAGGAATGCAGAATTCGTAATGTTCCAATGGTCCCGCCAATGCGAGCTTCGATTGTAGGAGATATCAATCTCGTTCAAAAAGAAGGAACTAGCATAGGGCGGACTATGCTATCCACAGTGCATGGACATACTTCAATATTGATTCCTGAAATTCTTTTTTTGGTAAAACAAATCGGTCCGAGAACTTCCCAAATTGATAATCTTGGGACATCCATCTCTGTCCTTTTCCAATCTTGTACATTCGAAGCAGTAGAAAGCGTCGCTGATACCCTCGCCACCGCAGACGATGCACTTGTTCTGATAATTTCCAAACGAGCACTCGTCGCAGATTCGAACTAGAGTGGTAGGGCGAACGTAGGAGTCGCATACTGGGCATTTGCCATCGCATTTGTCGCAGAGGCGGCCGAGGGAGATGCCGGGTGCTTTGCGGCACATTACAAGATCGGGATGATGGCGGGACATCGTGAAGTGATGGAGTGTTGGTATTCGAGCGGAGTGGGTTTGGTAGATGAAATTCTCGATGACGAGTTCGATGACAGAAATTCTATGTCCCAAAAAGAGGTTTATCGAAGTTGAAGTGGAAGAGGAAGCGGAAGAGGAATTTATCGTCAGTGGGACAGAAGGAAATGGAACATGAAGAAAGACGTAGCCTTGCGGGAAATTGTAAGCCTTGCATCGGCGGGCGTCTCTCCGCACCAAAAGGTCGCCACCACCAGCACCTGGGCTCCCAACTCCTGGGCTCTGCGGAGCTTTTTGCTCAATCCCGATTCGAAGATTTGCCTGGGGAAAAATAACTGGTTGTCAACAGCATCCCATCTTTTGTCCACATTTATGCCTTCGAGGTCATCCTTTTCATCCTCACCCCCTAATATTCAAGTCCTAGACCACTCGGGCCATCATGATCTCCTCAGCTGTAGCCATTCCTGAAGAACCCCAGTCGCAGCCCGACGTTGCAAGCCAAAGCACATCTCGCAAACGACGCCAATCATCTGCCTCAGGATCATCCGAATCAAACAAAAGACTTCATCTGGATAAGCAATCATCAAACACATCAAATCATGGAACACAGTCCCCTTCGGCTGCAGTACCATCGGAATCATTCCCAACCACCATGAATGGAGGGCAGGCCGCGTCTCCTCTACGCCAATCGGACGTACGCCGTCGGCAAACATCGTCGAATCTTGAACAAGACAAATCCCGTAATCGCCGTCTCTTCGGCGCCCTGTTAGGCACCCTCTCACAGTCTTCACGCCCGTCAAAATCATCCGCCGGAAACAGTTCGCGTCGGGAGGAAATTGAAAGCCGCCAACGTGAGCGGCTGAAGCGTGAGAATGAGGAGTTGGCAGAGCATGCTCGGAGAAAGAAAGAACAGCTTGATCGTGTCCGACGGGCGGAGCAAAGGAGATGGGACAGAGAGGGGATGAGGATTCGGCACAGCAACTTGCGGGCTGCTGCTGGATTTTTACGGACCAAAGCAGAACCCCAACTGGTAAGTACACTAGCTGCTTGCTTGTTATCTATGGGGAGATACACATGGGCAAACATTAGGAGGGGAGTGATAGGAACGGAAGTTGCGGAAGAAAAAGCCCAAACTTGTATGACCCCCCCCAAAAAGGAAAATATCTAACTTTTGTCCTACAGTACTATAAACCGTGGGAACTCCGCGATTTCGAGGAAGACACTATCAAACGCCAAATCGATGAAGCCGACGAAACAATACAGCGTGAACGGGACGAATTCGATCGGCGCCAAACATCCGAAAATAATGAGCCGGCAGACCATAGGAGCACCCATGGCGACGAAAATGGTTCCAGGAGTTTGGACGTAGGCGACGGTCGGCAACCAAAAGTCAACGATGATGGAGGTCGAAGCAGAGATGACCTGAAAGATGACGAGGCGAGGATGGACGATTCGTCCGACCGGAGGGACCGTGACCATGTCGCAATTTCAGAGTCGTCCAGCACAGCTCCACGAGAGGGACGTGTGAAGGAGATTGACGTGGAGAGACCCATGAGCAAAGACGACGACCATGGAGGAGAAGAGTTGGAGCTGGGCCAGGAGGATGATGTGATATACTGAACTCGCATCCATTCCTTGACGCTCAGGCTGTTGATATCTGGGTACGAATTGTCAGATCGGGTTTAGCTTGGAAATCCCCCCACGTGATGCCAAGACATGATCGCTGACATAATCGGAGCACGTGAGGCGCGTTCCTGAAGAAGCATCCCGCGATCCACCGATCTCTTGTTCCATTTCTGTCGTCAATTTTTTCCCTCTCTCTTCTCCCATCTCACAGGAGCGGTAGCATGCCGAGCGATCTCCTTGCCCACAAAGTGTCTCCTTTCATTCCCACGAATGCCCAGGGGCGTATTAAACTACTCGTTTCTTCTACGTCCATCATCTTGAATCATTATCTTTTTCGATACGGCACCCATGCCCCCTCCAGGCCTTGTGCTTTAATCACTGCCTATGGCAAAAGCCTGTGATTTGACACGCCTCAATACGGACGACATTATCGCCATATCGGGTCAACATGGATGCCGAGATGAGCTCAATGGCCCGTGCACAAGACACGAAGTCTGACATTTCAGCTATAAACATCCTGACCTTAAACTGCTGGGGACTGAAATATCTCTCCAAGTATCGAACCGAACGACTATCCGAAATAGGCAATCGCATTGCAACTTACTCCCCCCAACTCGATGTCGTCGGCTTGCAGGAATGTTGGACATTTGCAGACTATCAAGCCATTCGAAAGAGGACCGGGTCCATCCTTCCATATGGCAAGTTTTACCACTCTGGAGTTTTGGGTGGAGGCCTGGCCATTCTAAGTCGCTGGCCCATCATTGAGTCGACGATGTTCAGATATCCGCTCAACGGTCGACCGACAGCATTTTTCAGAGGGGACTGGTATGTCGGAAAAGGCGTGGCATGTGCTCGGATCTCATCACCGGACGGCCTCAGCGTGGAGGTCTTCAATACCCATTTACACGCGCCCTATGAAAAAGAGCCCCACGACAGCTATATCTGCCATCGCACGGCTCAAGCATGGGAGATTGCCAAACTCATGCGTGCCGCATCCGAGAGGGGCAGTCTGGTCATTGGCCTGGGAGATTTCAACATGGTGCCTCTGAGCTTTGCACATATTCTCATTGAAAGCCGAGCTGACGTCAAAGATGTGTGGAGGGTGGTAAAACCGGGCAGCAGCATTGGGGCAAGTGTCGATCCGCCGGAGAAGGAACGGAGAAAACGAATGAACGAGGAAACCACACCAGACGTCAATAGCAGTCTTCAGGATCACGGTCACACCTGTGATTCCATTCTGAACACCTGGCGTTGGAATAAGGCCCATCGGAAACTTTTGGAAAAAGGTCAAGACCGAAATATTGCAGGCCATGATCCCGATCCCAAAGCGAAGCGATTGGATTATATCTTCTTCAATGGGGTTGGGAAAGGGTGGAAAGTGGCCGATGTGAAGGTCTCACTCACCGAAAGGCATCCCACATTGTCGTGCTCGCTCAGTGACCATTTTGCCGTGCAAACAACCGTGGAAAGGAGCCCAACTCAGCCGCCAACACCGGCAAAGATTGAAATTCATGCACCACTGAACAATCCGGCTGCCGAAGACCCGGCGCTTGAAGTGGCCGACTTTGACGACCAGGATTTTGACGAAGCAGTCTCCCAATCGCCCACGCAACTACACGTGGGCCAGGATTTCTATGTCGATATACTCGCCATGATCCACAAATACACCCGACGAGAACGGAAACAGAGGCGGTATCGCGTCTTACATTTTGTCGGCTCGGCTCTCATCTCCCTCGGTTGTTTTATTGCGACCTGGTGGTCTCCTCGGAATTATATTTCTTTCATTTTGGTCCTGCTGAGTAGTTTGGGTCTCATGGCGGGAACTGTAGATGGTTTAATTGGTGGCCTTTTCGTTGGATGGGAGTTGAGAGCGCTGGCCGAGTTTGAGTGGGAAGTTCGAAACGCTCTGCAACTTGCAGGAGGTCCAATCCAGCAAGATCAATCATTGAGAGACTGGTATGACTGAAGAGGATATAAGTCGTCCATTGCGACGGATCCAAAACATATTGTTGGTTGTTGGCGCCATTGAGTTCAAAATCCGACACAGACCTTGACTTGCTGTGACAAGCGCCCAAACGACGATAGCGCTTAGAACAAATCGCAGGATTGACAGCATGCCGGCCTATTGAATGAATTGATTCTAAGGAGGTGAAGCTTCAAGCCTGTGAATGAGAAGGATCCGAAACTCGGAAAGGAGAACAAGCGGTGTTTTGGGGAGGGGGGTTAAACTGGCCAACAAAAGGGAGGAGGTGTTATTGCTGTCTCAATCTTTGGCGATCGCCCATTGCAGCTGGACTCGCCTCGCACCTCGAAAACAGGCTCCAAAACAGCAGACACTCCCACCCTCCATCGCGCTCGACCTTTTCTCCCACCATTTCGACATATCACCTTCTCTGCTTCCAATTTTCATTGCTACACGGTCGCCTCGCCATCATTGACTCGTGACTGGGTTTTGAAGGAGTCGCGACTCTTCAATCACAAGGTACGTAATGATATTTCCCCCCATCGTATCGCCATTTCATTGCCAGGCTACTCCAGCCTTGGTTGCCTCCTGCCCAACTCCCACAACATCTTTGCGTGACTTGGACGATTCATCTGTTGTCGCAAGTACATAAACTCTTCTTGTCCCCTGTTACATAAAAATTGGACGATTTACCGTCTTGTTGGACTCACATTTCATCACCGCCCTTCCCCCACCTTTTCCACGTCAACGACAGTTCACCCAACCAAAACGCTGACGCATCGCTTATCCAGCCCTCGCACGCATTTTCCAACTCTCTAAACCAAACAGCCAAACCGCCAACAACCTACACCACAATGGCCCAAACCCGTGGCGCAACCGGCAACTCCAAGCCTCGAATCTTCTCCACCATCTCCACCGAGCCAGTCCGCAAACGCAAGACTGCCACCGGAACCAAGAAGCGCACAACCAAACCAAAGAGCACCGGTGGCGCCGTCAAGAAGCACGCGCCAGCCGCAGATCACAAGAGAAAGCCTACTCTCAAAGACAAAGTCGAAGGCGCAGTTGAGAAGGTGGTCGGTGCAATCGAACACAAACCAGGCAAGAAAGCGGCGGGCACAAAGAAAATGAAGGGTGCCGATGACAAAAGCACCAAGACACCAAAGGTCAAGAAGGTCTAAACCGGCGCTCTTGTCTCGTGGTGCGAGGCGCGTGATGTTATTGATACCGTGCTTTGAGCTCACGCAAATAGAGAGCTGAAACTCCACTCGATTGTGCTGAACTCGCATGAAACGGTCAAATTCGCCGGCATATGTTGGACATGAATGGGTCAAGACAGGGATGGCGGGTAAGGCAAAGGGTCGGATTCGCTGTTTGTGTCGTAAAGTCCTTTGATTTCTCTGGTGGATGTGGGCTGTCAGGTACGTTTGCACACGCATATGAATACCTAGGAAAGCTCGCTGTTTTGCAACGAAATGCCTCGACCTCCCCGCGTCCAATTTCTATCTACAGCTTGCTCGCCATCCAAGACTTTTTCCTTTTCTGATTTCTTCCCCTGCGATGAGTTACCGACGCTCAGAAGAGCGACAATGAGGTTGAGATCCAAGAAAGTCTCTGCGCTTGTTCTCATATTTGCTAGGTTTGCCCATCTTCTCCTCGCGTATCGGCTATTCTTCTCACATTTCTCTTTCGTTTCCTGCCACCCATTCGTCCATACTTTAGCATCTCATTCCCCTCTTGCCAGTGATATCCTTTCTAGACACCCAGATTCAGTCCCACTCTACTTCCGCATAATGCTCTTGGGGAGAGCAGCACGTGGGAAGGGGGACTGAATAAAAGAATTCAAGCAACGCAAAAATGGACGTGGTATTTTCAAGGCTGGCGGGACGCTTCAGTTCTGGAAGTGTATCATTTGCTTGTTATTTCTTGCCTATCTACTGTATCACTCTCTTATTTATAATCAGAGATGATAATACCCAATCCCTTCCCTTTCCCGCCGCGGTTCTTCATTATCGACCCGCTAAATCCCATTCCTGATTCCCTCCACTCAGCCAGGTCAATTTCGAGGCAGTGGACTTGGTACTTGTCCCCTTGCCAATGCACGCGTAATACGCCTCTTTTCTGATTTCCTTTCCATGCTATGTTTTTCGTATAGTGTGCTTATCATCATTCGTACTCCGAGTGGTCAACCCCCATGTCCATTCTATTCCACCGTCATGCATGATTTTGTTGTCGGTAATATTCAAGCAAGCGAATCACTCTATTCTTTTCCAGCTGGGATCTCAAGGGTCAGTCATCTAGACTATCTCGTCTATCACGCCTATATCCGCCGGCCTTTCCCTGACCATTCAAACCTGGGATAGGGTGATGGTAGCTCTTGGTATTTTGACTCTGAACATCGAAGTCCACAGGCTCGGTGAATGATCCAGGTACACTTCGAATGGGACGTTGAGGACCGGGGTTCTTGCTGGGCGAGTGATATCTTGCTGGACGAGGAGCAAGCGATGGTGCAGCAGCCGGTGGAGGCGTCGAAACACCGAAAGTTTCTTCCTGGCCGAATGAGAAGTCACGGCGGCTTTGGCGTTTGTCTGGACTCGACTGTCGAGATGATTGTCGATTGGTGCCGTATGCATAACTTTGTCGATTGCTATTGCTGTTCGTGTCACTGCCGCCACGGTCGGTTTCGGTGTAGTCGGTGCCATAGAACTGAGCGTCCGAGTCCTTGTTGAGACCACCGACGCGTGCGGGCTTCTCATGTCGATATGCACGGACGTCACTATCATGGCCTCCTTCCCATTTGGCGTCGTTGACTTCTCGAATCTTTTTCTCTTTGGCCGTTTCCTTCTTGGCTTTATTCTTCTTAGATCGCTTTTTCCTGAGAACGGGTGCCTCAGACGAGAGATCCGTCATGGTCTCCGTCATGGTCCCATCGGCCGCAGTAGCAGCATCTTTGTCCGAATAGCCCTCACCAACGACACTGCCACCACCGAGGATTGTGCTCTTGGTTGCATTGCTTAGGGTCGTTCCGTTCGGACCTTTTCGTCTCAAAACCGTGGACTTATACTCTTCCCAGTCACCCTTACGCCATTGAAAGCCACCGTTCTTGGCCCAGAAGAAGAACCAAATCGCACCGAGGACGAAAGATGCCCCAATTATGGCAAATAAGGCTTGAATACCTTTCATGTTGATGTCGTTGGGGTCAATGGAGCCTGCACCTGGATTCGGGTCCCGGCTGTGAGTAGGATTTGAATCTCTGGCGGTGAGGACATTGAAGGTGTCCATTGGAGAGAGGATTGGCGTCGCATCATCATTCCGTGGTATAAGAGGGTTGTCGATGGGGTTGGAGTGTACATCTCGTTTGACAAAAGAGCGGTCGGATAATTCGTCGGGCGTGGAGGAACGGGAATCGAGTTCGAGGGAGGAGAATTTGAGGTCAGGAATATCGAGGTAGGGAGCAACTGGAGCCATGGTGGCCAGGAGGAGGAGCACGGCTCCTCACGCTCGGAGCTCTGGTCAGTGATGATGGATTGTGCCGTGGACAGTAAGAGGGTATCGTGCTAAAGGCTTGAGGTGAGGGTAGAATCTGGCCGGTGCGTTGAAACGGCCCTAATTGACCTCGCGATGTTTTGAAGAGTTTTTGATGATTATCAGAGATTGAAGTTCTGAAGAGGAGAAGACTCACATTGTGAACATGAAAACCAGCGCAGGAGCGAAGTGTGGTTAATGAGGGCGTGAATTCACCGGTGGCTGGCACTGGTGGCTGGTCGATTTCTGAGTGAAAAAAGTGACGCAAGTCAACTTTTTGTTTACGCTCCCAAATTAGGAAAAGCGTTTCGGCTTTGTTGCCCCAGGGTACAAGATGCCTCGGTCTGACACGGGCCATACCTCAAGATAATATAGTAACCTGGTCGTCAGACGTCATCATTTCTCTCCGTGCAGCCTCGTCACGAATCACAGCGGTCTCAAACAGGCTCCCCATCTCCATCAATCTGCAAGTACCTCTGCATTTTGAATAATCTGCTATGATCTACCCTTAGGTCCATCTGCTCCTACCTTGGCACTTTGGCTATTTTTGCAATGACTACCCCAAAAACTCTTCCAGCCATATCTCCGCCAATCTTACCGCCCGATGCGACACAAATCTCATATCGCTTGTCATCAGCGTCGGCAGTTCTCCTTCACCTGCTTTCCCAAAGCTGACATTCCTTGCCTCTGGACCTCAAGTCAGACCTTCAGCAGATAAGACCCATACGAAAGCCTCCGAAGCTCTTTTGCACGGCGTCTCTCGGCCACCGACCAAGAACCCCTCATTCATATCAGAGAGCATTGAGGAGTCGCCTCGCGCAGAGCAGGTTCCAACACCAGTATGAACGGTGTAGTGGCGTTGGCGTGCAGGTTGTTGAAAAATGGTGCTTCCTTCTCCAACGTGAGGTACAAAGCCGAGCTCCTGTGCTTTTCACCCGAGACCAATTGGACGACTCCCAAGGCTGGGACCGTGGCCGTATATGCCAGACGGGGAATACAATGTAAGTGCCGATTTTATCATCTTTGCCGGCTTCAAACACTCTGTCCGATTTCTGTCGGCCAAGGAACTCTGCAGAGCGGCAAAGAACATGCAGGAAACATATGCAGTATTTGGACCACCATTGCATTGTCCTATTTTCTGGCCAGCTTTTCCATCGGTCTCCAGTGAGCTTCAGGGACCAGGTGAGTCCTCTTTTTTGCCTCTATTCGACAACACGAAAATTTACTCACAGCCAACCAGACACCGACGACATCAAAACCACAATATCGATGGCATATTTGTTGTCGTGCAACTGAGACTGTTTGACTGGTTCCCAGTGAGGGTGCCTTTTGAAGCCAATGCCTTGCAAGTTAACTGTGAACATCGATACCATGACACTCAAAAAGAAGAGATGACACAAGGATTGACAGGCAGCTGTTTATAACATGACGAACGACTCATGAGTACTGATCGTGCAGACCGTGAATGAAAAATATATTCATGGGAAGGCCATTTCTGTATCTCCCAACCTTTCTTTTCACCTCATGCCTCATTTCTCGCGCATTCGCGCATCTTCCCCTTTCATTTCTTGTGTCCTCTTGTTCTTATATTTAATCCACAGTACATATCAACTTGCCCATAGTCTGATTCGATTCCAGCAACTTGTGCGCCTCCTGGATGTCGTCCATCTTAAAGACCCTCTCGACAATGACCTTGAAAGACCCATCAATGAACCTCGGCAACGCATGTTCAACGAGCATATCCCTCAATCGTCCCTGATACGTCTCGTCGCGACTGCGCAGACTACTACCCTCAAACCGGAGCCTCTTTCTCAGGAACCTGCTGATGTCGACGTCGCCCTTAACGACACCTCCGCCCAGCGCGCCCAAGCTGACGATATGCGCATCCCGCGCTGCAGCGTCAAGGTTCTGATTGAAATAACTGGCGCCGACGAAGTCGATGATCAAATCCACGCCTTTGCCGTGCGTGTATTTGAGGAGAGCCTGCGCCCAGTCACCTTCCTTGTAGCTGAAGCCCTCAGTTGCGCCGATAGATTTGCAGAAGTCGATCTTATCACGCGAACTGGCCGTTACGTAAATGGCGGATGCGCTGTCAGCCTTGGACAGCTGTATGCCAGCGATACTCACGCTAGAGGCACCCGCGTGCCACAGGACGCTCATGCCAGGCTTGAACTCGCCGACCAAATACAATGCTTGCGTGGCAGTGATCCACGTCTCCGGGATGCCCGCAGCTTCCTCCCAGCTCAGTTCCTTCGGCTTGCGCACCAGCATGTGCGTGCTGACGGCGATGTACTCGGCATATGCGCCTCCGTAGGCGAGTCCAAAGACTTCGTCCCCGACCTGGAACCCACGCTCGGGCTGGTTGCCGAAGGACTCGATGGTGCCGGAGAACTCGACACCCATTGTTTTGGGAGCCTGTGGTGGTAGTGGATATTGACCTTCTCGCTGCAGGAGGTCCATGCGATTGAGGCCAAAGGCTTTCACTTTGATCAGGGCCTGGCCTCCAGCGGGAACTGGCTTGGGGGTTTCGGCATTGATGAACATGGCGGAAATGGGGCCTTTGCCTCCGTGGATATCGACGGCGCGCATAGGAGCCATGGTTCCTGTCTGGTTTGGAGTGGTTCTTCCAAGGAATAAAGGACTTGTTATGCCTTCTTATAGCCGCCGTCGAGAAGGTAGGTATCGTACTTTGGATGGCTCAACTGATATATACGGATAGTATCCGAGACCTGTGCCGTCGTTGGCGGTCGTTTGCCGGACGTTAAGCCGCTGGGGATGCGTGATTTCTAATGGTCTTTTTGGGTTCATGCGCCGCCCGGAAGAGGGTATTCGCCGGTCTACGTGAACGACGATATTGTATGAGATGTTCAGAAGAAAACAACAACGGCACTAAATCGATTTGAGCAATGAGTGTGAGTTCAGCAGAAGACAATGTCCCATGGTGTGGAGAATGTTACAAGCCTCGACCGGATTCCCCTTTCGGCAATAGTCGCAGTGACGCCATGCAGCAAGGGATTCTCCACAGACCAATACTCATAGCATGACTACCATCATACGCGACCTGACGAAGAGATCTTCTCTTGCGAGGTTACAATATCACGTCCATTGGCCCGCCAACTGCACTGGACAGCCTTCATCCAGCAGCGGTATTCCGTCTCATTATTGATTGCAAACACCGATCTTGAACGCCGCATTTCTCATTTCCTTCAATCAATGTTGTATTGTTTGATCAAATCGATCAACTTCTGAGATTCGGCGACGTAGTTCAGTGGTCCCACCGAGGTGACCTGGTATCGAACCCTAGTGATGTTGTCAGTCGACGACACCCATGCGTGGCTGACGGGATCTTACCGTTGTTGTTCCTGGAAATTATCCAGTTTGGCCCTACACCTCCAATTCCAGATTTTGCAGTTTGCCTCCGACAAAATATCGGCCAACCTCTTCTCGTCCACCTCTTTGATCTCCATCAACTCGTCTGCCGACATCCCGATGATCGTTCTTCCGGTCTCGTCAAAACAGCTCACCCAAAGTTGGCCAGTGTGATCACCAATGTTGACCGACATAATGTACCGATATTCAGGTTTGGGATGATTCTTGTCACATCGTTCGCAACGCCATTGACCGGGATCAATTTCGACAACCTTCTTGTTGCAACCTTCTGACAAACACGAAGGATAGCAGAAATTGTCTTGTTTGATGTATTGGATGGAGGCTTTGACAGAGAAGTAGTCGGGATTGTCAGACATGCCGAGCTGCTCCTCCTTGACTTGCGAAATGGTCTTGAACGGATCGGGTCGAGAACCACCAGCGCCAGTGACCGTGCCTTGGACATTGGCGTGTGTGGCAAAGTTGCCTGATCGCCCTTGTTCATCGTACCAGCCTTTCAACTTGTGCGCTTCAGGCATGTCGGGGTTGGCGGCGACTGAACCAGAACTGAGCAGACTCAAACTGCGTCCACCAAAATCAGAAACTTTCACGCCTTTGAAAGCCACGACGGACCCCGGCGGGACGTCAAAAGACGCCGCCGTCTTTCCCCAGACTGTCAATCGGACCGAATATCCTGTGTTGTCGACCAGAGTGAGCTCTCTCTTGTCATAGGGCTTGCTGGTGGTTTTGGAAGTAATCTGTGATGTCTCTCCAATATCTTTGAGGACCCCAATGACGTCGATGGTGGTGTCTTTCGCCACAGACGGCAGGTCGGCAATGGCCGTGAAACTGTATCGAACCTGCGGGACGCCATCTTGTTCTTCGGCCTTCTCAACCATGGTGTCTCTCTCAAAGTGTAACTCGTAATCGTTTGCCAAGTTGGAGAATTGTTTCTTTGCAAAGGTGACTCGGCACGGACTCGAGATGTAATAAACGCTGCCTTCTTGGAACAGACCGTAGAGCTGATCACACTGATCATTGAAACCGGTCGCACGAATTTCACCACTCTCGTCGAGGAGATTCACACTGAACAACTTGCCCTCCCCATTTCGATTATTCCATGTCTTGATGTCCGACTTGCTGGTGCATCGTGCCTTGATTGTCCACTTATTTGAATACGGAGAAATTGCTTCGATCGGATAGATATTTGCATGCGCGGTCGCGGCGGACGAAGGTTTGGCATGTGTCGGCATCGGCCGGCTTTGTTTGGGTTGCTCTTGCTTGTTTCCATAGAAGCCGTTGCTCGTGATGGCGGTCGGGAAGGGTTTCTCGTCTTCGACTTTCAATTCCAGAGGTTTAGGATCGCCAAGTTTCTCATGTTCGCCAAATTCTTCGAGGACTTTGATCTCGGTGACAATAAGAATTCTGGACATGAAAGTCAAACACAAGTCGACCGCCGGAATCAGGACTCTTACCGCTTTGCCTTGACCTTGTTGGCAGAATAGCCGACCAGTTGGACGAGAACTCCCCTTCGCAAGATTTTCTCCTCTACAAGATGATTTTGATGCACTGCCAACATTGTCTGAATATAATTTTTCGTGTCATTGAAGATGACTCTGTGACGTTCCTGGCCTCCTGGTTGAGGGGCGATAGGCTTGATTTGGACGCATTGCATGACGGGGTTCTGAACACGTCCCGGGCGATCATCGAAGATGTCTGACAGGGAACCTGCGTCAATGCGCGCGAGCGCCGCAGCTGGGTTGTTCGACATGATTCAAAAGATATTAGGACCGATATCGCTGCTGGTTGACGGTGGAGGAAGTTGAAGTCCAAGTTGGGATGGACGATTTGCCGCAGGACAAAAGAGTGGTGAATGAGGGGGACACAAACTTAGGCAGCATACGCGTAAAGTGAAGTTTAGCGTGACCTAGCGTGTAAAACTGGGAGGGGGCCCGTCACTCGAAGGCTGGCGGGTGGCTCTGGACAAGGCTGAGACCTGGACCTGGGCAGGGTGTTCACTTCATTCCTCCTGCGATGCTATTGACCTCTATTAGTTAGAATTGTTATCCGCATTCAGTTGCGCCTTCCAGAACTATATCAGATCATCCGTCCTTCTATAATTATCCTGTCGCCCTTCAGACTCTTCCACTCTCTTCCCTCATCCATACATACAACCATGTCCGAACCAGAAGTAGCAACCAAGGCCCCCGAATCCGATGCCATGGAAACATCGGCAATCTCAACCCAAGACTCCCCGGTGCAATCAGGAGCGAGCATGGGCGAACACTGCGTGACAGACAGACCAAATCCAGACCATCGTCGACCGTCAGGTGAGATGTCGAAATTCGGCGACATCGATGTCTACATCTCCAGACCCGGCGATTATCCCAACTCTCCAGCCAAACTTCTCCTGATGCTGACGGCTGGGACCGGCGTACATTCCACCAACAACCAGATCCAAGCAGATATGTTTGCCGCAGAGGGGTTCGTCGTTGTCATGCCAGACCAGTTCAACGGAGATCCCGCACCCAATTCGAAGGTGACCCCCTCTCAGGACGAGGGCTCGGGTATCCTGGAGCAATTCAAACTCAGAGCGGCAGAGACGGCCAAGTCGTTCCTCGTTGATATGTGGCTGGCGAGGCAGACTCCTGAGAAGGTCATGCCCGTTCTCCTCAAGGTGATTGAAACGGCCAAAGATGAATATGCTGACGCCGTGGCACACGGAGGAGGGATCTACTCGGTGGGTTATTGCTTTGGTGGGAAGTACGTGGTCATGCTGGCGAGGGAGCATCCTGATGGCGCTTCACCAGCACAGGCACCAAAGGACGAGGAAACAGGCATGGTAAAGAAGGATCCGCTCATCAAGGCTGGCGCTGTTGCCCATGCGACCTTGGTAACCCGCGAGGATTTGAAAGCGGTCAAAGCTCCTCTTACGCTGGTGTGTGTCGGTACGTATCCTAGTTTGGTGTGTCGTTCAGACAGTCCGACTAAGACGTCCAACAGAACATGACCCTTTGTTCCCCGACGAGATTTTGGAGGATGGAAGAAAGCAATTTGCGGCCAGCAACATCGAGCATGAGATCAAGACGTATTCCAATGTTCCCCATGGTGAGTCACAGGGGAGTTCTGTTCCCGAATATAGGACCCGTCAATTCACTGACTTCATCCAGGCTTCGCCGTATTTGGGGATTACGATTCAGCCGCGATTAAGGAAGCTCAGGCATCGGCCTCTCAGCAGATGCTCACGTGGCTGAAATCACATTGAATATGATTCAACCTGTATTCCCAGGACCCATCCCCGATCCAGGATTGGTTGCACGATCCAACCCGGCCGCATTACGCTGACAAGATGATACCCTTGAGGAATTTGATGCTATTTCTGAAACCACGACAGATGAAATGGGATTCGAAAGCATACGACTGTGAATTGGAGTTCAACTGCGTTTTGCTCACTATGTGGGCGGTTTCTCAGAATGCCCCGAGTCATTGATAAGTGGTTTCTATGAAAGCTAAACAGAAGATACTGTCGCCGCTGGTATTGATAGCAGGTAAACGATCCATTCCGTTGCTCTAAACCTTTGGAGGTATGGAACTTGCCCCCTCCTCGAACCTCATCGTCACTCATTTCTGCATCATCAATTGCACGAATTCGTTGTCTAGAGTATGGGTTAGCCTGTCCATTTTATATCATGCGGATACGTAGAAATGTCCAGCCACGGATCCGGGGATGGGCCCACTGACAGTCGATACGTCCATCACCATCCTGATCAGCCTCTCGAATCATCTCATCCACTTCGTCGTCCGTGAGCTTCTCACCGATCGAGGTCATGACATGACGCAGCTCAGCGGCTGAAATGAAGCCATTGTTATCTCGGTCAAACACCTTGAATGCCTCTCGGATTTCTTCCTCGGAGTCTGTATCTTTCATTTTACGGGCCATCATCGTAAGAAATTCTGGTATCGTATCAGCCAACGTCTCTTATTTTTTTGGGCCAATGCGCGCCGGGTACCTGGGAAATCAATCGTTCCATTATTGTCTGCATCCACTTCATTGATCATGTCTTGTAGTTCAGACTCTGACGGGTTCTGCCCCAGGGATCGCATGACCGTGCCTAGTTCCTTGGTAGTAATTTGGCCTGAGAACACAGGTAAGCCGTCTGACGATGATACTGTATGGTTGTAAGGTGTAGAGGGGGGTAAGGAGTCACACTGACCGTCGCCATCTTTGTCCTACCAGGCGGCTATGTCAGCATGGAGAATTCCGATAGAGGCCAGACGTCACTTACGAATAGAGAGAATGCCTCCTTGAATTCGGAGACTTGTTCTTCAGTCAAAGAGTCGGCCTGAATATCAACAACGTCAGTCCCGAGCGTTCATAAAATGTTTCAGATCGCAGCCCGTATTCTTCGCGGCGTCATGAGGTGGGCATACCATGCTGGAGTTATCTCGAGAGGGAGATGGGGTGATCGCAGTCGGCCAGAAAGTCTCACTTATTTACAGCTGGCGGGGAGGGTGTCAAGGTGTGTGTTGTTTGAGGGAAAGACGTTTCGAAAGTAGCTGAAGCGGCATAAGGTTGCCCGTGGCCTGGACTTAATTAGTCCCCCCCCCATTAAGAGCAAAGGGGCAGGATTCTTGGGACTATTGTTTTTCCGCTCCGGGCTCAGGTCGTGCTGGTCACTCTATCCTTTGGGATTTCTCCAACCACTCTAATATGGGGTCATCGTGATCCGAACCTCGTCTCTTGCGTTGCCCGACCAGCATGAGAGCCGCAGCGACCGTTATTCACATAGCACTCGACTCGTTCGTGTGATCCCGTGAACTTCACCGGGTCCGAAGATGTGGAGAGATCGGACAAACCTGTAACGTGGAATCCTACCCGATCTTGAAGAAATGACTTATGAAATGCCAGCTACATCTCCTACCGCCAATCCTATGCTCACCATCCCACAAAGAAACTGAGATATCCAACCACTTCCAATGGCTCGAGGGATCAAGGTTCGGAGGAGACCCGGGGCCTCATGTCCGCGGGCGCATACGAAAATGATGGAGATGCTGTTATAGAAATGGACCTCCTTCCACCCCGCTGGATCGACGTTCAAGACGAGGTCGGCGATGTACTGAAAGAGATCACTCTCAAGGCCGTCAAACTGGACAAGCTCCATTCGAAACATGTGCTTCCTGGATTTGATGACGAATCCGTCAAACAGCAAGAGGAACGTGAAATAGAGCAGTTAACACAAGAGATCACCAGAGGATTTCAGGAGTGCCAAAAGGCTATCAAACGCATCGAGCACATGGTCACGGAGGCCAGAGAGACGGGCAATCTGCAGAAAGGAGACGAGATCATGGCGCAGAATATCCAAGTGGCTTTGGCGGCCAGAGTTCAAGAAGTGAGCGCCGCGTTCAGAAAGAAGCAAAGCAATTACTTGAACAGTAAGTTCGAAATACCTTTATACCGTGGAATATCAATGCTCATATGTGCCTAGAACTTCGAGCATTGGGCGGCTTCGAGTCGCCCATTGGCCGATCATCGACACCGGTGCAGAATCCGTACATGGACCCAGCCTTGATGGAGTCTGACGCCGACAAGTCATTCGGTCAGTCAACATTACAGCAAACGGCCCAGAAACGATTGAACAGGAACGATACTGTCATTCGCCAAAGAGAACACGAGATCAATGATATTGCGAAGGGCATCATCGAGCTGGCCGATATCTTCCGCGAATTACAAGTCATGGTCATTGACCAGGGTACTGTGCTTGACCGAATAGATTATAATGTCGAGCGCATGGCAACAGATGTAAAAGGTGCTGAAAAGGAGCTTACCGTTGCGACAAACTACCAACGGCGGAATACAAAGCGAAAGATCCTCCTGCTCCTGTTGCTTCTGGTGATTGGCATGTTCATTTTACTTCTCATCAAGCCCAAGAGGCGATCCGAAGCGCCGCCAACCTCACCAGCAAGTCCGGAAAGTCCTCCATAGTCGATATACTGACGACGATGTACGACAAGAACAAGCCACACAAGGGCCTCGTTGGCAGCTCTGTACATTGGGGGCGATTCTCTAGACGCCTCCCCCCATCGGGATTTCGCGAGTTGCAACCTTGAGGAAATACAACAGCATGGCGCGTGGCCCAACATTCAAAACAACCCACGAAAGTCTAGGCTGTACCTTCAGCCAGAGTCGTCGGTCCGACCCTTCAATTCATTCGTCAACATGTGGCCGTCCTCCGCACAGCGGGTCAGGGCCAAAGCCTTCCGCTCAAACCGCGCTTCGATACCTCCCTGGCATGAAAGCTTTTCGTTGGTCACTTCCGGGCGGGGGTAATCTATTTTCCACTGATGTTGTTCGGCGGGAACCCCCGGGCCAAGATGGCATCCTGAGGGTCATCTTAGATGTCTGTATGTGTATCTCCAAATGAAGCTCGTTCCGAATCCCTCTTTCCGACTGACACAAATGTAGGGCATGGCGGCTGCACTTTACGTTATCCTTTCCATCTGAGTCGGCGGCGGGATGAGTGGGCGACCCGCCACCACTCTAGTTCTCTGCAGAGACAAAGTTTGCCAGTCAGCACGTATGAAATTCAACAGAAACTACTTGAAATTACTCAAGATCAGAATCACGGCGGACTTGCCTCTCAATAGAAATGTCTTCCTTTACCCGTCTTTGGACAAGGTATTCCCTCTACGAAACCCTGAAAGTTTCGTCGTCCTGTACTACCACTAAATATCATAAATTAGTCTAGTCAAGCTTCTTCGGACAATGCAGGTTATTTATTGTACACGACGCTCCGAGGTCCTCTGTCCCGGACCAAAATCATGACTGAAGGATCCGAATTGAATTCAAATCCTTTTGCTGGCAGGAGGAGGTCCAATCTGTATAGACCTCATCCGCCTTTTTCTGGCCCTACCCTCGTCGAGAACGACTCTAATTCTAGATCCTAAGTCCTGATTCTGGGATGGTATCCCACTTTTGAAGAGCCCGCCTGGTTGACGCTAGTATTGTAATCTTGGATCACCTCTCGAAGGATCCCGTCTCTAGGGACGAAGAATTCCCGATAGTCTCCTTCCTGATCGTTCCAAAAACAATCGTGCGAGCCTTGACGACACTTGATGCACAGCATTATGCGCTCAAGTTAGCCTTCTTTTGACGGCACCCTGCCTACATTCGTGCTCTGGCCATTGATAAATAGCCCGTCTTTGGCAATATAGCCTCGTCCGCACGGGCACGGAGAGGGCCCCATGATCAGGAGACATTGTGACAACTCCCCCCTTCAAAGGAACTTTAAGTGAACCAACCTTCAGAATCGGGGATGCGTGAAATGGAGAGAGAGCTAATTGCAGCAAATCCGCACGCAGCGACGAGCAAGTCGATGATTCAAGCGTCTTCGGTGCAAGTTTTGAACATACGTGTCAGCGTGCTCACATCAATGCCTGCATTGCATTTGACGCAGGTGAATATACCGACCCCAAAATTCATTCCTAGAGCTCATCATGCAATCTACTGGCTCAGATCGCGAACGCAATAATCGCGAACTGCTCTGGGTCCGACTTTATCTCGCTGAAGCCATGCGCAGTCACGGCGAAGCTCCAATGCTTTTCGCTGAGCTCGTTCCTATTTCAAACGACAACAGTGTGGATATGGTCGTGATAGATTCACTAGTTGAGGAGCCGGAGCCTCCTTATCAACTCACAGTTGCAGAGAGCGCTTTGAGGCTTGTGCGCGACTCACATTACGATCACGCAGCCAATCTTTTACAACAAGAAGGTCTCACCTGGGCGAGACCGGAGCATTTCTGGATTGTATTCGGAGGGCCGATGGCAGGGAATATCACCTGCGAACGGAAACTGAAGCCGAGGAGCTCAGAAGAGGATGAGAAAGGCCGACGTTTTATGGCTGTGGGATTTGGCACAGCATTGATCACTGACGTAGTCCTTCTTTGATGTTGAGGGGAAAAGGCTGAAATACCACAAGGGATTTTTATTGTTTGACAGGTTTACGAAATGAAATGAACTTTGCTTCGACAGCTCACTCTTTGAATGAGACCTTCTTTTCCCTCCCTTTCAATTTCTACTTTCAACACCGGAATCCGAGTTCGTTGCATCTTACGTTGAGGGGAGAAAGTTAGAAACAGGATATGTATCGACAACCAGACACGATGAGAAAAGAAAGTGATGAGCATTTATTTGAAGGCAGGAGCGCAAGATATTGACATCGACATTGGAAAAACTACATCCAAAAAAATACGGGATATCTTCCATGGCCAACTGGATATCAGAGTACATCAATCGCTCAGAAACAGTCAATGGTCAGATCAACCACCTGATGCGACCCGAAACTCAAGAAACTGCGCCTGCCATAACGAGCGGCCTAACGTCTACGATCTCCTTTTTCTTCCTAGGCGCACCGGGCGCTGAAGCCGAATTTGACGAGCCGGAAGTGGGATCAATTCGTAGATCTCTGAATCTCGTGGCAATCTCGCCGGCACCTCCCCGCGTGCCCATTCCGATACCTTCATCCTCCTTGACGCCGACGCCTGCGCGACTCATGCCCTCGGGGACAGGAAGCTCGACAGATCTGGCGCCGAGTCGGCCTCGGATATCCTCGAAGAGAACCTCCATAGGAGCGATATAGGCCGTCTTGCTCTTGTCGCCCCAGGCAAGGACGTGACCACAGAGACCACCGGAGACGGGATCGTAGATCCACGCACCACTGTCGCCGGGGATTCCGAAGCCGCCTTCAACACACCAGGACGTAGAGAAGGATCGTCGGCCATGCATTTTGACAAGAGCCATGGCTTGAGAGATACGGCCCTTTTTGAAGCCCGAAGAACGGCCACGGCAGTGTACCTGGAGACCGGAAAGTTTGGCGAGAGGTATGATGGCTTTGAGGACGGGATGCTGATCGCCATGTGACGATGGTGGAAGCTTGGAAGACGCTCGACCGGCGGATTTGGTTGATGATATCACAACTTGATCTGAAATCTCGTTCTCAACCTTTAGCCTCTCCTCATGCACTCTGATGAGAGCCCAGTCGACCTCGTGTTTCATTTCGCCTCGAATGACGCGACGGATCCCACTGCTGGCAAAGACGTAGCCGAAAGAATGACTCGCTAGGTGGTCGTCATCTCGGTCCTCTTCACTCGGAAAGAAGTCTTCATCGACGTCGTCAATGGCCGGTTGAGTAACGCAAAGATCATCGTCCGAGTAAGGGGCAATGCCTATCTTATCACCCACAGAAGCCGCATCATCAACATCGTCCGAGGAGGAAGAAGAAGCGTCATCATCGTCGGATCCATCGTCGTCGTCAAGTTCGGGAGGAGAGTCCTCTAAGAACCAGAATTCGTTTCCGTCGGCGTCCATAATGGCGTAGTCGGGTCGAATGGTGCTAGCGTCGCTTCCGTCATCACTACCTTCGAACTCGTCGTCAGAAATCTCAAAATCGGAAAATCGCGAAAGGTCTTCCTCGGATTGCATAAAACATACATCGGCAGAATTATCATATTGACCAGGGATCGTTCGTGGGCCTGCAGATCTTCTAGGTTGTTCGCGTGTTATAGGTTCATCTTCGTCGTCGTCGTCGTCACTGGGAAGGTCGAGCATATGATGGACGGTCATCCCATAGGGTTCGCCGTCGACAAGAATGGTGCCGCCAAAGGATACTGGAGGCAGGTGTTCGCAGTCCTTAAACGCTCCAATGCTAGCACCGCTGGTTGGACGTTCTTGATACTTTTGCTCTCGGGGTCTGCGTGCCACAGCCCGAGGGCCCTTGCTTTTGGAACCATATCCGGAGCGTCGAGGCTTCCTCCTTTTGCCGCTCCGTCTCACCTCACCATTGAGAATGACAACGCCCCAGCCTTTCTTGGGTCGAAATCTCTTCCTCAGCACATCACGGACTTTGTTGATCTGTGCACACTGAATACAAATAGTCGTCTTTGCATTCTCAGGGGCCGAGCCAAACATCATCAGACTCAGACTGCAAGATTCGGGGGAGTCTTTAAGAGCAGTCTCCAGCATCTTGCCCAGTTTTGGCATTACTAGTGTATTCCACTGGTCCAAGTCCGCTTGCGGGATATCGACTTCCGGCCATTTCCGTAATGGGGCCTCTACGGTCGGGGTGGATTGTTGTATGGCATCCGCTTTGCGCTTTGGATTGTGCCGTTTGGGAAGTTCGGGTTTCGCTTCATCGTCGCCCGGGAGCCTAGGCATTTTGGATTCTTTGGCGGCCTTTTCTTCGGCCTTGCACATTTGCTCAATGATCAAAAGCTCGAAAACTTCAATATCCGAAACAGGAGGAGGTCCTTCCTCGTCCAAGGCACAACATCGTTGGAGGTCTTTTGCGACTTGAAGCAAAAATGCTCCAGCATCTTCATAGTTGTTTCTGTACTGCAATTCCGTCGGGGCTTGTAGGCAATTCTGAACGACGCGCATGTATTTGCTTCCACATTTGGGGGCAAGCTTGTGGGAATAAATTTGCTGTACTCTCTTCATGAAGATGTCACGGTCATACTTTGGTTTCCACAACTTTGAAATGGGGATCCAAAGTCCAATCTCCAGCAGCAACAAGCCGAGAGAGTAGATGTCATAGGCAGGAACCACCTCGGCAGCATGAATGTCGTGGTTCGGGTGTCGGTAGATAGTGGTGGCCAATGGTTCTTCTGCTTGTAACCGCGAGAGAAAGTCCTGGCACGACTGTAGCAGATAGGGAGACCTCAATTCCTTTGGTGAGTTGGATCGATGCATATGTTCATTGGAGCCGATGAGAAGGATGTTGCTGCTGTTGATATATTGATGCGTTTCACCTTGCGCGAAATACCCCATGATCGACAGGGCGAGATTGTACGCAAGACGAAAGCGGTCTTCCAGGGCAGGTTGGGCCGATTCCTGGTTATTGCTCGCGGCAATCAGAGATCCCAGCGTCCGAGACTGCTGCAAGGTTTTGTTGTCATGTCCATCTGGCAAGGCATATACCATTCCGCAGCGAGGTCCATTAGGATCCACCGTGAAGCCAACGAGTCTGAGATGGCCGCACCAAGAGAGTGATCGGTTTTTGCAAAGCTTCTCACCGAGTTCGTGGAGTTCAAAGACGTCCTCGGCACTTCCGACGACGTAAGGAGGGCAGTCGGCGTTGAGATAGTCGACCAGAACAGGTTGACCAGCGGCTCGGTAGAAGGCGACCGATCTTTCTCTTGAAGATATCGAGCCCTCGGCCGGGTCATATGGTGGAGGGTCAGCTGCCTGGGAGGAATATGAACCGAATTCGAGACCAGCGAAGTCGATATGCAGAGGGTGGTCGTAGAGGTGGATATAGTCGGTACCGTCCGAAGATTCATGCGCATGCTTCATCCTCTTCACATCGCCTTTTTCGTCCGCCCTCCTCGATTCTTCAAGGCTGTAGAGGACATCGATGCAAGTAGTCAGCTGTTCAAGCAACGCTCTCCCGGTTTGGACCTCATGGCTCGTCCAATCCTTCCTCTGAGTGACTGGGCCGGGTCCGGGCCCCCTCATGGTCTTTCCCGATTTGTTCATTTCATACCTTTCCGGATGCTCTAGTCGTCCGCTTTCTTCGAGAAGTCGTTTAATCTCGGACATGACGCTGGCAACAACCTCCCCCAGCCCAGCCTGATCAATCCTCTTGTCGATGTCGACATCGCCCTGAGTGGGGTAGGGAGCCCCGACGTCGGTCCAATGCAAGCCCCATGCCAGTAATCTATCCTGTTGAATCTGGAAATCCCTCCTCAAATCCCTCACTTCTGGCAAGTCGGTGACATTGGCGGTAGCCGGAGTGACTTTGGCACTTTCATAGGATTGTTTCGTGTCGGAATACAGCTTCGACAGGCGCTGAAGATAAGTGCCACGCCGTTGAAACATGGTGGTTGTGGTTTCTATCAGCGGGCGTTTCAATGTTACGTTTATCGGTGTAGCAGCATGTTCAATTGTTAGACTTGATGAGACTGGCGATGTTTACTTTAGCATTGCGGCAGGAATCTATTCGAGAGCGATGGTGATTGATATGGCAAGAAGTGGACGAAAGCGAGGGATTGGGCGGGGGTGAATTGATAGTTGACGAGTGATGGGGGGAATGCCGCGTATTTCGCGAGCGGTGGAAATCCTGTTGCCTGTTGTCCTCATTCGCTCGATGCCATCTTTCGCCACACCGAAACCAAGCGAGAGTTTCCAATCCCGCTAGCAGAACGAAGGGGGCCTAGAAGTTGGACAAATGCTGCTGAGACTAGGCACCTTCTTATTGTTCCCCCGACTGGCTCCAGCCACAGGGTTCTGCTGCCTTGTGCCGAATGTGTATGGATCTGAATTAAAGACTTGTTCGAATCTTTGATTGAAGTTGGCCTTCTCATTCCATTCTAGAGACCGATTCTGCCTGAGTACGTATGCTCCATGCCGAGCCGAAGCCGCGGTCACTGCCACGGATGTCAGCAGCTCCAGCGACGTACAAAGTCTCTTCGACCTGCTCAGCCCCTTCATCGAAGCATCCAGTATAACACCACGGGAGGGACCAAAGAGCACAAGAAATTACGCAGATGCAGTTGTGTTCAACTCATTGATGATTGCCAGTACTATTGACCATTGCCTTTTGTCTTCGACTCTTTCCTTTCGGAATGATATAATTCCACCTCGAATGCGGCATCTTTCTGAGTAAAAGACAAATCACCGGTACAAGCGCCCCCAGAAAGGGAAAAGGAGAAAACCCCCTCAAATTCAGTTGTGTGAATACACGACCCATACGCCATTTCATCATCCATAAGCACCGTATCCCATAGCCATGTAACAAGACTCTAGGTGTAGACCGTCCTAAAGAATCTAACCACCGAAACCGTAGAGGGTTCTGCCTTGTCGCTTGAGGGCGTAGACAACGTCTGCGGTCACGGTCAGTCATACCATATGCAGAGTTTTGTCCGAGCCAACTTACCAAGAGAAGTGACGGTCTTTCTCTTTGCGTGTTCAGTGTAGGTGACAGCATCACGGATGACAGATTCGAGGAAGGATTTGAGGACGCCGCGAGTCTCTTCGTAGATCATGGCGGAGATACGCTTGACACCACCACGACGAGCGAGACGACGAATGGCAGGTTTGGTGATACCCTGAATGTTGTCGCGAAGAATCTTTCGATGACGCTTGGCGCCTCCCTTTCCGAGGCCTTTGCCGCCCTTGCCGCCTATTGAACAGGTCGTCAGTATATTGTCATTGTAGATGTGGTTGGTTAGGTGAGGTCGACAGGGCATGTAACTTTGTCAACGGCGCAGGCGAGGTGGCGACGAGATGCAACGATCACAACGACCACAACATTGACGAGTTTGAGGCAGCATGATATTACTTACGTCCAGTCATGTTTACTGAAGTGTAAGAGAGATGAAGAGAAGTAGAATTGGTAAGTTGTGGATGGTTGGTCGATGAAAGTTGATGGGGATGTGGCGGAGTTGATGGTTGCTAAGTGGGTGGAAAGAGAAGGAAAAGGAAGGGGGAAAAAGTCGGAAGGAGGAAAGAGAAGGAATATAAGGAAGGGGCAGTGGATGGCAGCGCGATCAGGGCTGTTTGGGCTTGGCGGAAGGCTCAACGATGGGCAGATCAAATTGTCACTGGAAAACCACCTCCAAAAATCAGGCAAAACAAATGCAGGAAATCAGACGCCTCTAAATCACTCTGTTTGAGGGCCACTGATTGGCCGTGAGATCAGCTTCTTTGTTGCATGCGGATCGGCCGTCACGTGTCGAGTCTAGATCAGCCCGCTCTTGGCATCAGCGCAGAACGGTATTAATATCAGTGTCAATACAATACTGGTATCAAGATCAACGCCACGCATACATTAATTGACGAGATCGCTTGCAAAGTTTTTTGATTCATCATTGTACACATGAGTCATGGTTCGCCCTACTCTCCACCGAGACTTCTGACCTAGAATCCCTTGTACCGCTGCTTCTCCTTGTACTGGGTGTACCCAACATAGCCTCCCCCAACCAGACCCGCGAACAGAATGATCTTGAAGAAGAACCATCCCCATCCGCCGCTCTTTCCTTCTCTTCTGGCCCGGCCCTTGGCTCTGGCGGCGGCGGCGGTACGTCTTCCCGCGTCCGCCGCCACAGGGTTGTACAGATTCCGTGTCTCCACGCTGATAATGTCGAAGTTATCCGACAATTCGCCCGTGTGCGCGCTGAATCCCAGATATGCCGTATTGGGCATCTTCAGTGGTTGATCTTCGGTGGGCTCGAGGGTGAAGCAATCAATCCACGAGTCCGCCGCTTTGTATTGAAGTTGTAGTGAGAGTGACTTGTCTTGGAAGTAGGTCAATTTGGCCTTCGCAGGAATCGACGCGCCACGCAGTCCTCGAGCCTGTAATACTGGTCAGCCTGGGCCACGCACATCTTTGGGGCCACCGTATTGTGTTCCTCATACCGAACAACCACCAATCTCATTCGCCTTGCCGTCGTTCGCCGAGTCATACGTGGTCTTGCCATCCCCCATCATCGCCATCACGTATGGAAACACCACTCCTGGTCTGTGGTTCTTGTAGGTATCGAAGAAGATGCCCAGTCCCTCAAATCGGTCCGCATGACCAAATACCGGGCCAGGCTGAGCTCTCTCCTTGGTAATCCACAACGCAAACCCGTCGCCGTGTAGATGACCTGATCCCGATATCGAGAATTCAAATTCCACCTCCCAATTCGTCGCTGTCAATGGTATTCTGGAGAAGATCCAGCCCGACCGCGAAGGGAGATCGGAGGCTAATCGTATATATTGGTCTGCTCGTATGATGGCGTCGCCACCAAAATCGAACCATCGACTCGACATGTCGGAGTCAAGATATGGAGGTGCAAGGCTGTGTGTCCGCAGCTGTGATTTGGCGTGGCATTAGTCCACTGATCGACCTTGAATGGGAGAATCGGTGGGAGACAACAAACTCACCGGTATACTCTTCGTAGAAGTATCTGCCTCGACGGCTGCTCGCGTCCCCACGGCCCATGCTGCCAGCAGCCATAGCAGAGAACAGGCACCGGAGAGCCACATATTTTGGTGTACACCCTGAATCTGACCACGCTTGTCGTATCCGCGGCCTGCAGCCTTTTCAAAAATGTTCAAACAATATTAAGGAAAAGGAAAAGAAATTGTCAGAACCGCTGCATGGCACAATGATCCACGATTAGGAAGTCTTCCCCTCCTGAAATTGTCACCGTTGCGAGCAGAAGGTCGGTACGTTAAAAGGTGTCCAGTTCGCTGAAATGGATTCGGGTGCAGGCGAAATGCAGCTTTGTGGAGAGACTTTGTTTGACGATCCCTTGGTCGGTGCTTGCAGTCGCCGGCTAGCCCCCCGAAAGACCTGCCAATAAGCTACAGATGATTGAGCCTTGCGAAAGTCTTTTTGACGCAACACAATCGAGCTATCCTGAGATTTTGATCTTTTGATTCAATCAACTAAGCGTTCATATCGACGGGATAGACTTCACGAAATCGATTCCTTCCTCCCAGCAAGAAGGTCTTCCTCCTTACAATTTTCCCGATCCAGATCTACAAGCACACACGACACCAAAACGAAATCTTCGGCACATCCTCCTTCTCCGACCGCTTTTGACTATCATAACAACAAAATGTCCTTCGGCAGCTTTTTCGGTGGTGGCAGCTCGTCCTCGTCTTCTAGCAATGACAATTCCACCCAGTCGTCATCATCTTCAAATATTTCAAACCCATTCGGTTCCTCCTCATCAGGCGCATCCTCTGCAATAGTACAGCGGATCCAAGAGACGATAACGGAAAACGCCAAAAAAGAGAACGCAAAAGCTCTGATCAGTAAGGTGAACGAGAACTGTTTTGCGCACTGTATCCCGACGCCGGGCCCGAGCCTGAGCTCCGGGGAGCAAAGGTGTCTCAACACCTGTATGGAGAAATATATTGACGCATGGAACGTCACGATTAGGACGTATATAGGAAGGATGCAGAAGGAGGGAGCACAGATGTCTGGTGGCTCGCCGGCGGGTGGGAAGGAGTTGTTTTGAGCATGAACGGGAAGGTTTGGTTTGGAGGGTTGGGCGGACTCGGCTACAACAGAGCAGAGCGGAGGGAAGATTGATGACAATGGCGTGCCGAAGCGCTGTTGTGAAGACGGCAAGATTGTTGCACTCGATCGAAATGCTGCAATCTAGCCATTTCTATGGCCCGCGTATGAAACAGGAACGAAAATATCCATCTCATCCATCGACCACTCTCCGATCACCAATTTGCTCCGCAATTTCGAAACGAAAATTGCATCTCATTGTTATCCTCCTCCTTCATCAACATCTCAAGCTATTACGTTCCGAACTGAAGTTCGGAAATGACCAGGACTTCCTAGCCAAGAGGCTATACATACAGGAGCCATCAAAAAAGTGCATGTAGAATTAGAAGAAAGGAAGGAAAAAGAAATTAGTCGGAATGTACTGTATTATATACACAACCATCGTCCTGGCCAGAGAAGAATCCCTAAGTTTGATAAAATGGACCTCAAGTAATGATTCCATTCCCAATCAACATCGGAACGTGATCGATTCTCAGCAAAGGAAACAATGTCGCGCATTTCCTCCCTATTTGCAGCATTAACTCTAGCCTAATCCCCCCCTTCTCTCATCAAGTCATCGACCGATTTGGATGATCCGGTAAGCGGATAAGAAATCAAGTTCTCAGCAGCGTGAACATGAACACGGAAATCCATGTAACAGACCAGCTCGCCCGAGTGCTGAATACACAAGTTCCCCAAGGTACTCCTAGCATCATAGCAGCATGCCGGTCTCCAGGTTGATCTCACTCACGTTCGGCAACACCAACTCATTGTCATCACCCCATGGCTTCAGGAACAGTCAAGTCTTATACCCAACTGATTTTTCGTGTCTCATGTATCACTCTATTGGAAGATCAGCTCGTCATCATTGTGCTTCCAGCTTTGCTCGCTCCCTGCCTGCACCCTTCCTCTGCCCATTCCGCCCAGTACTGGGTCACTTTTTTGGGCCGCCCGTCTGTCGTCATCTAGCAATTAAAACTCGGTAAAGAAATGACCGAAACTAGAAAATCATATCAGCTTAGATGCAGAGGCAATAGGATCAAAGATGTCTTACGGATCCTCTCCCTTCTTGCCGTATTCTTCCGTCTCCTCAGGATATTTGTCAAATTGACTAGCATCACCAGCTCCACCCTTGACCGGAGGAACATAAGGTGCATCGATATCTTTCTTCACCAACCTCTCCCATGTCACTTCTGCAAACCAGGGATGGTTTTTGATATCGGCCGGGCCTCCGTGCAAATTGCCCAATCGCTTGGTCAGGTCGCTGGTGATTAATTGCACTAGGAGATCTTGTGCATCGTGGTGAATATAAGGGGGATATTTGACTCGCCCTTTCAAAATGTTCTCATAGATCTTGACAGGAGATCCTCCGTCCCAGAACGGGGTGAACCCGCACAGCATTTCGAAGATCAGGATGCCGAGGGACCACCTGCACTTCGAATCAGAAACCGGCCATTTCATCTCTTCAATCCATCACTTACCAATCCACTGATTTGTTATAGCCTTTGGAGGCCACAACCTCCGGTGCGAGATAGTCTGGCGTACCACAAAGAGTCCACGTAATGTCGGGCACGTCTTTGGCGAATCCAAAGTCCGTGATCTTAATATGGCCATGTCTGTCGAGCAACAAGTTTTCGGGTTTCAGATCTCGGTAGATGATATTTTGTCCATGCAGATACTCCAGCGCCAGGGTTACTTCAGCGGCATAGAACTTGGCCACTGGGTTAGGGAAACGCTGTGATTATCAGCATTCACGTGAGCCCGAGAAGAAGGCGGAAAGGCATTACCTGTGACTTGCGAAGTAAGCTGAAAAGCTCTCCACCTTCAATAAAGTCCATGACCATGTAGAGATTCTTGGAGTCTTGGAATGTCCCCCAAAGAGTGATGAGGAAAGGGTGTTTGACTCGTTGTAGCATTCTCCTCTCGTCGTTGGTATGCTCAATCTGTTTCATTTTGACGACCTGAGCCTTCTTCAAGACTTTGACGGCGTAGAAACGCTGGTTGTGTTTCGACTGCACCAAATGAACCCGACCGAATGAACCCGTACCCAATGTCCTCTGAATTGTGAAATCTGAGAGAGTATATTTGCCCTTGGTCTGTCTCGTAGCTCCTTTGGCATCCGCCGTGCCCGCCGCGGGGCTGACAAGGTTGGCAATGTTCATATTGGAGGCACCGTTGCTTTCAGCCGGTTTCGCATTGGGATCCGGAGTGGAGATCACGGTGGTGGTGGTGGTGGTGGCGGCGGTGGTGGTGGCAGCAGTGGACTGTGTTGGTGCATCTGAGGTCGTCTTGGAGGATGCGGTAGTGGAGGTGTCGGTTTTCTGGGAAGACTTGTATTGAATTGGTTGATAGGCCCCGCTGCCAGAAGATTTGTCTTCCGAAGGCTCTTTGGTCTTCTTCTTCTTGAGCAGACCTCCAAAGGTCGGCATTTGGGCGCCGGAGGGAAGCGCACGTTCCCAAAGAATGGAATACTAACGATAGGAGTGTGAAAAATGAGTTCGGAGGCCCGTTCGACTACCAACCGAGTTCAATGTGGATTGACGAGGGAGCCTGATGGAGAAGGAGAGGGGTAGCAAACAAGGATCGATCGAGGTTTCGTCTCGCTAGAGAGGAAGCTGCAATGCAAGCCGATAAGCCCCAATCGAGGGGCAGACAAGTGGCCGTCGGACGGCGTGGACGGCGCAATGCGGTGATACTGAGTCTCGATAACAACACCGGACACGGATACTGGGAGTGAGTGTTGAGAACGGCGAGTGAGGGACAAGAACTGTAGCAGGTGGAGCTATCATAGAAGAGAGAGGTTGAGTGCGTAATGTAGTATGAGAGGTGGCTTGAATTACGCCTGAACACAAGCTGAGCACGGGAAACGCCAAAGGCTTTTTAAGAGGTTTGACCAGTGAGCGGTTGAGCAGCGAGCACTGAGCCCTGAAGCATTATGCAAGCGCAGTTGCGAGGATGGGTGAATGGTGACGAGGGGTTACAGTAGCGAGCACGACGAGCATAAGCATTGGATCCCCCTCCTCTGCAGCTTCTCGGAAGCTCTGCACTTTTGCTTCTCATCCCTCCTCTCTCTCTTCCCATCATGTTCAGCACTTGTTACTGCCCACTCATCCCACTCTCCTCAGCCACGTATGTTCACTGTCCAAGTCCACGAGAATGTTTTTAAATTGTCCCTGTGCGGACTAGCCAGGCCGACTTCTGCCATGACAGTACACAGAGAGCAGCCGCATCTTCGGATGTATCATCATGCGCGTGCCATCCTCATCTCCCGCGTCACTTCGTCCACTATCTCCTGGGCCTCTCCGGCCGTTCGTGCCTCAAAATCATATCGCTTTGACTCGTTGACCCGGCGAACAACAATTCGAACAATCTTCGGATGCTTGGTACTAACTTTGCACCGCAAGATGTCACCAAATGCAATGGAACTGAACTTGGCGTTTGAGGTCGTGTCAGCGGGCATGACATGGATGAGGTCGCCGTCGAACACGAGAACCCTCTGGCTCCCCTGGGCAAATGGGGCAAGCTGTTTTCTCGTCACGTAATATTTCTTGAAATTGCTCGCGCTTGAGATCAAATCTTGGTTCTGTGCCAACGGGTGAAGTGTTTGACCCTTCTTACCCTTCTTCGGGCCTTGGATGTCGAGCAAAAGAGGTGCATTTGGCGAGGAACTGCCAGGTGAACCTGTTAAATTGACTCCGGCCCCAAAGCGTTTTCGCACAAGATCGAGATCAGATCGAGTGCCCAAAGCTTCCACCGTACGATCGAGTGGTGCGACTGTATTTGTCCCGGCTACCTTCAACACGAATCCGGCCTTTTCGAAATTCCATCGTTTGCAAACATGATCTAGAATTTCTGCAATGTAGCTGTCGGTCGAGATTTCCATGGTCATCGTCTGTGCCGCCACGTCAATATCAAAGTATCGGATTCTGATTGTTTTCGTGGCGCCTACGCGGGGAGTGGCTTGGGGCGCTGCGGGGGCCGGCAAATCTGCCGGTGTCAATGATGCATTGGTCAAGGCTGATGCAAAAGGTTGACCAGCCAGAAGAATGTTGGTCCTGGACAAGTGAGCTTTCGGGGCTGGAGTTGGTTGTGGCTGTGGAATGGACGGGTCTGGTGCTGCAACCGGTCCGACTTCCTCTTCGGCCGCTGGGATAAATTGAGGTGTTTCTTTCTTGTTCGCTTCTACCTGTGAAAGCGAGGCTTCGACAAGGGCAAACTCATCAAACGGCCGATCTCTTGATCGGCCTCTGCCACCCCGATTGTTATTGTATGTGAAATCTGTGATGGGCCTTGTACGACCAAGTGGTGGGAAGTCATCATCGACCTCGCCGTCTTCCACCATTCGTAGAGTCCATTTGTTGACGTCGAGTTGTGCCGGCGTCAGAGCCGGCTCCAGTTCTTCCTCTCTATATCTCCACAAAGCGAGTCCAATTGCTTCCGCGACGATGACGGCACTACCGTCTTTCGATGTCCGAGCCAGCGGCATCTCAAAAGGCTCATCAGCGTCATCAGAGAAAGGCGCGTATACTTTGATCCAAAGTGGATTGGGGTTTCCCTTGCCGGATAGACCCGCAAATTGCTGCACAGGGTTGGTTGGGGACTTTTTCTGCGCATTCAGAGCGGCTGAAAGCAAACTCTTTGGCTGCAGGAGACTGATTGGTCGTGGGGGAGGCAATTCATGCAACAGGGGTAACGTTCTTTGCTTCCTAGGTGACTCTGGCTGAGGCACACGAGGTCCCGACTCGGTCAGGCTTCCCAAGGTTGGGGGAGACGAAGTGAGATTGGATTCTTCCATAGTATCAAGCAATGAGGCAGAGTCGATCGTTTCGCCCAAATCTGAAGACATGGCGGATCCAACAGACTCTGCATCAGAGTCATCTTGTAGTTGACTTCTCTGGCTGTCTTCGGTATCCCTTCTCGTCGGCACTTCATTTGGAAAGGGGGCAGATTTCGAGGTTTGTCCTGCTTGGAGTTGACGGCGTTGGAAGTAAGCTGGATCCACTTCATTTTCAGAGGACAAGTCGCTGCTTGTTGTAGTGTCTCGCCTCGCCCGAGCTTTGACAGCCTCTACGGCGCCCAGTGATCCGGTTCGACGTCTGTTCTCGGCCGTTGGTTTCGAGGGTGAGGTCGTTATTATCTCGGGTCCAGTGCTGCAAACGGGAGATGAGTCGGCTCGATGACGGGTGGGCATTTTGGCAAAGCGGATTTGTAGAGCAGCGCGTTGGGCGCCTTCAGCTTCTTCCTCGGATTCGTCTGTCAGATCACTACTATCATCATCTTCGACGTGTTCCTTCTTTCTTCGTCGTCGAGCGTTGAATCCTGGACCGATGGTGTCATTGCTAGTCCTACCGGTGACGAGACCACCTTCATCTTCTTCGTCGCCCTGTGAGTTCAACAGCTGAAGCTCCGCTCCATACTGGAAGTATTCGGTGTTGATTGACGTGGGGATTGGTGGAGAATAAGTTCGTTGAGCGGGATCTGCGGACCAGCCAGCGGCGCGAAATCCTGGAGTATTTAAAATCGAGGAGTTGACATTAATCAGCCGTTCTGCAATCCCGTCCTTGACACTGGCAAGATACGAACTCCGTAGATACCAGGTGGCAAACCTGTTGATTTAGTTTAGCGGGCGATGAACGATTCCAGAGGACACGATGGCGGAAGATTAAACCGCGGCGAGGACAGAATCGACCAACTTACTCTTCGTTTTGCAAGAGAGCCATGTTGAACAGGGACGGAGTGACGATCTTCCCGGATTCCAAGACGATGGTGGAGGCTCCTGAGAACAAGCGATGATGACTTCTCGGTTGACTTTCAATGTTGCCGAGTGAAGTGGCAGTGCCCATGCGATAGGCATCACGGTGGAATCAAGTATGACGTTGATCCGGGGTAAGTTGTTGCTAAACGAGAGACTGAAGACGAAGCCGACTGAGGGGCCGACACCAGGCTGGACTCAAACCGCCAATCGGAGTGCCTCATTTTTTTGCCTGCGCACTTTTCGCCAGCCTCGTCACCCACTTGTTCTGCTTCCTGGGTGGCTGGGGGGTTACGACGGAGTGGGAGTCTTGGTCGTGGTTTACCGGCTCTCGTGCCACTGACCTCCCTTTGGTCTTCCCCCTTCTTATGCACTACCTTTATCATCTCTCTAATCTGCTTACCTCGTCAATCTCTCACATCCTCTTCCTCAGACATTATGGCCTGCCCTCACGCTTACCTGGACGATCTTCGACCTCCGAGACCCAATCAAAGTGTATACCGAGAAGATTGTACCCAGTGCTTTGACTCAATCGATGATGACGCCGGACTTGATGTCTGCCTACACTGCTTCAACGGCGGTTGTGCTGGCGAACGAAATCACTCTCTTGTACACCACTCCTCCACGAATCATCCGTTAGTATTGAACATCAAACGAACTCGCAAGCAAGTCCAACGAGATGAGCCTCCGCCTAAGCTTACCAAGCTCGCCATTGCCGCTGAGACAGAGGAAGACAGATATAATACAGCCACGACAGTCAAGTGTTATGCCTGCCAATTAGAGGATGTGGACAAAACGTTAGGAAACCTCCCGGGGGTCGTTGATGGGGTCATGAAAGCTATGACATTTGCCAAACAAGAGGAAGTCAAGGCTTGGGAACAAGAGTTTACGCCCTGTGTACACACCCTCGGCCTCGAACAGCAACCGAGGAGACAGATTGAGTCACAGAAGCTAAGCTCGTGTTCCAAGTGTGACCTGAAAGAGAATCTCTGGCTCTGTTTGGAGTGTGGCAACCTGGGTTGTGGACGGGCGCAGTTTGGCGGTGTAGGCGGCAATTCTCACGGACTGGGACACGCGGCAGAGAGTGGTCACGCAGTCGCCGTGAAACTGGGTTCCATCACTCCGGAAGGCAACGCCGATGTCTACTGCTATCAATGTAACGAAGAGCGAATCGACACTGAGCTTGCCAAGCACCTGGCTCACTGGGGCATCAACATTGCTGAACGGGAGAAGACTGAAAAGAGCTTGATGGAGATGCAAGTGGAACAAAATCTGAAATGGGATTTCTCTATGACGACAGAGGATGGCAAAGAGCTATCCCCCTTGTTTGGGCCCGGTTTCACCGGTCTCAAGAATATCGGGAACAGTTGCTATCTTGCCAGCACCCTTCAATGTTTGTTTTCGCTCACAGATTTCCAACATCGATACTACCACCCGGATCGACCTCCTCCCAACGCCAAACTGCCGGCTGAGGATCTTGAGACACAGTTACGAAAGTTGGCCGATGGTATTCTGTCTGGTCGATATTCATATCCGGAGAGCAATGTTCATGCATCTCCCGACAACCCCGAAGTACCGCACCAAAAAGGTCTCTCTCCTGCGATGTTTAAGCATCTTATTGGTCGAGGGCATGAAGAATTTTCGACGATGAGGCAGCAAGATGCGTTTGAACTACTGCTCCACCTTTTCAAGCTCATCAGCATCTCTCACAATGCCCACCCCGGCGAAGATCCTGTCCAGTCGTTCCGCTTTGCCCTTGAACAACGCTTGCAGTGCTTAAACTGTAGGCGGGTACGGTACCGAACGGATGAACAAGACAATATCTCAATTCCGGTTCCCGTTCGGAGGAAACACGTGAACAATAGTGAAGACGCACCGGCCATTGAAGCGAAAGGGTCCGAATTTGAACCGGTGTCTCTGCAAGAGTGCCTCGACATCTTTACAGCATCAGGCACGGTGGAATTGACCTGCCCAGCTTGCGGGTCTAAAGCAGGATTTTCCAAGTCATCAAAATTCAAAACATTCCCCCAAAATCTGGTCATCAATCCTCTTCGATTCGAAATAATCAACTGGGTACCGACAAAGCTCGACATCCCCGTCCAGGTGACCGACGAACCCTTTGATTTGAGCAGGTACAAGTCACCAGGGTTGCAACCAGACGAGGAGGAATTGCCTGAAGAAGCAGATGTCGGAGGATCCGGCCCGGAATCAGCAGCATTTGTCCCGAATGAAGCTGCTCTCGGCCAACTTGAATCGATGGGATTTCCCCGCGTTCGATGTGAAAAGGCCCTCCATGCGACTGGCAACGCAGATGCCGAAGCGGCCATGAATTGGCTATTCTCGCATATGGAAGACCCTGATATTGATGAGCCTCTGAACCTTGGCGGTGGCGCTTCCGGCACAGATGACGCTGACAAGATCGCTCAACTGGGCGAGATGGGTATCGGCGCACCGCAAGCCCGAAAGGCCTTGCGAGAATGCAACGGTGATGTCAATCGAGCTCTGGATTGGGTCTTCAGCCACCCGGACGATCAGGGCGATTTTGGTGAAGATGCTCCAGCTGCTTCGACACAATCGAGATCCCTTCCCGGGAGTGGACAACTACCGGCGAAGTTCGAGCTTCAGAGCATCGTTTGTCATAAGGGTGCCAGCATCCATACTGGCCACTATGTTGCATTCACTCGAAAACAGGTTCCTGGCGACGGCGAGGAGAGACAATGGGTTCTGTTCAACGATGAGAAAGTGGTCAAGGCTGTTGACGTGGACGAAATGAAAAAGTTTGCATACATTTACTTTTTCCGTATGCTATGAGAAAATTTGATGGATGAAATACGAGCCTCATCAAAGCTGTACGAAATCACGACACGTGGGAACGGGGATATCTCCTCTTCAACGGAGGCCTGGGAGATGATACACGGGGATCCTACATGAAAGAAAGTGGCGGTCATAGCTAGAACTAGGCAAGCAAGAGCTTGTCAATAAAGAGAGAAAAAAAAGCGTATACCATTCTACATGTTCGAGTGTATAAGAAGCACCGTTACAAAATCAACTTGTCACGTGGCCAGCTCCACAGGTACCTGAGGTACTTGCGTGCCTTGGCGATTGAAGGTACCAGGCCACATAAAAAACCCTGCTAGGTACATGTGTGGGGGAAACTCTCACATCTGCACTCAACGTCCTCAAGTTTACTCCAGGATTTTCTCACAGAATTTCATACCTTGTGACCACTCGATCCTCGTGCAGGTGCTTCCCTTTTCCCGGATGTCTCTCAACTCCCCATTCTTATTCGAGCGGACAGTCCATCCCCAAAGCAACTGAACTATTCTACGGTCTCTACCTCGCCCACCCACCACCTCTTCTCTCACCCGTTGGGCTGCTCTGCTCAACCCATCCTCCACCACCATGTTCTTCCTCTTCCGCTACATCCTCTACTTCCTGGGGTTTAACATCCTGACGAACCTGAGCCTGTTCGGTCTCTACCATTTTCTTCCCAATCCCCCTCGAATTCTCGGCTTCCTCGCCCGAGTGATGTCGTCCTATCTAACCATGATTGTGTGCGCTGCCTACGGGACCGTCGCGTCTGCTATACTTAAAGTTATGGGCCTAGAATTCGCATATGCACAGTGGACCACAGGCAAGGCATTCGAGCTTCTGTGCACATACACTACGGGCGTGACATTTGATATTGTCGACAACGGCCGCGACATTCTCGACAACAATCGCCCTGTGGTATTTGTAGTCAATCACCAAACCGAACTTGATGTGCTGCTGTTAGGAACCATCTGGCCCAAATACTGTTCTGTCACGGCTAAGAAATCTCTCCGCAATATGCCATTATTGGGCTGGTTCATGATTCTCTCCGGCGCCATCTTCATCGATCGTGTGGACCGGAGTCAAGCCGTGAAGGCATTTGAGGGAGCTGCCCAAGCCATGCGAGAGAAGAGGCAAAGTGTGGTCATTTTTCCCGAAGGAACGCGGAGTTATTCCGCAGAGCCGATGTTGTTGCCGTTCAAGAAAGGGGCATTCCACCTTGCCGTACAGGCGGGAGTGCCCATTGTGCCCGTGGTGGCGGAGAACTACAGTGCTGTGCTGAATATCAAGGCCAGAAGATTCAACAGCGGTTCTATCAGAGTTAAAGGTATGCCGAAATGGCCGGGCTGGAAGAATGGCTTAAGCTGACATTGGAATAAGTGCTCGATCCGATTCCTACTGCTGGTCTCACCGCCGCCGACGTCGACCAATTAACCCGAGACACACGGGAAAAGATGCTTAACACCCTCATTGCCATGGGACGGGATTCCGAATCACGATCCGTAAAGTCCAAAAAGGAGTTGTAAGCTTCCGACCACCGCTCTCCGGGCATTTCACTCCTCCGAGTGTCGATGCTTGGAGCATCAACGAAAGAGAGCCAGAACGACGAAGAACGACACGGATGATTTCGTCACCATTTCCATTTCAACCTCGGACGAGCCAGCAGAATGCAAATTCCGACGAACGTCCGATCGTCACCGATGATAATCCGCTTTGCGGATAATTCCTCGGGGCCTTCGAGTTTCACACAGGCCATACTACGGTCGCCATAGGCCACCGCCGTCATCCGCTGGATAATGAATAAACAGTACTGCGCTGGTTATGCATGCACCTGACACCTGATGATTACTGGAAGAATAAGAATGGCGCTGAGGGCCAACGTTCGGGTGAACATGACATTAGTAAAGACCTAGAACGAATTGAACGGTTTGAAGCATGCTGATGTATTTGAAAGAAACGATGCGATAGAGTATAGAAGGGATGTAGGTTTGAATTCTTGAACAGCCCTCATTTTTCACCCTGAATGCGATACCCACGCTACCCAAAGACCGGAGATCCGTTAGATAGATAGGCTGAGCAGTCAAAGAGCCTTATGAAGATTGTAGATCTCAGAAGAATTGTTGCACATCTTTTTTGATCTACTCAAGCTTTTCATTTTCTCAGTCGCATTATCTAAGGTTTCCCCTTTTCTTACCCTGTGTGGGAGTGTAGAGCTCCCTATCCTTCATCTTTATCCTCATTGATACCTATTGATGAACGATGCCATCTTCCTGGCCGCCTGGTACTCACCGATCGCCGTGCCTAATTTCACGGACCATAAATTGGCTCTTCAGGAATCGGCATCCTGACTTGAAGACCAAGACGTCCACATTTAAGACTCAATACTCAAACTCCTTGAATGACCGGACCAAGAGACCTGATTGCCTGAGGTGTTCCTTGACTTGAGCAACAGTGTATTCGCCGCGGTGGAACTGTGAGCAGTGGGCACTTCGGTTAGTCGAAGGAATATTTCGGAGGGAGGAAAATCAAATCGGCCGAGTCCCGTTTTGAGAAGAATGGAACCGAAAAAGAGCGTCAACGGGGCTAAGTGAAGGAAAACCGAGTGCAGGATGGATCGAGAGAGCGAAGGAAAGATAAACACGGAAGGACGGAGAATAGAAGATAAAGAAGTCCAGGAAAATAAGAACGGAAGGATCAAAGACTTACCATCCCAGCACCCAACGCTGCATCCACGTCCGTACACCGAAACACCTCCTCGAAATGCGCTGGACGACCTGCTCCCGAACTCGCGATAACAGGGATCCCAATGACGGCTTTCACCATCGCCATCAACTCGAGATCATACCCATTATTCTGTCCATCGCGATCAATGGCATTCAGTAAGATCTCGCCCGCGCCCATGGCCTCGACGGCCGTGACCAGCTGTGTGACGTCGAGATCTCTTGTTTCGCGCCCTCCCTTGATCGTGCATGCGAACCAGACGTACTCTCTCCCCTGTGCGTCAGGGAAGGCCGTGCGGATCGTACGGTGCCTTGTCTCGCTCGGCGAAGAGACGTACACGCGCTTCGGGTCGACGGAGACCACAACGGCTTGCCCGCCGTACGCGGCCGAAATGGTCTCAATGCCTGTTGTGCCTGACAATTTCTTGCCGGATGCATAGTATGCTTCGGCGGCGAGGACGGCGTCGCTGCCTATTGAGACCTTGTCGGCGCCGGATGCGAAGTAGAGCTTCGCCACGTCGAGTGCAGACACGGGCTTGTTCGTGGCTGGGTCGACCACGTCGCGGATCCCGCCGCCGACGGTCAGTGGCACGAAGACGGTCTCGCTGGTGCGTCGGAGAATCTCGAGCATCGGTAGGTCTGCGACGGGACAGTCACGGAACGAGGTGATGTTGAGGAATGTCACTTCGTCGGCGCCCTGTGTGTAGTATTTCTTCGCCATGTCCACGGGTTTGCCTAGGTTGCGGACTTGGGAGCCGGCGGTTTTCTCGCGCACGTCGTATTGGTCACCCTTAGTGACGACGAGGTCGCCTGCATCGTTGGTCCGGACGTCCAGACAGGCGATGATGCGTCGTGTGAGGCCGTTTGTGGCCCCGTCCGCAGCTGTGGAAGTAGCTCCGTTCATTAAGAGGGTAGTGTGTGCGGGATCCGACCAGACTCTGCCCTCGAGAAATGCCTTGATGACTTGCAGACCAGCCGCGCCAGATTTCTCGGGGTGGAATTGTGTGCCGAGCACGTTCCCGCGGCCAATGGCTCCGACGTACGTTTCATCCCCATACGTGGCTGTTGCGACGGTCCAGCCATCTTTCTCCAGCTCCCCGGGCGTGTAAGGGGCGAAGTAGCTGTGTACATAGTAGTACTTACTCGTTGGGTTGAGGCCATACAAGCATTTGCCCACTGGGGTTGTCTGATCAGAGGGCGGAGAAGATTGATGGTGCACCGTGGAGGCGTCGTTCCAGCCTATACAAGGCACAGACTTCCGCGAACCATCTTTGTTTTGGGGATTGAAACGGCGGAGAGACGTCGGGATGAGACTAAGACCCGAGACTGAAGGAGCTTCTTCGGAACCAGCGAACAGGGCTTGCAAGCCCACACAGATGCCGAAGAAGGATTTTCCCGATGAGATATGTTCCTGGATAGCAGGGAGATAGCCGGCCTGAGAGAGGGAGCTGAGACAGTGGCCAAAATGGCCGACACCAGGGAGTATTATTTTCTAGAACAGAATGTCAGAGAGTGATGCACCTGGTTGAGAGTAGAGTGTAGAATGAAATCGTAGCCCCAGATTTGAATCGGCCATCCTTGCGCTGAAGTGCATGTAAATGAATAGTGAGGAGGTACCAACATACATCTGCATTCTTCACATCCTGAGGGCTCCGGATCCATTCGACTTCATACCCGCACTTCTCGATCGCATTGACGAGGGAGCGGATGTTGCCCGCGACGTAGTCGAGGAGGTGGACGTTAGGCATATTAACAGGTATCAGAAAAAGGGGGGAAAAAGGAAACGCAGGATCTCAATGATGCGAGAGAGACGGATCAAGGGCGAGCCATCTTGCCTTGACAATAGATGAGATGGCCTTATGGCACGCAGAGAGGAGGCTACAGCGAGTATGGGGCTGTGAGGTAACTGAGGAGTGAAATTTGAAGATTGGAACCCGAATTCGGAAGTGAGTCATACAGGGCCATTGATCAATCGCTCGATAGCACTTCACATCATCACGACCAGAGTGTTAAGTATAACATGCTCCGATCCTCACTTCTACGCAGCTACACTTCATGGCATTTTAATTGATGAAAACTGTAGGGTACGTTGGAAACAATAAATTCTTTCCATCCCTGTATACCAAGAGTATCATTTCCGCCGACCCCTTAGGTCCCAACCAACGCCAGTCATGTCGATTCAATTTCGATCCCGCCACTATTGTACATTGTGCATCTCGGAGGCACAAATCGTGATGCATTTCGAGGTCTTTACGTATCATCCCACATGTATCAAGTTTCGTCTACTGCGTTGTAGCTCGGATGGCTTGCAGCAAAAGGGCAAAGATCAATCCTCTCGCTACATTTTCCACCTGCAGACAATCAAATACTCTGCCCAAGGCTTCGCCGGTGGCAGCCGCTCCCATGACACTGGTCAATGCCTGGGGCATGCCTCGTTCAACCAGCAGTTTTCGTGCCTTCTTCCGAAGCTTCTCCTTCTCTTCCGACGTTATCTCTTCCGGCCATTTGGCACGCTCTTCCTCGGTCGGTAACGTGTTTTCTCGGAGGGTGTTGATATGGGTGGCCAGTCCTTTATCAGAGAAATTGGTCTCGACCACACTTTCCTGCAGAAGGACCCGGATCGACTCGAGTTGAGGATTGTTCGGCCGGAGGAGAAACGTTCTTGCAGCTCCCAGAAGAGACAGTCGAATTGACCATGCCCCGGAGAGTGAGTAGAGCTCAGTGAGAATGGCAAAGATCAGCTCGACCAGGATCCGAGTCTCTTCCTCGGAGATGGGGATATCTTTTTTCGCCCTCCGTCGGGGTGTCGTTGACACGTGGCTCGATGCAGGTGTTATTCCTGTTTCCTCCATTTGGGAAGACGGAGCTGGTGGTGCTGGATTCGCCACAATCGTATCCTGTCGTGACCGGGGTGGAGTCTCCGGTTTGGCTAGAGTGGGCGGCTCGTAATCGTCGGGAATCATACTCGGTGGGGGTGGTGTAGACAGGACCTCCTCCGAGGGCGGGGTAGAATCCCCTAAGACTGACGACGTCTTCGAATGCCGTGCCGGGCTCGAAGTATGGGCGTCTTGTCTGGGCGGGAGTGGCGGAGGCTTGACATCCAAGCTTTCCGTGCTTTGTCTCGACAATTCCTGACTGTACCTGAAATTCGAGGAAGAAGCTGTGTCAGTCCTTGAGAATTGCGGTGCAGGTCGAGAAGCAGGAGTCAATTTTTTGGGAGCCCCGCCCACGCCGGTCGCCACAGCACCAAAGACCCCCTGCACTCCTCCCAGAACTGCTTTACCCCCGCCAGCAATGTTCTTTCCACCTTGGCCCAGGACATTGATGAAATTTTTGCCGACATTCTCCAAGGCTGCTCCCCCCTGAACCAGAACATTTTTACTATGGGCGGGAGCCTTTTGCAGACCTGTCTCTTTATCCAGGAATTTCTTCATCACTTCGGTCTCTGCCAAGGACTCGAACTTGAGAGAGAACCGCAAATAGTTCTCCAAACTTTGCAACAGACCCGAACTGGTCTGTCCCTTCCAGCCAGGTAGGGTGGGATACTGTTGTCCAAACTCAGGGACACCCGAGAGGCGAGCAATCGTAGTCAAGGTTTTATGAAGCGGCTCAAAATCTGCATACCGGCGAGTCACCATCCATCCAGGATATCGTTGTGAGGCTGGTTCGATTTGCAGCAGATACTCATTGTTGGGTTTTTGTTTGAATGAGGACCTCTCGGGCCCGTCGCTGAGATCCATGATTGTAAGGGACGCGTTGTACAACGTCAATGGCATTGCCACCATGACCTCGGCCGGTGGTGGAGCGACAGATACCGGTTGTACCGGGGTTTGGATACAATCGCCCAGCTGATCAAAGTCGGTAAAGGAAGCTTGCTCTTTGCTTGGACTGGGGCGGCTAGAAGCGATTGCATTGCCGTCGATATCAAAGACCGTAGACGACTCCGTTGACCGTTCTCCCTGTCGATTCCGGTCACTGTCCGACGATGTAGGAGTCGCCATTCCCGCATCTGTTGTCACCGAGCTGGTTTCCTCATGCTCGCTTGGAACCAATCCATGCTTCCGTCGGGCCTCATCCTCAGCAATCATCTCGTTGAGTCTTTGAGCTTCTCGCATGGCTTCTTGCATCGCCTCTTCAGCCCTGCTCACTCGCCTACTATGGCCCTTTCCCGAATCAGCATCTGTCTTTGCTTGCGACATGGCTCCACTCATATCTTCTACTCCCGCGTCGATAACATTCATGATCTCGGGTTCTCCATCTTGTAGCAGATAAACGATCCATCCATTGATCCATTCCGGTCTGGAACACATGTCAATCGTAGTTTCCAGAACGAGACCGGATAGCACCTCGCGCAGGAAAATTTTGACCGGAGGATAACTGTACGCCTTAGGGTCGAGGAAATTTTGCAAGATGTCGTCAGCAACAAGATTGAGTTTGCGTTCTTGTTGCTCTCTGCTCAACACATTGGCCAAGCTACTCTCCGGTTGAAGCCGTAAGTATGTCTTGATGGCCGTCTCGGCATCCTGATTCTGCGAAGCCTTCAAAGCCGCACCCAGCTCGTTCAGGAAGACGATGACGATCGAAGTGGAATTTGATAGAAAATCCAAGAAGGGATCTGCGGCTCGTTTGCGCGAAACATGGTTGGAGAAGGAGATGATGAAACTCGTGAGGGTTTGTCTGCAGCTGGCTGGGAAGGATTGTTCTCTCGGAAGAAGTGGACTGTACCACCACTTCACGTAGTCTCTTACAACGGCATCGGTCAAGCTGGTCAGGGCCCGTCCGGTCTCCGGAGGGAAGTCGGAATAGTCCAGTGTTTTCGTGGTGGGATCAATCTCGACGCGGGGATCGTCAAAAACACTTTCTTCTTGCTTTTCCTTTTGTCTTCTCTCTCGCCAGTCGAGGATTCTCTGTGCCACTTCAATCCCGAGCTCTTTTCTTCGACGATTTAAGTCACGACTCTCCGCATTTGATCTTCCACTATGCTGACTCTCCCAGGTAGCGTGGAGGACGATTCCGCCGACTGCGCCAATCAAGACCAGACCAACCCGGCCGAGCACGAGATAGGTAGAGGCACACAAGCCCACGGCGCAGGCTCCGAGTGTCTCATTACTGGCATTTGCCAAAAATCTCAGAGTGGCATCGATTGCAGCAGAGGCAATGATCGGTTTCCCCGTTGGCAGTGCCGGTTCAGGGATGCTGGTGGATGGTTCGGATGGTGCGCTGACGGGCACATCCACAGGGTCAGGACGTTCCTCCATCGTTGTCATTGCTCATGGTGATTTCTGTAAAATTGTCCTTGAGGAGAATTGTTTGATTGCAGTCTGGCTGATGTCCTCAAAAGGACACTGTTCGTCTCGCATGAGCCGGATTGTGGGGATCCGCGTATTGAGGCAGAAAGGGGGTTTCGGAGGCTCAAAAATCGAAATCTGCATGTTGAGACGGCAGATCCCCGGTCCAAAAAAGAGTTTCCACCATTTGGAGAAAACTGAATATCGAAGCCAGGCCAGGGACAAACTTTGTTTCTATTTCTTCTAGATCCCAAGGAAAAAAAAATTATTTGGGTCAGTCACCTTGTCCGACTCCTGAATCTCCCAGATGGCTGATCAGATTTGCGCAAACTGCCAGGAGCCACTTCTCATAGAAATTGAACCAGACAGTGATGTCGAGGATATTAAAGCGACTGCGCAAGTCCAGAGTGTACCCGACGACGTAGAGTTAAGCTGCGGGTGCCATTACCATTGGTATGTCTATACGTGAATAAACAATCTATACAAGACTAACCAGCCTTCTCCAGGGAATGCTTTTTGGAAGCTTACACTCTCACGGAATGCCCGGATTGTTCCAGAGACATCTCGTCGCTCTCACCCAGTGGGGCCCAACAAGTTCTCGTCGTTCTCCGGAACGAAGGAGGTATTCAAGAGGGTTATAATATCCTCCCAGCCGCCTGCGAAGAGGCCTACCTACGGGCGTACCCTGAAGAACGAAAAGGTCGTGCATACATGGAATTCTGCCGCGAAGGCGACATTGATGCCGTTATCCTCATGATCAAAGACGTGGATGAAGAAGAGCAGGGAGAACACGCTGACATATTGAGGTATAAGGGCACTTTTGAAGGGATTGAGGGATCGGGTCTGCACGTTGCAATCCGGTACGGGCAACAAGAGGTGGCATGGTTACTGCTGGCGCTTGGGTCACAACTTGAATGGGACAAGTTTCCAGCGCCCGTCCTTCAAGCGATACAGAGTTTGGGGCTGCAGAAAGAAGATAGGAACTGTGACCCAGACATCCGGACACTGGTGGACAGCGAAGGGAGAACACCGGCGGCTCTGGCACGAGAGCTGGGAGGAGTGTGGACGGAATGGCTCAGTCGGGGCCGATTGGCTCCGTGATTGCGAATTTGAAAAAAAAAAAAAAAAGTGCGATGTGCTTGTCTCACACCATAATTCTCTTTTCGCCGAGTAATTGTGCGTCGCTAGAGATCTAAAGCATAGGTGTGATATTGTTCTCCGGTATCCGAGTGAATCATAGCACCATGGAACTGTGTCATGCCTGATGCAAAGAAGACGCCGGTGGTAATATCTAGAGCTCGGGAGTATGGAGCTAGCAAAACCCCTCGCGCGCTGGCTGCCGTCATGAGACAGAACGTCTTGTCCTGGAGCCTTTCTCCGACAATATGTTAAGAGCTCTTGCTCTGCTGTTGATCGCGCAGAATATACTTCGTATGCGTGCCATGCGCAACGATCGTCTTGTCTTCCCCGTTTCCTTTGGATATCGTCACGGTTGTGAAGCCCATATTTCTGCCGACTTTGCTCACATTGCCCTCGATCGTCAGAACATCGCCTAGTTTCGCAGTCGAGACATAGGAAACATGAATGTCTGTACTCAATCCCGTCTTCTCCAACCCAGTACTTGCAATGGCCATGCCGCCGGCCCAATCAATGATGGTCGCCGACACCGAGCCATGAAGCCCGCCTTTGGAGTTGAGATGGTGTGAAGTGACTGGAAGAGTAGCGACCATGGATCCATCCGTGGCACTGACTAGGACAATGTCGGAAAAGAAGAACTTATACACGGGGGAGTTCTGGGAGATCCGCGCCCAACAGGATTTGACGCTTTCGAGGGGAGTCTTGGTCGAGCCCATCTTCGATAGCCGAGACGAAATAGGCAGTCATGTAAGCAGTGAAAACGAGAGCGAAGACGTCAAAAACACGAGTCGAGCCAAACCTGTATTCTATAAATCTAAGAAACAATGGAACTAGTCGAGCGAAAAATCAAGTCAACGACAACCACTAGAATGATATGAGCTCCGATGTTGGGAGCAGAAATCTCGGCACACCGCCTTTTTTCCTCATGCGGCAGAAAAGTTGCTCCACCCCCAAAAAAAAATTTCCTGTTAATTTTGTTTGCGGCAGTGGCAGTGGCATTGGCAGCGGCACCGCAGCCAATATTTTCCTTACTCTTGCGCGGCATTCAGCGAAAGTGTAGGATATTGGCAGCAATGGGCAAGCATGAACTCGACGAGGCAGCCCAGTTAACTAAACAAGACAAGAAGCGGAGGAGAAAAGATCGCAAAAAAGGGCCGCGGCTTCAGGATATCACTCCGAGTTCGACTGACGCAACAGCCAATTCGACACCGGCTCCGGAAGACGACAGTGAAAGCACAAAGTATACACCTCATCCATCTCTCAATGCCCAGCCGCAAGCCGATTTAGACGAGTTCTTCAAGTCACAGTCGGTCCAGGTTGCTGATTCACGGAGAACCAACTTAAGACCCATTCTAGCCTTCTCACATCTTCCCGTCGAACTAGGTTCCCAATTTTCGACAATTTTCTCCTCCTTTCAGAATCCCTCGTCGATCCAATCTGCGGCTTGGCCGTTCCTTCTATCCGGACGAGATGTCGTCGGAGTGGCAGAGACTGGTAGCGGGAAGACCATCGCCTTCGGGATGCCTCTGGTAGTCCGGTTGACGGCGATGAAGAAGAACAAGGGAATAAGAGCCGTTGTCATCGCCCCGACTCGAGAACTCGCTATCCAAGTGTATGAGCAGGTTGATAAATTATGCAGCACCGCTCATAAATTGAAGGCTGTGTGCATATATGGTGGAACCAACAAGGACGAACAGCGTCGAAGTCTCCAAGGAGCAAATGTGATTGTCGCCACTCCAGGGAGAATGAAGGACTTCATGTCTGATGGCACCGTCGACCTGTCCAAGACGCGGTATCTGGTCCTCGATGAAGCCGATCGCATGCTCGACAAGGGATTCGAGGACGATATCAAGCACATCATCTCCGCAATGCCCTCGTCAAGCAAGCGTCAAACCGCCATGTTCACAGCCACATGGCCCAAATCGATCCGCGATCTCGCCGCAACATTCATGAAGGACCCAGTGAAGATCACGATCGGTCGCAATGATGCCGACGATTCAGGCGAGCTGCGAGCCAACACCCGTATCGTCCAGAAGGTCGAAGTCATTGACGGCGCTATGAAGCAGCAGCGACTTCTTCAGCTGTTAAAAGAGCATACTGCCGGCGAGAGGCGCGATGACCGGATTCTTGTCTTTTGCTTGTACAAGAAAGAAGCCCTGCGGATCGAAAACTTTATTCGAGGCCGAGGCTTCAACGTCGCCGGTATCCACGGTGACATGTCTCAGTCTGCTCGAATTGCCAATCTGGAATCCTTCAAGTCTGGCTCAGTCAATCTCCTCGTGGCCACAGACGTTGCGGCGCGCGGTCTTGATATTCCCGAAGTTAAACTCGTCATCAACGTAACTTTCCCTCTCACAGCCGAAGATTACGTGCATCGAATTGGTCGGACTGGTCGTGCTGGTAACGATGGTCTGGCCATCACCTTGTTTACCGAACAAGACAAAGGTCTCGCTGGGGCGTTGATCAATGTGCTGAAAGCGGCGAAACAAGATGTTCCGGAATCGTTATTCAAGTTTGGCACGACTGTGAAGAAGAAGCAACATGACTTGTATGGCGCCTTTTTCCGGGAAGCCGAAGATGGAAAGACGGCGACGAAAATCACATTCGATGATTGATATGGTCATATTCAGGATTTTGCATCGTATACAGTTTGATCTGTTGATGGCTTTGTCAAGAGATGTTTCGCCAGTCCTGGAATTTTGATGGCAAGGCGTTGAGGGATAATGGTTTCGAGCATCATCAAAAGGAATCCTCGTTCGGTGAATAGACTGGATGCAAAGATTAGATGGTCAGTAGAGTTCATCCAGTCAGACGGCATAGACAATGGATGAATCGTAAATAGGGGGACTCACACCGTGGAACTCAAGAGTACTATTCCACCCATGAGAGCGCCCAGGAATTGACGGTCCAAACCCACACTGTCAGGTGTAGACTCAGTAATTGTGCTCATCCTCAATGCCAGAGTGATCAGGCCTGTCACAGCGATAGATGAACCGGCTGGGAGCGTATCCCGTACCATGTCTCTGACCAGTCCTTCCCCGTCCTTTATATTGGTCTGACTCCAAACCCTTATAAATTCTGCGCTCCAAACAATCCTCAAGGCCATGTTTACCATGTTAGCACCGACAAGCCCTGCTGCGCCCATCTCAGACGCCTTTAACATTGCCCATGCTGCAACCCCAAAGATGCCCGTGAAGAGCATCATCCAGGCTGATTGCGCGCGTAGCTGGACCGGCGTCGCTACCGAAGTGACGAACGCGTCCAAGATCCCATTCACTGCCACCAGCGGGATGTAGAAGCAGTAGGTGGAGAGTAAAGATGCCGTGGAGGACGTATACCAGCCTGCGCCAATGATCTGTTTGACGACCAATGGAAGAATATAGGGTGCAAGGCTGACAAGGGGCAGCGCCATCAGAAGATAGAAATGGAGAGTATTGGCTAGATATTTCAGGGCCTGGTGGGCCCCTTTCGAAGCATCCTGCGTCGTTTTGCTGGTTGACGGCGACAGAAGTCGGCCGAAGCTGTTTCGACTGCTCTCCTCGACAGGCTGGAACACAAGTCGAGCCAGAAGTCCACCATAGTTGGACGCCAGGGCAAAGGCGCCTTGGTCCGCGAGGGAGGAGAGGAAACTCAGGATCAGAGCGTCACCCTGGGTCAGGAGAAGTTTGAATCCCGATTGCATGTACATTGTGACTGCAACAGAGAGTATTGCTTTGTGGAAGAGGTTATCGTAGTAGATCGAATTGCTGGAAGGGGAGACCAGTCTTTGAGGAAACAAGCTGAAGTCTTCGTGTTTGAGTAGTCTGAAGATTGGGAGGAGGTAGAAAAAGAGAAGTACGCTCGCATAGGCAGCTTGTCCCACCGCGAAAGGCAGGATAGATGGAGCCAGTCCTCTCCGATGTCCAAGCATGGCGACAAGGCAGGCTGAAAAGCACCGTGCCATGGCGGCACCGGTTTCTGCTCGTGCTCTGTCCGCATATAACTCTTTCTGCTGGATAACGACGAAGGCCGGTTCCGCGAGCAATTCTATCAACGTGGCAGCAGCGTATATCTGGAATGAGAGAGCAAAGTAAGGGCTGTCCAGGACTTCATTTGGCGCCCTCTGGAGATAAGTGTAGCCAAAAACGGCGGAAATACCCAATCCAAGGAGAACTGCTATGAAGGATAGGTTGACGACTGTCTGCGTCTCCTTCCCTCGGCTGCCTTCTTCGCTTTCCCCTGACGGAGAAGGGCTCCCTGTCGCTGAGCCTGGTGGTTGTCGTTGTAGCGCCACTCGCAAGCTCTCTCGGGCGAAGTACAGACTCGTTACGGAGACCAGCTCGAGCTGGATCGCGATGCCCAGCAGAGAGGGCGAAAGAAAACGAAGAAGGAATTGGTTGCCAATGAAGGTGAGCGCTCGAGAGGCGACTTGGACAAGAATGAGGAGCAGGGTACCATTCCCAGGTCGCTGTGCTTCCTCCGAATTTGCCATGCCGCTAGTCTTTTGAAGTGTATTATATGTGTAAAATTTCCAGCCTTGTAAAGTCCCCAGGTGCTGCTTCAGGGGCCTGGTCAAATATTGCGAATTGCAGCTGACTGGGATGTCACGTCCCAAGCAAAGTCTTATGGCATTTCGCTTCCAGAAGATGAAATGGACAAAGTTATCTTGACTGAATTCGAAACCGTTACTTCCCCTGGATGATGAATGGGTCGAGATTTTAAAAATTATGTACTTTTCGAAGGTGGGTATTTGGTCAGGGCCACGTGTCGAAGTCCAGTCTTCCTAGGGATTTCGTGAAGAGGACGGTCAACGGTCCGGGATTAGTGGTAGTCTACATAGCGCGTTGAGGTCGGAAGAGAGTGAGATTGGGAGACTGGGGGTTGGAAGAGTTGATGAAGCTAGTCACAGATGAATACGGTCATCAAATGCCGAGCGATTTGTTCCTTGCTCCAAGGGTTCTTTCATTTCTTTAGATGTACAAGTGAGCCGTAGCCATGCCCCTGCCACGATGTGGACCAGGAAATCCACTCCTTGTTCCCAAATCACCAGTGTAGTTGACATTACATTTTGCGTCTTCTCTCCGGACTCGGCTGAGCCTGGCTGACGTTTACGCATCGTCCACATCCATCTTCTCGACCACCACCAGGCTATCCGAATCACTTCCACTGCCAATTTCATGCACGGTCACATAGCGCCCAATTTCTTCTTTGGTGATCACCTTCTCATTCAACACCGCTGTTGTGCCCTTCGCAAATTTGTAGTTTCGTTCCTTCTTCACCCGCTCATTGGGTTTGATGTAGTTTCTCATCAACTGTGTTGGCTTGTCCTTCTCCATCACGCATACGTCGACATTGCTTCCCGATCCCAAGTCGTTGAAAATACCTGCCAGAATGGCTTCGGCACAAAGTTTGATGGCGTCTTCTCTGCTACAACCTCTTTTCCACGTTGACTCGAAGACCGCCATTGCCGCTAGTGAACCGGAGCCCATGGTGACATAAGGGAGCTTGTCCGTTGATCCGTGGGCATGAACAGTGAACAATCCGACACCCGTCGGGTCAACACCAGCAACCACCAAATATGCTCCAATATAACCTTGGTACCGGAAGAGATGTTGCTTCAGCATAGTCATCACCGTCACGACACGGGGACTTCGGCCTGTTGAGAGAGAATGTAGTTCAAGATTGGAGGAGATGAGAGCGGTGGTGAATTCTGTGTCAGCAGCAGTACCGGCGCCTGCGCACCAGATGCTGGGGGAGATATAGTGCAGCTTTTCGCAGTTCTATAGAAACTGAGTCAGAGATCATTCGATAAGATGTCACACATGTTGACTGCGCACCTTGTCGGCTACTATAGGACCACTTGTGGCTCTGGTATCTGCAGCGATCTGCGCAATTCGTTCGTCAGTGTTGCGACGGCCAGAAGTGATTGTTACCAAACTGAATTTATCCACATACCACCACGCCATTGTCAAATATACAGCCCACAATGGTCGTCCCTGTGCTTGTGGCTTTGGGTAAAGGGACTCCTCGGGCGTGGAGAGCCGCGTTGCGGTTGTAATTGCTGAAGTCAAAGCCGGGCATGGTTGCGGCAAGGCGCGAAGCCTTGAACGGGGATGAGGAAGTGAGAGGGACGAGCTCAAGTCTGTAGAACGAGAACTTGAAGGAGGGGAGGAGGAAAACTAAAAGGGAGCAATTCGACAAAGGAAGCTTTGTCAAAAGGCTGCTTTGAGATGCGCAACACCTCCATCGGAGGAGCATTGCCGCATGAGGTGCGCGAACATCTTGGCAACAGCATTTTTCGACTATTCCTCTTTCGGCAAAACAAGGCTGCAAGGCTGCGGTACTTTCTTGCTTCCCCTATTCACCAGGCATCGAAGAACAGTAGGTAGATCTTGTCTCAGAATATATTGTAATATCCGTATACGGTCTTGCTTGACTTCAATCTCGGAATGTACCGTATCTAGACGTCTATGGTGACTCCTCTCTGTCAAGGCGTCAACATTGTCTCAACCATCGTCCTCCAGACGCTTGACGGAACGTCGTTCACGCCTTCGATGCCACAATCTCCGCTTGTTCCACGCGCCCCGCCTTCTCGCCAATGGAAGGACGTCGGCGAATTTCATCCTCCTCATCTTGTTGTGCAGCCTTCTCGAGCTCAGCCTTCTCCGCATCGGTAGCTCCGTAGAAATGAATGGCCACCTGCTCGCCGAATTGTGCATTGATGTCCTCCTACAAGTAATGTTAGTCAGAGCTCTGAAATACATATCCTGTATTGTAGATGTACCAAGCTTCGACCCTTGGTCTCAGGGCACAGGAAGTAAACGAAGATGATGTGGAGCGCGGTAGGAATGATCAGGACGAAGAAGAAGCGCCAGCTAATCTTGTCAAGGGCGATTGGTCCAGCGACGAGAATGATGATGTCTGCGAGATACAGACCGCACATGCCGAATGCCATGCCTTGGCTACGAATGTGGGTTGGGAAGATTTCAGATCTAAGGACCATGTTAGCTCGGCACGACTCAATTTTGTGACCCTCCAGGATTAAGATCACGTACAGGTACAGGAATTGGCTGGCATCCATGAAAGTACTCCAGAATGGTGTGATAAAGCAGAACAAGAAGAAGATTGCTGCGTTTTGTCCAGCCCGATTGGTTGTCCCGAGGAACTCTGCCTGCAGAGCAGTCTCGCAAATGAGGCAGACAAGGATACCTGTCAGCCCGATGAGCATGAATCTGCGGCGGCCGAAGCGTTCGATGAAGAAGGCACAGAAGATATTTCCAGGGAAAGTCGACGTCACCCATAGAGATGTGAGAAGCAGAGGCCAGTAGCCGGCCATCCCAAGACTGACATATAGAATGATACCATAATTCGCGATGATGAGCACGCCCGTGAATTGATTGTTCCACATGAGCAAGAAGCCGACCAGAGCACGTCTTCGGTTCGCAGGCGTCTTGAAAAGCTCCCATCTTGAGGTTGCGGCTTTGATTTGGCGATCCAACTCGACTTGCTTCCTCATCTGATAAAATTCCTTTCGAGCAAGGGTGTCATGGGCGTCGTCCTTGGTTCTGTGCAATCGTTTGATCACTTCGTGGGCCTCGTCGAAGCGGTTATGCATCATAAGCCAACGGGGACTGTATGGAAGCCAAGGTGAGCCGAGGAGAAGGAGTAGGGCCGGGACCATTTGGAATGCAATGGGAAACCTCCAAGGAAAAGAAGATGGTGACCCGCTGGAAGAGATGAAGGATACTCCGAACCCAATCCAGGCGGATAGGGAATAACCCATGGCGAACATGACCCCCTTCGGAACGATAAGTCCCCGAATAACGAAGGAGGGGCTTTGAGAAGACACTTACGTGCATAGACACCATGAAGCCGCGACTTTCGGGCGTCGAGACCTCTGCTTGATACCTAGAGGCTGTTAATTCGAACCGAACATGAACAAGTTGCATACTTCGTACATGGGAATTGCAGTGACGAGAGATCCAATGCCAAACCCGTTGATCAAACGGCCCACCAAAAACATAGCATTATCGACGGAACCAGCGCAGATCGCAGCTCCGATAACAAGAACTATCGCCGCAAGTTGGATCGTTCTCTTTCGACCTAGTCTATCTGCAAAGTAAGAGCAACCGGCAGCTCCAATAGCTGAACCAGCGGAGTTCACACCTACAGAGACAGATGTTGGCGTTATTCGAGTTTCTAATTAGAGATGTGTTCGACTTCCTCACCATTGAATGCACCAATATATTGAGCAGTACGGCTGTATCCTGGTTCTCCTTGAGGGGCGAGATCGAGAGATTTGTAGAAACTTGGTTGGCCGATCGTAGAACTGCAAAATCCTGAGCTCCTTCGATCTGAGGCAAGATAATGAGGACTACATACCCTATGATGGCCATGCCATAGGAGCATGCTGTCGAACCCAAGGCGACATAGATCACAACCGCCAGGTTAAATGCATTGGGGATGAGTTTTCCCATGGTGGGTATAGAAGTGGACTCAGTCCACGACAGTGAACCTTGAGGAGACTATGAAACTCTTGGGAACTGAAGCTGCTGGTCTAGGTCAGGTAGGCTTTGTGGAGACGGAAGTCTGACGAGCGAAACTGCAGCACACAGGGGAATGGAAGATGTATATGAATGCAGATTAAGATACGAGCCTCCAAAAACACTGACCAGAGCACCTCCGAAAAACTTTCTATCATGATTCTCACCTTCATTTGTCTCCTACCGGAGCTTCTGAACTCTGCCGAAAAGATGTAAGAGTATGATTGGCCATCAGGCGATGCATTACTTTTGACCTCGAGCACAAACAGGGGCCGGACCTGGTCCATGCTACACGGATTTGCGGTTTCGTTCGAACAAGCTAGTCCTGCGGGGGATAAGAATGCTGCAGGAGGAGAGCAAGGCGAAAGCGTGATAGACTTTCGACTGCGGTTCCGTGTATCTGGCTACGGGCTCGAATGGCTGCCAGCCTAGAGAATCCAATGGTGTCTCGGACAAAGTTTTTGTGCGGGGGATGGGTCTAGTCCTCGAATTCCCCAGACTTTGTGCAGTGACAAACCCGAGGTCCAAATCTCGAAAGAGTTAGATAATCCGATTGCTTCTCGGAGCGAACAAATGGTCGACTAGTTGGCTGGGAAAGAGTCAGGGAAGTATGACAGGTGAAGGCGATAGGTGCCTCTTTCTCTGCCCACCATTGGAAGGTTGATTCGTTCGCTAAGGATTCTTCACGCCAATGCCGACGGAGAACTACAACTGGCGAATTGGAGCACAATTGCATGCGACATCAGGGGCCGATAGGAAGGTGCCCGTGGCAGGAGGGCGACCTTGGGCTTCGACAAGATCGTCTGACCTCCTAGGCTTTCAAGGAAAAACCTACATTTTGGGGTTAGGATCCGAATTCTGGAGTCTGCCTACCTACTCTCGTTAGCTACACCATTCATGTTGTCTGATGATTTTCTCTCGTTTGCCACGCTGATTGCCCGGCAAATTTCCCATTCTGATATGCCCTGAAATCGTTTTCCATGTGGCAGATGCATTGTCACACATGAGCAGGGACGGGGTAGACCTTTTCGATTGAATCGGTCTGATCCAGCCTGTCGGTACAATCTGACAAATGGGATCTCGTGATTCATTGTGTCGGCGAAAAGCATTTTCTTGCCAAATCTCACCTGTAATCTTTTAACAGAGTTCTTGACCCCGAGCACTCCGGCTTTTGCCTGTCAAATACTGTATGTGTTTGCAAATTTGAACAGGGGCTAAAACTTAGCACTTGGTCCAGCCCCAGAAGAGAGCCAACCTTTTGCGAGACTGCTTATCGTCGCCCACTCTTTGGTGTACGCAAGTGCTTTGATTTGAGCACCTTTCTCATGTCAATGTCGACGTATTTCCGAAAGACATGCACCACTCCGCCAAAATCCGCGCCAATATGACACAGGAAGCTCCTCTGATTGAGGGGGATAGATTCCTCGTTCACGCCGTCCGCTTGTTTGCCGATCAGTGGTGGGACCGCTCATTTAACCAGGGGTCCGACAAGCAACTATTGTTCATGAAATGGCAATTCTTCTCAGCCGAAGGGGCGTTCGCCTCTTTCAGGATCATGGCATCGCCAATGATGCGATAATAGGTCCTTCTCAGCCATGATGAGAGTGTATTTGAACGCCGCTTCATACTCAAATGATGAGAGAGACGGATGAAATTTTGGACATTATCCCTCTCCGGGACCTCCATCCGGGGCATCCCGCATCACTTCGATATCTGAAAAGGGTTAGACTCCGCTAATCAATTCGACTTTGGTAAATAATCTCTGTACATTCGTACGACATGATTCCCAAGGAATCTGAGGAGAATTATTGCCTTTTCAGGATCTGAACTTGCTCAAGAAATAAGTTAGAGCTTTGCCCATTGGCATTATTTACAATCAGGACCTTAGAGCGTATACGTGACTTGTGTGGATTGCGAGATGGACCATGTCAAGTTGTTTCCGTCAAATGTAGCGAAAGACAGTCGTTTTCAGAAACTGTGAGCCAGACGCTTGAAAAACCTGGATTATTGTGACAAGGAAGGGGGAAGGAGGAATGACATGAACTTTGAAGTTCAGCCGCCCTCAAATATTCAAATGCTCCGCCGGAGCTTGGCGTCGACGCGAATCGCGACTTTTCAGCAGAGGCGCAATTCTGTTCAGGCAACTGCCTGCCCGCAAAATATTCAGTTTACCATGTTCCCTTGAGTGGCGAGAGAGCAAAGTTGCCTGTTCATTGATGATATCCTCTCAAAATTGCTGATCACAGGCGTTCTCCTTCTACCTGGAGGCCACCGGCACTCCTGCGACGCTCATTTACCTTTTCCACCTCGATTTGCAGTCTTTCACACTCGCATGTATCCTCCCCTGCAGCACCTGCCGACACAAGGCGATCGCTGTCAGCTGAGCTACCCAAACTGAGAATGGCTTTCAAGTTCTCGACCGCGGCCAGTGCCTCCGACTTCGGCTCAGCGACAAATTCTCCCCAAGGTTGGCCCAATGTGAAAGATGGACCAGAACTTCGAGAGATCCAAACAAATGAATTGGGATTTGCCGGTCTAAATGGCGAGTCCAAGGTCCAACTTCTCCCTACGCCGTGGCCATCAGATGATCTACCTCCGCCTTCGGCCTCCCTTCTCAGTGTCGCATCGGCGAAAGGACTACTAGCAGCCGCAGGTCCTGATGCTCTCTATATCGCCCCCACAGCCATGGTGAGGGCCGCCTTCCAGTCACCAGCAGCCCCAGATCGTCAAAGTGTTCGACCGTTTACGCCGGACGTCAAAATACCACAGCCTCGGCTTTCCCATGTTGCCTTCTCCTCGGATGAGAATGTCTTGGTCGTTTCGACTGAAAAGGAAGGAGATATTTTGGCTTTCCAGGTTGGCGAGGTGCAGAAAGGCCATCTTGAACCTGTTCTGCGGATATCCACAAACGGACAGAGTCTGCGGGCGCTAATCCCGAATCCTGTACCTGAATCAGCCGCTCTCTTTGCTCTAATCACCACAAATGGGGATTTGATGCTGCTCGATCTGGTGGCCGGTACTATGGTTTCTGGGAGCAACGGCAGCGTGTTGAAGAGTGGCGCTTGTTGCCTATCATGGAGCAATAAAGGCAAGCAGTTGGCCGTTGGAATGGCAGACGGGACGGTCATCCAGATGAAGCCCGAAGGTGATGTTGTGGCACACATCCCAAAGTCTACTTCCATCCCCCCGTCTATGCACGTCTCTGGAATATCATGGCTCGAGAACGACAGCTTCTTCATCATATACACGCCAAATGATACGAGCCACGGGATCCAGCCTTCTGAATACTATATCATCAACCGAGAACCAAAAGCGAATAATTACACCTTTCAAAGGTTACCCGAGGTTCTTCCTCCTTTCGGTGTCGAAAGACTACCTCCTTCACACTTCATAGTGAGACTTAGGAACTTTCAGCCTCATATTCTAGATTTGTTGGTCGTGGCCGCCACAGCAGCTACAGATATTGGTCTCATCTCGAAGACGAATAAAGCCTTGTCCCAGGAGGATCAGGTCACATCTGCCTTTACATTTACCACTATCGAGGACGACGCGAGACGTGCTGAACTGCCTCTTTCAGCTGACATGCAAGACACCTCTCCCATCGGCATGGTCTTGGATTTGTCCAGTTCTGAGAAGGTTCCAAACCCTATCCCAGCTGAACAGGAGATCCTCGAGACCGTCGGACCCGTACCTTGTTTGGTGGTCTTGAACAATGAGGGCATTTTGGTAGCTTGGTGGATCATCTACAACGATTCGGTCCGACAGAAGACCACTTTTTCGGGACTCGCACCTCTCCAAGCCATAAAAGAGTCTCCATCATCATCCTCTGCGGCACCAACTGCCACGGACGAAGCACCCAGCAACGCCAGCCCCTTTACAAAACCTACCCCTGCCAATTTCGGTGTATCAGCATCTCAGTCTCGCTTTGGCACCCCGGCAACTAAGCCGTTTGGAACATCCTCGCCTGTTGCGTCTGACAAACCCTCTTGGGCGACTACTGGCTTTGGATCCCCAAACGGTGCTGCGGCAGAGGGATCAAACTTCGGCACCCCAGCCTTTGGATCCGTGACGCCCATTGGAGGAAGTGCTACTCCTGCATTCGGCTCAACAAGTGCTCTCGGAAGTCGACTATCAACTTTTGGCCGAACTCCTACCCTAGGAGGGCCTCCTTCATTCGGTCAACCATCTCTCGTTGGTGCTGGTACCAACACCAGTCCTTTCGCCAGTGCAGGCGTTGCATCGACCGGTTCGGGATTTGCATCGTTTTCGAATGAAGGGGGATTTTCCTCTTTCGCAAGAGCCAAGACAGATCAAAATGCCCTGAGTCCTTTTGGTGCACCAGCGGGAACAAGTATATTTGGGCAGACATCCGAAAAACCTTTCGGCGTTGACTCAAAATTGCCATTCGGCCAGGCCAAACCTATTGGAAGTCAGAGCTCATTTGGGAACACTGGGTCATTCAAGTTGCAGTCGTCGTTCCAAGGCGATGGAAGTGCGAAAGACGATTTACCGAAACCCACTGAACCTAGTGGATTCGGTTTGGGGGGCTTTCTCGATGGTGTGTTGGGAGAATCAAAGCAGACCCTCTCTCCAACCCACGACCAGGAAACCGAAATGGGTGAAGAAGGCGTAGTCAGCGATGTTGACTCTGAGAAAGCTCAGGATACTTCGTTCGAAGGTTCTCCGTCTCAAAACTCGGCCCAACCTCCCCAGACGCTTGTTACTCCCCCTTCGACTCTTTCACAACCGAAAGCTACTCCGGCGCCCCCGGAATCCAGCCTATTTGGCCAGCCATCAAACCACACCACAACCCCACAGCCCCAAACGACTACGCCAGGATGGTCCTTCAACGGCATCTCCTCAACAACTCCCAAGGAGACCCCTATGCCTTCTCACATGACCTTGTTCGGTACGACGACCGCTGCAAACGACACTCCCGCCGCCGTGGCGCACAGCGAACCTGCAGTACCATTTGCACCCATTCAACACAGCCCTCAGATTAAAGAAGAACCTCCAAGCGAGAACGAATCTGTTGACTTGAAAAATATCCCCGAGCCGCCCCTCCCCCCTGACCCTGTCAGTAAACCCCGATATGCGTCGGGTGAGACTTCAATCTCGTCGAATATTTCCAAAACTCCCCCAGATGATGCCCCGTTGCCGCCGGACTTTCTTCCTCCGTCCAAGTCAGTTGAAGAACCTGCGTCGCATCAACCACTGCCGGATGAAGAAGTGGAACCAGAACACGACCAAGAAGAAGATGGCTTCAGTTCGGATTTTGAAGGGAGTGGTGAGGATGTCACCGGGGACGTTAGTGCGGAAGAAGATGCTACGGAAGAGCAGCATGACCAGTTGCAAACCTCTCCGGAAAGCTCGTTCAAGAGCGGTGATAGGAGTACAGAGGTCAGCCCCACAGGTGGTCTGTTTACCAAGGTATCTTCCACTCCGACGGCGCAGAAACCTGCTCGACCATTGTTTGGTGAAGTTGGAACTGGTCCAATCTTTGCTCCTCCCAAACCACAAGAAAGCCCACGATCGCCAAGCCCGGTAAGGAATGTATCATCCGTCGAAGGTTTGAGAGTGGACCCAACCAGATCTGTCAGTGCTCCAGCTCACCCTCGATCTATCATTCATCAACGAAAAGCGGAGTATCAAAAGTCGTCGCTTGCTGCTCAGGCCGCCAGAACTAGGGAAGAAGAGGTCGCGAAAGAGAATGCTCGGCGTGAAGCAATGGCGAGGCAAAAGGCACAAGAAGAAGCTGAGCAGCTCGAACCATTGCAAGATGATGAAGACGAGATCTTGCGTCAGGAGCTGGAGAGGCCCATCTCGCCGATGCAATCGCTGGATGATTTCGTCACTTATCAGCCGAAGCCGGGAGAAGAATCGAGTAAGACCGGCATACCTGCGCAGATCGAAAGACTGTACGCGGACATCAACTCGATGGTGTACACGTTGGGAATCAACTGCCGCTCGTTGTCAGCTTTTCTGCAATACCAGCAACCAAAGGCATCCAATCAATCGTGGCCCTCAGTGCTGAAATCTGAGACGCCGATGGATGCTCTTAACGACGAGCGGCTCCTGACCGATATCACAAGATTGCATGACGGACAAAATGTTCTTTCCGCTCTCCTGGCAAAGAGCCAGGTCGACAATTTTGGTGGCAAAATTCAACAGTGTCAGGCCCTTCTCGCTCAAGATTTATTCGAGCTGAGGACCAAACTGACCACCATACGGAAAACCATACACGCCCTTGCTAGCACCGATAATGGCATCACGGCACCACTTTCGGCCGAACAGGCCTCTATCCAACACGATCTTCGCAAGGCTTTTACATCGGTTCAGTCCAAGCTGATTCAGACTGAAGACAGCATTTCTGTGCTTCGTGCCAAACTGGCTCGATCGACATCTGCAGACTCCGGAACCTTTGGGAGAACGGCTTCTCCAAAGAAACCAACGGTAGAAGCTGTGACGAAGACGGTTGGGAAAATGATGTCGATGGCAGAACAAAAGAGTGCAGACATTGATATACTGGAGGCCCAACTCAAAAAGATGGATCTTTCGCTGGCCTCGTCAACTCTGAGCAATGGCGATAGATCCGGCGGGCTAACGAATGTGACTACTCCACAGCGCCATCGACAATCAGTGAATGGTGCGACTCCGGGGACTAATGGAAGTGTTTATCATACTCCGGACTCCAAGTTGGGCAACAGTACACGGTCGAATAGAAGTTGGAGGGCTAGCTTTAATGGAGCCATGGTGGCGATATCAATAGAGGACAGGGAACGATGGCGAGCACAATCACGCCGTCGAAAGGAAGCTACCGACACGCTAAAAGGGGTTTTGGAGGAGAAACGAAAGAGAACCACGGCAAAGAGATGAGACAAGATGCAAGCATTCTGAAGCATAGTTGGACTTGACCCCCAGCTGGGTAGTGACGGGGCATAGTTGGAAACGACCGCTGCCGATACTTGATTCTTGATGGCGATGTATTAGATACTAGTAGTAAATTATGAATTTTGAATGCCAAAATAAAAGATTGCAAATAACTTGTCTAGAGCCCGGCGACGATGCGATTTCGATTCCATGCGATAGTCACGTGACATCATGTGACCACGCCGTTTCTCTTGGCCTTGGCTCTCTTCCATCTTTTTCACTTGAAGGGGGAGGGCATCGATCATCTCAACCTCCAAACCTCCCGTTTGCCCTTCTCGACTCCTCTTTTTCAACTTCCACTTTATTTGCGCCTCTCGCTCTCCCAGTCCAATCAGTTGATTTATACCTGCGACTTGATTTTCTTTTCTCACGTTCGTTGCCTCTTCTGCTGCACCGTGGTAACCCGTCACCCACTGCGCAACTTCTGCTCCACGACAACCCCCTTCATCCTCGACTCTCCTCGTCGACCATCCATCTTGCCTTCTTCCTTCATCAATCGACCTTGATCATTTGAGTTAAGTACAGGTTTCGCCCTTCACCTGCTGCGTTCGGGAATCGGGTACATCTTCAAAGGCGTTGCTTTACTCAACTCCAACACCTCATCATCACATCCTCCACGACTCATCCGTTGAACATTTTCCACCCTCGTTCACCACCTCACCTCCTTTTCCTGCATCTCGTCGGACTTTCCAAAGCACTCAGCTCCTCTCAATTACACCGTCAACCCTAGCACGAATCTCCAAATCACCCTCTCACCACCTAACCCCTTCGCGTTTGGCTCTCCCGAATCCTTCTTTACACCAGCAAGTTTTCCTTCGACACCCCTGGTGTACATAAAAGATCTCTCGAGAAACAATAATAAAGAGTTTGATTAAAAACTTGTCCCTCTGGGTGATCCGTTCAAGTCACGCGACATGTCTGCATCACCCACATCCACAACCGCCATGTCTTCAGCAAAACGGCCCTTGGAAGATCCATCTTCTCCCTCCGCTCCCACTGACCTGCCAGATGCCAAACGCCCTGCCCTCGACAAGGTTGTAAAAGAAGATGCTCCAGCCGAGGGCTCCGAAACTGCTGGAGTTGCTTTAGCAGAGACGACAAAACCAACGGAAGAACCCGCAATCCCTGCCCCAGTAACAAATGGAGCCGCAGATGTGCACACGGAAGCTCCTGCTCCCACAGTGGCCGTCGGAGTTACGGCCCCTCTGCCGGTGCCGGAGACCCAGCCTGTACAATCCACCACTGCGTCAAATGATCAAGCCCCGTCTCAAGCACCATCAATGCCCCCACAGGATGAGTCAAATTGGATCCATATTCGAGCAGTGATTTCCAGTGCTGAGGCTGCGACTTGTATCGGAAAAGGCGGTGAAAACGTCACTCAGATTCGACGACTTTCGGGTGCAAAATGTACGGTCAGTGACTATTCACGAGGTGCCGTTGAAAGAATCTTGACGGTCAGTGGGGCTCAAGATGCTGTGGCCAAGGTATTTCAGGAAACCCTCCCTTTGTGAACCCCCAGAATGCTGACTTTTTCCAGGCCTTTGGTCTCATCATTCGTACTCTGAATAACGAACCGCTCGAAGCTCCCTCTACTGCCCAATCGAAAACGTATCCATTGAGACTACTGATTCCGCACATTCTTATCGGTTCCATCATCGGCAAGTCTGGTGTTCGCATTCGAGAAATTCAGGAAGCATCCGGTGCCCGCCTCAATGCCTCAGATTCCTGTCTTCCACTTTCGACTGAGCGTTCATTGGTTGTTTTGGGCGTTGCCGACGCAGTGCACATTGCCACGTATTATGTTGCCGTGACCCTGGTCGAGCAGTTGACCGAACGATTCGGTGGTCCCGCCGCATCCGCGTACGCAACCAGGAGTGGAGGTCCCGCAGGTGTTGTTCCGGGCGGGATGCAAGTCGTGCCATACGTCCCTCAGCCGGCCGGAGGTCAGTATGGTCACCCAGACACCTACAAGAGACACAATACGCACCCCCCCCAACGTGTGCCCTTGCAGCCTTACGGTGCGCCACAAATTCACGGTGTTCCTCAGCCAGCCTACCCCCAACATGCTCAACCATATGTAGCGACACCACGAACTCCAAGCTACGGGGTACCTCCTCAACAACCGGGTCCATATGGCCAAATGCCACCTCAACCGGGTCCACACAGTCAGCCTGCACAGCCATCGCATGCGATGCCTGGACAACCAATCACCCAGCAAATTTTCATTCCGAATGACATGGTCGGCGCAATCATCGGAAAAGGCGGCGCAAAGATCAACGAAATTCGACATCTCAGTGGCAGTGTCATCAAAATCAACGAGCCACAGGATAACAGCAATGAGAGGTTGGTTACGATTACAGGAACGCAGGAATGCAATCAAATGGCTCTGTACATGCTTTACTCGAGATTGGGTGAGTCTCAAGGCCGGCAAAAACCATCGAAACCTACGAGGAACGGTATGCTAACGACATTGACAGAGAGCGAGAAGCATCGAATCTAGAACGACCGCATATGATGCTTGGAACATATCTGCGATGTGACGGTCTCAACGGTAGAATGCTGCAATTGATTCACAATTCAAGTCGATTTGGCTGGTGAAGATTGACGGCGCTTCCAAGGTAGTCGAGCTGAATGTCAGTGGCAACGAGAAGCAAAGAAGCAGCGGAGAAATTCATTTGTTCCCCATCAACTGACCTAGAATTTTGCTTCCAAGGAACCAAAAAGCAGCTGGGGATTTCGTACTCCAGCAATGAAGGTATCAACTTGAGTCAAATAATTAAGGGTCATTGGAGGACATTCGGTGATTGATTGAGGGAGAAAGAAATGCACTGGCTGCCTACCATAACATCCCATAATGCATGTATCATAATAGAATGGAAATTTTTCTCCTTGTTGGAGTATCGGGTGGAAAACATATCCGGCTGTGGTCGGGTCAGGTTACCACTGACAAAAGCATAAGGGAGAAGTTACAGGGGTCAACCGCCCAAAATGGTTGCGGAGGCAAATTTTTTTCGTCCACATAGGCCTCGGTCTGAATTGGAAAACGAGGCCACCACTCCCGCTACTCAGATCTCGGATCTGACTTGCTTCTTGTTTCCCTTTTTTTTTTTTCCCCTTAACTCTGTTATCAAATAAATATTCGAGATCTGGACCATCTTGGAGAATGGCTAACTCCAAGCTACATCAACAACCCCCTTTCAGGGCCGAGCATTTGGGCTCTCTCCTTCGACCCCAAAAGTTGCTGGATGCGCGAGCTGCCGTTCGAGACCAGAATCCGAAGCCAGAGGAGGCTGAGTTAGCCGCCATAGAAAGGGATGCGGTTGGACAAATTGTCAAGACTCAACTTGAACTGGGCTTTAAAGGCGTAACAAGTGGAGAATACAACCGCACTCGTTTCTGGGGCTTGTTCTGGGACGAACTCGAAGGCACTATTCGTCTGCAAGACGCGGAGGCGAGTATGTTTCGACTGTACCACCCAGATGTGGTCAGTCTGATTGAAAAGGACCGGAAGGTCATGCCGGGTGATTCAGTTATTGCTGGAAGCAAAATTCGTCACGCCGGCACTGAGTCGAATTTGCACGAGCTGCGTTTGGTTCAAGCGTTTGTGCCCAAGGAGCAATGGGGTAACATCAAGCTTACCATGATCACGCCTGCGGTACGTTACTAAGTATATGCTGTGCGATTCCATCTATTTCGTATTTCCCTCCTGTGAAGCGCCCACGGCCAAAGCTGGGGACTCACCCAGAATTGGAATGCCCATCATGACTGATAATTGGCGCCTTGAAGTGGTTCCACATGAGGTATAAGCAGGGCCGAGCATACACTCCAGAAGCATACCGGAATGACGCCGAGTACTTCAAAGACGTGGCTAAAGCATACCAACGAGAATTAGAGGTATTGTACGAAGCAGGGTTGAGGAACGTACAGTTTGATGACCCTGGTCTGGCTTGTGAGTGCTCACACCTCCACAACATTGGGAAGATGGTCGCTGATGATATGGGGGTTCAGATTTCTGCTCCCAGGTTTTCCGAGATGGCTGGGCAAGCGATCCGGACAACATCGGCACCGTTGACGACCTACTCGACGCCTATATCGACCTGTACAACGATTCGATATCCCGGTGCCCGGCAGATATGCATACTGGAGTTCATTTGTGCCGAGGGAATTTCATCGGCGGGAGACATTTCGCCGAAGGATCTTATGATATTATTGCACGCAAGCTATTCCAAAATCTTAACGTCAACACCTTCTACCTAGAATACGACACGGAAAGAGCGGGAGGCTTTGAGCCTCTGAAATTTCTGCCAAAGAACAAGAATGTCATCATTGGCTGCATTAGTACCAAGCTACGACAATTGGAGGATAAGCAGGAAATGAAGAACAGAATTTACAAGGCCGCCGACTTTGTGGCAGAAGGGTCCAATCAGACGCGCGAAGAAGCCCTGAAGAGAATTGGGATCAGCCCGCAGTGCGGGTTCAGCACGCATGAGAGCGGATATCCTCTGAGAGACGAAGACCAACGTGCAAAGCTGGCCTTGGTGCGCCAGATTGCGGACGAAATCTGGGGAGAGCCGTGAAAGGTGAACAAGTGACTTGCTCTATCAGCCGGAATTTTCTCTGAGCTTTCATATACCTTGGTGAGCAAGCAAGTTGTCACCCGAGTCTTTCAACAATCTGGGTAGGCAAAAAAGGTCCACTGGGTTCAACACGGATGTAGGAACAGAAAGGCATAGTGCAATAATGGGCAAGGAACCAGCAACCAAAACAGAGACGAGGATTCAAATTCCTGATCCGAAGTCTTTTGGAGATGCAAATTGCGCTACCATGTCAGTACGTGCTATGATGTGTCCGGATACGAGGCACTGTGGCTTGGTTCTAATTAGGGATGAAGTATGGCAAGGCTTGCGCGTTGTACAGATCATATACCTGTGCAGGTACCACCACCGCAGTGTACACAGTACCTCGCGGCACCGCACGTTTTTGCCGGGACTCGAAGTACCAGCGTTCGGCCGGCGTTTCACCGAGGTGGTCGAGACGTCGGCAGTAAAGTTTCCTGGCTCAAGCTCTGATTGGTTGTTCGTAAGCTCTCTCCAGATTGGCGCTCTTGGCAAATTCGTTAGCAAACTTCTCCCACCCCCGCGCATCCCTTCCCCACGCAGCTCCCACTTGTTCTCCCACTTCAAAACGCCCCCACAACTCTGGAAGCGTATTCCCCAGTCACATTGGCTGCTCTGCATCCTACCGAACCGGCCTTGTGCGGCCCATATTCCCGACGTCACACCTCTCCTCAGTAACTCGGTGGTCTGCCCCGGTTTTCCCTATTCCTATGCTCTCCTCCCGCGCCCGACAACCCTTCTGGCGTCGTTGCCGGAAATAATGCGCATTTCACCCTGTCGGAGCGTCCCCAACGGACTCGTGAGGTCGCTGTTTTTTGACCCGAATCGGTGGGTGTAGTGGGACCCAAATCAAGAGTCTACAACGTGTGGCACACGATGGTAGACCCGATCCTCGGCCCTTGAGCCGACGGCAAAATGAATAGTCATTGACGATCATCTCCTCGATTTCTCTCTTTGAATCCTCTTGATTCTGTTTTTCAGTCTTCTCTCATGTTTTAGCCCTTCTCTTCACCTCTTCCTCTCTGAACATTGGATTTGAATCAATTGAAACCAATATCAGAACTCAGGATGGGTAGTGCGACGATGTATACCTTGGGCATTGCCCTCTTTGCTGGCATTGGCACATTTCTCTTCGTATGGTCTCTCCAATGAACGATCAGGTGAGCAAGTCTGACTCCGTGGCTCACAGGGTTTTGATACTGGCATTGCAACGACCAGTAAGTTTCTCTTGCGCACCGTATTGACGTGGGAGAAATACTGAATCAGCCATCAGCCATCGCACACGAGAGCTGGATTGACTATATGGATCATCCCTCAAAGGGTTTAACAGGCGCAGTAGGCCACCTTTTGGGCAGCTCGTGAATTTGGAATGCTGAAAGAGCTCGATAGGTTGTATCCGTGTATATTGCCGGCGAGGCTGGCGGTGCTCTCACGCAAACCTTCATCGGTGATCAACTTGGGCGTATTCGATTCATGCAGCTGATGTGCGTGATTGTCACCATCGGGACAGCCATCCAAACTGGCGCCGTAAATATTGGAATGTTTCTTGCTGGTCGTGTGTTGGCGGGCTATGCGGTGGGGTGCGTTTCACCTTGACTTCCTCCCTGCTTCACGTCGGAGGAGAACTGACCTGAACCCAGAGGAATGGTTGCGACCGTGCCCATCTACCTCAGCGAAATCTCTGCACCCAACAACCGCGGCCTCATCGGTGGTATCTCCGGTTGTGGCATATCTCTGGGAACCATGATGTCCAATTGGGTGGGCTTCGCCTGCAGCTATGCTTCCTACGGAGCAACCCAATGGCGCCTTCCTCTAGGGATCCAGATCCCGTGGGGTATTATTTTGTTCGCAGGCCTGGCGACATTCATGCCAAACTCTCCTCGTCAATTGATTCGGGGCGGCAAGATCGAAGAAGCCCGTCGTCAGTTTATGAGGATCCGCCGTGATCTTACGAACACTCAAATTCACGAAGAATTCGCGCTCATGAAAGCCCAAATCGAGTTCGAGATGCACAGAGAGGTGAAATCATTAAAGGAAGTGTTCAAGCTCTTCAGACATCGAGCGCTAGTGTATGTTCTTGCCGTGTATACGTTTGATTGATCATGTTCCTGACTCCGCTTGAAGATCAATCGCTGTCCAGACCATGACCAGTCTTACTGGGGTCAATGTTATCCAGGTGAGTTTAATGTGCCACCGTCACCACAATAATGAGTATCATCAACTGACAATCATCTGTAGTATTATCAAAGTAACTCGACACTTTTCTCATAGATGCTGATGACATGAGCACGACTAATAAGCCAATAGCAATTCTCTACAAATCTCTCGGGATCAATAGTCACATGATTCTCGCACTCGCGGCCGTATATGGGACATGTGCTTTCCTCTCGAACGTCCTGACTACAAGGTTCCTCGCTGACCAATGGGGTCGTCGAAAGTAAGTCTCCCTTGTGCTGTCCGCATGCTCTCCCCCCCCCGGGACTCGGTATGCAATGTTTGTATGTGACAGCCTTTCTAACATGTGGGCCTCCTCTCTCATCTAGCATGATCATCGCCGGTTTAGGAGGCATCGTCATCATTGAGATTTATGCCGCCGTGATGCAGCGCGAGTTCCAGAACACCGATAACAGCGTCGGCAAGGGCTTTGCGGTCTTGGGTATTTATCTGTTTGTCGTGACATATTGTGAGTGGATGTAGTGAACTGGTCGTCGATCTGGAGTCTCGGTTTCATTGACTGACGTATCATATTTATTTAGATGGTATGCTTAACAGCACAACATGGCTATATGGTGCAGAAGTGCTCCCGGTGGCACTGCGATCAAAGGTCATGGGTCTTGCAGCAGCGTCACATTTCATCGTCAACGTAGGCAGTAAGTGCTTCTCATTCTTGCAGCGACATGGGGGCTCTAGCGGCCGACGGTCCCGCCGATGTAAGGAATATGTCCAAGCTAACATGATACAATCATCCCATAGTCACCGAAGCAGGTCCAAGCGCCTTCGCGAATATTCACGAAAACTACTACTATGTTTTCGTTGGGTGTTCGTTCTTCTTCTTGGTCGTCGCTTATTTCTACTTCCCGTAAGTATACGCGTCCAGCACCTGTCCTGCAATGTCATCGCCCTTCCTTCCCTCTTTCTCCCCTTTTTCATATGTTATGTAACAGCTCGCTAACATTCCCGGCATCCCAGAGAAACAAAGCAAAAGACTTTGGAAGAGATTGCGGCAGCGTTCGGCGATAAGGTGGTGTTGCTGACAGAAAACGATCTAGCCGTCGAGCAAGCCGCCTTGGAAGATAAGGCTGGCGCTATGCAGGTGGAGACTACCCCGGCAGGTCCCAAGGTCTGAGACATCTGATTTCCCTGCACGGGCCGGGTCGATGTAGAGAAAGGAGGCCATGTGACGTTCGGATAGAGGCATAGGTTGATGAACCACTCGTTTGGTCTTGTACATGGGATCTCAGACCCACTATGTGATTCTGTGGGGGTGGCTTCGTCTCTAGCAAGTTGACATCGAGTGATGGCGTGGGAAGGGGCAAAGGAATCCTGTCATTTTCCCAGTCAGTTATCACATCACAAATTGGATCGAAATGAACCTACGGATCCATCACTCTCTTTGGTCTCTCTTGCTTCACCTCCGCGTACCTTTTTCGCCTGCAGCTCCCAGACGAGAACATAAACGATAAAAACCGGCCACCATCAGACAACCGAGCCAACCCCCGGCTAGCGGAAGGCTGGCTTTTCTTGCCACAATTGCTGGTCCGTCGTGCATACTGTTCGGCCCTCCTACCGTAGGTAATGCCATCCCGACATCTATCAATGAGGTCCATCAGCTTCCTACCCGAACTCTTTGAGCCATCCGGACATCCAGCAAAGTATCCGACCGCGTTGAGGTGAGTCTGTGCGGCGGCGAAGTCGAGAAGATACCAGTTGGTCACGCAATGAAGGAGCATTTCCAGCAGGATCTGTCGGTTGGTCAATACCCTCGAGTTGGGGTAAGAGAATTGCTCCCGTAGCCTTTGAAGCGACGGCTGCATATATTTCGTGGCCTTGATTTCAAACTCCTCCCGGCGACTAGGAATATCTGCACCCATTCTCGCCGCCGTACACCCCAGCATGGCGTACCCATGGATTCCACCAATTATCCGGCGAGAACCATGGTCCGAGTCCAGAACGGAAGAAATCTGGTCAAACTAATCATGACGTGCCGCCGGGAAGCCCCGATTTTGACCCCAGGTGAGACACAGTGAGCTGAAGTATTGTACCAGTTCATCTATCTCGAGGGGCTCTCGGGGGTCCCGGGTCGAGGAGAACGTGCCGAGTCACCCTGGTCGTCCAGCTCGAGAGGAGGTCTCCCTGAGTCGCTGCTCAAGGCCGATGGGCCGACAGACTTTTTGTGGTCTAGGTCTCCAGAGGCTTCGATTCTGAACATGTGCAGTTGCTTATTCTTTTGGTCCCGGCATGATTGGACATGGCTGATGGCAAGTTTACACCCTTCCAATCTGTTCGAACTGAGCAGTCGTGTGCACTCATTTCATTGGTGAGATGGCAGGGAAAGACTCGGAGAACTTGTCACATAACTGGTCGATCATGTCATCGGATACGAAAGCCGCGTCCCGTTTACTTCTTCGTTGCCGGGAAATCTGCCTCTGGTTTAGGCGGCCTGCCCGTTCCTGGCCGCCCGCCGCTTTTGACGTCGCTATAAGAACCGCTCTTGGACTTTTGTCGGAATTGGAGCGTTGGAATTTGGGTGGCTCCTGTAGCTGGTCTATATACAGGAGGCGGAGAAGAGCACCACTTTTCGACTATTAGCGTCTTCTGTGCTCGCTTTATTGAGATGATGATGGCAACCTTGACATCTCCCCCAGAGTTGACAATCCACCATGCTGCGTCATGTCTCAGACGAGTAAGCGTTTCAGAGAGTCCAGACTCAAAAACAATTGTTGGCCAGTCAGTTTCCTTTCCTCGGATCGGGAGGGGGCGGAATCCCATATCACCCTCTTTAGAGGAATTAGGGAGTTTGTATGTTGTCCCACCAACAGGATATAAGCACTTTTCGTGTGAGGCCCATTGTGATAAGTTCGTCACGAACTGTCTGGGCTAGTGTGAGGTGCGCGCCTTCATGTGCCGCTGAGGGCATCAGCTTGATAACTAATAGATTGTTATCCGCGTAATGGCTCATCCGAGTATGCTTCCCTATGCTGTGTCACAAGGAGGACTCTTGGTAAGACAGGATCACGACGAAAGTGGAAGGTGCGCCGAAGGCACGTGACGTCCGAAACAGGCAATACTTGATATGTTGATATGCTGGACTGAGATATGGGGGCCATATCAACATATCAACATATCACAGATTATTACCTATTCTGGAGGGAGCATCCGTCTATATAGCTGTGACCACCCCAGGCCTCCTGGGACTCCACGTAGTCAACTTCGTTCATTATCACACCCCTACCATTAGATACATCGATACGCTCTGTATCTATACTCCCGTGCCTTAGTACACTAAGTCCCTGACCTCAACCCACGTGACGTCCACACCGGGTGTGACACACGTAACATGCTGGCGCGCTGATGGTCAATCTTTTCAAGCTGGCCTTTTGTGACACCCCTGAAAACAAGGTACTGCTGATTCGTGCGACCGTCCATCAACGCAGCAGACTGCGAGTTGACATGTTCTTTTAGATCTCGGATCCCTTTGTACGTATACATACGAGCGTCTTCCAATCCCTTTAAGGACGATATCTCCAGTGCTGAACTCTCCACTGCCGTAGTCTCTTTTGATGTAGTTGAGCTTGAGGATGACCTTGACATGGGTGTACATGTAGGTGCCCCATCGCTGGGTCCGCAAATTGTACTCATGTTGAGGTTCGAAGGCCGGAAAAAGCAATGTTGAAGGAGCAGAAAAAGCTGGTAGAAGAATCAGGCAGGGAAAGTTGTTGACGAATCAAGCGTGTACTGAGGCGAGAGGTGGGTGCACTGAGGTGGGAGAGATTATGAATGATGATTGATTGATTGATCTATCTCAAAGCACACTCTGATGAATGTCAACATAAGTAGGTGGAAAGGGTTGAGGTTACAAGGTGCCTCAGGTGTCACTATAGAATGATAATGCCAAGCCAGTCGCGGTGACACGCCAAGCCAGCATTGCCTATTCTGCTAGCCGTCAATGCACGCTTAAGTAGCCCTTCAGTAGAGAGAGGCAAAGCGGCTGCAACCCTTCTCCACTCCGATCCCCCCGCCCGCGACCTAGGGATCGATTTTGTTCACGTGACCTAAACCGTCTCTGATTGGCTAGAAAATGGCTAATCACATGATCTCGCGATGCGTACACGCGCACTCCTACATTTCCCTCTCGACACCCTTCTCCTCCTGTTATGTCCGACATACATGCTAAATACTGCTCGGCCTGTCTTCAAAAGCGCCTACTCTCTTTCTTTCTCAAAGATGCCTCGGCCGTCCCAGGGAGCAAGGTCTTTTCGACCTGTATGGCCTGTCGTGACAAGCGCAGAGAGAAGGGCTCAACAGCAGGACCTTCGAACGCAGTGAGGCCTGGGGGTTGTTGGGCCGAGAGAAGATTGATTGATTGGATTCGTGATGCCCATCGCTGAGAGAACCGCTGAAGCCGCCATAAGATGTCTCGCACGATCGCTTGTCCACTCTGTTGTCGCGGTTTCGCCAGCACTCGAAGCGCTGACTGGCTGTTGCTGAAGATGGTCACAACCTTTTTGGGGTGAATATCGTGACCTAGCCACAGTGCGTCCACTAGCTGGCATGCTTCTCGAATAGCCACCAATTCACCGTAACGTACACTTAATGTCGAGGACGATCCAATGGTTCTGCTGATCATATTGGGAGCAGTCGACGATAGGTGCGCCACTCTGATACCAACTCTTCCTTGTCGACACGACACGTTCGTGAATATAGCATGCTCTAGGCTCGCTCGACTCGCCAGCCCCTGCGCTTTTTCTCGTTCGTGGTTGCCAGGGCGCTATACAGAGTGGTTCGATACACTCTAAGCGAGTGGTGTCTAGTTTCAGGGTTTCCGCTATTCGTCGTAGTGGCGATACGAAGCGTGGCTGACTTTGATAATTGTTTTGCGAGGATTGTGTTGTTCTGAGACTCCAGCTTTACTATTCTTGCCCCTAACTCCGCCGTGCATGTCTCGCTTCGTTTGCTGGCCTCCAGTAGTGTTCTGGTTAAGGCTTCATTGTTTTTGACCGTCGTGAGGAATGACGTGATTTGTTTCTCGAGTGCGTGCGTCTTGGTGTTATTCGTCCCGATGTTGTTATTCAGTCCTTCCATATGTCCACCTATTGTTTCCAGTTTCCTCGCTAGTACACTTGATATCATCGTGATGTATGTATCCGGTTGGTACTCCGTGTTTTCCGCCTCTTCGCATGCGATATGTCCGTTTGGAGGTGCGCTGTCCTGTATGGCGCTTTGAATTGTAGTGGTGTCGAGCTCGTTCTCGGTGGCCGCTCTAACGCGAGGTGCTTTTGCCCTTTGTCGGTCCACATGTCGAGCGGGCGCAGGCGCAGATGGTGCGGTAGCAGGCAACCGCGGTGGTGTTGTTGGGCCAGCTGCGTTAGTAGCCATACTCGCGCTGGCTGCCCCGTCTGCACTTCTCCTCCTAGACAGTGGAATATAGTGTCGAATTCGAAGTTTTAACCGTAGACTGGATCCGATGAGCCCCCCCCCCCGATTTGCAAGGAAAGGAATTGCCAACAGGGGTATGGGGGCTAGCCCCCATAAAAGACATAGTAATCAATATCGTCTCCATATGGTTCACGGACTGGATCCGATGGGGGACATCGTACGGCATATGACATGGTGATCAACATCGTTTATATATGATCCATGGACGGGATCCGATCAAAGTGGTCTGGCAGACAAAGGCGTGGATTGGATCCGATGAGGCCAGCCAACCAGAGCACAGGATTACGTAATACCCGTATTATAGATTTTCCGGAGTAAGGGAGGGTTGGCTAATCACGTGATACGCGAGGCCCGGGGGCTTGGACTGGATCCGATAGGGCCAGCCAATCAGACCAAATGATTTGGTAGGTGCCGGATTATAGATTTTCCGGATCCCGACCGGTTGGCCAATCACGTGAATAGTTGTAGGGCGGCATGTATGCGCCGCCAAGAATTGCCAAGACCAACGTGGCCGACTCAATCACGTGATGTCTCGAGCGCAGCGAGGCCTGGGGGCTAGCCCCCAAAATGCAGCAGCTACGCTTTTACCCCCCGTGGAATATCCTGTCCGCGGCCCCTAGTACTGCAATGAGAGCGAAGAGTGGATTTAGGGAAGAAGAACTCCAAAGGCGGTGGCAGATTTCCCTGCAACCTGCGTTGTGTTGTAGAAGGGGTGCTAATTTTATGCCCGATGGCCAGAACACCATAAATTGGGACGGCTAAATTCTTCGATTTTGGATGCAAAATGTGCTGCTCTACGAAACAGGCTGCCCCACCAGAGACTCACTTCTAGCATCATTTGGCTATTCCGTGCCTGCGTATGAAGGCTTGATTGGCGATGTCCGTCGCCAGCTAGGTGAAACAAGCCCCATATCCCTCCCCTTTTGTCAGATAATCTCCCCCCAGGGGGCTTGAGCCGTTGAACATACGTGAGCTTGGGTAAGGCCTCCCAGTTCGGACGCTACCCCCCTGCTATTGTTCCGCGGACTTATGCTAAATGAGATTGGTCCTCCTTGCTACATCTGTTCTGCCCCGGCAGGGCTCCCAACGTGCAGTTCTGATGGGAAAAGACACCTCTGTGATTGTCATGATGCATGACCCGTCTTTCAACCTTTAGTCAACTCCGCTAAGAAAGTATTTCGATGCTGCTGACAGCGAAAGCTACATCGTAAACCACCTAGTTCGGATTTTCGCCGCCGGCAAAGAGATCGGGTTGATTTAGGTCACCTGATATTGAATGCCAAACGCTGGAAGACCCTCCCGATGGATAGATCAGTTTGTTGGGAATGTTTCGGGAGAGCGACCGCCCACAGCGAATCGCGTACAACAGCGACCTACTAAACACCAATTAAGCCTAGTTGTGCGAGCGTTGTCCGCACGATGGAAAGGTACCTAAAAACCCCCCATTTTCCTAGGAATTTGAGGTACCTTTCCATCCACTTTGCCCCCCTCGCATAGTTGGCGCCTTTTGGTGTTCTTTCAACGACGTCGTTAACACCCTTTAATAGAGCCTTTTGCACTCGCCTTTTTATGCCCTTTTTGCAGTCAATTTTGGTGTTGGTGGTGTGTCAGACCCTGTCTATCAGACCCTCTCTGTCGTCTCTATAGTCCTCCCGCCGTCTCTTGGCCTCGCTGTCAGTCTCCTTCAGGGCCTTCCTGACGCCCTGTGAGCTTCCTGCGAGTCCCGAATGAATCCCTGCTCTTTTGCCTCGTTGTACCTTACAGTGTGAGTTCGCATTCTCTTGCCTCTGCCTCCTGCTAGTGCTGGAGGTGCTGTAGACGCCGGGATCTCGATTGGTGAGGGCTCAGGAGAGGGTGATCGACGCGGTCGAGGTCTTTCAGGAGTGCGAATCGGTAGACGCTGTGAGAGAGGAGTAACCTGAGGCGAAGGAGAAGGAGTTTTAAGGACAGGAGTTGTCTCAGGACGAGGAGGAGTACTTGGTCTTGCCGTCGAGGTATTTGAAGTCAGATCGATCCGAGAGGTAGACATCACTTGAGCCTCTTGTCGTCGCTCTTCAGAGAGCTCATTTTGACGCCGTTGTCGGTCTTCCTGACGCTCTCGACGCTCTAGAATTTCGTTAGCAGTTAAGCCTCGCGCGTTAGCAGGACCGTGAGAGGCTCTTTGTCGAACCGCAGTCCTCTCCCGCTTCCTCCTGGACGTGATTTCACCATCGGAGTTCTTTTCGACACGATCCTCGAGTCCACGAGTATTCAGAGACTTTTGACCGTGATGAATACACTTGAACTGCGAGCCTGGAACTTTCGCACTTCCTCCACCGCCGCGGACGACGTCGAAGCCTGCTACAAGTGCGTACGCCCTCAAACGCCTCTCAGCTTCAACAAGAGACTCGAAAATCTCGCCAGTAACAGGAATCTGACGCCATGGGACAGGAAATGCGTTGACAAGACTCTCAAGAGGCGCACGAAGGTGTGGAGCGCACCCTGAGGGCGCTCGCCAGAGGTCGTCGACGGGGTAGTTAGCCATGAAGGCAGCAGTAACAAGAGAAGGTCAAAGGGTCAAACAGGACTCTACAACACCAGGAAAGTCTATATAAATCGCGAAGCTCGCAAATGCCAAAGGTATGTGAGTGCCTCAATTTTGATGTTTTGGTACCTCGATTTGTGCGATTTTACTAGGGTTTGGGGGGGGGGGGGGTGTTAGGTACCTTTACATCACTGGTTGTGTCTTTCCATCCACTACGCCAAATCAAGCTTAATTAAATTCGCTGTTGTACGAGGTTCGCTGTGGGTGGTCGCTCTCCCGAAACATTCCCAGTTTGTTTGCCACGACTCGGCAGTTCTCTTTAGATACTGCTCCTCCATCAGATCGGCACGATAGGACTCAGATATTGAGTTCCATCAGCGATAATGAACTATCAAATCAGCCTTCTGTTGGAACACTAACAACCTCGACATATCAAGAACAAGGCTGTATGAATACGGTTTTAACTTAGATTTCGGTTGTGTTCGCCAGTGTCTAACCCAAAGAGTTGTGGTTCGTGGCGATGTCATTCGCCAGCCGACGATTCCTCGCTTACCAAATTCCTCTCCCAAGAAAAACGCCGATTGCTAATGGCTAGGTTTACTTCAAACACTCTCTCTTCCCTCAACACTTCGGGGATCATTTTCTCGACTGAACGGAGAGCCCGACGACGGACCGACGATAGGAGACATGGACATCACTTGAAGGAAGACAAATTAGCCAGCAAAAGGGAAAATTTTCCAGTTGGGTCGATCAGAGATGCTTTTCTGATCAGTGTGCATTTGGAACTTTTAGATAATTAACTGGGCGAGGATTCTGGAAGTCATGCCAATGAACGATTTCCTCGGTTGTCCCCGGTTGAGACCGAACGATCACGGCAAGCATGAGATCATTTGACGAGGCGCAGGGATGAATTCAGACCCCGTCTTTGTCACATCGAACGGACTTCACCTCGGGATTCCATAATCCGGAACCCTGCCATCGAGAATATGAGAGCTGTCGCACGTAGAGGCAGGGAAGGAGAAATTCCTCGAGGCTGAGCAGCCACGTCCTCATTCTTCCGTCGTGTTTCTTTTCCCGGACGAGAAGTTCTCCTCGATATCAGTTTTCGCCATTGCAGAAAGAAAGACGGTTGGAAACAGTGCTGGTATCAGGTAATTCTTCTTGTGAGCACGGGCCAGTGCTGATGATCCTAATGGGGCGTGAGTTAGGCTGACTGACAATACTCTAAATCATCCCACAGTTCTGTCATTGAAAACCACTTACTGGAGAAGCTATTTCTCGTCACCAGATGACAATCTTCCGGCACGCGACTCTCGAGAGGAGGAGAATGCTGAAGACTTTGCAACAGTGGTTTGGAGGTGGCAAGCCCAGAGCACCCTTTGGTGTGCCGTACCATTTTCGTTTGGATCATGCTGTGAGCTGATTAAGCATGACTGTTTATTGCTCCCAAGATGAGGACATCACCGTGATATCCTCGTCTCCGCTGGGTCTGGTTTTGGAATTGGTAGCTTATGCTTTCGAGGTCTGAAGCCAGCCAGAGAGACAAATTATGGGAGTTGTCCGAGCCCGCGACGAAAGCGTGGATGCCGTGAGTAAGACTCTTGCTGGGATAGATTGGTGGCAGCATGTCGAAGATTCCGATTGACTGGGATTGTTATTCGGGTTTCCGACGAAAAGATTCTCAAAAGAAGATTTGATAAAACCGACTCTTCATTGGTTTTGGCTGTTCATTTTGAGGTCGATATCCCTCTGCTCCGAAGGTCACGTGAGCAAATGCTGGATTGGATCGAAAGGACCTTCAACTCTTGCATTTTTGTACATAAGGCCAATCAGTGGCCATGAGGCTTCTACACGCACCCGCCTGAACAATCAAACCGTTTTGGAGCCATCTCATGTCTATTTTCCTTTTGAAACCAAGTCTTCCACCTTTTTCCGAACTTCACTCGCAGTCTCATCAGCCCAGTTCGTGGCTACTTTCGCATGTATTTTGGTCTGATTCCAGGTCTCTTGCACAAAGTGGCCGATCTGAGAATGCGTATCGGCTATTGCTGGGACTTCCTTCTCGTATTCCCAGATCAAGTCCGAGATATTTCGCATGGTGACCGGAATCAACATCCAGCCCGCGGTAACGCCCATCGCTAACGGAAATGTAGCTCTCAGAAAGATCCCCCGATTCCGGGAAACTATGGACCCAGCCATGGTCGCCACTAAAACATAGACTGCTCCTGGAAGTAATTGTTCACCGGTCTCCGGGGCAGGGGCTAGTGACGCTATGGTGTTGCTGAAATTGCTTTCCTTTTGGAACGCCCAGCTTAAGAAATGGTTCACCCCATTCTCAGCTGCCAGAGACTGATCGTAAAGGAAGAGACGGACCTTTTTGACGTGGACGGCCAACCGGTCCGTTGGGGTGGGAGAACTCGGATTTGGTGAAGAGGCTGGTGACGGAGGCGATGTTTTCGGTACGGTAGGAGAAGAGTAGATGGGTTTTTTGTCTGGAAGCTGAGGCTCTCATTAGAAGGTATCCAAGATATGAGGAGAAAACAGTCGTTACGTCGTCTTTGGAGGGAGCTTCCGCGTAGACTGTCCGGAATCCTAGACGAGGGACTTGAGTGCCCGCAGCTCCTCCGAGAACCAGGAATGCGGCTTGTCTCGACTGTGATGATCGTTAGAGACGTCCATTGACATTGCAAACCATAACTTACAGCTCGCAACATCCTAGCACGCGCCATGTCTAGAGAGGTTGACCGGTGGGTGCAGCTGGCGGGCGCAATTCGGGCATTTGGGGGGAAAATTGAATCTCGCAACTTTTTGGAATCAACTGAGCTTCGCAGCGAATCGGGCTTGGCTGAGAAGAAACCGTGCTGTTGTAAGAACCTAATGCGCACTAACCAATTTAGGTAATTCTTTAATGTAAATGTGCAACGATTGGTAATGGGTATATTTCGCACGTGCGCCCAGATATTCGCTCGTGTGCCAAGGCGCTAACATTCTCCCTCCCTTTTCGGAAAATCTTCCTGTATTTTGTGTGTGCCCCACTTTTAACCCACTCTCGGCTAATGATCATGCGTGAAAGGACTCTCGGCAAACTAACTAAATCGAGACTGCTTCTAAATATCAACTTCTGCCTTTCACTTCCACGGCCCCTTTCTCGCAACCAGCACCGTTAACAGCACCCTCCTCTCTACGTTATGTCTCACTCCGCCGTCTCTGAAGTCTCAGGATACCCCCTGAAATCCCTGTTGACGAGGTTGCAACTCAGCTTCAACAGGAATTTGACGCGCATGTTGGCGAATTTGAGGTTGAAAACTGGGTTCCACTGCCAGACGACAATGAAGACATTGTTGGCGAAGTTGAGGACCTTTGTTGAGAGCCTTTTGCACCTCACTTCCATGAATTTATGGATCCTGAGGCCCTGTGGGCTCGCCTCGATGATTGGTTAGGACCTCGTGGATATGCCATGAGGATTAAAAATCGAAGTAAACCTAACTCTCAGGGGCCTGTCAAATCTAGTCTGTGATCGCGCAGGCAGCTGTTCTCACTACGAATTTGATTAAGGTGTACGGAAGAGGAATAAATCAACCGAGCATTGCAACTGTGGCTTCAAAATGACCATGAAGCGGAATCCACAAACGGATTTATGGCATCTCGAGTGTACCGGCGAACAAGGACACTCTCATACACCATCCTGGCGTCCGTCGGCTCACGCCAGTCTCCGTCGTCGCGCCAGAAGACGTCAAGTGGTGTCAATTATCCGAAAGCAATTTGATCTCGGTGTCACGGTGCGCGAAACGCTTCAACAGCTTCATTCTTTCCATTCTGGGGTGCTTGGGATTAAGCAAGACGTCTTAAATGAGAGGAAGTGCCACTACCAACTTCAGTTAATCGGTAGATCACGCCTTCAGGCTCTGCTTAGTGGATTCTCGGATCATTTTAATTACAACACTGACAACGACGACCAGTTACGGCCAACAAACTTAGCCTTCTTTCATCGAAAGGCTCCAGACCTATTCAAGAGGCACTCTAACAGATTTCGACAACGAGCACATGCTCTCAGTCGCCGACAACGCTGGTTGGTCGAAATAGCATTCTCGGCGCGTCGGTTTGGCGCCCGAATTGAGGTAGTCTTTGAGCGCTCTTCAAGTTGGCAAAAAGGTGCGCAAATGGTGCAAGGATGGAATGCTCGAGCAATGGACATTTTGAGCTCATTTCCCATAGAAAATTTATCAAATTCGTCCCCAACGTCCTGTACAGACGTTTTCAATTGCGGCTTCACCTTTTACACATACACAAAATTATTTAGGTCCCACATTTGACCCACTTATCCTAGAGCTAGGCCTATATCCAGCCAAGTGCAGCTATTCTAATTCGCCAATCATGATAAAGCTTTCTCGAACCATGTGTCGCATCTCACAGTACGATACAAAATATCGCTGCCTTTAAGAAGGCCTTGGCAGCGACTCATAATAGCGGCACGAATATAGTGCGGATGCGCTAAGAAAAGTTCTCTGCAAATATGCCAAGCCGCAAGCGAACTCAACTCAGACGTCGCAAGCACGTGACAGTGGTTTAATCTTTGTTACATGTTGCCTACAGTAGACCTTTGTCTGCGTGCTGGCCAACTTCAAGCGTTTTCAACATGCTCTCCTTATATTCGTCTGGACAGCTCTGGCCATGACTCAGATATTAAGTGTCCACAAAAGCCTTCAATCAGCGACTGTATGTCAGTTGCAGATTCCCGAGACCTTTCTTGTCACCCACGCCAGCGATCGAGCCTCTCCTCAAGCCCATCTTGATAGCAGTTTCGATAGCTTCCTCACACAGCCTCGTTCGCACAACACATGTCTCAACAATCAATCAAGCATTTTTTAGTAATGCAAGCTATTAAGCTCTTCTCTGTCCAGCATACACTCTTCAACGTGTCTCAAGATAAGCGTTAACACAATGCGCCTTTTGAAATCTGAAAATCGTGGTGAGCCTAGCCTGACCAAGGACTTGATCGAAGATATTCCGAGCTACGCGATACTTTCGCATACCTGGGGAGCGGACGAGGAGGAGGTTACTTTCAACGATGTGAAAGATAGATCTAGCAAGAGCAAGGCTGGTTATGTTAAGATTCAATTCTGTGAAGAACAAGCTCGGAGAGACGGTCTACAATATTTCTGGGTGGACACATGCTGCATCGACAAAGCAAACCATACCGAGCTCTCAGAAGCCATTACCTCGATGTTTCGCTGGTACCGTGACGCAGTAAAATGCTACGTGTACCTGTCAGACGTTTCGGCTCGCAAGCGCGACAATAATCAGACTAAGCGGACGTGGGAATCCGCCTTTCGCAAAAGCAGATGGTTTACACGGGGGTGGACGCTTCAAGAACTCCTTGCTCCGAAATCAGTTGAATTCTTCTCGCGAGAAGGAGAGCGGCTAGGTAATAAAAATACGCTCGAGCGGCTGATTCATGAGACGACGCAAATTCCTGTTGTGGCCCTCCACGGCACCCCTTTGTCTAATTTCAGCGTTGATGAGCGGATGCGATGGACAGTGAACCGCAACACCAAAAGGAAAGAGGATAAGGCGTACTGCCTTATGGGGATATTCGACGTCTCCATGCCCCTGCTATATGGCGAGGGGGAGAAAGCGTTTCTTCGACTGAAAGATGAGATCGATAGGTCTTCAAAGGCTAAGCCACGGCCTTCCCCTCCTCCCTCGGTCATCATTCCCTTCCGCCGCGATCGCGATTTTGTCGAACGCGAGGTCCTGAATGACATTTGGCAACGAGCCTTCGAACCGGCGGCACGCATTGGACTTGTGGGGCTTGGGGGGATTGGGTAAGAGCGGATATTTTGATATACGTGTACGCCCGCTAAAGCGCAGACAGGAAGACACAACTCGCGATCGAGCATGCCTATCGAGTCCGAGAGGACGATCCTAAGACCTGGGTGTTCTGGGTTCACGCAAGTAGTGCGGCCCGATTTGAAGAGAGCTATAAGAAGATTGCGGAGCGGGTACAGCTGGCCAGGTGGGATGAGCCGAAAGCGGATGTGTTGGGCATGGTCCACGGATGGCTGTCAGATGAGAACAACGGTCGATGGACGATGGTGGTGGACAATGCGGACAGTCGCAACGTGATGTTCGAGCCATTAGATGGCCGGACCATGACGCAGAAAGCACCCTTACTATCCTCGGCACTCTCCTCGTCGTCGACAGACCACTCCTTATCAGACTATCTTCCGTCGTCGGCCAACGGGTCGATTGTGATCACATCGCGCACTCGGGAGGTTGTGGAAGGACTGATTGAGTATGCGGAAGATATCTTCGACGTGGGTCCGATGGACGCCGAAGCAGCGGTGACGCTTCTCAGGAAGAAGCTCAAGAAATATAGTGGAGGTATCGCTCAAGACGACTCGGTTCACTTAGTTCGCCAGTTGGACTATATACCGCTGGCCATTACTCAGGCCGCCGCATACATCAATCAACGTGCCCCACGCGTCACTCTGTCCACGTACGTCGAGACCTTGGAGAAGAGTGACGCCGACCGGGTCAAACTCCTCCAGATGGACATTCGAGATCCACGGCGAGACAGGTGGGCATCCAGCTCGATTATTGCGACGTGGCACATCTCGTTCGAACATCTCCGGCAGGCACGGGACTCGGCGGCACGACTCCTCGCCCTAATGAGTCTCTTCGATCGCGAGGGGATTCCGGATCACCTTCTTCGTGAGCGATATATAGAGAATCAGGATGGTGAGAACGACTTTGAAGAGGACATTGCCACGTTAAGAGCGTACCACTTGGTCGGCATGGGAGTGAGTGACAACTTATTTGATATGCATCGACTGGTACAGTTCTCGACTAAGAAATGGCTCGAACTGCATGGTGAGCTGGGAAGGTGGCAGGAACGGTGTGTGGATATCTTAAGCGAGGCGTTTCCAACCGGAGATTACGCGAATTGGCGGACGTGTCAGGCGCTGTTCCCACATGTGCAAGCGATGGCAACGTACCGAGTGGACAGACCAGATTCTGTCAAGGTTTGGGCGACGGTCCTGTATCGAGGAGCGTGGTACGCTTCTGAGAGTGGACGGTACCGGGTGGCAGAGAGGATGGCACAAGCGAGCTTAGAGGTCCGAGAGGAAGTATTAGGCCTCGATCACATCCAAACTTTAGATAGTGTGAACAATCTGGCGGTGGCGCTACGAGATCAAGGAAAGTACGAAGAGGCCGAATCAATGAATCGACGGGCATTGGTGGGGAGGGAGAAGGTGCTGGGGGTGGAGCATCCCGATACGTTGTGGAGTGTGAGCAATCTGGCATTGGT